TAGCAGCCTCGAGGCGTTCAGTAAGGACAGAGACCTTCTTGCGAAGCTCGCCGGTTTCAAGAGTGTGGTTGCGCACAAGCTCCTCCTTGTCGAACTGGAGCTGGTTGACCATGTGGTGCATCTCCATGGACTCGCGGTGCCAGTTCTCCTTCTCAGCAACAAGAGCGTCGTACTCGATGCGCATGGCAGCAAAGTCATCTTGCATCTGGCAGATCTTTTCCATCCACTGCTTCTTCTCCTCTTCAAGCTCCTCGGTGTGCTTCTTCTTTCGTTGCCGGGAGTCGAGACTACGATGATGTTAGCTGATGAACAGGGAGAGGAGAGACCAAAAGGTAGATTGGACCAAACGTGGAGCGTGGAGCCAAGAACCAAATGGGAGTACGTACGCGGCCTGCCTGTTGCGGAGTAGTCGTTTTTGCTGCTTGAGCTCCTTGAGGTCTTCCTCGTTGGTGCAGCTCTGGATGAGGTTGTCGATGTTGACGAGGGTGCGCTCAGCCGGGATGTCGAAGCGGGCGTTCTTCTTCCGGATGCCACCATCACGACGTGGGGAAAAGGAGCGGGGAGGGGTGTTGGGCCTCATTCGCTTGGGTCCGGGTCGTGCGTCCATCTCCTGCTGGTTGAAGGCCATCCAGTCGGAGTGGGTGTGGGGCGACATGGGTTGCTCTGGGGCAGAGGGGAAGACGGCGCTTGGTCGGACATTCTGGTGCACGGGGAGTCCGTGGAAGGGCATCTGCTGCTGCTCGACAAAGGGTGCAGCTCCAAAGTCACCGGGACCGAAGGGGTTCAGCGGCTTGGGGGCTGTGGGCGTCCTGGAACCAGAGTTGTCGGTTACAGGCCATGACTGCTGGCCGTAGGTAGCAGCTTGGTTGGGTGGTAACCGGGCGAAGGGGTTGTTGCTTTGCTCGGTAAAGAAGGGGTTGTTGCCGTTGGTGTTGACAACAGAGCTGGTGGCAGTGCGGTCGACGAACTGGCCATTTGAAAAGTCCTCCCAGATGGAAGTGTCGGGTGAGAAGATGCCCTGGGTGCTGGTGGTGGGCGACATGAGGACGGGTGTGTCCAGGATGCTAGAGTCGAGAGTGGCGTTGTCGTCAAAGGAAAAGGCGGAAGGTTTCCTGTCGAGAGAGTTCAGTGTCGAATTTGGTCTGTGAAAATCCATGTGATGTGCGTTGTTGGAGTATTGATGGTCCATGGCGGGCCTATGTATCAAAGTACCGGTGTAGGCGCGGGACTGGCGGTGTGGATTGCTCTTTTCGGTAAAGGTGATCGCAGGATGTCCCCAGCGATTGTACTCAACTTCAGCTTTAGATATGTGAAGAACGGGGCAGAAGACGGGCAGCAGAGGCGATGCGCGTCTGAATAGCGAGCGATGTAAAATAGCGGCTCAGTGAGGGTCAGGGTGGTGGACGGTAAAGGTGGGAGAGGGGGCTTAAAGCATGGTGGTAGGCTTCGGGCGGGGTGTGCAGGAAGAAGCAGGCTTGTAGGAGACGACCGGGGTCACGCTTCCGTGGGATGCATCTGGGCACGAAACAGTGCCAGGCCCTGCTGATAGGACGCCCCAATAGCGTCGGGTATTGATGCATCATTCCAGCACTCTTCCCAGCAGCGACTGGCTGGGGTTGTCCTGTCACGCCCGCCATGGGCCCATTCACCCTCCGCACTGATTACCCAGTGTTTGCCCTGGGGCCGTCGCTGCATTGCATGTCGCTGGCTGGTCGGCAGCCGTCTGCCAGAGTGATGCTCTGCCGCCGTTTGTCGCCCGCCCGCTGTCACCCATGTGTATTTCTGGATTCACGGGGCATGCAAATCTGCCATGTCTGTCCTGTCAAGCCAGACACGGCTCTCCGTGTCAAACCAGACATGAGCGCTTGGTACGACAGCTCGGCTGCTGCTCCCGTGCCGCCCCGTGCTTCTGCTGCTGCGCTTCTGCAATGCTGCTGCTCTATCGATACGTAGAGCATGACTGGCTAGTCTGCGCGGGCCGGCCCATATACTGCCATTATTCCACCGGACTGCATCGCGATTCGCCTATACCCTCCTCGGCCGCGCGCCGTGAAAACTCTGCTCGAAAGAGTCAAGATGCAATGCGCGCTTGTCGAAAAATGCCCTCCCACAACTCTGGGAATTGTTGTTTCGGACTGGTAGCGGCGCATATCGCGACCTTCTGGCGTAATCATCATCATGAGTACTGTCTGCTGAGTACGACGCGGCCCGCCTTAGCCCCGGCCTTTGCTCACTACACTACACACCCCGACCATCATCACAACCACCGCCAACCACTCGTAGCCCGGCACTTGCTCGTCACCCGACTCTGATCTCATTTCCCATTTTTGCAGCCCGCCTTCGTTTCCTGAGCAAGGTGAGCCCTCTTGGCCGCCTAGACGGTCTTCATCATGGTGTCATCTGTCCAAGTTCCGGCTCGCTCTGGCGTCCGCGAGTCATCTCACCGCTCCCTGCCCGCACCATGCTTCCCTGTCTATTTTGGCTTTTTGACTACCGTTCCTGTACTTGCGTGCCCGCCCTCGTTATCGTGACCAGTTACCTCGTGCAAGGTACCAAGCGGCCGCCGCTCCGTCTGGCTGGGCTATGGCTCGACTCTGTCGGCGTGCTCATCAAGAGGCAAACACAGCAGCCACAGCCTACCGTCCTGTGCCACCCTCGAGATCCCACTATCCCATCTTACCGAAGGCCTGGAAACTCTCCAGAATTTCCCCGTCCGTCATTGGTCGCTTTTTGGTAATCGCTCTCATGCTTGCTTGTTGCCGCTTTCTTCCATTTCCGCCGAGCAACATCAGACGGTTTGTATCAAGTCTCGTATGACAGCCATAGTAGGCAAAGTATCAAGCTGCCAAATGTCCATCTCCACTGCAATCACCATCTTTGCGCCGTAATACAGCCTCGCTATGGCGGTTTGTGCACCCTGCCCGCGCTGTGCAACGCGTACTGCGGCTACTAAGACATACATCCCTAAGCAAAACTCTACACTTCGCGTCACACCAAGTGAGCGCGCCGTCTTTCGGAAATGGCAACGCGTCACTCTTCCTGTTGACAAGCTAAGCCATCCCGCCGACGCGCAGTACTGCTTCCGGATCGACCGTCGCTGTTGATCCTCTCTACTCCGTGTTATGGCGCGTACTGTGGCACGCGTAACTCGGGGCCAGGGACTGCATACTAGTTCAGATGCAATGCTCCACTTATTGTACTCGGATGCTTCCGACTTCTGTACCCTGAGACGAAGGCTTCATATTGACCGGAAACTATTACCGATGCTGATGCATGAGAATCAAACAGACATGATGAGAAACACGATGGAGCCCAATCTCTAGGGCGCATGGCATAAAGGGCCCTAAATTGACGTCGACTAATTGTGGCTGCCAAAAAGGTGAGGCTGTAGCGGTGAAAGACCCACTCTCCGCATCCGCGCATGGGCCATAACCACTAGAAATCGCCGTCATAGTTATTCTTGTCTGTAGAAAATGTCCACGATCGTTGACGTCTTGGCACCATGCACTGTGTTTTGTTGTTTGAAACCATGAGTCACTCGTCTTTCTCCGCACTCGGCCGTTGCATGGGTGGTAAGGGGAATCAACAAAAGCTCAGAGCGCCGGCCGATGACGGCAAGCGCATGGAAGGCGGTGGAACACCTAGAATTCGAGACCATTGTATCTTCGCTCTGTCGTAGTGGATCTGAAAAACCTGAAACACTTCGCGGGAGCGGTTACACTTCCCGAAGTCCAGTCGGTGGTCCATTATCAAACTAGTCCGTCGGCCGATGTCTAAGAGCAGTCCATCGCAGGTCCTGTCTCGATGTCGATCATCTTGCGGTGAGGAAGAAACATTCTTGAATGTTCTGATCATTGCGGTGAGAGGAGATGCTGCCTTGCTTCGACTTGGATGTGTTTTGGAATTATGGGTAGAGCTGGGTAGAGAAGGTGACGCGATGCCATACTACAGACGGAAGGGTAGCAACATGTCTCCTCTTGTCCGACAAATGCCGAGCGGTCTTCCGTAGTCTCGCGATGATGAGTAGATCACCACTGCGTAAGCCGGGTCGCGTGGTTTTGAGGTATCGGTCCTGTCAAGCGCGCGCGGAGACGGGCAAGGAGCGGTGAGTCTCGAAACTGAGGAAAAGCAGCGAGTGAACATGTAAAGGAGGTTGGAATGAAGTTGAAGGATGACGTTGCACACTCCTAGTTGCGCAACGCACTGTGTATTGGTAGCTCCACGCGCTCGGGAGTACTGGGTATCTCGTTTTGAAGCTATGGACATTCTGTGTTCAACATCGGCGTCCAGGTAGAAAGGGCTAGCACTGACCTTTGTGATTCCATTCAAACTCATGGCCATCGCTCCCCTTGCTTTTATCATATGCTTGCGGCTGTCGCCGTCAAGCAGCATGAGCCATAGCGTGGTATGACAATTCTAGTCTCATATTCCTCCGTTATCGTCTCTAGCCCACAGTTTCACAGTACGATCTTTACCGCCACTGACGATCCAAGACGCGTCGCTCGTCACATCGGTACTGAAGACAGGGCCAGAGTGACCTTGGAGTGTTTTGCAGTGCGCCCAGTCGTCTGCTGAGAAGATCTGAACGTTTTTGTCAAATCCAGAGGAGATGACAAAGGTAGAAGCTTTTTTTGGTATGAGTTCCCCTTGGCTGTTCTCCTGCAGCGGCACTCCGCTGGCTGGTCCATCCGTACCCTTGAACCATCGTAGGTCGGTGACACCCCCAGTGTTGGCCGCAATTGAGTTTGTCTCTCTCATTGCGCGGACGTCCCAGCACTTCATGAAACCATCTCCTGAACCAGAGAGTAGGCGATGACCATCCGTTGCCCAGTCCAGACCGTAGATGGGCTTGATGTGGCTCTCCAACATGTAAATGACACGGCCTGTGCGCACATCCCACACGCGGCCGATACTGTCGAGACCTGCACTTGCAACCAAGGACCCATCGCCGTTGAAGCTCACGGTATAGACTTCCTTGGAATGACCCTCCTGCATGAGGAGCTCTTGTCCGGTGTTGACGTCCCAGAGTCGCCATGTCGTGTCATCGGAAGCTGAGGCCAAGTATCGTCCACAGGGATGGAACGCTACTCTACAGACACGATCGGTGTGGCCTTGGAGAGTGCGAAGGGGCTTGTCGTCGTCTAGTGACCAGAGCTGGATCTTGCCGCCTGCTCCACCAGAAGCGAAATTCACGCCAGAGGTCGAGACGTTGCTGCCCTCAAGTGTCGCACCTGGCATCCAATCTATGCCAGTTGCGCGCTCCGTGTGCCCACCGCGATAAGCTTTCTTCTGTTCCAAAGTAGGAATTTCCAGGAGCGCAACTTTTCCACCCCAGGTACCGTATGCGACATACTTGCCGTTGGGTGAGACGCGCACAATGCTGACTGGGCGATCTGCGGTTTGCGACCCATAGAGCTCAAAGCCCTTGAGCCGGTCCTTGATGGTGTTGCGGAACTCGACGTGGGTTTTCAGCGGGATGGTAGCTTCGCGACGCTGGTATGCGACGCGCTCCTTTGCGCGGGGTAAAGAATATTTGGCCATGTCGCGCCGGGCGTCGAGTAGTGATTGTGTGCCTTGTGTGTAGAACTCTTCTTGCTCGTCACCAGGCGCCTCGTCTGCATCTTGCATATCCACATCTGCCGCATCCTCACCCAATGCTTCGGCTGCTTCTGCAAGCAGAGCTCGAAGGCGGTCGCGTCGCTCCGAAGGCCCTTCGCCGAACAAAGTGATGGGCTCGCCTCGCGAGCGCAGCTTTGCCTTGACGTCGCGGTCGGCGGTCGGTACGATGAGTTGCGCTGCTCGTCGTTTGCGGTCGAAATCCTCCATGAGGGAATGGGCCGACGCGTTTCCTCCACCGGGCATGGCATGGTCGCGGTCAAGGGGCACGCTGGAGAGGTCAATACCCTCCATGGCATCGTCCTACATGCCTGGGTTAGCTCGAATGCGAAGACAAGCTTGCAAGGTAGCTGCGAAGCACGTGAAGCTCCTCGGCCAGTCTCTCGCCGCAAGTCACTGGGTACTTACCGCGCCATTCTCCTCCTCTACATAAGCCTGTCGCGCCGGGTGCATGCTCATCTTGACTGCTTGTCCCGCCGTGGGCACGGTTGCTGATGCTCGTAGCGAAGTATCTCGAAAAGAAGTTCGGGGCCAGACACGGGTTTAGGCGATAGGGCTGAGTTAGCGTCGGTTATGTCATACTCCGCGTTTGAGACGAAGCGTGAATCACCTGCAGTGTTTGGTCTAGACGAACATGCTCGGCAGGTTAGAGACCAGATTTCAGTAAAACAATGCCAGCTCGTTGTTCCTAGTTTGCTGCTGGGGCTTCCTTCTGCTATTTCCATCTTTTGAGGATGCTTCAAATAATTGTAAGTACCACGGCCTCCAAAAACTAGCCGATCGGCAATGACGACGGCCAATGTGATTTAGTCCCTTTTCATTTCAACATATCTTGCCGCAGAGGTACGGCACCGCCAGCATGCGCTGCTCTCACGCCAACACTCCAACGTGCTGACCTTGAATTTCCAGGCTCTGGCTGTGGCCATGTCATTTGCCATTACCAGCGCGGCGGGCCTTGCGCGACTTTCACCTGCGTCGCGACGCGCCTCATCCAGTGGATTTTTGCTGCTTGCTCTCTCCGCCTCGCCATTGGCAGCATCTGCCTCGTCTAGTCGAACATCAGGCCTTCATCCGCAGCGTATGCCTTCCAACTTCGCACAACCGACCTGCCCGCTGAACAGAGACACTTCCCCGGCCACAGTCGGCTTACGATCCTTTCATTCCACCTCACACAACTGGCGGAGTACACCACAGTATACCTACCACGTCGCGGCATCCTACTCAGCCAAGCAGGATCGCTTCAATGCGGAGCAAAATCTCTTCACACAACCAGTGCATGACCCCAGCATCAGCAATGAGGATCTGCGCGACTGCAAAGAGTCCATTGACAAGCGGAAACGAGCGAGAAGTGGCCAGGATGCTTTCTTTTTCAGCCAAGTGGGAAACACAAACACCACAACATTTGGTGTAGCGGATGGAGTTGGAGGATGGGTCGAGTCTGGACTGGACCCAGCTGACTTCTCCCATGGCTTGTGCGAGTACATGGCTTGCGCAGCGCGCTCATGGCCACACGGTTTCAACACGACAGCATTACACCCGAAAGACTTGCTCCAGGTTGCGTACGACGAGGTCACAGATGATGACAGCATTGAGGGTGGTGGTAGCACGGCATGTCTGGCTGTTGCAGAACCGGATGGCAACGTCGAGGTCGCCAACCTAGGAGATTCAGGATTCATGCACCTGGGATTGAACGCAGTACGACATTTTACGCAGCCACAGACGCACGCATTCAATACCCCATATCAGCTCTCCAAAACTCCCCAACGTATGCTAGTGCAAATGGCTGTATTTGGAGGCCCATCCACGCTTTCGGACCTACCTAAGGAGTCGAGTATAACGCACCACAAAGTACGCCATGGCGATGTTCTCGTCTTCGCAACTGATGGTGTGTGGGACAACCTGAGCCCTCAAGATGCGCTCGGTATCGTTAGTCGTCACATGGTCGATCTGGGTGCTTGGGTAGAGAAAGATGGCACCATTGAAGTCGGACAAGACCTAGCGAAGCTAGTACAGGCCGACTCAGCTCGGAAAGCCGACAGCTCATCCCTCCAAGCCAAAGTGGCGGTTGCAATCGCGAAAGAGGCCAAAGTGACAGGGCTGAACACTCGTCGAGATGGACCATTCGCTAAAGAGGTGCAAAGGTACTATCCAGGGGAGAACTGGCATGGCGGCAAGCCGGATGACATTGCTGCTGTGGTAGCTGTTGTACTAGAGGATGCACCTCAGCGAGCAAAATTGTGATTGAATGCATTAGACCTCTGTTGTTTGGCTGCATGGGTAGGCGATGGCGTTTCGGAGAAGACTCACGCTTGGGATCGGAGGCGTATCTGCGCATAGAACTATGATTTGGTAATCCTGTTGGCCATTTGCATGCTTGGTGGAGGTTATGAATCTGGAAAAGTAGACAGAAACGCTAGAAAACAATTTATATGAATACGACGGTTGCATACTGTCTCCCGTGTACATTTAAAGATGAGAGCACACCACGAGTACAGTCAGACTAGCATGTTCAGCCGTTGTATTAGGGTTGAGCGAAACTCATCATTGCAATGAGAGCGGATGAGTCTAAGTAGTCTTTAGCAACGTGTTTATCAGGTTGTGATAGAGTCTTTGCAACAGTGAAAACACTGGAACGCAGGATACATTGAACCCTAGACTATACTGCAACGTCAAAGCTCAGACAAGCAACACAGATCACACGCTCAAGCTAGTGATGGTTTGGCGGACAAGGCTTTTTGACGTCAAGGTGTAGCTCGGCTGTTTGTTTGTCGCCGTTACCTCAGCAACGCGACCCACGCGAGTCTCAGAATCGCGCGCTACCTAAGTATCGATGAACGCCAACTTCACCCCATCCTTACCACGAAACAGAACGCCTGCCTTCCGGATGTATGCGCAACTAACCCACAGCCAACAATCGCTATCCACGTAACCCGGCGAGAACATATATAGGAACGCGCCTCCACAATCTCGACGCGACATTGGAATGGCTACCGTTTCGCCCACGCCCTCATATGGGGGTCGCATGCGTGCGCACTCCTCGATACGACCCAGGAGAGACTCTCCACTGTCGGTGTTGGGGCAATCACAGGGCTTCTCAGCAGATGCGCCCATGATGCAGAACATCAACATTGGCGACAGCTCCGACGACGAGATACCGCAACCTATGAAGCTTAGCGCTTTGACAACTGCACTACTTGCGCAAGGGAGTGACGTTGACTCGCCTGAGAAAAGGAAACCAAAGCTGAAGATCTCGCGCAATGCATCTCCTGGCTCCAACACACCAGTGCAAGACACCGTCACACCTGCACCAAGTTTGCGAATAAAGAGAGTACCATTACGGGGTGCGCCCGTGAGGAGATTTCGGAGGACACCTCAGAGCGAAGAAGAGCACCATCCCTCTCAAGACCAAGAAAATATGCCCATCTCAGCAGTCAAGGCGCAGCCTGAGAACGTGCCCGATTCCGTCCTGAAGGTTACCGGCTCTGTCATGAAGGTGGCAGAGGATCGCCACATGCAACCACCTCCAGAGCACCAATCACCCATACAACGATCATCACAGCAGCAAGAGAAACAAAGGCCACTCCAGGCGCTCGACGCGAACACGCCGCGAAGACCAGCACCTCCACCTCCCCCGAAGATGTCAGTGCTGGAGACGGCGACCACGGCGGCCGGAGCGGCGACAACGAAGACGAGGGAGAGAAAGAAGAGGAGCACATTATCCGTCAATGGGAAGCATTATTCCCAAATGGACAGGATCGGACGAGGAGGCAGTTCGGCTGTTTACCGTGTCATGGCAGAGAATTTCAAGCTGTTGGCACTGAAGAGAGTCAAGCTTGAAGATGCAGACGAGGCCACCGTGCGAGGCTTCAAGGGCGAGATCGACCTGCTCCAGAAGCTCAAGAACGTTGATCGCGTTGTGAGACTATACGATTGGGAGGTGGACGAGCAACGGCAGGTGCTCAGTGTGGTATGTACACTCCGAGAGAAGGCAAAGCACAACACTAACACGTACCAGCTCATGGAACTCGGAGAATCGGATCTCGCACGCATAATACGGATGAAACTCGACCCGGCCGATGGCGATGGCAAACTAGACCTGAGCTTTACACGTTACTACTGGAAGGAAATGCTCGAATGCGTCGGAGCAGTTCACGATCACGACATTGTCCACTCAGATCTCAAACCCGCAAACTTCCTCCTTACCTCGGGCCGCTTAAAGCTCATCGATTTCGGCATTGCAAACGCCATCGAAGTTGACCACACCGTAAACGTGCACCGGGATTCACACATTGGCACTCCAAACTACATGTCACCAGAATCGCTCGAAGATTCCGCTGGTGGCGCCCGAGGTCTCTTGTCTAACGGGAACGGCTCCAAAGACATGGCTTTAGGGAAACCTTCTGACGTTTGGAGTCTTGGCTGTATCCTCTATCAAATGGTCTACGGCCGTCCTCCTTTCGCACACATTACAAACCAGATGGCGCGTGTCCTCGCCATCGTCAATCGCGACTACAAGATCGAAATCCCCGATCTCGGTGTTGGTGATGTTCGTGTCCCTCCTGGTCTCAAAGCGACACTTCGTCGCTGCTTGCAACGCGACGCCTCGCGCCGACCAAACGTCGCTCAACTTTTGGACGAAAGAGATCCTTTCCTGTACCCTGATGGCGGTGATGACCTCAGGATACCGCAGGAATTGCTCGGTCAGATCATTCAAAGAGTCGCGGATCGGTTTAGAGATCCGAATAAAAGCCCCCCTACTGATGATGAGATTCGTCAGTATCCAGCAAGTTTCTACGAGAAGATCAGACAGTTACTTGAAAGTGACTGATCTTTTCTTTGTTGTTTAACTATGTGGTTATTCTTGATGCTCCGTTTTGAGTATCAGCATTTTCTGTTCTCGGGCAGCAACGCTTTGTTCTCGTTCTGTTTTTTTCACTATCACGATAACTTGGCGCTGGGTTTCCATCTCGAAAGGTTTCTTCGTTGTTGCATCTGCCTGCTTTTGGCTACCTTCTTATTACCCCCTCTTTTTGCGCGTTCAAGCGTCGCATTCTCCCAAAAGGCGTCCCATTTGTTAGCATAGGCGCTTTGTATTTTGGCTCTGGCACGAACCTGTAAATGGCTTTTACGAATGGCGGTCTAACTCTAGTCGCACACGGTTTCCTTGTTTTGTATATACCCGTTTTGGAGATGCTGAGAAATCAACTCCTTTAATCGTTCATCTGAACACTTGATGATGTCGATGTGGTTGTGATCTCTAACAGTTTACGAAAGACGCTGACTGATCAACTATGATTCTGCATGATGCACTTTTGACGCTGCAAGACTTTTGCATGGACGTGACAGTAATAATCTGGTCCCCACATTTTAAAAGGCTCATTCAGAAATGCTACTTACACGTCCTTGCGAGTGGTTGTATATAGCTAGGTAAAGTGCCTTGGTTTGAACACATGCTTGTAGAAACAGTAGTTGAAATAGAGAATAATCGATAGAGAACCATAACCGCTGCATTGCTAGTCCCCAGAACGCCACATGAATGCTCTACATCCCGTAATAACGCCATCGCAATGCTACCGTCTCTGTTGAAACATACTACCCAAACGTCGTGACCCAAGAAGACCGAAGTCTAGGAGGAGGTCCGTTTATTCATCCGCCTCCTCATTTCCGAGCTGCTTACGCTTGATTGCAAGATCGGCCTTCTGCTTATCAATCTGGGTTTGCACACGCTTCTTGAAGAGGACGTTAGTCTGCCTGTCGCGCGCTTCTGTGCTCTGAACAATGGCCCTCTCCAACTCTGCAATCTCACCCCGGAGTTGCTCTTGACGTTGCTCTTCAGCCGCCGCGGCTTCATCGACCTCATCGACGTCTTCATCAGAATCTGCATCGTCGTCGTCATCATCATCGTCTGCAGATGTCGCTGCTGCTGGGGTAGAAGCCGCAGTCTCAGTTTCGACGACGTTGCCGTTCTGGCCCAGAGCGTGCATAGCGACATCGTGAGCGGTCGTAGGAGTGTCGACCTGTTCAACTTGCACATTGTTGTTACCAGCGAGCAAGGCGTTGAGCTGATCGTTATCGCCCTGAAACTCAACCTCGTCATCCATGAGTCCTTCAGCAAGCATCTGCTCCAGTTGGTCGGCATCCATTTCCTCCACTTGGGTAGCATTTGCCATCTCCTCATCTTCATCAACCTCCTCTTCGGAACTTGACTCCTCTGAGCTTTCTGCCTCGCTATCTACCATCTCGTACTTTGTTGACACCGCAGTCGCATCATTCTCTATTAGTCGATTCAACTGCGCTTCGGCGCGCTCAACGTCAATGTATGATTTGCGAGGGCGGAAACGCCGTTTGCGAGCCCACTTCATGGGTGGTGTCAGACCATGAGGAAACCGATGGGTGTCTGGAGAGATATAGGAGGGAAGCGGGAACTTCCTAGCTTCGTCCTCGTTCTTAACCTCGTCCAAAACTAGTAACATCTGGCATACGTCTGCGGTCTTGACCCAGTCCTTCTTGTTCCAACTCTTCAGCGACTCTATGACTGCGGGGAGCTCGACCATGGTCGCAGCATACATGCGGTTCTGTATAGTGAGCATGGCTCGACGGCCCTCGCGGTCGAAGAATCGGAAGTGTACGCCGGGCCCTCCCTGCGATACGCTCTTGCCGATAGTCTTCTCCTCGATGGACTTGCGCAGTAGATCGCAGTCTGGGCCGGGCTTCATGCGCAGCACAAACTGCGATTCGATCGCTGGGTCGGGTTCCGCCTCCTCTGCTTCACTGTCGTAGCCGACGCCGTATGGTCTGACTGGCGGCTTTCCTGCACCTTTGACCTTGAGGATAGCAGTACTGGGTCTCGCCGAGCCTATGGCTCCCTTCGGTTTGATGGAGAGTTTGATAGACTGAGTGCGATTGTGCGACTTGATGGGCTGTGGTGGAGGTTGTTCGACTGCGATGTAGTCGTCCTCGTCGTCGGTATCGTTAGCCATGGCGAGGCTCTTCGCGGTAGGCTTCGGTTTGCGCTTGGCGGCGGGTGAGTCAAAATCATCGCCACCGTCTTCGCGTGCTCTCTTCTTGGGTCCAGGCTTTCCCGGAGGAATGACATTACCGCTTTCGTCGAGTTTGGGCTTCTTGGTGTATTTGCGCTTCACTTTGGCCTCGCCATTCTGGCTATCCGCAGGCTCACCGGCCGCGGGGGCTGCGGGTTTGAACTTGATCTTAAGGCCTCCTGGTTTTGCGGAAACGGGTGTAGGCGCGTCGGACGGGGGAGGTTCTGAGGGCGGCGCATCGCTGGGAGCGGCGTTTGGGTTCTTGAGTTTGAGCTTCATCTTGGACAACGGCACGTAGGGATCCGTTGTTCACGACGGCGATGTTTGAGTATGCGCGTGCGAGCGCGACATTTGCGAGAATGCGCGCGGTGGTGTGGAAGCTGGTGTAGGTGAGTCGGAGTCGTTCACATTCCGTGGGTGCTCGGTCTTGGCAGCCGCCATGGTGAAGGGCCAGAGCTTTCCCATCGCGTCCCTTCACCTTGCCTACACTCGACTGCGCCGAAACAATACCACAATGCGCCTGCTGTTTCCACCGTAACAGCACGACACCGACCGGACCTCTGCATCTCACCTCACTCACGTAAATGCAAGCATGTCCCAGAACGACCTCTTTCTCAATTTGCTGCGGCCCGCCGTCCTCCATATTCTACGCGCGACGGGCTTCCAGCATGGCAAGCCGTCGGCTGTCGACACCATCGTAGACCTCACAGCCAGATACCTATCACTACTGGCAGAACGCACAGCCTACAATGCCTTTTCAAATCACAACGACCTCACACCAGACGTTAGTGATGTGCGCATGGCAATGCAGGACTGCGCCCTCTTCGTGCCGACCATGACAGCAGGGGAAGAGCTATGGAAAGAGATACTGCGCAAACCCCTCGATGAGTACAACGAAGAGACGGGTGCCCGCGAGAACGAGGCAGCTCGGCGCGACGCCGAGGATACAGCAGACGTGACCGAATTCATCGAATGGGTCAAGGGCGATCAGAACAAAGAGATTAGGCGCATAGCAGGCATCTACAAGCCCGTAGCGACGAACCCAACGGAGCAGCTGGATCAGGAAGAAATGGAGGACTATTTGAATAGTATGTCTGAATACCGTGTATCACGACTGCAAGTCCACTAACAGCTTTTCTCAGCCCTCATGAAGAAACACAGCAAGACCGGCGTCGAATCACGCTTTCAAGGCACTGTTCTTGGAGTTCCAGCCGAGCCTAAGACCATCAAAATCGAAGGGGGAGGCGCGGAATCGATAGAGGAATGGAATCGCAGAACCCGGGAGAGAGCCGCCAAAGCAGCAGAGTCGAAGCGGGAGAGCCGCGAGACGACAAATCACGTCGAGACCAGAGAGCCCTCGGAAGACGTGGTTATGGAAACGGAGTAATACCTGGGTATCCATCATACAAGCATAGCGAAGGCGTTTGGGTACGAATCATTTTTACGGCGTTATGAAATACCAGGGCTGTTGGGCAGCGGGCTTTGTAGCTCACAGGGTGTTTCGCGTCATTTCGCAATTTGAGCTCGCGTGCTCAGGTACTACACGGCCACGGCCCATACTTAAAGCGCATCTGTCTCCAACATATATCACATCACATCCAAAACTCTGGTACCAGCATTCTGTCGCTTCCTGCGAACCATAAGCAAGTGAGTCTGGGATGGCTGAGTGAAGTGTATGGGCCTTATTACACTGGTATTTCCGGCAAGCAGGCTTTGGGACCGATCACGCACTTAGTCCTCCCGCACTGATACCGATTACTACAATCAAAGACTAAAACGCGGCCCAGACGTTTGTTTTCCGCGTTCTCACATGACGGGAGCGCGCGCGGGTGGGGCAAGAATGAATGACGGGCCCACCCCGCAGACGTCATAGTAATGGCAGATAGCCAAAACAATGTCCTCCAAGCTTCAGCTTGAATTCCTGTATACAAATCCAATTGCACCCAGTCTCCAATCTTACACTCTGCCTGATTCCATTGCAGATTGATATTTCACTTACACATCCACCACAACCACATATACCAATCCCAACATGTCAGGTCTCGATCCTAAAGGCCCCTCGCAGCCTTCCCTAGACCAAGCCTACACCACACCTGGCAACCCAGCGCAAAAAGACCCAAAAGAGCAAGTCCAAACAGAATTTAACGCCGCCGACAACTCAGCCAGTGTTGACCAACGCATCCCCACCAAACAAGCTACCGATGCCGAAGGACTACGGAACGCAAAGTTCGAGGAAGGCATGGGTGTACACGGCGCACCAGCGGGCGAAGAGAGAAAAGGTCTGGGTCATGAAGATGTAGGAAGGCATAAGGAGCTAGACGGACAACAAATGGCTGCACCAGGTGAGGGACGCGTTGCGGATGCAGTAGCTAAGGGAGGAAAGGGTATGGGTGGTGGTGGAGAACAGCCTGATTTGGCGAGTGACTTGGACAGGTAGACACTCCTGCTCTGGACTGAGTTACATTGGAAAATCATACTAACGATTGAACAGGAAGAAGGCCGAGCAGGCTGAAGCAAGAGAGGCTATCAAACAGTCAAAGGGTGAGGCGACACAAGTTGGCGGCGCATTGGGTCAGACTGGTGGACCCGCAAACCCCGTCGACAACTCGAGTCAGGGCGGTGGTAACTACCCTAACTCTAGCTACTAGGCCTTTCTTGTCAAAGGTCGGGCACAGGCTATATCTCGACATATGTGGGCCATCGGATGATTGTCAAAGCATAAAATTAACGACTCAACAAACGGCTGGTCTTGATATAGACAGCGAAAGCGACAACAGCAAGAGCATCCGATGCAGACCTATGTTGTTTTGTCAACAATGCACACGTGCACTTATCAATCTAGCCGTGTTCCCACTTTACAGATTCTTTCTTGATCAGATTCATCATCACATGTGTACATCTACTTTCCGAACATAGACCCTCTTCCAACTTACGCAAAACAGCTCTGTGGAGTCTACATGCGTGATTCATTGAGTGTATACATCTAATATTGAATTGCGTCCATGCACTCAGAGGACCCCAGCATGTCTCGTAATGGGCATATTGCGCCTGCGGGGCGATGTCCGGGTGAAGTAGATATCAGATATGACATGTCTTAGTACGGAACGTCTAGTAAGACGGGGTATCTATTGTGCCATGTTGTGGGTATGCATATGATAATAGTCAAAGGAAAGAAAGGGGATGCTTGAAGTATTGACTAGCGCAGCAACGCAAAACGATCGTGATGTCACCCAATGTGCACAAGTATCACGCGGTTGGTGAATATGCAAAGATATGCGAGGATGGGAGCAGGCATTTGTTATATGATGCATTGTCGATGGCAGAGGCGTCAAGGGTCTTGTCAAACATCACAGTCAATCATGCGTGTAGATTTTAGTTATTCTATATTTTACTTTCTTTGAAGCCCGGTGGCCGATGCCACACACAGGCATTAATGGTATGATAACGACATCGATGCATGATGCAAACGTCTATTACCCTAGCAGCACGGCTTCGCGGAGTGCTCCCTCTTTCTCTATCAGCTAAATAAAGCAATGCTGCAAGCGACTTTGATCATTTACGACGCGAGCGTGAGAAAAAAAGTACGAGAACGCCACGATGCGGACCTACCACAGCCGCTCCAGAGGAAGACGAACTGGTGGTCTCAGGCATCAACTCCAAAGACAAAAAGCAAAGCCCAGGCCCAACGTTATATACATCAGCGGCTCGACGAGCCAAGGAGAAAGAGGATGACAAGGAGGCAGAAGAAGAAGTGCCTACATGGGAGGACCCATGTACGCGTCGAACTGGAAGTTACTCATGTCGGTCGAGACAGGGAGATTGGGGTCGAAGAAGGCAGTGTTGTCGAAGACCATAGGCTCACTCGCATGCATACTCATACCATAGTCCATGTTAAACTGGGTTGAGTCTACAGGGACTTGGTTGATCATCTGTACTGGCATGGGCATGGGGACCTGCATAGGCAGAGGTTGCTGTGACGCGGGGTAGGCGGCAGCCGCGGCGGGGACAGCAGTGTTGTCAATCTCATAAGAGGGAGCGTCGAAGGAGTTGTCGATCTGCTCGGCTGCATCATTGTCGGATTGGCTCTCTGGAGATTGCGGGGTGGGCTTGTTGTCGACTTCCACCTCTTTGATCCAGTTTTGCTTAAGATACTCCATAGGAGGGTGGTCTCCGCCACCAATGCCACCACGCTTCTCATCGTTCTTGCCCTTCCTGCCCCTCTTGCGAGGATGGAAGTGCGCACGTCGAAGGTGAGCGGCAGCATTGTAGTACGCGCCGTACACCTTCTTGTTACGGCAGTGCTTACAGTTGGCAAGGAACTTCTTGTCGGCTGAAGAGTCGACGCAGATGTAGCCCTTCCTGCGCGAGGCATGGGCACGAGCAATGTGACGGTCAAGCTCATGAGTGCCACGGAACCCATCGGGTCGCTCGTTGCAGAAATTACACTTGATCTTTGGATGTTGAGGGCGCACATACGGTGTCTTTGACAGAACACCGACAGTCTTAGAGGAACCATCCTCAGACCTTATCCTTGTCATCTGAGCATTGGATGACGCAGACTCGGTCTTATCATTGTTGTCGATCGCCTTCGGAGCAATCTTGCGAGACGCAGCTTGCGCAACGATCTCGCGTTCGCGTTGCGACTGACGAGAGCTATTCAATGAAGATGCAGAGATCTCGCTCGAATAACCCTCGCTTGATGAAGCTGAAGTCGACCTCCGCATATCCTCCGCCAGGCACGACTGATCGTTGTCGGAAGAGGCAAGTGTAGCACTTGCAGGAATAGATGAAGAAAGGAAAGCTTCACTGGAGGAGCCAGTGAAGTTGAGAAAATGAGAACCATCAGCGGACTCGCTGATGGGCTTTGATGCGACGTTAAAGGAAAAAGGAAAAGACCCATCCTCTGGGAGGATGGGCATACATGAAGAACTTGACTGGTTGCGCGACATGGAAATGTTATCAAAAAACAAAGGGTTGTAACTACCCTGACGACTCATGTTACTAGATTGAGTAACAGGAGTCATCAGAGCTGTTGACGGCGTGCTGGGTGAAGAGACATCCGAAGACGAACTCCACTGCAGGTTTGGTGTCAGTTGCAACTGTTGTGAATGCTGGGGGGTGGGGAGGGATGAGTTGTCTGGCTGGATGCAGCTGTTGACGTAGTCGCCAACGCTGTACTCAGCGATGCTGTTGTAAGCAGTCTCTGGCACCGACTGGAGAGTCGGCTGTCTTCGCATTGAAGAGTCAGAGTAGAGTGTGTAGTCGGTATTTTGCTCTTGGGGCATTGACTGCCAGTCAGAGTATGTGGTGTTTGAGCGCTGGAGACCGTTGGCCATGGCCGAGTCTGAGCGGTTCATGACGGGAGCCGAGCGGGTACGGTCCATGGACTCGAAGCCGGTAGTCTGGTGGGTGTTAGATGAGGGACGAGTAGACCAAAGGTAGTCCATACTGGGAGCTGAGTCGTGTCTGACGCGTTGAAGGCCATTGAGCGTGGTACCTCGTGGGCCATGGAAGGTTGTGAGGTTTGGCAGGCGGCCTGGAACCAGGCGCGGTTCAGCTCCTCGTGCGAGAGATGTGCGTTGCTCAGGCAGAAGTTGCGCTTGGCCTGTTCGAGGAAGTCGACGTAGGTATTACTACTACTACTGCTACTGCTATTCGAAAGAGTCGAGGCCATGACGTCTGAGGGGTAGTGGGATGGCGCGGCAGGAGAAAAAAAAATAGTGGTAGCGGTTGGTAGCGGTGTAAGAAGCAAGCTGCACGAGGGACGGTGATCAGCAACAACGGCCAAAGCAAGGGATCGTCTGTGCAGGAAGATCTTACGGTGGTGATGGGCGGTGATTATCAAGAAGGAGGCAGATTGGGGTCTCTGAGGATAGCGAGGCGATGAATAAGTGAGGGTGCGGGTTGAGAAGGGGAGCATGTGCTTTTAGCACCACCTCAGAGCATGGGGGGACGAGCGATGCGCTGGCTCGTGTCGGAGAGCGTCTGACGACTGCGGCCCGCGCTGAGCGGTGGACAGAGGGCCAAGCTGGGCTCAGAAGGGCCATCCTCGTTGGCGATCGCTGGCCATGGTCTGATGTGTTATTGGGCCAAAGGGGGCGGCCGCAATTTTCATTCGCTGCCTCACTTCTGACGCACGGAAACCAATGAGCCGACCCTGGCTGCTCGATCCTGGGGTCTACCCAGTGCCACCCTATCGTGAACCCACACTCGGTGAAGGACCACCAGGTTTCATGCGTGCTTTCGCATTTGGCAACCTGTGCTGTCAGTGGCAGCGGCGTCGCCCACACATCTTTTCTCTGGCGTCGCGCCAATCACCCTGTTAATCCCAATCCGTCGGCCGCACGGCTGAATCGCCAGCCATCAGTCGTCATCGCTCATGGGCACGCGAATCGCGGAAACGGCGGATCGCCGTCAGTTTTCTCGACTCCGTTAGACATGTCAGCAATTCAAGAGTCCAGGCTCAATGATCGTCTCCCATGCTGGCAACCGCCAGCCCATGTGTCGTGAACTACCCGTTGGGGTTGGTATCCTCATCGTGATTCACACCTTGGCAGACCATCACCCCCAGGTACCCAGGTACCCCAGCCTGAATCGCGTTACGCGGCTCATTTCCCCCAAGGTTTGATTGATTCAATCTATGCTGTTGCTAACTTGGTCACCAACTTTCCATCTGTTGTCCCCAAGTCGCAGGGGACTTGAGGAAGGCTGCGCCAGGAAGACCTGGTGACAGCAGTCCTCTCAGCCTGCTGCGCTTACGTTTCTCTGGTGGATGCATCGAAACCGTAGATGACGCGGACGAGAACTTGGACTTCAGGCCCTCTTCCTGGGGAGGACTCTGTGCGACACCATGGCACATTGGCCCTATCTCCTCCACGCTACAAACGCTTGCCTTGCGCGTGGCCATGTCCTGCATCCCTTCATCCATGTCGTCGCTCATGGTAAGACTTTCTCGTAACCAGTACTGGTCAAAGGTGACCTCAGTAACCTTCCCAACCACACCGAATTCCTCGAAAAACATAACTATGCCATCCAGCCCAACGGTATCCGATATTCGCCTTCCTGATGAGTCTAGCTTGGGTTCAAACGTAAATGGATCAAGCGTTGCGACAGAGTCTCTACGGAGCTTAGCTGGATGCGCCGCCAGCATGATCGCCCCGGGTAGATAAACTCTCCGCCTTTCAGCCGCGTCAACGTCTCCATTGTTGTGCTTGCGCTTTAGCGTACGGCGGCCTTCTACGTTTGCCCGTGCGGACGAGGGCGAGTGGGTTTTTTGATGAATAATGTTTTTCACCGACTTGACTGATTTCCGACCCCACGAGCGAGATGAGTGTGGACTACCTAAAGTTTCACTTGTCACAAGCTGGTTTGGTATCGCGTAACATGCTCGTGGTGTTGACAGCATCGAGCTTGGTGAGGTAGGTAATCTCTTTGACTCAAAGTCTGCCAGAGCTGTGTTTAACGTTCTAAGCTGCTTCTGTCTCAAGGTTTCCTGTACTCGTGCTTTGTTGGAGAAAGGTCCGGGATCATGCCTCATTTCAGACAAGATGGTGGCCTCATCACCCTCGCATGGTGGTTTGGGTAGTGCCTTGCGCGGTCCCAATCGCTCGTTGCTAGAGGCTTCTCTGATATCCAAACAGTTCGCGAACCTATCACACGGCCTCGGTTTCCCTCTCCTGATCGTTTTCGTATAGGCCAGCCTTGCACTGATCGCTCGTCGCGGTTCTAGTGCTGGCGCAATCAATGCTTCGAAGACGCCCGGAGGTGCTGTTTGTGACTTCTTCCGCAATCGAGGCTGATCTGTGACATTGACATTGTTGCTGAAGCTTCTCCTCCACAGTCTAAGGTTATCTTTGAGAGGCGGTGACGCCATTCTAATCATTGGTGTTTCTAGTGACTCTAGTTGCCCGTGCGAAGGTAGTGATCTCGGAGGTGTTCGTAGTTGCAGTGTAGTATCGTTGTCATCCGCTTCGTCTTCGGAATTCGAGGCAGAGGAAAACATCATAGTCCAAAGACCATCAAGCATGCTCGTACTGATCTCGCTTGTAGGTCGGCCTGCAAAATTTGCAGACGGCAGCATTTCGACGGGCATGTCATAGTAATCCTCTGCAGCGTGTTCCATGGTCTAACAAATATAACGGAGAAGTGCAGTGGTGAGTACTCGAATGCACATATGGAGTATGGTTATTGCAGAGCTGCTCAAAGTCTCTCTTTGTTTACCCATGGCTACACTGGTGCTGTTGTTGCACAGACGAGCACGCAAATGCATTCCTATATTTGAGCAGACAAAGGAAGCCTTGGAGATATCCGACAGAGGCGAAGCACGAATAGCTACCTAAACAGGAACTACTCTGGCCGCCAACTTCAAGCCATTAATCCCGGATTTGATGAGGATTGCTTACATTGGGTGTGGGTTCGCGGCGTACGACCGTCTTGTATCACCCCTTGCATATGCGCAGTCGCTGAGCCTCACCGGCCCGACCAAACTAAGCTTCGTTACTCAAAGCATCTCTAGTTTGTCCATTATCTATTTGCAGATGCCCTGCGTACATACGCGCTTATTCTATTCGGATACTCAGCGGTGTGCTGCACGTATCGTGGACATGGTCAAAGATCATGGTGCGTTGCTCGGGAGTGACATTTTGCAGCTCTTTGGGTACTACGCCTTGTCAATGCGTCTATCTCAGATCTTGCTTAGAGGTTGACATGTAGTTTCGATCAGGATGACCCTCTCCAGACCCTGTTCTGATTCGTAAAATATTTCCTGAGAAATTTGTCCTCATCCAAATCAGAATCTCGAGATATCCGGATTGTGTACCAAGGAAACACACCATGGCAGTTTTGAACACGTATACGCTTTATTGAACGAATTATTCGTTCAACGATACGAAGATCGAGTATTGAAAACATGTATTTATACAGCTCGTTCCGCTCATTTATGTATTACTGCCAATCTTTGGCACCAGATATGCTTACTATCAAGATTTAACTTCTCCAACCCCAAAGTTGCCATACCCAACTTACAAGTTAGGAGTCTCTTCCCTCTCACCGATGACGTTCAAGAAAGCAGTGTGCACATGTTCAGTCAAGTCGCTGGCTTGCAGCGACCTGCCCTTCTCCTTGAATGCAAGCTTCGAGCACTCCCTGGTAATGCATGATCCACCATATGCTGCAAGAGCAAGTGTCTCACTCCTCGACATCTCGGTTCCGACATCCCAGATCTTGTCATGGTATGCTTTCCTGTATGCCAACAAGGTCGCCAAACTGCCGGTAAGAGTATCACCTTGGCCACCAGAGCGCTTTAGACCACCCTCGCCCTCGGATACGAGTGTGTGCGAGCCGTTGGATATGTAGTCCTTGGAGCCCTTTTGGATAATGGTGACGCCGCCAAAAGCCTTTGACAATTTGGCGCAGAGCTCTGAAGGATCGCCTTCATTGACATCTACACCCTTAGCCTTGGCTAGCCTTCCGAACTCAACAACATTGGGTGTGAGTATACACTCGGTGCAGCCATCCACAAGCTCCGGTCTTGTCTGCGCAAGGTAGAGACCGTCTGCGTCCAGCACGAACGGAATGCCCTGTTTCCTTGCCTCCTGGATAACCTGTGCGCAGGTGTTTTGCATGAGCTCATCACGACCAAGGCCGGGACCAATGACGATAACATGTAGGCGTGATAGCATGCTAACGACTTCTGAGGTGATGCTCTCTGCGCTTTCGGTCTTGGCGAGGTTCTTCGATTGACGCATGTATGGATGCACCATGAGGTTGGGAGAGTAAGTCTTGATCACCGCACCGGCACCGGGTTCGCAGATTACGTGAGACTGTAGGAGGTTGAGCAAGTTGTTTGTTGTAAAGATATATGTGTATTCTTACCATGTCACAACCTAGCTTCGCGGATGCCATAGCAGAGAAGTAGGGCGCACCAGTGTAGTCTTCACTACCGCCGATAACAGCCACGCGACCCAATTGACCTGTACAAGCAAGTTAGACTCTTTTTCGTTGACTATTGTCACATGTCCGTACCCTTGTGGAAGCTTTCAAGCATGGGCGGTACCATGTTGTAGACCTTCTTGAGGAGGTCTTTCCTAGTTGCGCTCGCCATCTCGATACTGTTTGAGGGACTGGTTGCTATATTGAGCGTGGTTTTGTCAAGTGTTTACAATTCGTGAGTGTTGTTGAATGCTGTGATGAGCTTTCCGGGTCTTTGGTTTTGTTATGGAGCTCAACGCGACGAGTACGTCATAATGATAGCGGGGCCATGATGGGGCTGCTCCACGCGATGCGCGCCACAGGATGCGATGATGTAGGAGAAAGCATGTAATAAAGTCAACGCTAAGTACGACAGCGAGGTGATGGTAAGGTATTTTCAATTGTTTTCCATTGCTAAAACAGTCTTTTACTCCGCCGCACCTACATCCATTTTCGAGAACCCATGAAAGAAGGCGCATTTCCCAAATGTAAGCCCGTGTCTCCTTGTCAGACCCCACTAATCATGCTATTCCAGCATTATATATACACATACGGCAAAATCGCTCAAAACATGGAAGCTGGTGCGCGCCGGTCGACGCACTTCGCTCAGGCCTGCCCAGACAATCCAGCGAAACCCGTTACGCTTCAGTATCGCAATCAAGCCATTATAGAACAAACGGCTGCTACAAAACCAGATAATGAAGGTAACTCCCGGCTCATTGCTCAAACGCATTGCATCTAGGCGGAAGCAGTCTCTGTAGTTGCAGCAGCTGCCTCAGGCTCAGCAGCCTTCTCAGCACCATCTCCACTTTTCTCGGCCTCCGCTTGCGCTGCGGGTGCGTCCTTAATGACCTCCTTGTCCGCTTCTGACATATGTACGTCGCCGTCCTCTTCGGCAGTCTTCGTGGCAGCAGCTTCGGTGGTAGTGTCGTCGATCTTCAGTCCCTCTGTGGCCTTCTCGACAGAGGGCGCCTCCTCCTTGGCAGACTCTGACTTCTCCCGCTCTTCGCCCTTGACGCCATTGGTAGCAGTTGGCTCAGACTCGGAAGCGAGAGCGCCACTCCACTTGTTGAGTAGATCTGCCGAGCGCTTCTTGAAGTTTAACTCTCCCTCCATGGGGATAGTTTCGAGCTTCATGATCGCCCTCAGGACCTTATGAACCTTGGTCTTCTTGATTACTTCAGCCTCCAGATCCTCATGGGCTTCTAACTGTGTTAGGTATTCAGACATGCTCGCCATATCTTCGTCCTTGGGTGCTTGGTCGCGCGAGAGGAAACCCTTTTGCAAGCGATGGCGGAGGTATAGAACTTGTTTCTCGCGCTTCAGTAGCCGCTCCTCCTCGGTCATAGGCGGCTCCTCTGGAGTTGGATCCACAGCTTCCTCGCTAGACTTCTTCTTGGACTTGGGTTCCTTCTTTGGTTTCGCTGCTGATGCATCCTTTGGCGTCTTCGTGGTCAGCTTGAGCTTGGTCTTGGGAGTCTTTGCAGCCTGTTAAAGAATTAACGGATGTGAAACAATCGAGTATCGTGATTCATACTTTCTCGTTCTCACCATCACTCTCGTCACCCTTCTTACGCTTCTTGGTGGCCTTAGCCTTCTTAGCGGAAGGAGCGGTCTCGTCAGCGTCTCCCATCTCAACGTCTTCAGAGTCCGGGGCTGTGCTCTTGCGCTTGGCAGCCTTTTCGGCCTTCGCTTGCTTCTTCTGATCCTTCTGCTCCTGATCTTCTTGCATGGCGGATTCATGGGCACTCAACATCTCCTTGAAGTGTGCCAGATCATAACCTTTAGCGGCAACCTGGTACGCTTCCCAGAGTTGCTTGTTCTTCTTCCCTTGGTTGCCGGAATCCACATCCTTCTTCACCTCTTCGATTTCGAATGGCAACAAATCAGTGTTAACTTGCCATGCAAATTCATTGGTGCCCAAGAACATAATTGGGTATCTTCTGTCTTTGGCGTTTTTACCGCCCTCGAGGAAGTCTTCGCGGTATGTGCCGTCAATGCGCCTAGCACTAACAGGACGCTTGACGAGGAGCGATTCGGGAAGCATTTCCTCATCGCAAACGATGACTGGCCATGGCTGGTAACCGCGCATGGCGACCATGAACATGTCACCAGGCGACACGTCTAGGCGCAGCTTGACTTCCTTCTTTCCCTTTTTGGCCGGTGTCTTCTTCTTATGCTCGGGGACACCTGCGCCCGACTTGCGCTTTCCATTTGCAGCCTTCTTCGGTGCTGGGGTGCCATTCGTTACTGGCGCGTCGGAGGCAGGGGCAGCATCTAAAATAGCGTGTCAGAATGCAAATGTGACGTATTGGCAATGTTCATGAGGTCTGGGATTCGAAGAGAAGCGTGGCTGCACTTACCTGCGTCATCGCTAGCTGCAGATGGCTCTGCTTGCGCGTCAGCAGTGGTGTCCTCCTTCTCAGCGTCGTCCTTTTGCGCGCTGTCATCTCCGGGAACTAATTTGCGATCGCGTTAGCTAATGCCTCTTCGGTTATTCGCGCACAAGTAAGTTGTTACCTTTGGCGACGCCTGAGGTGGCTACGACACCGTCCTCAGCCGGCTTTGCCTCAGCAACAGCAGGCTCCGCTACAGCGTCTGTAGAACGCGTCGGCTCGTCGACAGTGTTCGTGGTATCCGCAGACACGGGTGGGTTGGCTTCCTCGGCCATTGTGCGAGTCGAGCTCACGCTTGTATGATGTCGTGTCGACGCGTAAGGGAGGCGCAGATTCGCGAATTACCTCTTCGATGTGTTGGGGGCGATGGCTATACCGCGTGATTGATGGTTGACCAGATTGATCGATGGTGCGCGGTGGGTGAGGTGGTTGGGTCGTATTGTGGTGGTGTGGGGAGGGCGAAGAAGAGATCGGAGACGCAACTCTTCAACTTTCCAGCAACGCCAGGCGTAACACGTGACGTTCTTCGGCCTGCACGCACCACTCGGGCTATCGTGTTCGGAGAAGTTTGAGGTATTTCTCTGTCACTCGTCCAGGCACCACTGAGGATTTGATAACGTTGCAGCGAGTGTGACGTGTTTGCTGGGCGGTGGAAGGAATTCGCGCGATGCGATGACTTGGGTCCGTGCAGGAGTACAGCCCTGAGAGCAGCCGCGCCTCCGGCCAAGCAAACCCACCGTTCTGATACTTGTGCACGACGCTTGGAGATGATGCGAAAGTAATGGCCTTCCCTCTTCGGCACAGCTCTTTTGCTAGTGTCCTTGTTATCTTCTTGAGCTGAGGTGAGTGGTTGAGCAGTCGATCGGTTGTGACTGCCAGGCCGCCAATGATGAGCTAGACGGAGCTCTGGAGGTAAGAGCGCAAACTGTTGGTAGTAGCGACCCCCGCCGAGATCACACTTCCTAGCTCTTTCTTGCTTTGTCAGGTCTATACACTTGTTGTTAGCTGATGACACTCGTTCTGTGAGGATGACAAGATGTAAGTGGCTATGTTGGGTGGCACCAAGTCAGAACGCTGAGCTGCGGGGTTTCGGACTTGCTCAGGTAGACTTGTCAGGGTATTTTTGCATTTCAGCTACTACTAGAACGCGTCAGCTTAAATACGACAGGTGTTGAAGATAACAAAGAAACACTCACTGTAATCCAACCTGCTCTGCCAGATATCCGGATTCTATCCTGAAGACAAAGCGCGCTGCACTTGCAGCCCTATTGTCACCCTATCACAACGGCTCCTCCCCTGCGCAACCAAACCTCGTTGCAGATGTGGGTGTTACGTCGTCCGAGTGGCATAAGCAGCCCATTTGCAGTCGAACCAGTGTGAGGGTTTGATGTATCTGCCTCAACCTTATTCGTAATGATGTCTCCAGGGTGCATAACAAGGAGCATACCGTTGAAAAGGTCAAGCTAGCCGAATTCTACTCTCAGGGATACAACACTGTGGATTGTATCAATGTTCTGATGTGTGAAGGCTCGCTGGCCCTTTTGGGATGATCCCAACAATCCGGAACGTTTATCCAGCCACATATAAGCCTTTGATACGATTGCTTTGGGCCAGCTTGAACAAGTCCTCGGCTTTATGAAGACCGCTCACGTTCCGTCTCTTTGCTTCAGTTGTTGGTATGTTTTGCCTACGTAAGCAAAGACGTCTTGAGAACAAAGGTCTGCCTGCATAAGATGTAGTGAGAAATGAATACTGAGAGAAGACCTCAAAGATACGACATGCAGAGGAGTGCACATATACCACCACCCTGCACACGGTAATACAAGCGCAACAACGGGCATACGTGCAGAACACGATTTCAGCCTTGGCAGCGATACCCAGAGCTACGTTATAGGGTTCAGTTTTGGCCGTGGCTCCGTAGTGCCTAGGATGTCTTGAGGATACTGGACGACAAGGTATGCTTGTCCGTTGAGCACTAAGTGTACTTAACGGAGAATACAGAATCGGTCATATCCTTAAGCAGGACTGAACATGGGGCCTCCAAACTGAAGACTGCCCCGGATTATCACGGTCCGAAACAGGGGGTTTCCGTATCCGCGTTGACTATCGATAAGCCTAACCTGCATCTTCCATCTCTTGTCAACAGTTCGCTGCAGAGGCACGCTCGCTTGTCACTTCGGCTTGCAGGTTCGAACTCGACTGACGATCGGGTTGTCCAGTTTTATGGAAATACTGCACATAGCGAAGTCTTATTGTGACTCGCTCCCACACTGTCAAGTGGCCAGTGCTAGTGTTCTGCAGATATGTAGAGGTCGCAAAGATTCTTCATGCGCAGGGCTCTTCCGACGTGGTGTGAGGTAACCATGATTGATGCTGCGGCCTTTGCACGTAGAACAGCTGGGAAGAGCTCATCCAAAGCTGCTTTCGAAGAGCCAAGGGACGGGGGCCAAAACGAGGCCCTGCTCAAAACCGATTTCAAGGCCCCAGATACACTGTGCGCGTATTCGCCATTGTATCTGTCCGAGTCGGTTGCTTGTACAACGCATGCGATAGTCGATCGTTCGGCCGGTGCATGTGGTCGATCGAGGGGCAGTGGAGCGTCAATAGTGCCATCGTGTCGTCGTAGCGAGGTGCATAAGTATTAGGAATGCAAAATGGCTATCCAAGGTTTGCGCGTGGAACATGTGAGATGTTCTTCTGCGGGCGATGCGAGGGCGTTGATGGTGTTCGAAGCGGGCGGCTCCCACGAGCGGCCTGTGGTTGTCGCTAGTGGTCCAGCCATCACGTGTACTGTTAAGCGCTGCAAAACCAACCTTTGAGCATGACCTGGGGAACACTGTATGTGTTTTCGTTTTGGCCGTAGAAATGAAATTGCCACAACTGTGATAAATTGAAAGAAAAGCAACAGTCGAGGTTTTGGACATAGCGCGAATGCATGCACTTAGGATACGTGCTTCGGCAGACTTGCGCAGCTGCACTCAACCCGCCTAGAACTTCTGTCATACGTTCTGAAACAGTAACGTACAGGATACTGCAAAAGCCTTACCCGCTAAAGCCCGGTTCGCGCATACTTAGCGCAAGGCAATCGTGGACCCGGAGATCTGCATCCCTAGCTTTCGTCACAGATCAGAAAGTTGCGCAACAAGCATCCCCGCCATTCACACCAAAACCATGGCGACTGAGGCACCCACCGCAAATGGCGCACCTACTGGCGACTACTCAGCAGTGTGGGCGGACAAGTACCGTGGTGTATGTATTCTTGAGCTTGAACTGCATCTTGTCTAATTATTTGTAGGCGACTGTAGAGGACCTCGACCCCCCGCCTGCCTTGTCCATTCAACCCTCGGACCCTATATCATGGGCGCTCATGTCCGGCCTTGAGCGCGACTACACACATCTCACAGTAATTTCTCAAACGAACCGCGCACTACTCGGCTACATCAGCATCCCGCATCTACAGCAGCTGCTCAAAGAAGGCAAAGTCAAGGACAGCGACCCCGTTGAGGCAGCAATGCACAAGTTTCAGCGGCGCGGCAGGAGGTACAAGGTCATCACGACCGAGACCCCGCTAGAGGAACTCGAGCAGTTCTTCGCTGGTGGGGTAGATGGAAGTGGGAAGCAGGAGTTCGCGGTGGTAACGGACGCCAGTAGGAAGTTTGTATTGGGCGTAGCTACACGGGCTGATTTGGAGAATTTCGCAAAGAGGAGAGCATAGAAATGCTCAGGGAGGGATCACGGGAAAACGGGAAAACAGGGGAGGGTACCCATAGGTGCATTGGCAGGCGTTTATCTGGTATACCCTATGGCCGGGACTATGGAGGCTGGATTCAACACACGGCTTGAGAAACAATGGGTCTCTTCAAAATAGTCACCATGTTACTTGGAAGCATAGAATGGTAGACTAACATTAAATAGCGAACTTGACTAGCTTGCCTACGTTCCACTAATGCATAGTACTGTGTACAATGCCATGCTTCGTAACACCAAGTTGTTCAATCTTCCTCACTCCAAATATGCTTTCATATACAAACGTGTTGGACTATTTCTCTCGTGAAGAACGCGTTGAATCCCCACAGACGTCATGATAGAGGGTAATGCATCTGCTGAGTCATGTCCTCCTCTCATTTCCGATCCATGGTCGCCATGCGCAAACCATAGTCTCGGGTTCCCCACACACCGGAAGGTAGAGCGACGGCTCCTCATGGTTTTTTGAACTTGGATATTTTTGGACACAAAAGTCCTCAACCGCAATTCTCTTTCTCTTGCATCGTTCGTCGCTGGCATGCTCGCGCCTTGCTTCCGCATGCGCAGTAGACCCCTCCTCCAGCACCAACTATCACAAGCCTGGAGACCAGCACTCCGAACGCCAACGAGACCACTCGCAGTACCTGCTTTCCCACCACGAAGTTCGAGATGCTATTCCAATAAAGCGTCCAAAGCGCAAACGGGCGCTGGCACGACGACGCCCGTTCCTGACAACGCGAAGCCGCCCAAGTCCAAGTTACCTTTCTACTTTGAGGCTGGATATGCGCTTTTCGCAAAGAGGCCTTCACGGCCGTTTCCTCCGCCGTTCTTGTCGTTGCCTTCAACGAGTTTCTCTGAACCCCTAAGTACACATAACAAGAGTAGGGATCGCCGACCAACTGTAAATGGGGAGATGATAAGAGGGGTTACAAACGGGGACGACGCGGTGCTAGTGAGTGAGAGCTTTATTGCAGCAAACGATGGTGTGGGAGCATGGGCGACGAGAGAAAAGGGACACGCCGCGTAAGTCCTGTGTCGTTTGGTTATCTAGGAGGTGCGAGTACTGATCATACACTACACAGTTTGTGGTCCCGTCTAATCGCCCATTTCTGGTCTCTTGAAATCGAGGGCGCGTCCTACTCCTCCACCTCGCCTCCAAATCCTGTCACGTACCTCCAGACCGCATACGAACTTACCAAGCAAGCCACCTCCTCGCCCAACGAATGGCATGGCACAACTACTGCCTGTGGAGCGCTTCTCGGAGCGGATAACGAACAACCGGACCACCCCTTGCTCTACGTGACGCAATTAGGCGATTCCCAAATCCTCGTCATACGACCAAGTAGCAAGGAAGTCATCTACAAAACGCAGGAGCAATGGCACTGGTTTGACTGTCCACGGCAACTGGGTACGAATAGTCCAGATACACCAGACAACAATGCGGTCATGGATTGTGTGAAAATCCGGGAAGAAGACGTCGTTTTGGCGCTGACGGATGGCGTAGTAGACAATTTATGGGAACATGAAATTGTTGAAAATATCTGCGAAAGCATGGAGAAGTGGACCGGCGATAAAGATAAAGATACAGAGGACCAGACGTATGCTGCCGGTATGCAATTCGCAGCACAGCAGTTGATGAATGCCGCAAGAGAGATAGCCCAGGATCCGTTTGCTGAGAGTCCATATATGGAGAAGGCGATCGATGAGGGCTTATCCATCGAAGGAGGTCTGTTTATTCGGCCGTGAGAGTGAGACGCCGCTGACGTTATTTTAGGAAAGCTTGACGACATCAGTGTCGTAGCCGCACAGTGTAAACGGCGCAAAGGATGAAACGGCGTAACGAGATTCTTAACGACCGAAAACCTGCAACCAACGACAGACTAAACCACACGCCGATTGGCAGTGAAAGCATCAGGTTATCATGTGCTACGTTTGCCTCGACCCCAGAAGCCGCAATGCCGCGGACAGTCTGCCAGATCGTAGGATACACACCGTTATGCGCAACCGCCGTATGCCTTCCACACACGCACCATAGCGCCACACCGGCAACTGAGAGACGCCACGCATTGCAGAGTATATACTAGATTAAGGACGTACAAGGTACGCAACCCGCATGTTGATGCACGGCAAGACGAGAGAAGAAACGAGTGAGATATTTTAATAGTATTGTCATGAAGTCCTCGGGTTTGCGATATGTAAAGTTGTTTAGTGTACAGTGGCCATGAGGCTGTTTGAGGGCGCAGTTGAAGCAAACGCATACTCTTTACCGGCCCATGCTATCCTGATATTCTATTCTCTGTGGCGCATGGGTAAAAATGTCAACAACGTTATTTGAGCATGTCAAGGACAATCGCGACCGGAGCATTTATGACCGCTTTCTCCATCCCCTTTTAGACGTACGCCTTCCGGACTGATCACAATCGTATAATTTCTTCACTCGGTAACACCGCGAACATCGCTTCGCGTTCATATAAGAAGTGTCTGGTCCCTTTAAGCACGCACTGCAGAGAGCGGGTTTATAGGCATCCTATGACTTCGGGGTTTCCCCTTCTTTGCGAACCGGTGAACCTGTGGGTGAGCGAGTGACACGACGTCTAGCCCTACCAGTTTTGCTGCGAGATCGTGACCTGCTAGGACTTAGGGATCGTTTGCGCTTTTTGATGTCGGTGCGAGAGTCGTTGGAATCAGCTCTGGATGAAGTAGAACGTCTGCGCCGACGCTCTCGCACAGGGCTTACAGACATGGAGCTCGAGGGGGAACGACGCCGGCGGCGCGGAGGGGTTCGTGATCGTGATCGCAGCCTGGGCGCTGGTGAGCTCGATTTGGTTCTGAATGGCGGGGAACTGGAGCGCGAATTATGCTTGGGTCGCCTCCTGCTCTCGCTCGGAGACCTATCTCTCCTTCGTCTTGCAGGTGGCGATTTGCTACGCGAAGGAGAGCGACGGCGAACACGGCGAGGTGGAGATCTTGAGCGGTCAGTTGATGGAGAACGCCGCGTTCGACGCCTGGGTGGTGGAGATCGAGAGGGTTCTGACGATAGTGAGCGACGTGTACGACGAGGTGGTGGAGATGCAGAACGACTGCCCGAAGGTGAGCGACGGCGGTCGCGGGATCTATCGCGACGTCCTCCACGTCCACGACCACGTCCCCCTCCAGGTATGTAAACATCACGCTCGCGAGTAGGTGGGGAAGGTCTCCGTCTCCTGTCATATGTCAGTAGTCTTCTCTCCGCATAGACGCGAAAGACGTACGGTGGTGACCTTGAGTCGTGCTCGCGTCGTGGAATTCCTCTGTCAAAGTCTCTGCCGCGCCCTCTGCGATCGCTGCCACGGTATCTTCCTCCACCACGGCCGCGTTCGGGTCTATCTGAACGCTCAGGACGCTCACTTTGTCGGAAAGAGTCGATCATAGCATTCTGCGCTTGTTCTTCGGCCCGTCGAGCATCAGCTGCGGCCTTTGAAAGCTATAGAGATCCTTAGCAACAGTAATGGTGTTGGTCCGTAGTTTGGCTTACCTGCTCCTGCTGCAGTTCGGCCTTCTTCGCCTCCAACAGTTCTCGGGGCACACCCATAGGACTGTCTTGCGCACTCAACATGAGGTCCCATAGCTCTTTGCAGAAAGGTGCTGTATCCTTGTTAAGGAAGCCCGTCAGTTGGATTTGGATTTCCTTGATCTTGGGCTGCATAGGTTAGCAAGCGTTGCGCTATGCCGATTCTAGGTCTACTGACAAATTGGTTCTGTTCGATCAAATTGTAACAGGTCTCGACTACGATGTCGTCTTCGTCGCCGAGAATAGTGGTGATCCTGTTAGCAATCCACTTCTTCATGAGGTCAATGTTGACTTTCTCAATGTCGACCTTCTTGTCGAACTCGGGTGGAAACTTTGTTGCCTTGAGGCGCTTCTGGTCGACGCTAGACGCCATTTTGAGAAATAGAGATAGAGTGCAATTGGGAGGCAAACGGAGTGACGCGTGTGGAGAAGGACGATTTCGCGACGGTGAAAGCTGGAGCTCGGGCGGACCCATCTGCGGGCTTGGCATCCATCTCCGGGGCTACGTCAGTTGTTCATGCAGGTACGACGCGCTAAGCTCCTGCCACCCGCCGCTCCAAACCTCACGCTTCCCTTTCGACGTCTTGGGCTGGGAAACAGCGAAACCCGGTCTACAGCATCAAAGTGACAGAGTACGAAAGCGTAACGCTAACATGAAATGTGCCATCTGGACAATGTCCTGTTTCGCTTGCCTTCGAACAGTCTATACGAGGTCTGGCTGTTCGAATCGAACAGAGCTAACATGCTGACATGCACTTGCTGCGTTCGCACGTCTCTTCCGTCAGCTCTCAACTAAATTGTTTTGGTCACGACTTCTCTTCATATCTTAAAATCATGAGATTCCGACCCATCAGGCTATGGCCACAATCATCCACTTACCTGGGCCAGCATATCATTTCTCCCACGACCCATCATATCACACCGATTGTCACTCGAACTTCTCCCTCCACATCTTTCTGTCTATCATTAACTCTATCCCCATTCGTCATGGTGGATCCAGCTGCGGTTTCTGACGTGCCTCCTGTGGAAGAACCCGAAGCGCCTACCGAGCCAGAGCCCGCTCCAGAACCTCTGGCAGAGCCGCCTGCTGACCCAGCACCCGAAGAGGCTGCCCCGTCCACTCCAAAGCCTGTTGTTGAACCAGAACCAGAATCAGAACCAGAACCAGAATCGCAAGCGGAGCCCGAGGCATCACCTGAGGAGGCACCAGAGCCTGTAGCCGAAGCGCCTCCTGAGCCAAAAGAAGAGCCTCCAGTTGAAGGTAAGCCTGAGCCTATTCCTGAAGAATCAGTACCAGAACCGGGACCGGAACTGGCAGTCGAAGCTCATCCTGAGATCGAGGAGCGTCCGGTTGGGGGTCAGCCAGCACCTGCTTCCGAAGAACTGGTAGCAGAGCCAAAACCAGTACCCAAGGAGGTACAAAAGCCCGTAGTCGAAGCCCTACCGGAGCCGGTAGACGAGCCCGTATCCAAGAACCCATCTGATCCTGCTGCCGAGCTGGCGCCCGAACCTGCTCCCGAAGAACCAGTCGCAGAGCGGCCAGCCGGAGAGCCTGAAGCTGCACCTGCTCCGGTTCAACGTTCCGTGGATCCTGAAAGGGAACCAGAGCCAGAGTCTGATAGTGTTCCAGGAGAATCGCCAGTAGAGCCATCAGCTGAAGAACTGCCAATGGAACCTCGAACCTCAGAACCTGAAGCTACACCTGCTCCGTTGCAACGTTCTGTCGACCCTGAGCCTGAGCTACATACTGAACCTGAAGCTGTTCCTGAAGAACCTCCAGCTGAAGTACCTGAAGCAGAATCCCCAATCGAACCTTCACCAGCAGTACCCGAAGCGGTTCCACCAGCAGAGCCTGAGCCTACAGCAGAGCCAACGTTGCAAGTACCTGCTATACCACCTGTCGAAACCGAACCTATAGAACCCGCGCCAGCAAGTGAGCAAGTGCCTGAGCCTGACGCTGCTCCTGAAGCTGAGGCTGAGGCTGAATCTACACCTGTGCCTGTCACGAGGGTAGCCGAAGCAGAAGAAGGCGCTGGGGCAGTAACTGAGCCTGAAACCGTGGCAGAAGAATCCGAGCCAGCACCGGCTACTGAGCCTGGAGTTGCCCCTGATTCCGGGGCAGCAGAGCCAGGAGCACCTACCGAACCTGCACCCGAGCCAGAAGCCGCGCCTGCTTACACAGCTGCAGAGACAGAGGACGTGCCAACTGCGTCTCCAGAAGCTCTTGCACCTGAACCCACACCATCTGTAGCAGAAACAGAAGCACCGGCTCCTTCTGTGGCAACGACGACTGTGTGAGTACACTTAGTACCTCTTACCATCCCTGAACTAAATCAACTCCCTCAGCCTCCCCCGATACACTATACTGGATCCCAATTTGACAGCTACCTGTGTACTAATGTTCTCCAGAAAAACTCACAGGCGCGACAAGGTCAAGCTACTTGCAGCTATGCGTGCACCACCCGAGTCTGTTCCTATCATGGTGCTTCTCCGCCAGAAGAAGAAGGCTGGTGAAGATGTCAAGGCTATAGCAGACGCTATGCTTGCAGCTGCAGGATCGTGAAATGAGTTGGAAGATTAGTATTTAGATCGTGGTGGTGAACTTCAGGTCTCCCTAAGAAAGCCCTCTACCTGGCGTTGAATACCGACTCCTATGCAGATGCTACTACGAAGCGAATGAATCTCTCAGTCTTACATGTCTCCTTCGAGCCGCGCCCTCTTGTCTTCGCAAGGAACTGCCAACACGATGAGAGTGCGAAGATCACCCTTTCTCTTCTCTTCGTGCTCATGTATTGAACCCTCCTTGTCATGCCTCTTTGCGTGAGTCTAAGGTTATCGATCACGTCCGCAGCTGCAGTTGCCTTTAGCCCCCACCGCAAGTTCACATGTTCTCTCTTTCTTGACCTTGCGCTTGGTGTTGCGCAGCATCTCTTGTGTCTTTGTATGTCCATGCTCACTTCCAACCTCCTCTTCACCCGCCAACAGCTTTCCTAACCAAACTCCTCGCCTCCTCGAGTCCCCTGCCCAACTCTCCCCTCTTGTGCGCTTCCTTCACTTCGTAATGTAGTTTCAGCAGGTCCTTTGCGCGCTTGAGGTCTGGGTCTTGCTCATCGTCTGTTGCTGTGTTGGGTTTTGCGGTGTTGTCATGGGAGGATGTGGAGTCGAAATCTGTAGAGCGCGCAGATACGAGGGCAAGTGCTGCAGCGGGATCCTGCAAATGAAATGGTGTTAAAAAGAAGGGCGATGCATGGATACGAGGACAGGGTAACGTACACAAACGCGTAAGGACACAAGATCGGATAGCATTTCCGCAAGCTGCATTGTGTTTTCTTGGCTTTGCGCCATATGCGCGGGTGCTAAAGGGAATCCTGGGATATGTCTTGTTTGGTCACAAATGCGTAATGTAATGTGGAATGGCTGTTGCGGTAGTTTGGTTGCGTTGCGTTGCGATCGCAAGTGGGATGGATGACCCAGAAGCTCTGACGTTCACACGGCAATTCCCCCCACATCTCGGTTCCTAACCCGTAGCGGGCAGGGGCCCGAGATCAAAACTCCCGTCGATGACCGGTCAAGTACCTTCCTGAAGACGGTCTGCTACATCTCGTTTGCAGTCATATATACGTGCTTTTAGATTATATCTGAAAACCTTGGGAATACTTCATCATGGCGAGCATACAAGCTATCAGGGCGAATTGTCGCAAGGTACGTGATTTCGTGTGGTATCTGTGTTATCAGGGAACCATAGTGGGAGAAAGAGCTGGAGAGCCATGTTGTGGCAAATGTAATTGGCACGAACTATATTGACTATCGTGGCTTGCAAAGTTAGTGTTTCTGTGCTTTGGAACTGGACGGTTGAGCAAGTCGGATTGGAAGAGAACGAAATTCGGACTCGGCACAGAGGAGACTTTTGGTATAATCTGACACTTCGCAGGTCATGTGCATAGGCAGGAACTATGCAGACCACATTAAGGAGCTATCTAGTGCTACGCCCAAGCAACCCTTCTTCTTCCTGAAGCCACCATCATCTATCTTGCTACCAGGCGCTGGTCCAGTACTACGACCTCGTGGTGTGAATATGCACTATGAAGTTGAGCTCGGTCTCATCATGGGCAAGACAATAAGGGATCTGCATCCTGAGGATACCAAGGGTGCTATGGATGCTATAGAAGGTACTACGGACGCTATACATGAAGCCAAGTGTAACATTATATGGGGTCCCTATCGAACTGACATTCGAAATACAGGTTATGTTCTCGCTATCGACATGACTGCACGTAATGTGCAGGATGAAGCGAAAAGAAAAGGCCTGCCATGGTCCATTGCGAAGGGTTTCGACACCTTCATGCCCATCAGCAACTTCATCGCGAAGAGCCGGATCCCAGACCCACAGAAAGCACACCTTTGGCTTTCAGTCAACAACGAAATGAAGCAATCCGACAACACTGAACTAATGCTTTTCCGAATCCCGAGACAACTAAGCGATATTAGCAGGGTCATGACGCTAGAAAAGGGCGATATTGTACTCACAGGAACGCCGAAGGGCGTGGGTCCAGTGAAGACGGGCGACATTATGCGTGCGGGACTCAAGGTGGATGGTAAAGATATCGAAGAGGCGAACCTAGAAGTGCCAGTTGCAGATCGTGAGGGTTTGTACGAGTTCAGCGAAACATAAGGCGAAGTTTCCATACGCGAACAACGACCGAAGTTCATCAGATCTTGAGAATTTAGAAAGCGCCGATTCCAGATATCTCCGGTTTCGCCCTTGTTCCATTAGACCTCTTCCTAGCCTTGGAACGTGACAGTGGCATAATTGCCGCTTTGCGAGGTGACATCTTAACTCTGTCTGCAGGGGTGCTTTCCGTATCATCGCTCTCACTACGTCTAGTTCTTGCTGCTTTCTGCGGGTTCCGAAGAATGACAATCAACGACCTCTGTCTCTGTGAATCTGTAGCATTTGATCGAACTGGGAAAGGATCCTTTTTCTTTACAGGCGATGTAATAACCTTTGGCACGTTTGATTTTGTCGGGCTTCTTGTAACCCGCTGGGTAGGTTCCATAGCCGTGTTCTTGCCTCGATCTGCGGCAGCGCTTCGCCTTGAGATTGCCGGTGTTCTATGGGCGGCCCGGGTTGTAGTGCTGGGTTCGGCTTTGATCTGATCTGGTTCTTGCGCATGGGCAGTTTTTCGCTTCTTGCGCGACGATAAAGCGGGCTCGGCTGGTTGCACAGATGGAAAAGGTGTAGAACTACCTGCCCCTAGCGGCTTTTGCTCATCAGCCTCCTGTGCTTGACTTTTCTTAGCTTGGGCACGTGTCACACGTTGAGTTTGGGGCACTCTCTCAGGTAGTTTCCGCTTTCTCGAACCAGCTTTACTGACCAACTGTGTTGATGGTGGAGCAACTCTGGCACGTGGGTGGGCCTTACATGTTGAGGCTAGAATTGAGGCTGGGACTGAGGCTAGGATTGGAGATGTGCGGTTGTTGCGGAGTAGTTGTGTTGGAGGCGGAGAGACTCTGGCATGCGAGGGAGCCTCGCGCGTTGGGATTGGAGCCGGACCTCGAGCCTGTTGGATGTGTGGCAGGAGCTGTGTTGCAGGGAGAATGTCATATCCTGGTTTATCAGGCAATGCATAAGGTGTTCGGAGTTGTTCTTGTTCTTCCGAATTGCGCAGTAACATGGAGTCGTGAATCGATGGCCTCTGCATCAGTCTCTGCCGGGCTGACTTTGTTGGGCTGTCTGAGGTTACTGATGGAGCGAAGGTAGTGCTTTGATTCCTATTATCGTCAGCAATGTCATGCACATGACTGCGTCAGAGAATTTTCTTACCTTTCTCTCATCTCTGGATATTGTCGTATCTGGTTTCCTTCATGTGTAGGTTTCTGCATAGGGGCCAGCTCTTCATCCTCAGCTTCAGTAGTCGCGTCTGAATGCCCGTCGTTCAGTAACGGAGGTGGTGCCATAGTTCTCATGATGGCTTGCTGGATCTTGAAAACTGTCTGGGAACCAGCGGTCTTGGTAGTGTGGTCATGTTGGATAGCTTTGAGATGAGTGAGTTCTTTTTCCAAGCTCCTGATCCGACGGACGTCTTCAGTTCGACCAGCCTCGAGAACGTCAAGACGCAGAAGAACGTTTTGAAGATCCCTAGGGACTTGTCTAAGCCTATCTAGATCCTCCACGGCATGGGACATAACATTGTCCAGCTCGATCTGCTTCTGCCTGACGTGCTTGTTTGTGTCAATGAAGTTACCCAGCCGCGTCATCTCGCCCATTGCCCACTTTTCGAATGCTTTGTCGTCATCTTCGGCTTCGATTGCCGCAAGTTGCTGCTCTAGATGACGGATTCTGGATGTAGCAGCCTCTGCGGCCTCTGCAACATGTTCAGTAGTTTTGATCCGGACATCGTAAGCTTCGTGATGTCTCTGGAGTTTGCGCATCTCTGTGAGCAGGTGAGCATGTTGCTGTTTCATTTCTGGGCCCCACAGCAACATCTCAGCCGATGCGAATGGCATGCGTGAGTCAATGTCGCCAGCCGTGCTCGGCCGTCGGGGAGCCATAGCGACAGGATATGGAATAACACTCAAAAGGCAGTGGACAAGGAGGTGCGGTGTCGCAGGTAATGGTATGGCGTTGCTGCTCAATGACGCGCGAGACAGAGAAGGCCGCTGCACGTGAGGTGAGACAAGAACAACTGAAAATGCACAAGCTGTATGGTGAGAGACAAGACTCAGCACGTTATAGTGGGTCTTGTCGCGAGAAGCAGGTGCGACGCTGGGTGTGGCTTCCTCAGCTGAGCCATAACGTCTCAACAATCTGCTACTTCAACACGTCAATAAGGCCTAGGCCACAATACAAGCGGTGAAGTAAACTCTTTCTTATTTCTTGCTACCTATTAGGTACATTGAGCATTCCACTCAATCAGATCAAGCAGCACGCTTTGGACCTTTCGGCGCGTCTATTACATCATCTCTCTTCATGATGCGAATCTTGGTGTCTTTCTTCGAGCTATCTCCGTCTGATTCGGACTCCTTCGGCCGTTCTGCGACGCTTTTGTCGTAGCTACTCGGGTCGATACCAAGAATGCCACCTACGTTGTTACGATCGCCAGGAACAGAGAACTCACGGAAAGCATAGCGCCATTCGTTGAGAAAGCCGCGAATAGCCTTGCCGACTTTGTCCTTGCCGTTCTTGGAGTGATGGCCAGTTCCTGTGATGGCATACACTGGACGAGAAGATGAGCTGTGCTTCAGAAGAATGCCCTCGAGGTATGACACGGATTCATCTGGGTGCAGACCTGAGTGACATTAGTCCTGCTAAAAATCGAAATCACCAACTCGACTTACCGTGAAGATCAACATACAGCTCTCTTGAGCCGTCGCTGTCCTTGTTGCGATCTTCGTAAAGAATACGAGCAGCTTCACGGTGGGCTTCACGCATCAGATTATTCTCGCTCTGCCCCCTAAGACTAAGAGCTTTAGCCGCGCGCGAATCACTACGGTTCCAGGCCTGAGCAGCACTGATAGGTGTTAGCATGGGTATCCCTTGTGAAGATCGACGTAACCTACCTCTGCAAGAACTTGTTGCGCAGACTACCATGCTTAAAGGCCTCGGCGCGAGCTTTAAGATACGCTTGATTACCCTTCTCGCCAGTCTCTAACCACGGAATGTGTTGAGGAGCAGGTATTGCCTGTGCAGCCACACTATTCTCGCGAGATCCGGTGAAGCTTTTGGTTGGTCTTAATCCCTTGCGGACCGGAGTGACAGGAGCAGGGACAGGGGACATGCGAACGACATCAGCAAGGTTATTAGGTCCCGGGGCATCCTTGTGATGACCATGGCCACCCCGCTTGCCGTGGTGACGCTTTCCAGTCTTAGCAGCGGCAGCAGAGCCTAGACTAGGGAAAGCATCATTGTCGTCCACTGCAAGTACTGATGGTGTAGTAGCACGTGAGGTTTGGCGACTGCCGGTTCTAGATTGCGGACGACTACCGCCTCCAGGAGTGAAGTTGGCAAATGGGCTAAGTCCTGGTGGAGGACGTGTAGGGCCACCGCTAGTAAGACCATAGAGCTGTTCCAAAGAGGTTGCAGCTGATGTTATCGATGGGGTACCTAGGGGTGAGCCGTTGTAGTGGAGTGTAGGGAACTCATAATCAGACATCTGGAAGTTGGGTATAGGTGGAGTCTGGACGTCTGAGACAGCCATGCGAGCCATGAGAGCAGAGGGATCATGTGAGAAGAGACATGTGTCACCAGCTAGACAGTTTCCATTTAGGAAATATCTGCAGTGAGCGTTAGCTTAGAATACCCAGAGGCATGTGTATACACCTACTTGCATAATGTCTTGCTGGTGTCGTGGCTGAACCTGCAATCTGCTCTGGCACAATGGCCTGTTGATAGGAAGTATTTGCACACGATGTTGCTTTTCTGCTGGCCTACGGGCGTGCTAGGTCTAAACGCCGGACTCATAGACTTTCCGATGACATATCCAGGATGCTCTGAGGGAGTAGTGGGGAGTTGTTGTACGTCTAGTTGCTGACCCATTAGTGCAAGCAGGGCAGCACTGAGGTCATATCCATTAGCCTCCAAGACCTTCTCAAGCTCTTCGTCTGATCGGTCGTCCCTCAGGATGGAGCGCAACATGTCGTACGGGCCCATGTCCATGGTCTGGGGCTGCACCCATTCGGCCGCGGCACCGTTGAGCGTGCCGTCACCCAGGAGAGAAGACTCTGTGCTTGCAGCATCATCGTTGACCAGCCAGTCGACGGAGTGGCCATCGAGATCGCCATAGGACTCTGTGTTCGGACTTGCGCACTCGCTGAACTGGTATGCGCTCAGGCTGGGGCTATGGGGGATATGCGGTGTGGAAAAAGCAAGTCGGGGCGAGGGTCGCGGAGAAGTAAAGGGGGATGCAGTCGACGACTTTGTGCGTGCGAAGCCGGGTGGACCTATGCCAAAGCCTGGTGGAGGGTGCACCATGCGCGGAGAGTTGTTGACGGGAGTCGGAGCGCGGTTGGCCTGCCAGGGAGCTGGCGAGGGCCGGCGGATGACGGTATGACGACTGGGAGGAGAGCTGGAAGAGCTGCCAGCGTCGCGGTAGCGCCATAGGCAGTCTAGGACGATGTTCTCGAGGGACTTGCCGGTGAGGTTTGTCTCCTTGCGCAGAAGCTCCTCGAGCTTGTCCGTCTTGTCCTCCTCGTCCAGGGCCTCGTCCTGCAACACAGGCAGCGCCTTTTCGTACAAGTCGTCGGCGACCATGGTGAATGATTATTTCCAAGCAAGGAAAGAAGTATATTGGGGTGATAGGCGGTCAGAAGTTGCGCGCGGGATGGGCGCTTGAGGTCAGAGGTCTTGGTCGAGACAGGAGGCCGTCGGGGGTGATTACATGTACTGCGGGTAATGGCAGAGGAGCGACCGGCGCGTCACAGAGGGAATGAAGCTGTAACGAAGGGCAATAACCAGTCCCGCAGCCTTTCTCTGCAGGACACACCAAGTGCGCCAAAACGGGCAGAGTGAATGAATGCCTGGGGCGATCGCGAGCGCGAATGAAGCTCGAGGGACTAGGCTCAACTACGTAGGGGTGGGGGATGCTTGCACCGTGCAGCAACGTCGACCATACAGCGGGAACGGTAATCTCCAACACTTGGTCCCGGACTTGCCCTACATGGCCCTGGAGCCGGTAGTTGCTGATGAAGGGATGAGTGTGGTGTGCGTCTGGGCTGAGCGTTGATGACGGCCAGGGCTGAGATTGCAGAGCTGAGATGGCATTCGTCGGCGGAAAAGAAGCTGCAACATATGCCTCAAGTATCCTTCGAATAGGCTCGTCGACGCCACACGGCCGCCAGAGGCTGCAAGAGGCTGAGCAAGGTCACGTGTATGGGTGTTTGTTGCGGGTCGGTGGAGACATGCACCGGAGCTGTCGACCTTTACCTATGCATTTGATACTGCATAGGCCTGGGTTCATGCGCATTATAATGTAGTTGTCAACACCCTCTCAATCTTCAAACGCCATCGACACGCATGCGGAAAAGGAATGTCGTTTCAACTCGCGGTAGATCTGATCTGATCGCCTAATGCAGGGCGGATGCACCTCGTTCGTCCGCCCGGATGACGATGAAACCAAGAGCTCTCCAGCGGCGCTCCCACTAGCATTAGCATCTCACACCAGAGCTGTCTCCAACCCTCTACTATCACCACACGGAATGTCCGTCTCCACTCGTATCAGCTAACACCCTCCCATTACCCTCTTATTGAATTCCGTACCCCATTCACATCTTCTTACCTCCGCATACATCCGCGCCACTCCGCTGGGCACACCCCCCAATACTTTACGTAGGCATCAGCTAGCATGCCTGCGAGCGACTATGACGTCCGCGCTCTTGCGCTCCCATTAGACGACGAGGAAACAGGCCAGACGCCGATATGGAGTCGACGTTCGCAATCATCTACCTTCCGGCGCAATCCCTCGCACCAGAGCCAACAGAGCACATGGCGGCAGCGCGCCATGGACAAGTACGATACACTCTCGCGACGAATCCTGGATCAATACAATAAACTTTCTCCCTTGCAGAAAATACTCTTCTTCGTTGGGAATTTGGTGTTGGCAGTAGGCGGCATACTGTTCTTGGTTTACAATGAGCGCATATTCGGGGCCTTGCTACCCGTAGCGAAGAAGTGGAGAGACGTCACAGCCGGATGGCTGATACTCTGGGTTTTGATCTTTGTTGTATCATTCCCGCCCTTGATTGGCTATTCGAGTTTACTCACCATCGCCGGTTTCGTTTATGGCTTTCCGAATGGGTAAGGTTACCAGGACTTTCGCTACATCCAATCTGACATAAACCAGTTGGTTCATAGCCGCAACAGCGACAGTCGCCGGCAGCACAGCGTCCTTCCTCCTTTCGCGTACCCTCCTCAAGAACATGGTACACCGTCTGATAGCGAATGACACGCGCTTCGCCGCCCTCTCCCTAACCCTCAAGCACGATGGTCTAAAACTCCTCATCATGTACCGACTGTGTCCACTACCATACTCAATTTCCAATGGCGCTGTCGCAACCTTCCCAACAGTACACTGGGCGTCATACGCTCTAGCTACTGCTATCGTATCGCCAAAGCTTATGCTGCATATTTTCATCGGCAGCCAGCTCGAGAAGATTGCTGAGAGTGGAGGTAAAATGGATCCTAGTACAAAAGCTCTGTCTTACGTTTCCATATTCATTGGCCTCATTGCGGGTGTCACCACAGGCTGGCTCGTATACCGCAAGACCAAGGCCCGGGCTGCACAGCTTGAAGCCGAAGAGCGTGCGGGTATTCGTCGTATGAGTATCGAAGATTTGGAGAACGAATACGCGGATGACCCGGGAGCGCTGGAAGCTGCCGAACGGTTACGTGAAGAAGACGATGATATCAGTCTCCGGACAACCTGGGACGATGAGTACAGGGATGAGCCTCCGGAGACGGGTGATACCGTGGACATCGGCGATGACCCGTTCAAGGATGGCGATGCCAGTGACAGCGAGGAGCGAGGACGCGGAAGGCAGAAATAGACGCATTTGCATAGAAGACTTTTGCATACGTCACTTGGGTATGGCGAATACCTCCTATAGACTATTAGAATCGAGACCGTATCGTCAAACTCCTTTGCCTTTATCAGACTATCTTGTCATATCTTAAGTGTTACAACCAACAAGTAGCGCCTGACTACCTGTCATGGGAATGTCTACCCTGCTAGATCCACAGCTCGGGGACTTCTGTTGCCGCTCCATATCCGTTCTTCTAATAGTGCTGGCTATCTTAGTATCATCAGGGTACTTCTTCCTACTACAATAAAGCGTACCAAGAGTTATATAGATACAATAAAGTATCTAGAAGTCTACAATGCTGCTGCTGTTTGTAAGTTTTCTGATTAGAAGCCAATGTAGGCTGCAAGGTAAAGCTTGTTATCTCTGTACCTGTTCAGTATTACCCTTGTATACGGTATTAGTATTGACCTAACGTTAGTCATTGTAAGTGACCGAATGGGATATCATATAAGATTGGTGTTCTTGTTAGCATCAGTATCACGGCCATCACACCCATAACGTAGATCTAACAGAGGAAACGTTCATTTGTCATATACAGAGCCCAGCCACCCCATTCTCATGAGCTGTATATGTACCGCTAACAAGAGCACAGGGAATCACAAGAGGTATTCGTCGACCAAGGTAGGCGTGCGTTGCCAGGCTGAGGTCAATGCAGAAAAACGAACAAATCTTCCATATTGAGACACAGCTGATGGCGAGGACGCATCTTCTATTATACATCTATTCTCAAAGACCAATCAGCACTTTTTGGCCCCTCAGAACATTGGAATAGACAATACCCACTCTTCCAGCCTTCAACTCGTTTATGCGACGAAGCTCTTGGTGAAGCTCGATGCGACCTCCTTGAGCTTAGCCTCGAGATCCTTGCTGAGAGCACCTTCCCGGTCGATCTGGGCGAGCATGTCGGACTCGTTCGATCGGAGGTGGGCAAGGAAGTCAGCCTCCCACTGGAGAACCTTGTTGACTGGTACGGAGTCGAGGAGACCGTTGATACCAGAGTAGATCAAAGGAACCATCTCGTTGACGGCCATAGGAGCGTACTGCTTCTGCTTGAGGAGCTCGGTGAGACGCTCACCACGGGACAAGGTTTGCTTGGTCGCAGCGTCGAGATCGGAACCGAATTGGGCGAAAGCAGCAACCTCACGGTACTGGGCCAAGAAGAGCTTGAGGGAACCAGCGACTTGCTTCATGGCCTTGACCTGGGCAGCGGAACCGACACGGGAGACAGAGAGACCGACGTTAATGGCGGGACGGATACCCTTGTAGAAGAGCTCAGCCTCCAAGAAGATCTGTCCGTCAGTGATGGAAATGACGTTGGTGGGAATGTAAGCGGACACATCACCACCCTGGGTCTCAATGACGGGCAGAGCGGTGAGCGAACCACCACCGAGCTTGTCGTTCATCTTGGCGGCACGCTCAAGGAGACGAGAGTGGAGGTAGAAAACGTCACCGGGGTAAGCCTCACGACCTGCAAAGTTGAAAATTCCAAGTCAGTGCATGTCTCACAGGCGTTTGAAATCATCATAGCTTACCAGGAGGACGGCGGAGCAACAAACTCATTTGACGGTAGGCAACGGCCTGCTTGGTCAAATCGTCGTAGATGATAAGAGCGTGCTTGCCGTTGTCACGGAACCACTCTCCCATGGAGCATCCTGAAAATGGCGCTATGTACAGGGGGGTTGTCAGTACATGTTTTAGAAGCGGTGGGGGGAGAGTAATACCTGAAGGGGAGCAGCCTCGGAGGCAGTGGCGGCGACAATGATGGTGTACTTCATGGCGTCGTTCTCCTCAAGGGTCTTGACGAGCTGGGCGACGGTGGATCGCTTCTGACCGACGGCGACGTAGATACAGTAGAGCTTCTTGGTCTCGTCGGTACCCTTGTTCCATCGCTGTCTAGAATACAAAGTCAGTATTTGTCTGGCTTGCAGTTGTTATCGAAATTACGTACTGGTTAAGCATGGCGTCGAGGGCAACGGCGGTCTTTCCGGTTTGACGGTCACCAATGATCAACTCACGCTGACCACGTCCAATGGGAACCATGGCGTCGACAGACTTGAGACCAGTCTGTACGGGCTGGTTGACAGACTGGCGGGGCAAGATACCGGGGGCCTTGAGCTGAGCACGGCGACGCTCGGTGGTCTTGAGGGGACCCTTTCCATCGATGGGGTTACCGAGAGCGTCAACGACACGTCCGAGAAGAGCCTCGCCGACGGGAACGTCGACAATCTCTCCGGTACGCTTGACGGTCTCACCCTCCTTGACGAGACGGTCAGAACCGAAAAGCACAACACCGACCTGGCCGGCTTCCAAGTTCATGCACATGCCCTTGACACCGGAGGCGAACCTGCCACCCGTTAGCTTCCGTGAACGTTTGTCATGTTGCTGAATTGGCGTACTCGACAAGCTCCTCAGCCTGGACGTTGTTCATGCCGTGGACACGGGCAATACCGTCACCGACGGAGAGAACACGACCAGTCTCGGAGAGGGAGTTCTCCTCCTGGACACCGCGGATCCTCTGCTCCAGGATGGAGGAAACCTCGGTGGGGGTGGCCTTCGCTTCGGCGGCGTAGGATCGGGTAGCGTTGATGAACGCGGGAGCGCGGGCCTGTGGCGGAGAAAAGGTATCAGCACTGCATCTCGATAGAGGGGAGCTCGTTCCGCCCAGCGCAGCCCACGCAGTTCCATCAACGAAGCTCCATTGCGGCGCCAATGGCATCGGATATCGGTTCTTGGGGCTACTGGCGATGGCTGGACGGTGCGGCAGGCGCAATTGCAGGCGGTTGCGATGGACTTACCGACGCAATCCTGCTCGTGGCAGAGATTGCAGCGACCCGGCGGCTCGACTGGCGGATGGCCCTTGAGAACATGGCTGCGGCTGCTCAAGAGTCTATTTCGGAGGCTCTGCAACCAATTGAGATTGATGCAGGTATGGAAGAGGGGAGATGGTGATGGAGTGGAGGATGGGGAGCTCTGCTGTGAGGAAGAAAGTCCTGCGGTTCGGGAGGAAAGCGCGGACCTTGGCGTCTACCACTAATCCTAAAAAAGCCGCATCTCAACCGAGCTCCATCACTACAACACCACGTTGGCCGCTCTGGAGGGTGACTCGGCGTGCACGCACTGGGCGAAAAGCCATCAGAGAGACCATGTTTTGTCTATATGCATCTTGTGGTCATCTCCGGGACTTTGCAGCACATCTCGAGCTTGGCAGGTGAACCTCAGTACATGGCCAAGTACCCCACACTTTGATAGAGATAAAGTAGACGATGGTGGATACCTCCGGACTACTTCTCGGTGTACGATACAATTCAGAAAACGCAAGCTTCTTTTAGCTTCATGTCACCACACTCCAAGTACTTACTTCAAAAGTCTGTGTTCGCTTTTCTTGCTCGCAAGCTCTACTCCCACGTACAGCTCAAGAGACACCAACGCCTTGTAAAGTATAACACATTCTAAATTGGTATCCTACTATGTTATATGAATCTCAAGAAACATGCAGCCGTTTATGCAAACTTGAACACCAAAGACAACATATGCCTCTAAGACGCCGCGTACACCTTGCTCCTGCGCAATGCTTTCTTCTCTTGCGGTATTCATACACTATTGCACTGTCTTCTGATCCTCCAACGCTTCCTTTGATTATCTTGCAAGTGCCAATAGCTGGGTGCTCATCTGCTTATACAGTATATATCCACTGTCGATGTCTGTCCTCATTTCGCAGAGCCGTTCTGACCCTTCTCCTTGCTCTTCCTGAACTTTACAATCTCCAGCTCAACGGCCTGGTCTATCCGGCGCTTCAGTTCGGGGCGGTAGCCGAGCTTGAAGAGTATCTCGAACCAAACGAAAAAGGGCGCCAGGAAGATGGCCTGCACGAGGTTGTCCAACAGCGCTGGGGCTCTTCCCTCGAACTTTCCGTGTCCGATGAACTGGGCAATCCAGCATGCAATGTTGACTGCGCCGGCCCAGGAGTTGGCAGTCGCACCATAGGTCGATGTGAGGTGGTTCGCATACGCGGTGCTGCCGATGAGAATTGGAGCCAGCATGGCACCTGCGACAGGCTCCATGAGAATGTACAAGGTCGAGTACAAGACGGCCCCAACAGTGCCGACATTGAACGGGAGATTAGGTACGGAGAGCCATGACGGTAGTGGAACGGCAGGCGTGTTGGTGAGCTACGGGTGTGTTAGAGAAAGCAGCGTGATGGCTGTCAAGATTCTCACCAGTAGGAAAGATGTCAACAGAATCGGAGGAACACAGAGCAAATGTATGCCGACGTTGACCTGACACATGGCATGTTAGTTGACATGTGAAGATGCCCCGTGCTGGTATGGCCTACTTTATTGTGGTGGTATGCTCCGTACTACATTCCAGTCAGCTCAGTACAGACATCTGTTGAAGCATGACGTACGAAGACAAGTTGTTTCTCCAGATTGAGAGACATGATGCCGGATGGGGAACTTGGGCGCGTGTCAAAAGAGTGGGATGGCCGTCAAGAGACTAAATCATGTCTTGGAGATGCGGCGTGAAGAGGTCGAGCTCGGATAGCGTGGAAAGACCAGTGCACCGGCCGCGGGAGCCGAGAGGATGATGGCGCAGGGTGAATGGCTATCACGACATGGGTGTGTGGGGGTGCGCAAGCTGGCAGGTGGGAGCTGTGTCGCTGCTCGGGCCTTAGCGAGTGATTTTCCGCGCCGAGAGCCCTGCAGCCTTTGGAAGCTCAACCTTCCTGGCGCGACCATTGTTCTGCTAGCATTCACCACTCGGCCCACATCTGCTACCTCTGTATACCTCGGACTTCTACGAGCGGCGCGAATACTCTGGAAATTGTGCGCATGGGCTGCTGGATATAAGAATCTGGGCTGCGTTGCAGGCCGAAGGCGCGTCTCGCTGAAGCACGCGCGTTGAATACCACATACTGTCGACTCTTCACTGGGCCAGTCAGAATAAAGACAATAGAGTCGCGTAGTAGCAACCAAGGCCGTCTACCTGTCATTCCACCTTCTACCGATCTCTACCGTTGAACCGTGCAACTTCGTCTACCTCACCCCAAGAACCGCGCGCATCTACCTTACCGTATCCCTCGCACAACGCGCAACATGTTTTTCCTCAAAGAACTCGAGAAGACCATCCAGTTGCATCCGTCATACTTTGGTCCTCTCATCCGTCAGCACATCCATCGCGAATTGCTGCAGAAAGAGGAGGGATCGAGTACCGGAAAGTACACCATCGTGTGTATTCTGGACTCGTTCGATATCTCTGATGGCAAGGTCATGCCTGGCTCTGGATCTGCCGAGTACGTTGTGCACTACAAGGCAGTCGTATGGCGGCCCTACAAAGGCGAGGTGGTATGTGGCATTGTCCGACGGGATCATCGAGTCCTCTGCTAACCACGTCAAGATGGACGGCATTGTTACCTCAGTACTGCGTACTGGATTCTTCGTCGACTGCGGCTCTTTACAGGCCTTTGTGGGACGTAGTGTAATTCTTACCATACCTCTATGCACCTACCCGTCACTGACAGCGACAGATGATTCCCGCTGAAATCAAGTTCGACGCCAATGCTACACCGCCGCAGTGGACAGACGATGGAGAGCAGGTCATTGAAAAGGGTACCAACATCCGCATTAAGATCAAGGGTCTCAGATCCGAGGTGGACAAGATGTATGCCGTAGGCACCATGAAGGAGGTAAGGACGATACCTGTCAGTCTTATTGGTTTTCGGCTAAGCAAGGCTTCTAGGATTATCTCGGTCCATTGCCGTCATAGACTGACGACTCGACGACCCCTGCCGACGCGCGCGAGTTTATCAACGGGAGCAGAGCGCCAGCGCCCGAGCAGCATAATCAAGGAGTTGTTTTTACTGCAGAACCGAGGTCACTATTTGATGGAACCATCGACAACCCATCCAAAACTCAACCATCGTAGAAACATGAGGCGTAATAGCGGGCTCTTGGCTGTATCAGTATCCGTGGGGAGTATGGCAATCACTTGGATGAATTCAAAAGTCTGGGAAGCGCAGGGCAGTTGAGGCTCTGCATAGAAGCGCACGGCGTAAGGAAGCTATGAAATCTAGACTTGGCTCAGCTGGTATTACTACCCTTCCGATAATTCCCCAAATTGGGCTTGAATAGAAGACTATGTCTTGACTCCATTGTGTGCAAATCTTAGTGCAAGAACAGCCGGCCCCCTTGCGTCAAAAGAGTGGCTTGGTATGTTTCGGCCAACACCAGCTCCCGCACCTCCGCGTGAACTCCGCAACTCTAAGCACTGTCCATAACTCGCGCCTGCGCCTCGCCACTGTACCCTTTCTTTCAGGCTGACTTGTCAAATCTGGCATTACTTTTCAGCAGGATGTTATAACTGTTCTCACAATTAATCTTACTTGAACTTTACGATGCCGCGACAGCGCACCCCGAAGGAGGAGGAGACGGAGTTGCTGACCAAAGAAGAGAGATCCGCGCGCAGCTCAGAAGATGGCTCCGAAGCTTCCGTATCCTCGATCTCTACCACGTCGCTCGTTCTCGAACATATCAACGATCCAAGCATCAACCGCGCGTTGCATTCGAATCGTGGGGAGAAGTACATAGATGATGACGACTACGCAAGCCAGGCGCGCGAGCCGTTCGACGTCGAGGATGGGCGATACCAGGCCCCTATTTCCGTAGACAAGAAGGCAAGAAGGTGGTTGTGGATTGTAGGAACAGCCTGTGTAGCAGGATGGGCACTTGCGCTCGTCTTCTTCTTGATGAGCGGTAGCTACAAGCATACTTCATCGCGGCCGCACGACCCTCTCGCTACCTCTACCAAGGGCTCCGGGAAGAAGATTACAATGGACGACGTCTTTGGAGGCCGCTTCTATCCCCAACAACAGAGCGTCGCGTGGATATCGGGACCAAAGGGAGAGGATGGCCTGCTGCTTGAGAAGGGCTCTGGGGACGAGGAATACCTGGTGGTCGAGGATATCAGGACCAAGGGCGAAGCAAAGTCTTCTGCTGGCAAGACCACGCTCATGAAGAAGAACACGTTCGAGGTGGATGGCACATACGTCTATCCCAGTGACGTTTGGCCCAGTAAGGACTTCAAGAAGGTGCTTGTCATGTCGGATTACCAGAAGAATTGGCGACACTCCGGTATTGCCAAATATTGGATCTTTGACGTCGAGACACAGACTGGCGAGCCTCTTGACCCTGAGCAGCCAGGGAGCATGATACAGCTGGCTTCGCTGTCACCACAGTCGGATGCGGTTGTTTTCACGAGGGACAACAACATGTTCCTCCGCAAGTTGAACTCCAAGGAAGTTATTCAAATCACAAAAGACGGCGGCTCTGAGCTATTCTACGGCGTGCCTGACTGGGTATACGAGGAGGAGGTCTTTCAAGGAAACAGCGCGACTTGGTGGTCCGAGGATGGTCAGTACATTGCCTTCTTGCGCACCGACGAGTCTACCGTGCCAACTTACCCTGTTCAATATTTCGTCTCGCGGCCAAGCGGAGAAAAGCCTAAGGCGGGCGAGGAGAACTACCCCGAGGTTCGCGACATCAAGTACCCCAAGGCCGGCGCACCTAATCCTATCGTGTCGCTACAATTCTACGACGTCGAGAAGGGCGAAGTGTTCAGTGTCGATATCGAGGACGACTTCAGCGACAAGAACCGTTTAATCACCGAGATCGTCTGGGCTGGGAAGACGAAGCAAGTTCTTGTTCGTGAGACCAACCGCGAGAGCGACATCCTGAAGCTCGTTTTGATGGACGTCGAAAAGCGCACTGGCAAGACAGTAAGAACCGAGAATGTCGCAGAGTTGGACGGAGGCTGGTTTGAAGTCTCTCAGAAGACGACATTCGTACCAGCTGATCCCGACAACGGACGCAAGGATGATGGCTATATCGACACAATCATTCACGAGGGTTACGACCATATTGGGTACTTCTCACCTTTGGATAGCGACAAACCTGTGTTGCTTACACAGGGTGAGTGGGAGGTTGCGGATGCACCTTCCCGGGTAGACCTCACAAACAACCTTGTGTATTACCTCTCGACTGAGAAGAGTTCAATGGAACGACACGCTTACTCTGTATATCTGAACGGTACTGGAAAGAGCGAAGTTTTGAAGGATGGGGGTTCAGGGTACTATGGAGCATCCTTTTCAGCGGGTGGTTCTTATGCCCTGATTTCCTACAAAGGTCCTGGTATCCCGTGGCAAAAGATTATCAGTACGCCATCGAACAAGGACAAGTACGAGAAAGTCATTGAGGAGAACAAGTCTCTTGATCGCTTCGTACGCTCACTCGAGATGCCCATCCTCAACTATCAGACGATCACCGTGGACGGATTTGAACTGAATGTCCTTGAGCGCCGTCCGCCGCACTTCAACCCTAAGAAGAAATATCCTGTCCTCTTCTACCAGTACAGCGGTCCGGGTTCGCAAGAAGTCGATAAGAAGTTCAAGGTCGATTTCCAGTCTTACATCGCCGCTAGTCTCGGATACATTGTTGTGACAGTGGACGGACGAGGTACGGGCTTTCTTGGTCGCAAGCTCCGATGCATCACAAGAGGCAACATTGGTTACTATGAGGCGCACGATCAGATCGCTGCAGCCAAAATCTGGGCTAGCAAGAAGTACGTCGATGCTGATCGACTTGCGATCTGGGGCTGGAGTTACGGAGGATTCAACACACTGAAGACGCTCGAGCAGGACGGAGGAGAGACATTCAAGTACGGAATGGCTGTTGCTCCTGTGACTGATTGGCGATACTACGATTCCATCTACACGGAGCGTTACATGCACACACCACAAAACAACGCTGAAGGATACGACAACTCTACCATCACCGATGTCACGTCCCTGGCAAAGAACGTCCGCTTTTTGGTCATGCACGGCGTCGCCGATGACAACGTACACATGCAGAACACACTTACTCTGCTTGACCGATTGGACCTTGCAGGTATCGAAAACTACGACGTCCATGTGTTCCCGGATTCGGATCATAGCATCTACTTTCACAACGCGAACCGAATCGTCTATGACAGTAAGTACACGGCTTTGTCAGTATTGCGAGGAGATTACTAACGGAGCTTTAGAACTCAAGTGGTGGCTTGTGAATGCTTTCAACGGCGAGTGGTCGCGGATTACAAATGCAGTGCCCAAGACACAAGACGATGCGCGGTCAATAGTACGGTAGGATGTGCATATTTCAGCTCTCGCATGCACATTTTGGTGTGTATGAACTGCTTAGGCGTTGAATGGCGTAGGATATCGTTATCGCCTTGTAATGAAACTTTTTGTTATACGACCAACAATCTAAGCATTGTGTTATTCTGCAGTGTGAAGGTCAAAGTTCGTGACAAACATTCGCACATGCATGATCTCGTACTCGTTAATTCATCACTTATGAGCACCAGAGCAAAGCTGTGGACCATGCTTAGCATGGGCCCGCAATTGAACATCACTTTGTGCCTACCTAACTATCGTGACTTGGCTACCACAGGCCTCATTTACTTCACGTTGCGTAAGCAGAAGCGTTTGTCAGCTCAAAAGTGGCTGGATTCCGAGGAACTGTCATCAGCTGCCCATTCCCCTCTTGGACCCCACTTTTGGAAGTTACAATACATCACACACCGTAAACATGACAGCATCTTCGCCTGCCTTCTTGCTTGTGTCGCTTCAACTGATTCCAGACTTGATATTCAACTGTATCTGATCTTCAAGATGAGCTTTGAGCCTAGCAATCTGGCAATTTGCGAAACATGCGGTACGCAGTTTGATGTTCCACTTGAGCAGCACCCAGAGACATGTCGGATCTGCGATGTACGTCCGTCACCAAACCCAAATTGGAGTTGAACAGTCTGAAGAGTAAGCGATTTAATTCATCCTCAGGATCCTCGCCAGTACGTTCCCGCCAGCGGCCAATCCTGGACCTCACTCTCATCTACCCAACCCCTCCAGAAGAACACTTTCGAAACCGACAAGCAAGACTCACGAATCCACTACATAACCACTGCACCTTTGTCTCCTTCTGAACTACCCCCTGGTCTCGCCGACTCCAGCACCACCCGCAAGCAATTGGGTATTGGACAACGCGCCATCCTACTTCAGACATCCGGTGGAAACGTTCTTTGGGATTGCGTCGCATTCTTGAACCCCGATACGATTAATTTCATCAAGGAAAAAGGCGGGTTGAAGGCGATTGTGATCAGCCATCCACATTTCTTTACGACTCACTTGGAGTGGGCGAGTGTGTTTGGATGTCCGGTATATCTATGTGGGGATGATGAGATGTGGTTGAATCGCAAAGATAAGGATGGTGTGAGGAAGTTGGTCAAAGGGGTTACCGAGATCGAAGAGATTGGAGGCGAGGCTAAGATGATTCAATGCGGGGGCCATTTTGATGGTAGTTCGGTGCTGTGGTGGGACAAGAAGTTGTTTATTGCTGATACGTTCATGAGTGTGCCTGTTAGTTCCCCTCTATTCTGTCTCGCTGCGTCATGTGGCTTTGGTGAGATTTCGAGAGCTAACGAGGAGAATAGTCTGGCTTCAACAACGCATACCGCGTACCAGATACAACATCGTATTCGTTCATGTGGGCGTATCCTAATATGATTCCACTGAAGCCAAAGGCGATTCACGGGATCTGGAAGGCGATCAAGCCATTCGAGTTTGATAGCACGTATGGAGGATTTCCAGGGCAGAATCTAAAGAGGCCAGACTTGAAGAAGCAGGTGTTGGAAAGTATGAAGATATTCTTGAAGAGGAGCGGACATGAGAATGTGGGAATCTTCGAGGAGAATGTTTGAGAAGTACTACGAGGAACAGTGATGTAGAAGACTGTAAGACTTGGCACGTCTTGTGGCCCTTAGTTGAGGCGTAGCGAGTAAATGCGACAGGACAAAGTAAAAGAAACACACAGCTTGTATTCAAGGAACGGACCACCATCATTCTACCACTGGTTTATCATAACACCGTCTAATGCATAACATGGACAACCACTGTACAATCGTAATACCGTTCAAGAAGAAAGAGCGCCCACGACGTCAAGATCCACATACAGGCTCTCCCGAGTACATGGTACCTATGCGAGAGAGCCCTCGAGAACCCAGATCTCGCCATTAGATACTTTGTCGGCTATGCTTGTGACCACGACGTCGGCTGGTTGGATCTGAAGTTGCAAGTTAGCTAAAATTCATTAAGGTTGAAGCACGCGAAAGAACTAGTGATGGTGAGCAAAAATAGGAGGCAGTAAGTACGGCACAGTCCCAGAGCCTGTTCCAGGCCGATATATTGGCAAAAAAAGAACCTGGGGTATCTGACTGAAGCCAGACGAATGCTGATGAGAGTGGGACTCGAACCCACGCCACTTTCGTGACCAGGAATATGTGTTAAGATAACCTTAACCTGGCGCCATAACCAACTCGGCCATCTCACCGTAACACAGTTAAATGTGATTGGTTGATTGATGGGTATCGTCGGATTTGCAACGGTCATATTTGTGATTGTGTAGGCGGAAAACGAAAAGACCCGGCGCACTGAAAGGTGGGGCGCGGGCATATCCAACGAGATGCTGAGACTACCAACATAGTGGCTTACCTTCTTTTGGCCGTCCTTAGACTCCCACCAGATCTCGTTTCCGGAAAGTGTCTTGACCTTCTTGCCCTCTTCCCACGGACTCTCTGGTATGATGTGCCGCTGTACGAAGCGCTCGAGGTTGCCCCGCGCGCGATCTTGCCCGCCGGTGCCTTCATATGCGTCCGCGCCAAAGGTGCTATAGTCCTCGGGGTCTTCCCAAGGCTTTCTCTTTAGATCGCGCATGATGCTGTTGTTCGGTGCCAGCACCGTGGCGTTCTGCGAGGCGTTGTCTAGTCGTCCAGAGACTGTGTCGATGTCCCTGGTCAGGCCGCTGAAGATGGCGATGTTCTGTGTCTTGCCGATAACATCGGATATGATGACACCGGTCGACACTTGTTCCTCAGGGTTGCCCATAATGTAGTCTCGAAGGGGCGACTGTTCGCTGATGATGTTGAACGACTGGATGATGCTCTCAAAGGGGCGGGCTTGCGCAGACGTGGCAAGGAGGAGGGAGATGGCTGCGAAAGGGTATGCGACGACAGATCCGGGCTTCATGATCGCTCAAGGCTGTGCATTAGGATGTCGTTACAGGTTCTGGGTGAACGCGGCGTTGGAAGGTGGGAAGCACAGACGTCATGCCGCGGTGAAGCCAAGACCTCGTGATCGCGCGCATGATCGTTGGGCGCCTTCTGAGCTTGGAAACCCTTTCTTCTAGTCCTCACTCATGTCTTCACCAACGTGATATACCGCGCCTCGGAGCGCGCGCTTATCTCTGCCGCTCTACAAACCAAACACTAGCCATGGAGCTCCATATTCCCACCGTCACTGTCGTGAGTGCAACAGCCTGGAGTCTGCACTCTAGGAAGTAGCAATTTGCTAACGTAGCCTAGGACGATTTACGCGCCTTTCATGCACAACACTTTCCACACGCATCGGCGCCAGAACACGTCTTACACGGCTTTGGGCCAGAAGCAGAGGCGGCCGAAGAGTACCTCGACGAAGCAGACGATGGGTTGGGCTACTACCCTGACGGCACGAAGCGCACCCTGACAGACGAGCAAATTGCCATGTTCCGACATTCGGAAATTCATGCTATGCTCCGCAAACGGCGGCTACAGAAAGAGAACGGCGAAGTCTCCGATGGCAAGGCTGTTTCTGCGAGTCCAGCACCACCTTGTGCTCCAACACAAGAGGACTCACACAAGCCCGCAGATGTTGACAACACACAGCCTGATAAACCTTCAGGGTCGAAGAAACAACAGTGGGCGACCACAAGCGCAACGACCAAAGCTAAGAACAAGAGAAAACGGGATAGATATGCGAAGAGGAGAAAAGAGATAAGGCTGGAGAGAGGCTTGCCACGAAGAAGGAGTGGCCGTGATGGCGCTGACAGCGATGATGGGAGCGACGAATGGGACGCATGGCATCAGGCTAATGGGCCTGATGTGCAGAAAGACGATACCCTCGATCTCGACTACTGAAAAGGGCAACCGCTACAACCTATTGGCAACCCACCACAACGGCAACATCCCTTCCTGCCGTGCCTGCTAGCTGGTAACGGACATCACATCCTCAGCCGACCTAAACTGTAAGTACTTTCTTCTCTTCACTTTCATGTGCAATGATGCAATCTTAGTTATCATCCTTAGGCGGAGGTGGTGCTGGGCTTGAGACGAGAGTGAAGACTGCTTGCGGCCTGATCCCTTGACTCGTCTAGCACCATCTATGATGAGTTTACAATCTTCTCTCTGAGCACATTCGTTCTTGCTGCAGTCATTATGGCCCAATCGCGTACTTGTACTGACTGTCACTAGAGGTATCTTCGTGAAGTGTTGACAACGATTCTACTAGGAGGCAGTATGAGGCACGCGTCGGCAAGAGGCAGTTATTGCTACATGATGGCAATGATGAACTTTAAACACCTTATTGACGTAAGTTTTCTGTCGGCAGTCTTTGAAATTAACGCCTACCCTGTTCCGTGAGCATCGCGTCCGGTTAGAGGTAATACTGTATTGATTAAGTAGCAACCCGTATGTAGTAATTCACATTACTCTACTCATTTGTTCTCACTCGTCTCCAATCCCCCATCCGCGTGCTTGCCTCCTCGCTCACCGAACGCACGGCCTCACGCTAGTCAGGCGTGATTTCCATGATACGGTTAACTGCTGTTTCCTTTCCTTTACCTTGAGTATCAATCTTCGAATAGCATCTCACATTGTTTGAACAACACCACGCTCAAAACGTCAGTCGCCATGGCGCCCCGCAAGACCACCGCTGGCGACAAGATCCCGAAAGCAAAGAAAGCATCCACTGTCAAAAAGAGCGAAGACAAGGTTATCAAGCGGCCCGCCCGCGGATATCACAAATTTCGGAATGGTCTGCTGAATGTCGCGCCCAAAGGTGATGAGAAGGAACTGTGGGCATACCCAATATCCTAGTATGGGCAACAGCTAACGTACCATCAGCACCAAGCAGAATCGGACCTCTCCACTTCTACGACTGCCACCTGAGATTCGCAATATCATCTGGAAACTTGTAAGGAAACGTCGCTGTACGAATTGTATGTGAGACATACACTGACTTCCTACGTCGACGTTAGGTGTTAGGAGGAAAAGTATATCGGACGTGGTTGTGTGGCCAGATTGGGTCTTCACCGACGCATACGACGAACGCCATGGCGCTTCTGCGCACTTGCCGCCAGGTGTATGCAGAAGCTGCAATTGTGCCGCTTACGCTTACGATGTTCTCGACCGATTACCCTTCGTACGCAGCGAGGGATCTGAGGAAGCTGAAGCCACACCAACGCAGATTGATCACATTCTTCCAGATGAACAGTTCTCATCCCGCCAACATAGGTCGTCTCTGTCGGTCCTACAGCTTAATTGCAAAATTACTCCCTTGCCTTCAAGATCTGCATATTCGACTCTTCGAGGTCTTAGATACATCAACTCATAAGGCCAACGAGGAGTGGATACGTGGGTATCTCGAGCCAGGCATTCAAAACAAGCCGATCACTTTAAAGATTGAACAGACTGATCAGAAGTGGATCAACGTCAATAATGCCTAAGATGGTGAGTAAGACGACGAGCATCCGCAATCCTCTTTTAGACATGTACTGACAAAGCTATGGCTACGCAGGTCTCTTCTGAAGTAAACGGCACTTTGAGATTCTTTTTTCTTTCCACTTTACAAGTGACCGGGGTAGTCACGAGGACCTAGAGTAGCAATCTGTATCGATGGGGAAAAATGCATATGACAGGCTATGCTGGAGTGCGGCCTTAAAAGCTTTTGATTTTGATACTTATACATAGCTCTGCTTAATATTCTCGTTCTAGAAGCACATCTCACTAACCTACGATCAAACTCTCTTCTAAGTTATTACTACCATCAAAACAGGTAATACGAATACATACCTGTCAATATGTGTTACGACTTCAACAGGAAAGTTAAAGTATTACCTTCGGGGTAAATTATAGTGTTTAGTGGTACAACTCGGTGACCACTCACCTCCTTCCTCTTACCTTGTCTGAATCACCTCCCAGGGTACAATCGGGCTTTCACTTGGTAATTGAGCCAGGGTATCTTTGTATTCATCAGCTCAGTCTCCTCGATGTCGTCAGTCACTTAATCACATCGTCCAGAAACATCGACGATATCATAATGGCATCTCGCAAGCTTGATTTCAAGAACCAGAAGGCCTCTACCAAGGGCACAAAGGCCTTTACCGACACGGAAGTAGTGAAGCGCCGGTATAAGAAGGTTCGCTTTCACGAGGATGGGCTACTCAATGTTGAACGAAAAACTGGGAAGTACTTTAAGATGTGAGTAATTGAGTCAAGGTGTGATTGACATTTCTTGCTGATTTGAATGCAGAGCGAGAGAAAACCAGCAGGATTCACTGTTGCTACGCCTTCCACCAGAGCTGCGTTGCTTGGTCTTCGAATATGTGCTTGGTGGCAACACATATGAGATCAGATACCACCAGAAAAGCGAGGCAGTAAAGCACACAACAATATCAAAGCACGCTCTCGCTTTGCTCTCCGTCTGCCGTCAAATCTTTGCCGAAACTGCTCTGCTGCCGTTCGGCTTGAACACGTTCTCGGTCTTTCACCCTCTGGTATTCAACATATGGATCAAAGGCTTTCACCTAGCTTTTGCCGAAGTTGTCACTTCCGTACGCATCAATATCCTTGCTTACCGTTTCCCGCTATCTCTGTGGTACAAAAAGTTTTACGATATACCTCGAGCTCAATACATTCCTCTTGACAGTTCTGATATACAGTTATCTTCTGTGCTCACCTCGCTCAAGGTCATACAGATTGCTTTTATTGTCAAAGCTACATCCATGGAAGATACAAATGTGATGGAGAAGCTAAACAAGTCGGGGGAAGAGATCAGAGGTTTCTACGAGTTGGCGAATAGCGGTATCAAAGTCAATTTGACCCGAAAATTGAGTAGCATAGTTCCCTTAAGATTCGGTAATACAAGCTGCCGAGTTCGGTTCTACTGAGAGTGGTTGATGATAACAAGCGGGCGTTGCGGGAGGAGAAGCAGGATTGGCGTCATGGACTATTTGTTAAAGAACCAGGTGTCAAGAGAACAGAAACCTCCATGCAGCTTAGTTGTGTATGTCCCTCCTGATACCTATTTCTACTAGCAGTTTCGAGTACATCCAAACGGAAACGGCAAGACCGCGGGACTCTTGTAACCTCCCTTGCCTACACTTCTCACTCCGAAAATGACGTTGTCCTTGTGGATAGTCGCGGAAGTAAGATTAAACCAGTTGACGTTGCCTACCTCAATCACATTTGTCCAGTGGGGCTCAATGGTGTCGCGATACAAGATCTCATATCCTTCTACCGGCAAGCCCTTCGGCGCATCCCACTTGAATTGACTGAAGTTATCGGATGTTGTGGTATTGATACCAACGTTGGTCGGCTCTCCAGGTGCGTTGGCTAAACTCCACATCGTGGATGCTACGACTTTAGCAGCGCGGGTGTTGTACTCGAAGTCTAACCATTCGACTAGGTCACCATATTGCTTGCCATTGCGTACAGTGACATTTTGACTAGATATGGGTGTATGAAGTCAGAAAATGTCTCACATATAGTTCAGGTAGGTATACTTACTGCTGCTGTGTGTAGTCTTCGTTAGGTTGAACGAATCGGACACCTGTGTATCCTGCCTCCAGGAAAGGGCGATGGTCGCCACCCCTGCTGTAGCGATCCAGACGATATATAAGGCGGACTGTCATCTCAGTGAAGGCGTTGGAGGCTACTTCATATATGAAGCGACCTAGGTTGCGAGCAGGGCTATCATTGTCACCGCCGATGCTGAGACGGGATGTAGTTGTCGTGGAGTTCTCTGTCAGAGGTGTGCCTTGGCAGAAGAGGCGGATGTTGTAAGGATCGACAGTACCGTCTGCGGCTTTAGAGTTACCAACCATATCGAGATTTATCATACCAGCTACATTCACTGATGCATTCTTGTAAGTTTGCGCCAGATTTTCCGCGCCGAGCAAACCTTGCTCCTCTCCCGCAAAAGCTGTGAATACAATGGTGGTCTTCGGCTTGTAATGCGCAAAGATGCGAGCAAGCTCTAGAGAGACCGCAACTCCTGAAGCATCGTCTACAGCACCTGGAGCATCGCCTTGGTAGTCGATAGGATCGCTGTTGCGCGAGTCATAATGGCCGCCTGTCACGTAGACACGGTCTGGGTCCTCGCTGCCTTTTAATGTTGCTACTATTGTTGTAATATTGACCGGGAAGATGATGCGTTCGTTGTCCCCAGGATATTTGATGAAGCTACAGAAGTGAAGACAAGAAGTTAGTACATGTCTGACATGCATTTCGTACAGGCACAAATACCTGTTCCAGTCCACAGTCATTCTTCCTTCGCTGGCATCAGCGGCTTCTTGGAACTGAGCTGTGAGCCATGTTCTCGCAGCGCCGATGCCTCGGGCCGGATCGGTTTGACTTGACAGGGTATGACGCGTGCCGAATGAGGCAAGTTTCCGGATTGTGCCCTCGATGTTGTCGCGTGATATCTGCGAAATAATGTCTTGAAGGTCTTCATCCGGCATTTGTTGCTCCAGTGGCTTTCCGACGACTGGTAAGGGCCATTGTTCCGTACTAGGGAATGATTGATGAGGATGGTGTACGTGGATCGGTGATGAGAAAGCAGTTTGTAGTAGTGCCGCTGTGCAGACTGCGAAGATGGGCGTGGACCGCATATTGGTTGGACTGGGATATTAATCTCAATTATAGATGTCATCTTTCCAAACGTCAAACTACAACTTATACTTCAACGCTTTTGCCATCCCACTCTTCACGACAGGCAGGCAGTCGACTGCCGGTATCTCCAGAACATTGCGATACCGCAGCAGCTACCGTCACCGGAGTAATGCAACTCTTGCTATCATGGCTCTTGACAGCGCAGATCCTGATCGTAAACGGAAGCTCGAAATGTTACCAAGACGCCAAAAGGAGCATTAGGGAAGACTTCAGCAGCAGCTGCTGCATGCTATGCTTGGCAACGGGTACCGTGTGCGGGGTTCTCCATTGAGCTTCCGAACGTTTGCGACGACGTGCGATAACACCAGGTCTCTCCCAAACCAGAAGACTATTAGTAACGTGGAAATGACTTTGCAAGATTTGCAACTTGTTATTGGCTGGCTTCGTGATGGCGCTGGCAGTGCTGGTGTCAGTTATTCGTCAAGGAACCAGATGCCTGGAAGTGTCGTTCAGCACTACCCAGCCATCAACGTTCGTTAGCCTTGGTGCCAGTCTTGGCAGATAGAAGTGTATTCCATATTTGAATGCACGCGTTTCCAGGACTCGAGTTCGTTTAATACCTATCAAGGAGGCTGGTGTTGGTGCTTGGCATGACATCATCGCATTGACATGGGAAGCCACCAAATTGCAACAATGCGACCTGGGGATAGTGACATGCCACTAACACAATGTATGCAGCAATGTCTTGTCGTCGAACATACATGCAAGCCACAAGAGGCGGCTGAAGTTCGGCGCTGTATCGAAGTTTTCTCACTGATCGACGCTTCATAGCGCCGCTACAGGCTTGACAGCCTCGGCATAACGAATCGTATCGTCGATGATTCTCACGTTGCGCAGCTTTGGCTGTAATCATGTTCTCTATTCGTCCTGGAAACACTATGTTCAACCCCACGTGTTTCATAAGCAGCCGGCGGTACCTGGGGTTCACTAACGTGAAGAAGAAGGTCGCGGAGAAACCAACCAGAAGTAGGAGCCCGCAATAAAGGGCCGATGCATCGCGCTGCATGTCATTTAAAGCGTCGGGGGGAAACTGGACGACCACTGGTCAACGTGAATGGATCACTTGTAGTCATTGGGTGTCAACGGCGGTAAACAAGAACCATCAAGGTCAACGACGCGGAGGAGAAGGTCGAAATGGTAGAAAGAGATGTATGGGTGAGGTCTGATGACAATTAATGCCAATGTGCTTACAAGAGACGATGCACTAGCGCAAAGAACAGTACTGTTGTGGTAATGACCATGTTCATTATGCATTGGGAGTGTGGTGGCTCGGGATACAAAAGGTTGAACACTGCACCTATTCTTGATGAACCATCGCTATTAGCTTTTTGCGGTATTCCTTCGTTTCTTCCCATCCAGCACTGATAATCTTTCACTATGAAGACTAGCGCTCGTTCCCTCCTCGCTCTTGCTGCCCTTCTCACCACTGCCCTTGCTGCGCCGACACCAGCGAACGGAGTGAGCTTCCCTATCACCGACCTCCTCGACAAGGACCTTACTGTCGAGGAGTATGCGGCACAGCTTGAGAACCAGAGTGTTGAAGAGCGTGGCCTTGCCAAGCGCCAGTACAATGGTGACACTTACAACCAACTGACCGATGGTACTGCATGCCGTCCCATTACCGTCATTTACGCCCGTGGCACGACCCAAGGTACGTTGGATCTGGAGAAACCCACATAGAATATGTACTGATTTCGATTGCGTAGCCGGCAACGTTGGCGAGGCTGGCTCAGAAGGTCCAACTTTCTTCAATGCTCTGGCTTCTCGTGTTGGAGGAATCAGCCGCTTGGCCATCCAGGGTGTGAATTACCCGGCTAACGTCCTTGGCTTCCTGGCTGGAGGAGATGCTGCAGGAGCTACGACTATGTTCAATTTGATCAACCAAGTGAGTGCTGAGATCACCACGCTCATATTTATAGCGATGCTGATCTGGCATCTAGGCTGCCACTCGTTGCCCTTCAACCAAGATCGTTGTCTCCGGATATTCTCAGGGCGCACAGCTTGTACACACTGCTACCCAGAGGCTATCAGCTGCCCAAGCCGCGCGTGTCACCGCTGTTGTAACATTCGGCGATGCCGACCGTGACGAGACCTTTGGCCCTGTTGCCGCAAACAAGGTTCTCATTATCTGCCATGAGGGTGACAACATCTGCGACAACGGTATTATCATCACCCCTGAGCACAGGAACTACGAGATCGATGCTCCTACGGCTGCGGCTTTTGTTGCCGCACGTGTTTGAGGCCGACAGTGACTAGGCCTGGATGCAGAATAATTCTTGGTTAATTTAATGGTTACGATGACCCATGCCGCGCACTGCTTGATCAAGATCTCCTAACCTTTCCTTGCTCTTCTTTCTAATACATCTGGAACACAAGTAAAGTACACTATGAACGACGAGGATATAGGTGCACGAACTGCAATTCAGGAAAGTGGGAAAAATTACCTTGACTAGTACATGATATTCAGAATTGCGTCTCTTCCCACTGCAAGCTTCTCCAAATCCCATCCGCGGGCCACTTTGTAGTACTGACTGGAAATCATTGTCAAAACTCGCCCCTACTTTGGCATCAACGACTGCTACTCGACCTGGGCTAGGGACTTCAATACAATCGCTACACAAGAAGACACCCTCGTTGACGTTAGTGTCAAGTGGCAGAACAGTGAAGAAAGATTCAGGCTGGCGAAACTGAAGATACATGTGTACAACGACAAAGCTAGAATGAGATTTGAATTGATGGGCAGATATACGCTTTATCATGTAAGGCGCATGCTGTCGAGCTTTTGCACCTTCCCGTCCGACGACTTGGAGAATTTTCAATTCCCACATCCTTAAGCGATCCCAACATAACGTGCTTCCCGTGTCTCATGTCGAAACGACGCATATATCCCAACTTTCGCGGATAAGCATCGCAAACCGACGAAAGCCGCGCTAAACTTGGCAAGCCACACGAAAAGTCGAGTGAAGTCATACCCCAAAGGGTGGAGGCCGGGCACGCATGGAGCGCAGAACGGCGCGCGAGTCAGTTAGCGCAGATGTCGTGCTCGCCCCATAGAAAACACCAAACGTCTCGATTGCCTCAACCTCCATCGCTAAGGGGAAAAATTGGGTAACAAGCTTGCCAAGGATCGCGGTGTCGTCCGAACTCTTAAGATATGTAGTCTCCACGTTGAACTGAGGTTCTTCACCTCATCCCGTCTTTTCTCCCCTACTCCTTTTCCGCGTCATCATGTCGTCCACCTCCTTGTCTGAGCCCTCGGACTTCCTCAAGGCTTCTGGGCCATTCTTCCGCTCGGTGCCTTTCCAAATCTTGGTAGCATGTGGTGTCTCGTTTACGGCCCCGGGTATGTGGGATGCTCTTGGTGGGCTAGGAGCTGGAGGAGCTGCTGAACCCTACGCTGTCTCCGCTGCCAACGCCCTGGTATATGGACTCTTTGCTGTAGTCTGTGTTGCTGCCGGAGCTATCAACAACCGGATCGGCTTGAAGTATGGTCTTGCACTGGGTGCTATTGGATATCCACTATATGGCGCAGGACTCTACACCAACAATGTCTCTGCGAACACATGGTTCATGTTGTTTGGCAGCGCTCTTTGCGGTATCTCCGCTGGTTTCTTCTGGGCTGCTGAGGCTGCTATCATCATCGGATACCCGTCTCCTGGAGACCGCGCGTTTTACCTCGCTATCTGGCAGACCGCCAAGGCACTTGGACCGATCGTAGGAGGAGCCATCAATCTTGGATTGAACGCAAACAAGAAGACCACCGGATCCGTTTCCTCGACGACATACATTGTCTTCATTGTCATCATGTGTCTTGGTCTTCCGGTCGCTCTGTGCTTATCACCAGCACACAAAGTCTGGCGAAGAGACGGCACACGGATCGTCACTGAGCGCGCCGCAACGTGGGGTGCTGAGTTCAAGGCTGTTGGCAAGCAGTTCGTTAGCCGCCGGATCTTGCTCTTGCTACCAGCTTTCTTCATTAGCTACTTCTACAACGGCTTCATGAGCACATGGTTGACAACATACTTCACGGTCCGAGCTCGCGCGTTCTCCTCGTTCTTCACCAACTTTGCCGGTATCTTCTCCTCGTTCATCATCGCCTTCCTACTCGACAATCAGAAAATTCACATCAAGACGCGTGGCCGCATTGCCTTCTCTTGCATTATCACCCTCTTGGTTGGTACATGGATCTGGGCTACAATTCTGCAAAAACAGAATTACGATGCATCAGAGTCTCCAGTATTTGATTGGTTCCAAGGCGGCTTTGGAAAGAGCTATGCGCTTGTTTTCTTCTGGCAATTCGGTGGTCAGGCCTTCCAGCAATTTCTCTATTGGTTGGTTGGCCAGTATGCGACGGACCTTTCTAACTTGAGCCATCTTACCGGTATTTTGAGAGGTGTAGAAGCGTTGGGCCAAACTGTTGCTTGGGCGTAAGTCTTCTTTTTCTTGAACGGCGTTCACGCATCATCGGCTAACAATCGTAACAGTATGCAATCAGAAGGTGGTGCGAACCACTTCGTCAGCATTGGTATCAATTTCGGCATCACAGTGTTGTGCGTCTTCCCTACCTGGGTCGTATTGTCAGAACTGGAGGGGAGCCACGAAGTCCGTGTTACAGAGGAGATAGCAAAAGACAAGACTCTGAGCGATACAGCTTGATGTGTTGAGGCACTGAGCACAAATATATTACTTATATCCTTCATGTCAATCGTACTAATACTTGTTGTCTATATACCACGCTCGCCAGCTCTTTCTGTACAGCGGAAAGATCAGCGACATTGACATTGAGATATTTAGGAGCGTGTCTCGGTTCTAGTTTGAACTGAAGTAGGAACTCGATAACTCCCAAGAGCTTCCGTGACCAGATACTTCAGGCAGTCCGCCCTAATTCGATTAGACAAAAAATCGGTTCGAGTGTCTAAAACACATCAAACCCAGTGCACGTGCTTGTAGACGTCGTCTCGATAGTGAAGTCAATTTCTGTTCAGAAGACTTTGCGGTAATCTTTTCGTAGCTCTCGACATACAAATGACAAGATCGGACTTGTTCCCATGTATGTCTCATGATTCAGATCGAAAGTCGCCCTACTTGGAGAATTGTGAGGACCATTTATGAGCGATTCAGATATCTGGGTCTTGATAGTCGGCGGTATCTGTAACATGGTATCCGACCCGCAAGGAGGAATACAGGACATAGAATAGCCGTCCTCGGATCCGGAAACACTGTTTGTGAGATAATTGCGACCATTTACCGAAGATGACGTACTTAGTATTGAGCATATCGCTCAAAGGAGATATTTGGAAGCCAGCGCTGGTTAAAGTCGTCGGTAGGCAACCTAACGCCATCTCTGCGTCCTGGCCTGTGATGTGAATACCATGTCTATTCTGATACCTTGATTTGAAGGGCTACACAATTGTCTTACCAAACCTCAAATGTGAAAAGCTGTAGATATCTCTAGATACGAATTCCGAGAATGATCGAACTGTCATTGGTACTGAGGACATCTCAGGGAACATGTGTAACCAACATAGAGGGCCTATCGCTTGGGCATACGAGACTGAAGACCAAGTAAACGCATGAGCTTTGCAGCGTCGTCGAGAAGGGGAAGTGACTTGGACTCATACATCCAGTTATCTTGATAGATCATTCTGTCTGAGCGAGGTGATTGATCAGCAGATGTTTCAGTATTCCATGATCCAGTTGACTGATGGGTCAAACGCGCCGGGAAATGATTATCGAAACAACCTTAGTGGAAGGTGGCTTAGTTGCCACGACGTGTTGGGTGAGGTTGCAGAACGTAAAAGGGACGCGTCGAACGCGTCGGCAAGTACACCCCGCCATTATCGGACGGCAAGTCCGACCGAGTTATGACATCTATGGTTCGGAGCTACCACCCCACCCCAACACTACTCCAACACTCCAACAAGACCTCCAACATTGCATTGTACATACTTGAGTGTAAAGATTCTTTGGTTGTGTATCCTCGAAAGTTCCCTCTTTCTTGTGCGACTACGGCAAACATGGCATCACTGCTGAAAAAGTCCCTGAAGCTCGCGCTCATCCAACTCGCTTCGGGCGCTGATAAGACGGCGAACCTTACATCCGCACGCCAAAAGGTTCTCGATGCCTCGAAAGCCGGCGCAAAACTTGTAGTGCTTCCCGAATGCTTCAATTCGCCTTACGGAACAAAGTACTTTGACAAGTACGCCGAGACACTGCTCCCGTCCCCGCCATCGGAATCGCAATCGCAGACATTCCACGCGCTAAGCAAGTTGGCAAAAGAGGCGGGTGTATATCTTGTAGGAGGAAGCATACCGGAGAGGGACAGCAAGGATACGAAGAAGCTATACAACACGAGTCTGACGTTTGCGCCCAGTGGAGAGCTGCTTGCAACTCACCGCAAGGTGCATCTGTTCGACATTGATATTCCAGGGAAGATCAAGTTCAAGGAGAGCGAAGTGCTATCGCCAGGCAACAAGATCACTTTGGTTGATCTACCAGAGTACGGAAAGATTGCGATAGCAATCTGCTATGACATACGGTTCCCCGAACTTGCGATGATTGCAGCAAGAAAGGGCGCGTTTCTACTACTGTACCCTGGCGCATTCAATCTCACAACTGGTGCATTGCATTGGGAGTTGTTGGCGAGGGCCCGGGCAACGGACAACCAGGTCTACGTTGGACTGTGTAGTCCAGCGAGAGATATGGAGGCCGAATACAATGCATGGGGACACAGCATGGTTGTCGATCCGAATGCGGCCGTACTAGAACAGCTTGATGAGAAGGAAGGTGTACTCATCCGCGAGTTGGAGGCAGGAAAGATCGAAGAGATCAGGAAGGGAGTACCGTTGTATGGACAGAGGAGGTTTGATGTGTATCCTGACGTCAGCGAAGGTGGCCGGTTCAAAGAATAGCATGAGCAATGATATCAAAACCGAGTAGACACGGAAACGTGTGTTTCAGTCTGTGTCCCAATATGCCATTTGCGGATTGGTAAGGCTGGTGGTGCCAGATCAGAAAGTTTTGTGAGTTTTGTTGATAGGAAAACGACTTTAGGGCGGTGTTGGGCTGAACAGGGCCCAAAGACGCGCACTGGTTGGGGGAGGTAGCACTGAAGCTAGCCATATCAACGGGGGGCTTAAGGGCACCTTGCCTCCAGCAAATGGGCGGCGCTCTACATGCGACACGCCACATGCAGTTGCACAAGACGCTGCAAAGGAGATATGCACCGCGCAGTAGAGGCGGAATGCATTGCAAAGGTATGCACTGTCTCTAATATGATTGATTTGCAGCAGCAAACACTGCAACTATATCCAGGGCGCAGCCTCGATAGATGCATCCTGTCACAATTGAGCTTCTTCGTACCAGCAGCGCGCGTAAGAGATAGGCGATAGATTTGAAATTGGGGGGAGTGAATACCTGGTGCCCCCGAAAACGGGCTGGTGACCGCCCAAAATCAGGGCACGTTTGCTGTTTCCCGCTGTCACTTAAGGTAGCAATCCCCCCGACCCCCCGAAATTTCAAGCGCTCCTCCCCGTCCAAGCTGCCGCGCCCTCACTCCCCAAACACCCGCCCGTCATTCTGTCTTCAACCACTTCGCGTACAACGCCAACCATCATGGCGCCCAAGAAAAAGGAAACGCCAGCAACTGGCCAGCTTCTGATCTCTGTCGCAGAGTTCAGGAAGACCCGCGACTCGGTACGTACCACAACTTGCTTCGTCTTGTCTGCCATAGCGACGCGCCTGCCTTCAGTTATCGCGTCGCGATGGCACCACGCTCAACACGGCGCCACCTTCACCTCGCCTCGTCTTTTCTTTTGTATAACCTTGATCGCCTAATCTACGCGACTCCAAACTGGCGACATTTGCCTATGGGCGGCTTCCTGCGCTTCTGCCAGAGACGCGTCAACCCCAGCTAGTCGCAATGGCGCCAGCGCAACCAAGATCGCGCAATCGCTCCAGTGCGACCAAGACTGTAGCGCACAAAGACGAAGCAATTGCTTACAATCACAATCAGGTCATTTTCAATCTCCACGAACTCCAGAATGGCCTGGTCAACGTCCAGCACGGCATCACCAGTCTCTTGGAGAGCTACAAACAGCACTGCCACTCGGTCCTCGGCTACGAAGAGGGTGCGACAACACCCTACAACAACGATATCGCTACACTCGGCGCTGCCGCTTCTGCCGCCTCCGTCCTCGAAGCTGGCCAAAAAGCCGTCGAAGAAGTAACCCAGGGCCTCGGCGACAAGGCGGGTGACGCGAGCAAGAGCAAGAAGCGCAAACGCGAGAAGAAGGAGAAGGACCCCAATGCGCCCAAGAAGCCGCTCACTGCTGCCTTCTTGTACCACCAACATGCGCGTCCCATCGTAAAGGCCGACCTTGAGGCCGCGCTTCCTCCAGGCGGCCAGATAGAGAAGAATGCTGTCCAGATCGAAGTGAACAAGCGCTGGAACGAGCTCTCAGAGGAGGAGAAGGAGGTAAGCATTCCCCATATAGCTCGATACCGTCTGGTCACTAACACAATCGCAGCAATGGAAGGCGTCTTACCGCAATTCAATGGAGGAGTACAAGACCGCGTTAGCTGCATACGTCGCAAATAAGGGCATCAAGGACGCTGAGCTTATCGAAGAGGATGACGCTTCCGACGAGGCCGAGCCCGAAGTAGAGGCTGAAGTCGGCGCCGTCGATTCCGATGTATCCTCTGAAGACGAGGATGAAGCACCAGCTGCCAAAGCACCCTCTCCACCTGCAAAAACTCCACGCAAGCGCCAGAAGACAACTCCAGCTGTCAATGGCAACTCAATCCCCGTCTCCATCGCTCCCGCTGCTACTGCTTCAACTCCAGTCCCACTTCCGACCTCCCGCACAGCGCCGCAAACGACAGCCCCTGCCTCCAATGCCGTCGCCGAGACACCTGCGAAGAAGGATAAGAAGAAGAAAGACAAAGCCGCACCACAGCCTATCGCCCCTGCTCCAGCCACCTCCCCCGACGAGCCCAGCCCCGAGGAGACTGCCAGCAAGAAGAAATCCAAGTCTGGCCGTAGCACACGCAACAACGAGGTCGAGGGCGACAAGGAGAATACAGCGCAGGAGAAGGAAAAGACTGAGAAGGCCGAAAAAGCCGAGAAAGCTGGCAAGGAGAAGAAGCGCGATCGCAACAAGAGGAAGAGCGAGGTTGCTTCAACCTAGAAGGTAAAGAAGGCACGCAAGAAAAAGAGGCGCGACCACAGGAAGAGAAGATCTGCCTCAACCCAGACGGGTTTCTTCCCGTCGTGATTTATCCACAGCATGCGCTTCCCTTTATGTTTCTCACATCACTTCAGCGAAGGAAATGTGAAGCGAGTACGTCCCTGGCACGAAAATGGTGGCTAGACGCAACATTCTGTACTGTATGCTTTTCCCCGTCGCTAGGTTTTTTTGGAAAGGCGAATGGTGTGAATAAGCGTACTGTACGACACTGTCTTCGGACGATCATCTTCTTAGTATAGATATCAAGGGGATTTGCGAATAGCATGGTTTCTTTACATGGATGCTTGCCCCTCTGCTGTGACTATGTTTATCTGATGATGATGATCATGATGATGGAGGTTAGAAGCAAACACTATCTTCTGCTGTATCAGTCGCAGAGGCCGAAGATTTTCAATCCATTTCATAGCATACTTCGTGCTTAGAGATACATGCAGATTAAAAATTCTTTAGTATCCAAGTGGGTTCGTCCCAGGAACCTTCTCCATGCCAGACCCAAGCTTCCGGCTTTACCGAACGTCAATGTGCAGATCCAATGACCAGTGTGTCCAAACCAAGTCTCTATGCAATCCCACTATGCAGTGCCCGTCTCCTACCCAGCTCCAAAGGCTCTCTAAGCCTCTAGTGCATCAGCAAATACCTCATCTTCCTCACTGCTCTCCTCCATCTCATTCTTGAATCCCCTCCTAGCCACCGCGTCCTCTTTTGCATTCTTCCCCTCTCCCTCCACCGGCTTGCCAGCCGCAGCAGCAAGCACACCCTCAGCGCCAGCGATGCCTTTCATCATCTCCGCACCGTAAGCAACACGCTTCTCCCTGACGTCCTTCAGGTACTCCAGTGTGAGTCTAGCACACTCTTCCTTGGCTTTCTTCTTGCCATATATGTTGCGAACTTCGCCGATGGGTCCTTCGTGGGGGCCTGCGCCGCGGAAGAAGCATGTCACAGTATGGAAGTTGGGATCTTCGGGATGAGAAGTGTATTGCCATTCTGGTGTCGGGAGAGCGAGTATGACTGCTAGACTGGCAACTTGTTGAGCATAGCTCTTAGTACCGGGAGAGGCTGTTGATGTAGATGCTAGAGAAGGAACAAGGTCTGGTTCTGATATTGATACCATTTCGGGAATACTCGGTTGGGCTTTTTTCTTCTTGATACCGCCCACGAGAGTCACGTCCTCAGGCCATGTGCCAATGGACTTGAAGTACTCCACGGCATGACGGGCGGCGTCCCGACGCGCAGCTTTCTTGGAAGAAAAGAGGTTGTTGATAGAACCGAATTCCCTGTCCAAGCCTTCAATGGTGAGGATGCAGGCAAAGCGCTGGCCGGATTGGTAGTCAGTATAGGTTGGCTGGGGTGAGTTGGTGGCGCGCTGGAATTCTGTCGGGTATGTCAGTCAGACGGAACGCTCCAAGTAACCGGAGCCCTTGAAAAAGCGTGCCTTACAGTAGTACAAGGATGGAAGAGAGATCAACCTACCGAGAATCTGACCAACATAGTTCTCACCAGGCTCCTTCTCCTTGACTTGCTGCACAGCCTGAATACCAGCATTCTTCTTCTTACTCTTCTCCGCCTTCTGGATCCTCCCCTCTTTCTCTAACCCCTCAAGCACTATTAATGCCTTCTGGCTCATGGCTTCTTTAGCCTCCTGTTTCCTGTTGAATTTCTTATCTGCGCTCAGGCCTTGTAGCTCATCGGCATTATCTAGACCAGGAAAGCTCACAGAGACAGTCCATCCAGTCTCACCGCTCCCTCCATACGTGAACAGCGGTTGCGGAATGCCGAGCGCCTGATACTTTTCGTGAAGAAGGATGGTATGCTTGGATGAACGGGCACCAACTGCCACGGGCTTTAGAGAAGCGACGTTCTCATTGCTCTTAGTCTTCTTCGATGGAGGACCAGCAGAAGCCGCACTTTTTGCTTCGCGGACGAGCAGCTGAGATTGGTGTGCATCTTTGTGCTGATTAATGAAGTCTTCGATCCTGAAAACGCCATCAAGCGGAGTACTATTACTCTTGATTTCATCTACGTGTGTCGACCCGAACGCGGGCATTTGAATTGGTGTATCGGCCTTCATCTTGCGCTTCTTAGCCTTATCGTAGGAGCCTTGTTGATCGTGTACAGTATCAATGTCAAAGGGATCGGAGAATGAACTTGTTGAGTTGCTGGCAGTCAGATTTGATGACAGCGGAGAAGATGAAGGAGGCACGATCAAGTGTCTCTTTAGATCCTCTCCTGGTGTGTACATGGCAAAGATGAACAGAGATGGAGCGAGCGATTGCTGTTGCAAAGCTTGGGGTGTGGAGCTTAATGGTGTTTGCCCCGCTCAATGCATGCATGCAGGCGTGATAGCGCGACAGCGCGACAGCGCGTTTGTATATGTAACGCGCCGTGTCGCTTTAGCAGTAAGCTTTTGGGTGCGAATGGCATAGACAAGCATGCGGTGTAGAGATCTTGTTAGGTAACGACGTTATTGTTGGTCGAAGCAAAGGACCAGGCGTGCGGGCTGACGTCTGGGTTTGGAGATGGGCTCCGCTTGCCTGGCGGGTGATGCCGCCGCCGTTGGTAGTCCCCACCTACCACAAAGTCCTTACAGGCCGCCATGCTTGTCGTATGCATAGTCCCCAGGCTCACCGACGATCACAACTTCTACGTGCATATGCCGCCTATTTTAGGTTTCTATGCAGGACGATCGGCTGTGCAGCGCAAGGGACGCCCTAACGACCGTTGAAAGCCTAGCTGGAAGCCCTACGCCACTTCCGTTGTTAGTATACAGTCTTGAGTGACTCAAATTCTTCTGTAAGTTGCATACGTCAGTATTTCTAGCATGTTTCAAGTCCAGATAGTGTCAAAGAGCTTAGTAGCTTAAAGGGCGGTTTGAGTCAGTGGGCACGAGCGTATCGCGATCAATGTGTCGAGATGTGCAGTACCAAATGAGCGTGCGTCATTACATTATCGTTACCCTCTAGTCTCTTGAACAATATGTCTAATCATGATCTTCGTAATACAAAAATGGCCAGCATACAGTCATACCATCATGAGCAGCAACCCAGTCGGCCACTCCCATCTAATAGCTTCTATCCCTTTGATTTTTCTCAGTCAGATCTGGCACACCATGCTCGGAAATATGTGCATGCTCTTTCTGGTGATTCATCCAACTGCTAGTCCTTTCCTCAAATGATCTCTGTAGTTCTTGCAAGTCCCATAGGCTATGACCGGCATGAGCGTGCACACCATGAAGACCAGTTGCCACCGACTCCTCTCTTTGATTGATTCGTTGATAAACATCGTGGTCATGTGAGTTTCCATGATCTTGTGCTGGCTTTGTATACTCGCAGGGATCAATGTAGGAACCATACTGCTCAGCTGTATGCTCGAGATGCGATATCAGGTGTAGGTGTTGCCAGTTAGGTTTGATGGAAAAGCAAGCTAGATCGGTGGACGTCTGCAAGCCATTTGCGTTCACAGGGACTAACTGGCCATGTTCGCCTATAGCAAGTCCCATGGCCGCAAACTCGTCGTGTTCCAAGCCAGCAAGTGAATGCAAACCTTCGAGTCCAGCGCCCTGGCTTAAAAAGCTTCCATAAGCCGCTATATTTGTAGCAGGCTCAAAGACATCGTTGATAGTCATGTGACCATCGCTGAAGTTGAAGTCGCTGTCGTGCGCGCTCGACGACAACGTAGCTTGATTGCGTGGCAGTGCGAAACTTTGTTGTGAGAAGCCTATTGTAGTGGTAGCCGCAGAGCCCTCTATATGGTCTAAGTCTGATTGCATGGATCCAAGTATATCGATAGAAAGTGGCGGTGGATGACGTTCATGATGAGACTCAATCTCATGTGAGTGATTCGAGGTATGTGTTTGTACCAAGTCCGCTGGTAGCTGTGGAGTTTGGTAATATGTCATGACGTTCGCAGGACTGGATGTCGGTACATCCGTGACTTGCCCATGCTCAACCTCCACATCACCCAGATCTTTGTGGTAGTCTTCCGCCTCATCGCCCCGTCTCGTTTCTGCAGCTGACCGATTCTTAACGAAATTGAAAGGACGCCACTTCATGCTGTCAGCTTCCGCTGAGTTCCTCGTCCGCTGAAATCTCCAAAGGACAGTGCAGAGACATTGAGCCTCGTTGGTGCCAGGTATGATACCGTATATATCCTGTACTGCTGTGAGGCTTGGGTCTTGGACACTTCTGAAATCTCTGTAGCTCATGTTACCACATCGTTTCATCCATGTCAACCAAAAGGCAGCGTCAAGCTTGACACGCAAAGCGCCTTTGGATCTATAAGAACCCGGCCGGTACTCACATGACGTGCGATGTTCTTTTCCATCATGAGTCATGCTGTCAAGTTCCGAATCGACAAAACCTTGTCCGTCGTTGTAGAATCGCGTCATGCATTCCATATATTCGTATCTGGAAAGATCAAGATGCGAGTAGAGAGTGAATGCGATGGTAAGATCAGCCTCTAGCCGTACTTCTGTCATCAGCTTGATGGGTACGGTGCAGACCAAAACGTTGCGACCGTTTCTCATCCAGTCATCCGTCTCGGATCGCAGGAAGTCAAATTCAGGGTATTGGTGATGCCAGGAGGCAAGATCTGCGATATTCCATTCATCAAGCTTGCCGTTCGAGTGCGCTTCAATCGAACAGTGCACGAGCTGGTCATCACCGTGAACGATCAGGCTAAGGTCTGTGAGTGTGAAGAGCGATGACAGCGAGCGATTTTCAGGGCCGGAACCCAAGGCGAGGTCCTGTTGTGGGTCGACGAGATGCGGCCACACGTGCGGTGAGGCCATGTTGTACTCATATTTGGTAACAGAATCAGTGCGCTGCGCATGTTGGCGGCCACGCATATGTGACGAATGACATGTAAGAATGGGTGTGCTCGCGCATCGGCGCTTCGTTATGTCCTCTGGTGTGGCCATATAGAGAAGGACTATGGTGCTGGTTAGTCTCATTCCGGTAGGCCCTGGCGCAACCCTCCTGATGACACTAAGAATAGCAACGGCAAAGCCACCGCCACTTCTTTCTAGAAGGACTTTGGAAGATAGGAACTTTCCGAAGGCCTGATGTTTGGTCGATGTATGCAGGGCATCCAACGGAACATTGGGAGCCACATGTGAGAAGACTCATATCGATTGGTATAATGTACGAAATGGGGACTCACCAGCAGGAACAGCCCTGAGTTTTTGCTTGAGCACCTGGAGGTGGCTAGAAATCTGTTTACGGTCGCGTCTGATACCTGTATCCCTGTAGATGGAATCTTGGATCAGCTCGTTTCGACCTCGCTGTGTGCCCTCGAGCATGTATTTCTTTCGACCCATTGGTGGCCATCTTACGAGTGCTGTAGTATGCTAGTCAGCCCTCCGATACGAATGCCGAAACAAGGCTCAAATAGAACAATTAGAGGACAACGATCGTTATAGGCAATGCAGCACCCTCATGTTAGAATGAGATATAGTGAGAGTGTCATCTTACCTGTCCAGAAGGCATGCTCTATGAAATCGGGCCAGACTGTCTTGTCCTTCTCTTGCTGAAGACCCTCCGCTTTTCTCCTTTCCTGCTCCTTCCTCTCCGCTGCATCTCTTGCAATGACTTCGGCCGGTGTAAGAGCGGGCTGTTTCTCTCGATAGGCCTGGTATTTTTCCGATCGTTGAAGTAATTCGTACAGTCGACCAAGTTCACATCTGATCTGCTTCTCCGACCTTTCGACTACAAAGCCCGCAAGCCCAATGTGTTGTGCGTGTACATTGCCAGTGTAGTAGGTTCCTGTAGTGACGCACTGCTGCGCGTAAGCGTTCTCGGACGGACTCAGACTGCCTCGTTGCAGTTGTAGTGGAGCCGTGACGTTGTGACTTTTGGAAGATTGCTCAGCGCGATGCTTTTGAAGGACACCTTGGTGCTGGAATGGGCTCTCGGCCGGAGTGCCTTCCAAGAGGGGAAGATGCGCCGACGACCCGCATAAGGGTTGAGATTTGACTTGCATGGTGGGCTATGGCATCTAACAAAAAGGTACACGAAGAGAATGGTAAGAGTAAGAATAGAAGCTGACGCAGAACACAATGAATGTTAAGCAACTGGAGCAACAAGCGCGGTGAATGATGATGAGGATGCAACTGAGTATGTGGCGAAGTATGCAGATGGTTACATTGACATAAAGTATGGTCCAGATGACCAGCCCTAGGCAGGAGGACTACATGATAGGCAAGTAGGCCATAGCACCCACCGTAGGGTGCGATACGATATCCGCTAACCTGAAACTGATAGAGGGGTCAGTCATCGAGGTGACATGGCCAGTACCATGGGATTAAAATTAACGTGCTTTGTGGCTTCATCATGGCCGCAAAAGACGTTATGTTTGGACTGTTATCCATGTCATCATCATATCTGTTTGGACTTCTTCGTCTGCTGAAATGGTAAATGTAGTGTCGTTAGCAGAGGGATCAAAGGCATAGAGCCGACTGCCATCTACTCAACAGTCATCTGATTGGTTGTGTCCAAGTAGAACCCTCACGGATTGCTCAGAACAAGAATCGATGTCAGTGGCCGCAAACAACAAAGTACGTCAAGTCTGCGTGATCGACAAACGTCTCGTTCGTGGCTGTCTTACTCCCTTTGGAGTAGTCTGAAACGCCGTGTGGTGGCCACGTCCATTCATTCACTCCGCTGGCGGTATACCCTGCCAAGGCTTAGAATGCGGTGTTCTAGATATAGCGTCGTGCAGATGGTCAAAGCCCTCTACTACTTTCAGCGGACCGTGGCGAAGGGCGGCCTGGCTCGCGTAGTCGGGGAGTAAGGGATGGCGTCAAGGCCTGACTGTGTCGCGCGCGCGACTCCTACCAGAATACATTCGCGCTCAGTCGTCAAGATCATCAGTGCCTGCAACGTTAAATTTCTTGCGACCACCTTCTGTAAGGCGTTGCAAGGCGACCTTGTTGGCCTGTGCTCCCACCTTCTGTTGCATCTTCTCCAGTTCCTTCTCGGGGTCATCGGATTCGGTCTCAGCAAATGCAAGGACCAACCGGCGACCGAGCAAGTGAGTGTTCTTCAATGCGTTCATAGCGTTGACGGCGTCGCGTTTTGTGGTGAACTCTGCGAAACCAAAACCACGCGAAGACGCATCGAATTTCTTGGGCACTCTGACAGACCGAAGCTGGCCGTAAGGGGTAAAAAGAGCGCGAACGTCCTTTTTCTGTAGCCAATATTAGCAATCGCTTTGTCACTATAATAAAGGGATCTTACGCTGGCTTCGAAGGGCAAGTTCTTGATGATAATCTTCGTGCTTGCCGCCTTCTTTGCGGCATCCTCGTTGCGACGTTCTTCAGCAGCATCTGCGCCCTTGTGAGAAGCTTTTATCTGCAGTTTATGTCCTTCAAGATCATGTCCATCCATAGCTCTTAACGCTGCAGTGGCAGTTTCGGGGCTATTGAACTCGACGAAGCCAAAGCCCATGGACAGCACGCCTCGTTTGGGATCGATCTTTGTCTTGACCTTGGCGCTACGGAAGCCGGATAGAGGTTTGAATGCCTCCGTGAGACGCTCGGTCGTCGTGGAGAAGTTCAAGTTTCGCACATACAAGGTAGCGGTGTTCGTTGCCTCGGGCTCTGGGGCATCAACAAGCAGATCAGTCGCAGAAAGCTTCGCGCCAGGCTGTGTAGACTGCACAGGTTGTGCAGTAGGTGTCGTTTGCACAAAGTTGGTTGCCACACCTTCCTTGAACAGATCCTTGGGAGCCTTTTCGAGATAGAGAATCGAGTCTTTCATCTTCCGATAAGACAACGACATGAATGCAGTCTTCGCTTGCGCAACATTGGAAAACTCAACAATTGCTGTCATACCGGTGGGTGGCATCAGAAACTTTGTTACGGTGCCATGTTCCTCGAACATCTTGCGAAGCTCATCGGCCGTTACACCATGAGGTATGTTCTTGACAAGGATAGCAAGATCACCCTTGGCGCTGCGCTGGAAGGCCTCCAAGTCAACGCCGTGTTGCGCAAAGTATGATTTTGTCTCTTGAATGATGTGAGTCTCAGCATGCGCCTGCTTAACTGCGGCATCTGCTGACGTGGGGTCGAGCAACTCAGCTTTGCTGATACCCATACGACTTGCGATGGTAGACATAACCGCATCAGCGTTCAGGTAGAGTGAGTTCCAGTTGAAAGTAGCCTTGACAGCATTTTGCTTTCTTCTGATCTCCTTCTGCTTCTTGAGAGGCAACTTAGAGATCTCATAGTCGTCGAGCTTAGTGTCTTTCTTTGCCTTTGCTGAGATGATGTGGAGAAGACGTCCCTGGAAAATGGTATTATCGTTGTCGAGGTATGCTTCAACTGCTTCGTTGGGGTTTTGGAATTGAACAAAGGCAAAACCTTTGCCCTTCCCGTCGGCCTTCTTTAGTGGCACATGCACCTGCAGCAGTCAGTAACTGTTCGCATCAGAATGTACGTAAGTGCACGCGTGGTGTTTGCCGCTATCAGATAAGAAAGACATCTACTAAAATACTTTCCAAGGTGACCTCAAGTGCCGAAGCATCAGTTGTCCCTATCTTGATGTTCATCATTGCATGGGCGGGTAGTAAAAGAGATGGATCGTTACTTACTTCCTCGAGAGCTCCATGTTTGGAGAATTGTTCTTTGATTTCGTCTTCTGTCACCTCGTAATGCAGGTTTCTGAGATACAGTCGACCAGTTTCACGAATCTTGTCTTCTTCGTTGGGCGCAGCAGCATCGTCGGGCTGCTCTTCCGCTTGGAGTTGTGGCTCCGGCTGCGCCTCAACAACGCCCGGGGAGGGCGCAGCGGTTACATGAGTCTGCGGGGCTGTTCCCTGTGGCACAGTTGCGACAGTCGCATTCGATGGTGCCTCGTCGTCTTCGACTAGCTCAAGAACCCTGTTTGTTCTTGATCGCAACCAGTCCGCATCAGACACAGGTCCTTGTTCGACAGCTGGCGCTCCTTGGATGTCTTCCATCGCGTCGCCTCCATTTGCCACTTCTGCTTGGAGCCCTGTTGCGCTCGCCTCGGCGGCTGTGGGCTGTGGGTCTGCAACAACAACCGCAGGCTCTTCTGCAATCTTTGGCTTTTTCGAAATGACTTGATACTCGTCATCGCTCTCGTCTTCTGGCACAGCAACCTCTGGTACAGCCTCATCGGCGGGAGCAATAGAAGTGTCATTAAGCTGTGTATCGCCATTGGCCCAGATGCTAGTCTTGGATGGCGGCTGATAGACCTCGAGGAACTCCTTCAGCTTCGGATCCTGTTCGGCTTCTTCTCGCTTTCGCTTGAGATCGTTTTCTTGCCGTTGCGGTCGGTACTCGTCGCTTATCGGAGCGCTCTTCTCAAGTTTCTGCTGCCGCCGGGACTTTGGTAGTTCCTTGTCGGCAATCTGCGCATGTTAGCCCCGCTTGTCGCCATCGTGATCGCAAAGTACATACAGGCCGTGCAATTTCGGCATGGATCTTGGTGAGCTTGATGAAGGTCTTATTGAAATACTTGACCGCCTTTGCAGCATCTTCGGGCGTCTTGTAGCCAACATAGCCTATCCTTCGGTGCGGAAAGTACTTTACGTCAGTGACGGGTAGCTTCAAGCTTCCGAAGTGCCTCCTCACGTCGTCTTCGCTGAACTTGGGAGGTAAGCCACGAACGAAGATACGTGACGACTCCATGCTGGGTGAGTTGTGGTGTAATGCATGAAGTGACGGATGTCAAGGTCGCGTTTAGAGGAAAAAAAGTTGTACGCACGGACTCATCTCCGGTTTAGCGCGCATTAGTCTCGTCGGCCGGGGCCCGAGCGCTGACCGCCGCGCGAGCGCCTGCTCAAACATCATGACAAAGGCATAGCCTCACTCGACCACACGCCTTATAAGACCTCACCTACTTCTAAGAGAACAACAGTTGAATCACTCAAACGCGCACTCACTTCCAACCCGACACCATGGCTAGCGACAAGTCAGATGCCCACAAGCAGGATGGTAAGACCCTTTGTTCATGCCGGTACTTCTGCCAAAGCACAAGCTAATGCTATATGCAGCTCAAATCAAGTCCGCCGACATGGTACGGGACAATCAGATTGCTTCTTCCGATACCATCCTAACATGTCTCACAGAGTGAGGAAATGCAACAAGAGGCTATTGAAGTCGGTAAGTCATCCCATTCTCAAGTGCGGCTGACAGGAACGCTGACATCTCGTAGCACAGTCGGCTATGGAGCAGTTCACTATCGAGAAGGTGGGTCTCCAATATCTACTCGGTTCGAGACTTTACTGAGACCCGGTTAACCATGGATGTGTAGGACATTGCCCAGTATATCAAGAAGGAGGTAAAGACAGCTCTGTGTAACATCCGAAGCGCGCGCTAACACTTCCGCAGTTCGACAGCCGAAAGGGTGCCACATGGCACTGCATCGTAGGCCGCAACTTTGGAAGCTTTGTCACACATGGTAAGTAACTCTGCTTCACCAGAAACCTTTGAGTAGCAGCATCTGATCGATGCTCAGAGACGAAACACTTCATCTACTTTTACCTCGGTCACTGTGCCATCCTACTTTTCAAGACTCAGTAGACGAACCCGACTGGATCAAGGCGCCCTCATCCTCTGAGAACCTCGTCCCTCTTTACCATCGAAGCCCTTCGTTCCGGGCCCAATTTCAGTCTGGTCTCAAACTGGAGGATGTTACTTTGTTCTTACAGTGTAGACAGCATCCTCTCAATGGGGTTCACGGGTTCTGCGATTCAGCGGCGTTGAACGGCAAAGGCATGATCTTGAGCTTGTAACATCTTACTCCTAACGACTGTCACGAGTCTCTTTTCCACTAAGTGGCTTTGGAGGCTACCGCTTGATACCATAATGAAGCGTCCATGCTTACTTTTGTTCCATCTCCCATGGTGTCCACGGTGCCTTTATAATTGTGACCAAGCGACCGCCGTCTGCTGCATCCAAACTGATCCTACGAGAACATACACACTCGTAATCTCCCTTCATCCAAAGCACCGCGGAAACTGCGGAAACTGACAAGCTCGTGATACGTATGTGAGTATGTAATAGTGCTGCGGGCTTAGCCGCTAGCCCCATGGAGCCCCATGCCCTGGAGCCAAGTGTGGCTGAGACGCAACATGGATGACGCAGCTTCCTCGGCGCCAATACTCTCTCTACCAGAAACATCGAAGCAGCGTCCCATCCCAACGCCTCTCAGACGACCCTTTTTACTTTCAACTTCGTTCCAAACAGGATCTCCATCATCAAAAACCTCCGTACTACGCGCCGCTACGTCCGCCATATCATAAACGAACAGTAGTCAACAATCGAACGCGTATCCTCCGTATCGCTTGTCGCACGCGCATCACTCCACCAGCTCGACATCATCGAGACCCGACCCATATCAAAGAGCCACACACCACAGATACCGCTGTGTTATCCGCGCATATAGTCTGCGATCATGTTCTTTTTTTTCACTTGCGGAACACATAGTACGTCTCCCACGGGTCTACATTCAGTCTTCCGCATCCCATCCTATCTCATTCCATACTAGCCCAATCTCCAGCCAGAAGGCTAACAGTTCCATTAGCATTCACATCCCAGCTTAAAGGTGCCGAACACACCGTCCTCAAATGTCTAAATTGCGGCAACATGACGGGCCGCGTAATGAAGCGATGGGAATGGTTTACCTTTTGCTTCATCCCCGTTATACCGTTTAGTCTGAAGCCTTACAAGGAAGTTGGGTGTCATGTATGCAATTTCTGGCAAGACATTGCGTATCGTGAGGAGCCTGAGCTACAGCAATTCGGCGGTGGGACAAAGGTACAGGGTGTTATGATGAACCAGTACGGCGGGCCTCCCAGTGGTGGACCTGGTGGTGCTCCTGGATATGGACCACCACCACAGGGAGTACCGCAGTATAAGTAAGTAAGGAGACTAGGAGCGCATTCATGAAGTTCGAGAGGCGTTGGTAGTGAGAGTGTCGGAGTGCCCTGGGACGATACCAAAGGAGGACGAGAAAGAGCAGATGATGCTATTCTTGGTGTGTATTTGAATTTTTGTGGTGTTTTACCTGGCGTTCGGGAATTCTCGTTGTACAGATACCATCATGTTTCTTTCACGTTGTTTTTGATCAGATTGCTCCGCACCTTTCGAGCATTGGGTCTCCTGGTCTTTGTTTGTGCTGTACGCACCACTGTCTAGCGTTCGAGACAATCCTTTGCAAAAAAAAAAAAAAACAGAAAAACGTCTGAAAAGAGGATCATTACTCTGTCAACTCCTACAAGCTAATCATAGCATCTTCCCTCAACATACGGCAAAGCACATGACTCATGTACGCATGGTCTACAACCCTTCCAGAACAACATTTGATGCTGCGTCCTTGTATGCGTCCGTCGCCCGTTCAAACGATGTGTAGAGTTTCTTCGTTTCCCAAAGGAAGGTCAGACACCTCATACCCATTGCGAGTTTCGAACTCTACCAAACCAATCCGCTCGTATGTGTGCTTTGCAGTGTCCAAAGGTCGCAGGACCAAAGCATCGAAGAGATTGTTCGACTGCATTTGGTATACACTCAGGATGAGCGTTCTCACCTGTCTAGGAGGCGTGGAAGGTCTACCTGAACTCTCCAATTCAAAGTCAAGGTAAACATTACGAGGACACTTCCTCCAAGCTCGATGGTCCCGGTATTGGATAGTTGTGGATAGCGGCGCGTTATAGTGGTAAGTGGCTTCCATACTGTCTAGCAGACATCGACCTCGCAAAGTAATTTTTGCGGACAAAAGTTCACCGAACTCATCTGCCCCTGCAGGCAAAATTTCTCTGGTGACATACGTAGATAAAAGCGTACAGGCTGAACTCCAGTTTGGCCATGTGACCCGACCAATGACAGATGCCCATGACCATGAGGGGGCGCGCCATTGTTGCGGTCTGCATGATTTGTCCTTGTGATCAGAGTACCACAATAAATCGTGTATGATACTATTTTCCCACAGGCCAGCCATATATGCTGACTTCTTGAGTTGATACAACTGCTTGCCGATGCCCTGTAAAGCCGGGAAGCAGTCTGTCTCATATGTCAAGGACGAATTACTGTATTCGCTAACAATAGCATGCCATAGATCTGTGTATTCCGCTTCGCTAGAGGACCTCGCTGCTGTCAGATATTTGGGGCTGCGCAAATTTTTGAATGGTAAAGACGGGAGGTCCCACCAAAATGAGCACTCGCATTCGTTTACAGTCCTGCAAGCCCAGAACATCTCTTCAGCAGTGAAGTGCACGATTCTCCGTGACAACAGGCATTCTTGTAATGTCCACCCACGGCGCAGCAAGGGGTATTCGCTATATCTCCATGTATAATGATTTATGCAGGATCGAACACACACATTCTGCATCGAGCCGTTCATATCGGGGTACGAGTATATGTTAGTTGGGCGGTTTGTAGTCTGGCGGAAACACCCCTCCGATGGGCGATTAGATGCTGTAGCAGCAATGGTGAAGTCAGCACCAGAATATATCTGCGCCATCTTACTACCCTCGCTTCGCCAGTCCTCGACGCTGTCTTGTACGATACAAAGGCTGTCGATCCAGACATACTTGTATCCCAGTCTGGAGGCGAAAGAAATCGCATCTTGGAAGGTTCGGGGAACTTTTTGCCAGGGTATGTTTTGCTTGTACGTGGACAAAGTTGCCTTCTCAGTCTTGGTAACTTCACCTTTACCCCAACAATGACTTAGACAAACGTAAGGTTCAAACTCGCCATCAGTCTCGCACAATTTGATAGTATCCGGCCCTTGAATCGAGATAACGCGAGTCGGCAGGCTCGAATTGGCACTTCTGCACAACTCGTGGTTATTTTCGCAATTCTGCAGCCACGACGACGCTCGTTCGACAGCTTGGTCAGAACCAGAATTCGCTACCACTTCGTGAGGCAGATGCGGTATTTGCCATGAATTTTTGAGATCTGAACATATTAGTCTGCAGTGCTCGTCACATCTCTCAGATACCTACTTCCTGGAGCAAATACCTCCCACGAGGCACTTGGGTAGCATTCCAAAACCAGTCTTGATCTCTCCACTCTACACGATATCCATTGATTCGGGGAGAGCTCGAATGGCTTGCTTGAGTTCTTGGAAAACAAAGCACATCTGTTTAAAATACCGCATAGTGTCAAACAACCAGCGCACCCCTTATCAGCGGACGATAGCAGACTATAAACAAAGATGCCGCCTGATGCTGTAGGCCACGCATTGTTGCAGCATACTTTACATCTCTTCGCTTTCGCATATGCGGATTTAATCCGTCTGGAACGATCCCCATGGAGCAATCCCAAGGCGAACATGCGCAGGTCCGTTTTAGAAGGGGTTTCGGTCATGGCATTGGGAGCCCACCACGATGGTGGTTCCCATGCGAGGATATCTGTCATGACAAGCCTGGCGACAGGCTGCAAAGTCCCTTGAAGATTGGATTCACAGCGGCGTGAGGTGTATCAACGATCAAGGTGAACGAAAAGACAGAAAGCAATTAACACGAACGAATGTGGTGCGTAAGGGGATTCTGCTCAAAGCTCATCGTGTGTTAGTAGAGAGTGCGCACGGCAGCTACTCATTTTCGACGTTGTGAAGAGATCGGGACAGGTAATCCGTACAGCTGCAGGATTGCTGGGTATACGATTGGCTCGCTATTTCTCATCACACCACATGTCGGCGCTTGAGAGAGACCAATTTGTCTGTAGCCAAGTAGATCTCTTGCGTACGACCATTCAGAAGGAAAGATATGGGACTGGAGATGTACTTGTCTATCCTGACTGTTTTCATGAAGAGCAGGGCCACTGCCTCGCAGGAATATATGAGCCGTTTCTGCGACGGTGCCTGTCTCTTTTGCGACACAGCGCAGCATCAACAGGTACATCTCTAGTGTTTCTTCTCTGGCTAAAGTCCTCTTATAGAGGTACCCTGTTCGGGAGGTCCATTTCTTTGGAGGGGCTGTTGTTCTTGCGGTCCATTGCGTTGCGCAGAGAGGAGGAACGTCGCTTTCACTGCCTAACGTTAATTTCCCCTCAGAGGTGGTGGACCCTGGACGGATTGTCGCGAACTTGGCAGCAGCTTCGTCGATCGGATAACCATGAGAGGCGAAACGGTCTCTCAATCTGCTAGCAGCGAAATTCGACGAAACCGAACGAACGCGCATCAACTCGATTACTAAATCTGGATATGAAGGAAGTTTGAAGGTACGGCGCACCATCGGATAGTTTGGTGTTTCATAGGCCCGTGCGTCTTCTTTGTTTCCGCGAGGGGTCGCGGCAGCAACTGCCCTGCAGCACTTTCTCGATACGACTCCGCTATGGTGTAGAAACATTTCGGCCAAGTCGAAACACAGGGACTTCCGCCTCCAAAAATGTCCTCGGCCCCGTTCGTGACCGCTGGCACCGCACCGGCAGTCTCGAATATGCGGATGGCGGAACCCCGTTGAGCGGGGACCCGAAGCCAAACGTCGCAGAAGTCGACGCAAATAGAAGTGCTAGAGTATGCAACACGACAGATATAAAGACGAAGGACTATGTTGTAGAGATACAATCGAAATATCACAGTAATACAACAATCTAAACATCTCCCACAATCTTTAGAAACAAAAGCCATCATGTTTGAGAAGAACGAATTGAAGCCTACGTTCGAGGGTTAGTCTTCTGATGCTACCTCTTACGAACGTGACTAACAAGTCTAGATGTTATGGGCTGCCAGTCGGCATGCTACGAGTGGGCAGACAGCTACGATAGCAAGGTCGGTCTACATGCAGCACTACTGAGTGATGATCACTCACGCATAGCAGGACTGGGACCGTCTCCGCAAATGTATCGCACCAACATTGAGGATTGACTACCGCTCGTTCTTGGATAAGATCTGGGAGGCAATGCCTGCAGATGAGTTTGTCGCCATGGCGTCGGATCCCGCCGTCCTAGGCAACCCCCTCCTCAAGACACAGCACTTCATCGGCGGTACACGGTGGGAGAAGACGTCAGAGGACGAGATTATCGGGTATCACCAGCTCCGTGTGCCTCACCAGAGGTACACAGACGAGACACGCACAAAGGTCGCGGTCAAGGGCCACGCCCACAGCTTCAACATGCACTGGTACAAGAAGATTGACGGAGAGTGGAAGTTTGCTGGGTTGAACCCGGATATCAGGTGGTTCGAGTACGACTTCGACAAGGTCTTCGCCGAGGGTCGCGAACAGCTGGGCGAGGCCAAGGCTGCTGCTGGCATCCCAGAGAAGCTCACTGGTCAGGCGTTGTAGGAAACCTGGGAGAAGGTCGATATGATAGAAACCTGCTTACTAAGAGATACCAATACGAACAATGATAGGCTTGACCATGTATTGAATGATCATCAGTAGCCGTTGCCCATGTTTGATGAGCGCCTTGACAGCTCCACAAGAGCACAACGGTCGTGATATGTCTGTGTCAAGCTCATTGGGTGAGTGCCGCAGCGACCAGCCGTTTAGCTGCAGGCGGCGGGGCCACTGAGAGAGAATGGAGAAGGCCATGGCGGTACAAGTGTGTGATTCGGCCGGCGCAAAACTGCGCAGCCTGTGTATGCAGAGCCCAGAGATGCGATGCGGGCATGGGTGGAAAGATGGCGATTGGAATGGCAATGGAGCCTCTGCCTGAGGAGCACCGCCCCGCACATTGCAACAGCCCAGTGACGACTTTTGGCTGCAAGTCATCTACGGTGCCAGGGGTGGGTCGCCTATTAATAACGCAAAGTAGATCGCAGGCAGCCGGCACCGTTCTTCATCTGGTCGATGCCAGCGTGGCAGCCGTGTTGAGCCTCTGTAGCGAGATGCGATGGGCCACTCGCAATGGAGCCGCTTCATCCTTGGGTCGCTTCAGCGCAATTATCCTTGTATCGATCGAAAGCTTAAACCAGCACTGGTCTACGCCATCCGCGTCCCCAGGTTCGCGCTGCCATCGCTACCAAATCCAAGCGAAGTAAATCCTAGCGGATTCTCGGCGCCGTACATCATCTGCAGTTCTTCGCTCTTCCACCGACCCCGCCCACCGACCGACCTTCCTCCCACACAACCGAGCACTCTCGTCTTCGAGCGTCTTTCGTCTCTGATTCCTTTGCGTTGTGGTGTTTGGATCTCATCTGCTTCTCACGTCCGCCGGTGCCCTTGAGCTTTTTCGGTATGTTTATCTCTCTTAGCAATTTTCATCTCGTCTTGGCGGGTCGCCCACTGCACAATTTCGTGCATCCGGCCATGGTCGCATCACAGGCGGATTGCACAATCAATTCGGACACCACCCGTCTGCTACGCCTGTGTGCCCATCGCCTACTGACGTCGTTGCTCTGCACGGACTTGGTCGCCCGGCCTGCAGCACTCTCCCATCAGCGAGAGCCAGAGTCGCGCATCCCGACGCGCTCTTGCTGCCGTGGGTGTTGCCAGCACCTGTCGTGACCTGGGCCTCGTGCGCCCGCCGCATGTGATGCCTAGCAGCAAGACTCTGCGACTGACCGCCCGCCTAGATTTCATTCGAGCTTCCTCACGGTCACTCCTTCACGCCCCCCTCATCCACCCACTCCTTCGTGCGATCCGGAGTTACTGTCGCCGCTTTTCCCGACTGTCTCCTTGGCTTATACGCCCAACTGCCTACGCGCCTCCGCAGGCTACGCTTCTCTACAGTGATAGAAGGAGCCGGATCTAATCGGTAAGTGCAGTCTGCCACCTTGCAATACCCTTACCCTGCTCCCGCTGCGTGACCTTCTGCGCGCTCATTCACCGACACTAATGGTTGCTTTTTCTGCGCAGACCATTTAAAAGACTCTACAGTTCTCTATCATAATTAGAGCCCGTAACCTTACTCCCCACCTCCGTTAGCTCAACCGATTACCCCGCTTGATCTATCGACCATGTCATTCAACAACAGCTACGGCGACCAATTCCAGGGCCAGCCCCAGGGCGATATGAACAACCAAACCCCGCAGCCCGGCGACATGGGTCAGCCCATGGACGCCTCCGGCAACGGCTTCCCTCCCCAGGGCAACATGGGCCCGCCAGGCAGCGCTGGTGGCGACGGCCAAGGCCAAGGTGCTGGCAAGACGACTCTCTGGTGAGTCCGCATACGCGCCTGTGTGGCGCATGGTGTATACCAGACCGCAATGCGCGCGCTCCGATAGCTTTCCTCTAGGTGGGGGAACACCAATGCTAATATGGCGCAGGATGGGTGAACTCGAGCCCTGGATCGACGAGAACTTTGTGCGCAGCATCTGGTACAACATGGGCGAAACCGTCAACGTCAAGATGATCCGTGACAAGTTTTCCGGGTAAGCACGGAGATCACCGAGGAAAAAGTCTCCAGGCTAACTACCGCATAGCAGCAATGCTGGATATTGCTTTGTCGACTTCGCGAGCCCTGATGCCGCGTCCAAGGCCCTTTCCCTCAACGGCCAACTCATCCCCAACTCCAACCGCCCTTTCAAGCTGAACTGGGCCTCTGGTGGTGGTCTTGCTGACAGGAGGCAAGTCTCACCTGGCTTCCCACATACGACAGTGATCGCTAACGATTCGAACAGCCGCGATGAGCGTGGTCCCGAGTTCAGCATATTCGTCGGAGACTTGGGCCCCGAGGTCACCGAGTTCGTCCTCGTCCAGCTCTTCCAGAACAAGTACCAGTCCACCAAGTCTGCTAAGATCATGTCCGACCCCATCAGTGGTATGTCGCGCGGCTACGGTTTTGTCCGGTTCGCTAGCGAGGAGGACCAGCAAAAGGCCCTCACCGAGATGCAGGGCGTTTACTGCGGCAACCGTCCCATGCGCATCTCTACCGCCACACCCAAGAACAAGAGCGGCGGTCCCGGAGGTCCTGGCGGCATGGGCATGCCACAAGGCGGCGGCGGCCCCGGAATGGGCATGTACTCCATGGGCGCTCCCCCAATGGGCGGCTACTACGGTGCCCCCCAGCCGATGAACCAGTTCACCGACCCCAACAACACCACTGTCTTCGTCGGCGGCCTTTCCGGCTACGTTACCGAAGACGAGCTCCGCTCCTTCTTCCAGGGCTTCGGCGAGATTACTTACGTCAAGATTCCTCCAGGCAAGGGATGTGGCTTTGTCCAGTTCGTTCAGCGCCATGCTGCTGAGATGGCCATCAACCAGATGCAGGGCTACCCGATTGGCAACTCTCGCGTTCGTCTCAGCTGGGGTCGCTCACAGAACAACTCCGGCCCAGCTGGCACCCCTTACCGCCCTGCGCCACCTCCACCAGTTCCCTTTGGCCCAGGCATGGGCATGCCTCCGCAACACCCCTACGGTGGTGGCGGCGGTTACGGTCCGATGATGAAGGTAAGTCAATCATTCATCCTGCTACATGTCTGTTTGATGCTGACTTGGCTACAGTAAGCGCATTCTTTCCCTCTGTATTGCTTGCACGGCGCTTCATTCGTGGTTCATCCCGTTGGCTTACTGCAATGACCCCTTTCATGACTCGGCATGATGAATTTCGAGCGATTTGGTCTTTAGTTCTATAACGGGCGGTTCTCCAAAAGTTCTCGACTTCTTCTCACGACACCGATCTTGCGGAGGGCCATAGAAGGGAGTCTTTGTATAACAGGCCATATATTCTCCCCTTCGGGCTTTCCTTTCAAAGCGTGCCACTCATATTCCTGGGAGCATATGGGATGTAGCTAGTCATGCATGGGTCGGATGCTGCTTTCTGTCGATTGCCTTTCCTTCACGATTGTGCGCTGCTCCAAGCGGGATTGGCTATCATTCCAATCACACGATTCTTCTATTTTCTGCGTGTTTTGTTGCGTGCTTGCTGGCTTGGATGATTTGTCTAACGTTTTGTTCAAAGTGCATTATAGTACTCCGTTTCAGCTATTCTTTGTACTTCGCTAACATCGCTCTGTAGTAGCTTCCCGGCGCAGGCTGGCCAGCCCTCGCCTTACCCACCTTCGATGAACACCAACCTAGGTGGCTCGCGACCCAGCAGTCAGAGCGCAGGCCCTCCCACCAACCCCGCCAACGGCCAGACTGGTAACCCAAGCGGTCAAAATGGCACTCCCACCTTCGGAAACTTCAGCCGCTTTGTCTCACCTCCTCCTAACGGCGCCAACGGTTCTGGCTTCGGATCGTCCGACTTCGGCGGTGCCTTCTCGCAGCAATTTCCTCCGCAGTAGTTCAACTACGCCCTCGCATCGGTTATACGCATATCAAATACTGTTTGCCGCTTTAGCATGGAGTTTGGGAATTACTTCATTCAACGATGTGGCTATATTCTTACTGGGCATGAAGGCATAATGCTTTAGCGAGGCGTCTGGCGAACAAGATTATGGTATACCCATGCACAAGAGAAGGCGTCAAGAAAATGTTTCCTTTGTGTCATAGCAAGAAGGTTTGCGCCTTTGCTGTGAAGATGCGCTTCTTTCGGATTTGCACTGCATTGCTTGTCTGGTTGTAGGATCATGACAGATGCCTGGAACAAGAAACATTCTAGATTGAAGGTTGAAGACTTTCTAGTAGAAGGCTCTGCAAAGGGCTTCGAAAGATATGTCATGAACCGGCGGTCGGCGAGTTTCAAGTAGAAGGGTCTTCTAACGGTTCCTATATACTTATTCATTTATATAGGTTGGCCATAATCCAACTATACATTTCTTACTCTATACGCTGCCCTTCGTATGTGCTTGAATTCGATCGCCTTTAAGAGGATTACCCCAGGACATGAAGTTGTTCTTGCGATGACGTTCTATGCTGACAATTGTGCCTTCCTCATACTGAACTGTGGACGTGCTCTCCGTCGCTGAGCCCTTGACTCCCATAAACAGTCATCTTCCACCTCTCCTCAAAAAACACCCATCCGGCACGAATGCCAATTGCTTGTTGCTCTTTTGGACCCGAACAACAGCAGCCCCACACCTGCCATGCGCTACGACGACTGGGATGTGATCCTCTTCCCTAAGGACTCTCACGTACCGATACAGGAGTTCAAGACTGCCTGCTATGTCTCACCTGAAGAGTGTGAGTACCACGGTTTTCCCCATCCACTTGCAAGAGTCTTCCAGAAGTCACCAGCATCAGTACTCACAAGCATGCAGATGGCCGCCAGCTGCCTACTTTGACATGTTACATCAACTCGTTGCCAACGTCTACGCCGTTCCGCATCTCTGTACACTCATGGACTGCGCTATCAAAAGCCTCGCCGCTCATCGAATCCCGACGGAAGACGAACCAGAAGGTCGTATACACTGTTCAGGTCATTGTCGACGGGGCTAGAGTCTTGTAAGCTCCGTGCTTCAGCTTTTGAACATGGAGCCTCAATGCTGATTGGCACAGTCGTGGCTTCTTCGACATTACCTCAAAATGGCCCCAGGAGATCGGTATGCTGACGTGGACTTAGTGCTACACATAATCCGAACTGACCATGTCGCAGCCCATGAGAAGAGGTCGCTTACCATCAATGACTACCCCACGAGCCAACAGAAGCCATACCTCGAATTCCCACCCTTTCACCATCGTACCCTCATGCAAAGCTCGTGGGATGCGCGCGATCCAAACGGACGTATAAGAATAACACTGTCGGAACAGCTGATCACCAAGTCAACCAGCCCTGGGGAAGCGGACCTCGGTGCCACTAATGACATTGTTTGCTTCTCGTTCCAGCATGCCCCAAAAGGTACTACTATCAAACACATGCCATTAATATCCATATACTGATGAATTACAGACATCTTGGAACAAACGGGAATCTCATGGCCGATACGGAACCCCTTGTATCTACCCAACGGCCTTGAACGAGCTACATACCTATCGCAGACGTCTCCAACGCTGTCTTGGGCCCCCAAAGCTCGACCTGTCATAGGGGACATGCAAATGCAATCGCCTATATCGCAACTTTCTATGTACAATGTCGACAGGCCACCCAACATCTTGCCACATAGACGATCCAACGCACACTTGCCATCCATATCGCAGTTTTCGAAGCCAGTTCCGAGCTTAAAAAACAACAGCCGCCTGGGTACATGGGGCGATACTCTCAACTCGCTCAGTGGCTGCGCCGATGACGTGAGCATGGATACTTGGTCGACAAAGAGAACTACGTCAGGTTCAACTAGCGATATGGCTATGCCTGATTACTCGTACACATCGTCACATTTATCAAGACAGGGACCTCCACCATGGATGCCCGACAAGTGGCAATACAGCCAGAATAACAGCACAGACTGGGAAAGCCATCATCCGGGAAAAGACAAGGAAAGACAACTCGTCGCCACGCTTCGAGATGACCAACTAGGTCAGATCATTGAAGCCATGAGCCCGCCAAAGCAGAATCGTGAATTACAGTATGGGTTTCGTAGCCAGCACCACGAGAATGCTGGTAGGCCGCCAACTGCTCACACATACCATCCGTCAAAGCCAGAAACAGTTCCGCCGGTCAATCGTCCGTCTTCAGCATCGATCATTCGCAAGTCGTCCTATGCGGAACTCAACAACGTCCTACGAAATACTTCGAACAAGCAGTCACCAGCTAAACAACAGTCGCAAGATAGAGTAAACGACAAATCTTCTACTCTGAATCATCTTTCTGTTTCAACCAATAAGGAAAACTACCCTCCTTCGCAGTCACGATTGCCCACTCCTTTTCCGCACGCGAATCGCGTGCCCACACCAAATCCTTTTGCACAGAGGTTGCCAACTTACACCTCAGATGTCTCGATGAGGGATCCATCCATCGCTCTCTCTAGTATACATAGGTTCAATCGAAGTGAGGCGCCATCTATAACCACTGAATCTGCTAAACTTGGGTCTGCTCACGGCCCATCAACTGTAAATATTAGGGGCAGGAAAGAAGGCTTCACTTCCAGTTTACCAAGGCTATCGGATCAAGCAATGCGCCATGACCAGAGCTCACCGCCATCACCAAACTCAGGGTCTCAGACAGTACATAATTTCGCCTCTAAGAATCAAGACAGACCTTTACATGACACTCAGAGCGGTATCCCTGACCTAGTTGAAGTAATCGACGTGGACGCTATCGATGCGCATTTAGCTACCAACGCCGCTTTGGACGGTACGAAGCTTTCTCCGTTCAAACCCTGCCATAAGACTGGAGTGTCACTGTCAAGCATCGACAGTACCGGCCGTCTAGAGAGACAGCTATTCAGCGCCCTAGGTGAGGAACTGGGCAGCTTTGAGCACCATATCGACAACACAGGCATGGGACCCGAACTTACCCAGGCAACTGGCGGCGGAATGGCACATTCTGATGTCAGCGGCACTGTCATGCTGAATCCGACAGCGAGCGACTTTGAACCAACTATCAAGCGTAAGAGACAGGCCACATTAAGTCATGGTGATAGAGAGAGGAGCCCCATGACGAAGAAGGAGAAGGCCGAGTTGGTTGATGCTGAGGGTCAGAATGAGGAGGAGGAGGTGGTGGTGTGTTTGAGAGGAGACTGATATCGTTGGGTTGATGAGAATCCTTTAACGACGATGCGCAAGTCTTTCAAACTTTTTTTTGCTAAGCACATCAAGCTTTTTGGTGTGATCACTAGTCTTCCTAAGACAGGATAGACATCAATTATTGTAAGAGTAGTTAGCAGTTTGTAGCAGTATCCGAGCACGATTTTCTCACAGCCAAATGAACATTCAGGGCTAGTCACAGATTTGTACGATGCAGAATCATGTCTCTGCGACGACAGTAGTGAACATCCGATTTTGAACTAATAAACAAAATATCCCTGCGTCAACGGCAACGTCTCCGACGGCTCCGCCGTACAGACCATACCATCCGCTTCAACCGTATACCGTTCCGGGTCAACCTTCATCTTCGGTCTCGTATCGTTGAACTTCATATCCCTCTTCCCGATGTTCCTGCAATTCTTGACTGCCTCGACACGCTTGCGCAACCCGTAGGACTTCACGACACCCGAGGCGATGGAGGCTTGCGAGACAAATGTTATGCTTGTTTGGGGAAGGAGCGGGGCGAACATGGGCCGCATGATTATGGGCTCGACGGTGGGGATGGAGCCGTTAGGATCACCCTGTTTGAAGTTAGTATGATAGTCGCCAAAAAAGGAAATACAAGGGCGGTACATACCATTTGAGCGTAGGAACACATTCCACTCTTCACGACTAGAGATGGCTTGACGCCAAAGTTTCTTGGTGTCCAGAGTACTAAGTCTGCTACTTTACCTACCTCTATACTACCGATGAGGTGGCCCATACCCTGCGCTATGGCAGGGTTGATCGTGTATTTACTAATGTATCGTTTCACTCTAAAGTTGTCGGCATCGGTGTCCTTATCTTCCTCCAGAGTGCCGCGTTGCACTTTGTTCTTATGCGCGGTATTCCAGGTACGAAGAATGACCTCGCCGCAACGGCCCATGGCTTGGGAGTCGGACGACATCATGGAGATGGCACCGAGGTCGTGGAGGACGTCTTCTGCGGCGATAGTCTCGGCGCGGATTCGGGATTCGGCGAAGGCGACGTCTTCTGGGATGTTTCGGGAGAGGTGGTGACAGACCATCAGCATGTCAAGATGTTCGTCCAGAGTGTTTTGGGTGTAGGGTCTGGTTGGGTTGGTAGATGAGGGGAGGACGTTGTCGTGCTCGACAACGCTGATGATGTCTGGAGCATGGCCCCCGCCTGCGCCTTCGGTGTGGTAGGTGTGGATCGTTCTGTCCTTGAAAGCTGCAATCGTCGACTCGACAAAACCGGACTCGTTGAGTGTGTCGGTGTGGATAAGTGTTTGGATGTCGTACTCGTCACATACAGTCAAACAAGCGTCGATGGCAGCTGGCGTGGATCCCCAGTCCTCGTGCAACTTGAGACCACAGACACCCGCCTCAGCTTGCTGTTGCAAAGGCCGTAGCTCGGAATCGTTTCCTTTGCCCGTGATACCGTAGTTCAGAGGCAAGTCGTCGATAGCTTGCAGCATCTGCCTGATATGCGTCTTGCCAGGAGTACAAGTTGTCGCGTTTGAGCCTGTACTGGGTCCAGTGCCACCACCAAGCATAGTAGTGACACCAGATGCTATAGCCTCATATGCTTGTTGAGGACAGATGAAGTGGATGTGAGTATCAAACCCGCCCGCCGTTACGATTTTATGTTCGCCAGCAATGACATCGGTGCAGGAACCGACGACTAGGTTGGGGTCCACACCGCCCATTACGTCTGGGTTGCCTGCCTTGCCAATACCAACAATGGTCCCGTCTTTGATCCCAATATCCGCCTTGTAGATGCCAGACCAGTCGATGATCAAGGCGTTGGTGATGACGGTATCCAGCGAATCCTTGTCGGATCGACCTCCAGCTTGACCCATGCCTTCTCTGAGAGTCTTTCCTCCTCCAAAAGCACACTCATCGCCGTACTGGGTCATGTCCTTCTCCACCTTGATCCAGAGATCTGTAGCTCCGAGCCTGACCAGATCGCCGGTTGTTGGACCAAACATGCTGATGTAGGCTTGTCGCTCCATGGTACAGATATCGATGTGCGCGGCATCGCCATGCGGCTCTGGCTCGTGAAGGAAACCACCAGACTTCAGCCTCTCCACAATTCCATTTGCAACGGACATGTCTTGGATGAAGCCTGAGGCGATCATGTTTCCGCCCTTTATAATCTGATTGCCACCAATCTGTACCAAGGTCACCGTCTTGGTATCGCCAGGCTCGAAGCGCACCGAGGTGCCGGCGGGGATGTCGAGGCGGTACCCATGCGCTCGAACGCGATCGAACTGGAGTTGCGGGTTTGTCTCGATGAAGTGGTAATGTGATCCGACCTATGTTCGTCAGTCGCGTACTTTGCTGTTCCGAGGAAGCTGCCATACCTGGATTGGTCGGTCTCCCATACTCTTGACCTTCAGCTTGATCCTCTTGCGCCCCTCATTCAACTTGATTACACCAGCCTCACCCTTGACTGCCACTATTGCGCCTGGCTGCTTCGTGTCGTCGTATACGTCCGACGCGGGTAGCGGGAACATGTCGTTGGACGGAACGGGCAGGAACGAGCCATACAGCGCTTTCTCGAGGTCTCCATCATCCGTGGACACGGGGTGGTGGACGGTAACGAGGTACGTGCCTGTGGGAAAGGTGCCTTCGACCATCAACTCGGATAGAGAGTTGACAACAGAGGGCTGTACATGGCGACGGCCAAGCATGGTCGTGCCAATGGACATGAGGTCTGCGACCGTGTGGTTTCCATCGCGAATAAGCTGTATGCGTTCAGCATGCGACCCGGGACGCGCGTGGGGTCTGAAGTCGTACTTCTTGGAGATTGTTCGCGATCAATGCCTGGGCGTCTTAGCAGCGTCTGCGCGACTCTTTGAAAACTCACGGTTGCTTCAGAATGGTTCAGCTTGACACCCCTGGCCAGTCGGCGTTGCGCGAGGAGGCCAAGCTGCGAGATGACGAGCTTGTCAAGCTGTTACGAGATGGTTAGCAGCGCCGCCCGCGCGAATGGCACCGTGTAACACACCTCCTTCGGACACAGCTGCATCTTGCAAAATCACAAGCAGCCAAGAACAATGATGGTATAACGCGTCTTAAGATTGTATTTGTATATCCACCATACTCTAGTCCGGTTCTACCGCTCCGTAGACTTCACCTCATCCAGCCATGTTGCGGGGTTCGCTTGCGATAAAGGAACGCGCCGATAAGAAGCTTATGGCCGTCGGCCACGCCCTTCACCCTCATCCAGCGATGTACAAGTTGAGGCGCACATCCTCTCCATAAACCATACAGAGGTCACGAACCTCCGCGTGCCTACCCTCATTCAGGCTAACCGCGAAATGACGTAGGGGCTATTGGTTTCAACACCTGCACTACTGAGACAGGCAGATCTACGCCTAATTTGGCCTGTGCCAACCATATTAGGGCTGTCTCCTATCCATCCTTTGGTTTCATGCCTCCATTCCTCAAAAGTGCATCGCTTCTGTATTGTGTCGCAGCCATGATATGCTCAGATCCAAGAACGCCAGAGATATTGCCATAGCCGGATGTGTCAATGACATCTTTTGCACGCGACACGTCTCAGCACCACATGACTAGCAGCCTGAGCGTCTAGCAAAAGTCGTCTCCGACAAACTCCCACGATACGATGCATTCGTTGCTGCAACGCTTCAAGGGAGGGAATGACGAACCCGAACCTCGACACCAAACACCTGACCCCTCTGTCAAGAGAAGCCGAGCAAAGGTCAGGCCTGCCCCTAAAGATCCGAACATTCCAAGAAAGCGTCTTCAGGTGAACCAGAAATGCCTCTACGAGCGCCGGTTACCTGGGAAAGCGTACATTTCTGCGCATGTAAATCGACTTCAACACGGCTACTACAAGTCCAACGCACTTCACGAACCCACCATCGACAATCTCTTCTTCGTTTCAGTGCACTTCGTTTTTCATCCCCATGATCCGGATTCGCACCGTTTCAAGAGCGCCGAAATCGAGGTCACGGTTCATGGCGATAATGGCGACCCGAACAAGTCCCGAAAGCCAGGCGATTCGCATCCGCGTATCTTGAAGCACGCGCCAGAGCTAATGTTTGGTGCCGTGTCGCCTGAGAACCTGCAGTGGAACTTTAGCTTATCAAGCTCGCTAGGTGTGTCGCAGGCACCCGTGTCTGCTTCGCTGAACCCGAAAGCAGCTGTGAATAGCAGCTATAAAGTTTTCCACATGATGAGCATCCAAGGATCTGTTCGATCAAAGAGAAGTTTATGGGGACCAGAATATGATGCTGAGGATGCAAAAGCCGTTTGGACACTCACAGAGAACATGCTCCAGAAATCGGGCTTGCCACGCGAATTTGACTTCGTGCTGCTAGTGCAGAAGCCAGAGGACCTCGAAAACATATACATGTCTGTTGACCTTAACGCGGATGTCGGAGCTTGGTACGGCACGTATCCCCAGTGGTATACCAATCTGTCGAAGTATCTGCCAAACCAAGACTGTATGCTCAGCTTTGAGAACGATATCGGGCAACGGTTTCTTCCGAGTCATCCAAAGAAGGGTTACAATTTCGCCAATTTGATGCACGCGCTGGATGAATACGTGATGATGCCAGGAACCGTATACCCAACTAGTGTAAGTCTGCGCTCTGAAAGAAATCGTAAATCGAGCTGACTATCGCAGGGTACGCGGCAAGGAGAGGTCAACAATCCTAACTTGATAGAATATCAACCGCCGGAAGACGTCAAAGCAATTGAAGCTGCGTCGACATCACCACAACCTAAGCAGCCCAGTACGCCTTCGAACAAGAGCAAGTCACCTAGAGATGCAAATCAGCAGCATCGCCAGAGCTGGGCGCCCGAGAATGTGAACGTGCGGGTCATTCTGGAACATCAGTTTCCACAAGGCTCTAATCGACGCCGCTTCTCGTACTCGCCTCTGGACAACTTGGAGCCTGTACGATACCCGTCAATACGGCGCAGGAAGTCGCGGACAGGACTGAAAGAGTATGGTGCAAAACAGGCCTTGGACGAAGTCGCCCAGGATGGAGTAGAAGAAAAGGGTGACAGATCAAGCGGAGGAGACAGACTCAGTGGCTACACATTGAGGTGATTGGCAGTGCGCAGAGTGTATGTAGTAGCCTTGTAACCACCAACATACATGCCATATTCCCACGTGATAGTATGTAAACATCCGCCTCATCATTGCTCGCGAGAACGTGCAGTTCCCAAGGCTCGGTTGTGTGGTAGATCGCCACACTAGCGTCAGTTTTGACAGCTTTGGGAATTGACAGCCACGCAACCTTCCATCGCTCACGACCCAGTTTTCTTCAGCGGTGGAAATTCCGGGACCCCCGAGAACACAAGTCATCTCCACAGTTATGGGCCAGCTGAAGTGAGACTCATCTCTTCCATCGCGCAATGCTGGTCGTGACAGGAGGAGGCAAATGGTCGGCGATGGCTGATTGGGTCCGCTAGGCTTCCGACGCCTCCATGGCTGGGCCATCAAACGAGATGACGGGTATTAGCAGCTTTCCTCGGGGCCGATTTAGTGGTAGAGACTGCTCTCTCGCATCAGCGCGGCCATGTCTTGTGTTTCGGCGCTGCAGGTGTCTGCGAGGTTTGACTGGTCAGCGGGAAGTCACGCTAAGCCGGGGTCATGATACCGATAACCACCCACGATGCCGCATCGCCTTCTCCTCGCACACAACGACCCGGCAAGTGTAATGAGCCATGGCAGCAGACGCGGATGCAATGGAAATGCGTGGTCTGCTGAGGTTACGACTGCCCGGTGGTGGCCCCGGAGCTAAGGGCGGGCCTGAGCCTGAGGGCGTCTTCTAGCAATGTTCTGTTATTTTGCTGTCTCGTCATCGTTCCTTCCCAAGTACTTGGTGAGAGAACATCGTGCCTTCCTCGTCTATCGTTCTCAGACCATCTTGTAGCGTCATTTCCCCTTCTTGTCAGCGGGATTGATTCTCGTTACACCGTCTTTTCTATATCGATTCTAATCTTAATACCTCCATCGTCGCTCCTTCCTCGCTGCCGAGTCTCCATCTTGCATAACCGGTACTTCTGACGTAGCGCCATACCACGTCCTCCTCAGCAATAGACACACCACAACGTGTGCGTTCAAGAACACTCAGCTGCGACTCTGTCCTTCGATTTATCTCAAGGAAACAATCTCCTTCAAGCATCATCAGTCCACTACGACACAGTCAAGACGTCCGCATACTGGGTCGTTGGATCTAGCCAGACGGCTGAAGATGCAGCAGGTATACCCTGTTGACTAGAGCACCATAACCACACTGTCTCTTCAGTACTGTTGGAGTTCATGGCGTAGGCGCTGCGATGCACTCATTAGACTTCCTCTCAAGTCCAATCTCAAAGCAGACCAACCAACCAAGCGCCTGGGAACCTTTTCTATCCATGATGTCGATGACAAACTTGTAGTCAAAGAGAACATTGCAAATTTTCGTCTCTCTTATCAGAGGAAAACTGGCAGGCGGATTCACGATGGCGGCATATCCCCTCCACTCGCAGTCACTGCGACTTTCTGAACGAGCATCACCGCGTATGCACGCTGGCAATCCAATAACGCCCGTACACTCCCCGCACCACTCGGTTACGTCTTCGGCTTCTTCTCGGACTCCTGTTCACATCCTCACCATTCACGAGTACCGCAAGCAGCAACACACGCCTACACTCTCGCAAACAGGCACTCCGATAGGCAAGACTCTTCGAAGGAAACCTGCGGCACTCGCATTAAACGACATCGAACGTTCACCATCCGTATCGTATTCTACACGGTCAGGCTCTGGTCCTCCGTTACGTCCTCTTCACTTTTCGCAGTCGGCGTATCAACTCAACTCGGACCATCCGCCCTTCCGGCAACAAACACCGCTCGAACTATCGCATAGGTCGCAGTCAGCTGAGCCTCGCGTACAGACAGGCAGTAAATCCAGCATATCCACTGGCAATCCGTCTAGTAAGGTGCGTCAGTTCAAGTCAAGAAAGAGGTTACCGAAACCGCCTATCGCCAGAGATCCCGTACTCTCCCCTCCCCCGCTTGCAAACGTGGAGTCAACCCAACCACGACTGTCACCGCCACCGGCTGTATCGCGATTTTCCACAGAGCGCTCACGCTCTAGTGGTGCGCAAACCACACCCACCGCTTCGACCTTCTCGCTGTCCCGCTTCCCGTACCCGCCCCACCAGATCGATCCTTCACTGTCCCCACCCCACGATGAAAGAGAGCCCGCGCATGTAGACGCGCTTAGCTTTGTGACTGCCGCACCTGCGACACCGCCCGCAACTCCCGCAATCATCCATTACCGTGGCGCATCCTTCGACCTGGTCAACCCTCACGATTCGTTACTGCTCCACGACATTGTTACACCTTCGCGAGACTTCGACTCTAGCGAGTATCTCACTTTGCGTCCATCTGGAGACGCGTTTGCAGAGGTATTTTAACCCTGATTCGTTTTTCAACTTGACTAATAGCGATGTAGATGGCACCCAAGCGAGCTGTGTACGGCGACTTCCGCGCAGCGCATGCAGGTATTCTGAGACGTCCCGAAGACTCTCCCAATCAGTCACATATGGAGCTTTCACTGGCTCAATCACCCGCCGCCATTAGTCCCAACTCTTCGTCGTACACGTCTCCACTGTACAGTCCAGAATCAGTCAATGCGCCTTTTCCATTAGTCGTCAAGGCGCCTGCACACGAATCACGCTTTTCCCTCAAAGGACTTACCCGCAGTTTGACGAAGAAGCTCAGTAAAAGCCCGGCTGTGCCACAGAGCGAGGAGTTGCAGGATATGCGTGATCAAAACGTGAGCGTAGCATCGATCAGCATGGATGGAGACTTCCCACGTCCGCTACATCAGACCTATGTCACCACGCCGGAAACATCCTACTTTCCAGTCGGACCAATGTCGCCAGCTACGCCCACTAGCCCTATGTCGCCCGAGAGTTTCCATGCTTTTTCGCCTGGACAGAATGACGTTGAGATTTCACGAAGGCATCTTGCAAAACTCCACGATACAGAGCCACTGGCATCTATGCTACCAGATGACCATTCTACTCAGATCGGACGAATCGACGATTCTCAGTTACCATACTCTACAGAAGGTGGCTTTTCGAAACCCTACTACGATGATCTCGACTCAATATACCCTAGTTCATCTATCTACACAGCGGATGGCCATCGGAAGTCGATCTGTCAGCAGGGCCTTCTGAGCAACCGCAACAGTAGTGCCAACCCGTTCGCCCGCTATAGTGGCATTCACGCCAGCGACTTCGCGAATGAGTTTAGTCGCGACAATCTGTATGACCATAGTGCCTCAAGTAGAGTCAGCCGTCAGGTGTCACTTCCATTCGTCCAGGGCATATACCGCCCTCCGATCGAAGAAGGGGATCCGAAGACGGACACCATCAGTAAACTCATTGACGAGTACAGCCCTCATAGTGCAACAGGTGCAGCTTTGGCTACGCATCACGAGAATCCTGGAAAGGCACAGGGTACCCACTATGCACCAGCTGTCGTACCTTCAAGGCGGCCTCCGGTCACTCAACACCCAGGGTCTCCCCCTCGTGAAGCAGCTCCCCTAGCACCAGCCTTTGATTATGATGAAGCGCCTTTCGTTCCTTCACGTCCAGGATTGTCAAGTATGTTTTCTTACGGCTCGGACTACTCATATGGCGATACTCGGAACTTGCTGCGAACCTCACAGTTCGAAATTTCAACTCAGCCTAACGAGGCACACACTCTAGAACCTTCTTCGTCGTATTCTCAACCTGAAGCGCGACCTCTCGAACCGTCGTCATCCTACTCCCAGGTGGATAGCCAGCAGAGCTCGCATAGCCCGCATACACCGAAAGAGGCTCTCGACCAAGCTGAGCAGATTTTTCAAGATACGGTCAACGAGCATCAGAATAACAATACCATTCCTGCCATGTGGGGAAGACGTAACTCAGCAAGCCTGCTACTAAGCAAGACAACCACAAATAGATCATCTGGCGCCCCAAAAGAATTCGATACACTTCTTCACGGTGGTGATGAAGCTGTTTCCGGGGACAAAGCAGACTGGGAGACGGTTGGCGGCAACAGTCCAAATTCGAAACGTCATGAGTCACTGAGCAGTATCGCAGACTACAGCAGCAGCGAAGGTACTCGGAACAGTCTCGGATTAGACTCGGATGGCTCTCTTCCGTCATGGGCTAAACAAGCTCAGCTACCAGCTCGGTCGAATTACTACAGTCATCCTAGTCCCATACACAGCCAACACCCCCACCCGTTCGGTTCATCACCGCCTCAATTGAGAACTCAGGCAAGAGTTCGCACTGCAGCGGACACATCGTCTCCTTCGTTGGCTACCAGCCCCCCTGCGTCGAGGACAGCGCCATTGTTCCAATTCTCCACTCATGCCGATAATGTTTTAGGGCGTGGTACTGTTGAGCAGCCATATGCGTACGCCCCTTGGGCAGATCCGTATGCTTTTAGCGACAAGGAGACGCAAGAACTGCTGGCTTCTGGTCCTAATGATAACATCATCATCAATGAACCGCGTGTTCCGCCTAAGAATCCGGCCCGTCAACATCATCGATACCGAAGCGATGATACCATACCGACTTCGAGTACCGCTAATGAAAACGTATTCGACAGCAGTCCTGTTGCTCTACAACGCCAGAACACATTTGAAAAACTTTCCGTTGTTGGACCCAAGGGCAATCTGACTGGCACTCCTCGCGGGACTGGCATGCACGAGACTGGTAGCAGTGTCGCAGATCACAGCAGCCCTGGTGGTAGGCTCAGCTCAAGCGTCGGCCGCCAGAGCTCTGGTTCAGAGTACAATGGTTTCTATGCTTCACCATTCCCAGCTACAGGCAGCGTAACTCGCATTAGCCAATCTCGGCCAACGTATATTCCGACATCTGGCCGAACCCCATCAGAGACCAGTTTCTTCCCGCACACGAAAGAATCGGAAACACTGCGAGAATCATGTCCACTTCCCGGGGCTCGCAAACACCTTCGTAATTCGACCACGTTCCTGCGCTCGCAACGTCGCACAAGCCGATCTGCTGTGCCAGGGCAAACAAAATTACGCCAGATGTTTCTCGCACCAGAAGCAGCTCGATCCACTGTCTCGACACAAGGTACCCATATTACGCATTTCCTGGCGGGCAGCGAACGTCCGTCTACTAGTGACACAAACACGCCCCTTAGGACCTCGTACCCCAGTCTTCATATCTATCCTACGACTGCTCGTACCAATATCGCGCACGAACACTCTCCTCATCTTCTCTGTGTAGAGAGGAAGCCTAACCCAGAGGATGAAGCACGGCGACGTAAGCTGTCATGGTACATCTTCGCAGCTTTCTGCCTCGTGCCACCCTGCATTCTTCTCTTCCGCTTCTTTGCAGACAATATCATCGCCTCGTTCACGGAAGGCCACCTGGGCTACTGTACGCCACACTCAAAGAGAGTAGCGCTTATCGCTGGTATCGCCGTTAACGTTGGCCTTGTCACTGCAACCCTGGTCCCGGTGCTGATCGCGCATGCACTGAACGCTGTATGATCAGAGGTCATCGGGTCCAGCGGAGAAGAGTAAGTAGTTTGTCGTTTGGTCAGAAAGTACGCTAACAGTAATCAGCAGCAATGCTAGCGATATTGAGCACAGTCAGGAGCGCACTGAACGGTACTATCGAAACGCACCCACTATGGTGTGACAAGACATGTTCGAAGTCTTTTATCGGCACTCACTGCACATTCATGGATTGAGTTGCCAGCAACGCCTTTGTTGCTGTATTCATTCCCTCTGAGTAAGTCATTTTCTTTCTCTATGTTATGTTTTGCATGAACTGGCGTTCTTTTTTTTCGCATTGGACCGAGTCATCCGGCTCATCTTACCCGTGGAATGTGTTTATATGGATGCATAATTTGGCGACGGGGAACACTTTGGCGTACATGTGGGCTAGGATCGGCATTTCAGGTTCGGTTATCATAGCTCGCTGGCATTTTCCTCTAATGTCTTCCACGCTTCGTCGTAATCAGTCTGGTTTGGCGAAATGGTCTTGGAGCATGTCAGGGGCGCTTTTGGGAGATATGGTCTACTAAGGCGAACAACACGAAGAAAGTAGTAGCAATGCTGCTCCAGTGGTTGTCTGACGCTTGTGATTCTACAAGATGATACCTTTCTACCTAAGAAGGAAATCTACTAGGCGAATCATGTAATTCTTTCCCACGCCATACCTATGTGCTTCTACGATGATCGGCTGTTTCCGCAGATATGAAGACTTCCGCGTTGTATGGGCGTTTACGAGTTGACTTCGGGAACTCTCGTATGGCCAATCGAATAGCAGATGCAGGTCAAGACTCGATTCAGTATTATACGTGCGAGCTCATTCGAAGTTCGGTGCGTTCTCGTCGCAGTCGATTATTTATATGCTGTCTTGATGATTGGTGGATATGTCGATGGAAATTGATTTTGGTGTACTGTGGGGTATGCTCTCGTCAGACGTGCTACGTGCAGCTGGAGGCGACTGTATCATAGTTTGCTGAGCCTTGCGTGACCTGATCTCTTTCCACACAAATCGAGCCTGGTTGACTTGTCGTTTTATGGTGATGGTCATCTTTGATACAGCCCATGCCACAAGGATAGCTATCAGTACCAACTGATAGTCTATACTACCCGCTACAACCATCAGTGCGGTGGCTAATGCACTAAAAACTAGGGATATAATCGCGACTTTCCTGGTCACTTTGGATTGGACTTGATCCGGAGGGTCTCCGAACGGGTTCGAGTCGTCAGTTTGTGCCGATTCCACTGTTCGGACGTGTAGCTCGGATGTGATATTGTTCGGACGTGATTTGTTTGGGTCATTTATCGGCTGCGAAAGTTCATGGCTTTCTGGAAGGTGGAGTCTAGACGATGTGCTTTGCTCTTGAGTCGGTCAGTAGAGCGGCCATGAGATCATGGAAGGTACTCACCATTTACGAGTTCGGTTAGAGTAATTAGTGGAAGGACGAGTAAACCTATAGCGACGACTTGACCGAAGCCAAGTGCTGTAGTCTCATCCTCGACGTCGGTACCCCACGCATCAACGCCCCATACCGCTTGGATCGTATTTGTCGTCCCATAAGCAAACTGGAACGCCCATACAGGAAGTTCAGAAAGATACGCCTCATGATACTGCTCGAGGAAGTACCACACCGATATCCGTGTTTTGGTGTTTGATGGTCTGATCGCGATACCATAAAGACGACGCGCATCTGCGACGATGTCCGCGGACTCTGAAGTGGAAATGTCGTTCGTCCAGCTCCAGAAATACATTGACATGCGATCTACCATTTTCGTAGTAACATGGCGGTGGTGGATGGCTTCCGGAGCAACCAATCGAGCCATAACTGAAAGATGTTTGCCCCACAAAATTATCAACACAGGGACGACGTTGATCATGAGGGTGCTGATCTGCAAAAGTCCAGGTTGCGACCTCCAATCTAACAACAAGCAGTGGATGATTTGATCCTGCCACGCCGGCAAATGATCCACGAGAAACGCGAAGGTAAAGAAGACGAGGAAGATAAGCGTGAAAGTTATACGACAGTACCTGACCCAGATGTGCTCAACTAGGTAGTTTCGTAGTACATCGAGTGATAAACTGTGCGTGGTAGCTGAGAAATAAGCTAACGATGTAACTATGTGCCACTCACGTTGAGATATGACACATTGACTTGAAAGCGCAGCAATCAGTATGGACAACCCAGTTATGAGTTGTTGATCGCTCAGCATCTTGATGAAGCTGACAAGAACATCGCTGCGCCCTTGCCGTCTCGACGTTTGTACTGGTATTGGGATTTCCGCGCCGACATGCCTTTTATTCCGCTTAAAGGGCCTCTTGAGCAGTTTGAGTGCATGTTGATCAGTTTCCTGTAGCAGACCTGTAGGCAAGGTTGCAGTCAAGTACCCCCAAATCACCACTAAGAAAACGGCCAAAGCGCTGAAGTAGAATGATACGAGGACCTGTCCCAATCAGCACAAGACTTCAGTTGAGAATGCATCACTCACCCCGATACCTGCGATATCTGCGTTGAGTTTCAAGTCCTTTGCGCACTTTCCATCGCTGCGGATGTTACCACACGCAGCGCAATCCAGGGAACTACCGCAGTTGCCCATGGTCGTAGTTGGTGGATTAATCTACTAATAAAACTGCTTTGCTGCTGCGTGAAACTGGGGTCGCCGGTCCGTGTCTGACGGCAATCTTTGAGGGGCTGCGATATATCGGCAGCTACAACGGTGGATCTCAGCAGTAGCCAGGATGTGTGACGACCACAATGTCATCATAAGTGAACTGAAGAATATGATGTTATGGCATGGTCCTGTTACACGATGTGTCGAAAGGAGCTGTGGAATGAACTCATGGGTTGTTCCCCATCAGCATCTGTGCAATCTGCTCAACAAGGTCGGACTTGCGTGAAATGAGGCCAGGCCGTGCACGCTACATGTAGGGCCGCATAGCTGCGATTGGATGATCAGGCCCCAAAGTCTATTTCCGACACTATGTGCTAGCCCAGCAATGGATTCAAGATTTCGATAGGTACTTCGACTTTATTAGTTGATATGCAAATGATCTGCGCACTGGTAACGTAAATATTACCCGAGGTCACGCATCGGAGTACAGTGAACACCGTTATAATCCGATGCGAAAAGATTGCACGGCTCGTCTTTGTGTACCAAAGGAATGCGCTGTTTGGAAATACTCCTAGAACGTCGGTTTGGGAAAGCGTGGAAGTGGAGAAGGATTCTCGAGCAGGTAAAATGGCTCGCTTCCTCATAAGATGCTGAGTAGCGCGCCTGCTAAGGTGGGTAGGCGGTCGCAAGAACGGACAACATGCTTTTAGGTCTGCTGGAGGCCTGATTTGTATGGCAAAGATCATTGGTTTGTGCTTCGGGTAGACGGCCGCTTTGTAAATTCGCACGTCTCGGGGGTGCAAAGCCATGTTAAAACACTGTTTCAATCAGAGAGAGAAAAACAAACAAATTCGTGCATAGCTGTCAGCTTCGCAGCAAACCACGATTCCTCCGTATGCTAGTCCATGCGCCTGCGTTCAGGCAGTGTATGTATAGCCTACAAGCTGTCCAAGGGAAATCGCGGAATGACGAGACGGTGTAACATCCATGGAGATACAACTCAAAGCATCTGGCAGCATCATGTTACACCAGAGACTGATATGCTGAGCGTTGCGATCAAGAAATTCTCCCTTCAAATATGGGAGGATGTGTTTTTCGTCGTACTGGCACCGGCGGCTGAAACCCAATATCCGCTTCAGTATCTTTCTTGCCTAGGGGACCGAATTCCACTTGTCCATCTCTCGCAGTAGATCTCTGCATGATTGTGTTTACTGAATGCGAGGGAGTCGGCGAGATGGTTCGTACACTTATATCACTCGGTGGCGCCGAGGAATCCGGGCTATGACTGCTTTGTTGCAGGGCGCTGAGTTGAGAAACACACTTCTGTTGATGGCGAGCTATTCGAGCTTCGTCACTAACAAAGTATACCTGGCCTACTACGCTTTTGACGCTTAGGAGGAATCGAAAGGCAAGGTACATGTAGAAAAGGGTCGACGCCATCGCACTAGTGTCATCAAAGTTCCAACCAATTCCAACAAATGCATACAAACACCCCTCCAAGAGACAACAAAATAGTGTAAGTTTGCCCAGTTTTCTTGCTATATAGGCGTTGTCGTCATACATAGAGGTTTTACCAGCTCTTATTGCGTCTAGATCATCGTAAGACTTCCGTGATCCGAAAAGTACTATACGCCTCCAAATCCTATCAGCCCAATGTCTCTGATTGGAGTGGGAGTTTCGAGATGCTTCTGGGGTGTTTGCAGTGCTTTCACCGTCTTCGGCCGTAGGGTCGCTTCGGATTACGTTCGTATCTACGATACCCGCTTCGGAGACTGCTGGGATCATCCCGGTAGCATCATGAAGTTTTATAATCTTCTGCTCTGCAGCCATAGACTGCAATTAGTACATTACTTTCGATGTTGAAAATGGACTACTCACCATTTATGACTTCAACTGCGGCCAAGATGGTGAGTGCCAATAGCACAATGGCTACGATTTGCCCAAATCCCAGGACATGGAGGCCATTTGCAGGCTTCAATCCTCCGTACCATACAGCAAGAATGACACTTCCTGTGCCATATGTCATGCCCAACATGATCCTCGGCAAAACTGATAAACACGAGCCGTAATAACTGTCCAAAAAAACCATACAGAGATGCTGACATCTTTTGTGATTGCTGATGGTGGGCGGAGCCAAGCCTCGTATTTGCTTTCTGCCTTGATGACAATGGTACTGGCGTTTTTGCTCGAAAAGCCTCTGAAACGGAGGCCACGTGCGTAAAAGGACTTCAATAACATAGCGAGTGGGTCCATATCCGGTTCGAAATATAATCCCGCAATGGCTGTGACGTGATTGAAGAGCAAAATCCCCAGGATAACAATGGATTCAACCAGATCGAACTGAACAGTCTTACCGAACCGCGAAGCCTCGAAGAGACATTGAACTACGTTTCCTACGTTCAATGAATCTTTGTTCACAACGTCATCGAATCTGGTCGAGACTGTGTTGATGACGAAAGAGAAAGAGAAAATCACCAGGAATCCGATGGTGAAGATAACTCGGCAGTCTCGAACAAGCTTGCGAACGAAGAGATGACTCTGCAGCACACGTAGTGAAAGTGCATGCGTGAAGGTAGCAAAATAGGCCAGATAGGTAACAATGTTGAACTCGTAAAACGATATGCGGCATCGACTAGCAAGTCCTGCGATCAGGATCGCAACACCGGTCACTAGTTGTTGATCGCTCAAAACTGTGATAAAACCAACGATAATCTGCGTCCTCCTTTTTTGCTTCGGTGTAGGTTCGAATTGGAGATCGGCTTCGACAAATGATTGGCGGCGCTTCTTGAGTAGCTGAAGCGCATATTGATCGGTGCAGGAGAGCACATCAAGCGGAAGGCACTTGTTGAAGTAGCCCCAGACGATGACGAAGGACAACCCAAAGGCTCCGAATAAAAACGAGATAAGCACCTAAAGACTAGGTCAAAGCAAGATACGTAGGGCAACCTAAAGCATGCTCACTCCAAGGCCCGCAATGTCGGGATTGATCTCGATCTCAGTATCGCAGCCATCGATTGGCTCATTGGAATAGCACTTATTGCAGTTAAGGGAACTTCCACAGCTGCCCATAGTTGCTTTCGTATGATAACAGTGCGCCAGCTGGGTATAACAAAGTGATTATGGAAAGAAGGGAAGGGCGGCTCATGAGATCCAGCGTGCATGTAAAAAACCTGAGATCAACCGTAAGAACACTGCACGAAATCCCGGTCTTTTGAGCTTATTCAGAAAAACAGACTGAATATGGCGCAAGGTTGGACTATCAGTGGCGTAATTATGAACAATCAGCGTCGGTCGCCCAGACTGCCGTCTGGGCTCGCAGGCTCGTCTTCTCGATTATTGGGTGGGATTCATACCTTGGTTTTGACGAGAGGTTACACATGAAGGCTGGAGATAGAGACCAGCGTTTCGTAGCCTATTGAACCGATTAGCAACAGGCTTAAAAGGTGGTATATGAAGACATACTATATGCTATTGATCCATGACTATCTAATATCACAAAAATGAGAGCCACAGAACAAATGTCCAAAGGTCTACGAATATCTGCAAGTGCTCTGTTTGACACCGATCGCTACTCAGCCTTGTCGCTTATCCGATCACTATGCGTGAGCTGAGAACCTTGGCGTATGTACGTCGATATGGCACTGTTGAGCCCTCTAGATGATTGGGTCTGGCGACAGGCTGTGTCAGCTGAGTTACAAGATGTTTGGAGGATGGGGTGGTACAGCAGGCTGCTACGTTGAGCAGGCGACCCGGAGCGATCGCGTTATCGCCGCCGGTCTACACGCGAAATCAGCATGTCATCATTCCCGTCATATGCTTTAGGTGAGCCTGTGTCGACAAAAATTATAGTGGCTCTTGATGTTACAGATATGAAAAAATGGAAGTTGTGGAATGAGGAAAGTGCTGGCGATCGATGGAGCGTGACGTCAGCAATCGTGCGAGTCATGCTGAGAGGCGGCCGTTACCGTGACTGCAATGCACATGTTGATGAGAGATATCTAGAAATAGTGTTACTTTGCAAGCTTAGTAGGCTGAAATCCGAAGTGCAGATTGCAAATCATTCCCTGCATCACAGATTTCTGGCACAGATCGTCATAATTGTTTGTTCATGAATTCATTGAAAACAGCGATAACACTAGCTCATTAAAAGCCATATTGGGTATTTAACATCTTACTCCTTGCTCAGATCCGCAATCTGCAGCACAGCCTTCCCAAAGTTCTTGCCCTCTAGCATGCCAAGGAAACCATCGACACCGTTGTCGATGCCCTCAGTAACGCTAATCTTGGCCTTGAAGGTGCCCTCGCTGAGCCACTTCTGGAGCTTCTCCTGGTGATCCTTGTGGTGCTTGGGGCCCATGTTGTCGTCGCTGACAATGAAACCACGCATAGTGAGGCGCTTGGCAACGACTTGCATGAGGTTGCGGATGGGGTATTGCTCGCCGGGCTTAAGGTTGTATTGCGAGATCATACCGCAGGCGACGATGCGACCAAAGTTGTTCATGGCATTGATGGCAGCCTCGAGTTGCTCACCACCGACGTTCTCGTAGTAGATGTCGATACCGTTGGGGGCGAGGCGGGCGAGCGCGTCGGCAGCCTTCTCCTTCTTGTAGTTGAAGCCATGGTCGAAGTTGAGCTCCTTGGTGATGAATTCGAGCTTCTGGTCGTCACCGACACTTCCAATGACAGTAAGACCTTCGTGCTTGGCGAGTTGGCCAACTAGTTGACCGACGGCACCAGAAGCGGCGGAGATGAAGATGGTCTCACCCTTCTTCGGTTGGCCGATCTCGTAGAAAGATGACCATGCAGTAAGACCAGGCATACCGAGGGGGCCGAGGAAGTACTTAGGGTCGAGGTTGTAGGGGTTCTTGAGCTCGATGCAGTTGGCGACGGCATCCTTGTCGAGAACGGAGTACTCCTCAATAGGGCTGATTCCCATGGTGATGAGGGTTTGGCCCTCCTTGAACTTGTCGCTGTTTGACTTGACGACCTTGAAGATGGAGCGGTTGGTGATGGGTTTGCCAAGCTCGAAAGGAGGAGAGTAGGACTTGACGTCGGGAGCACGCATGCGTCCCCGCTGGTAGGGGTCGAATGAGGCATAGAAGTTCTTCACGAGCAGAGCACCCTCTGGGAGCTGCTGCTCGAGGTCGATCTCGCGGGCCTCAACAGCGAGGTCCTGCCCCGCCTTTGGCCATCCCTCTGGCACGTTCTTGAAGATGACTCCCTTGTTCTGAACCATGGTGATGTGTATGTGTCGTGTTTGTTGGGTATTAGAAAGGGATATGTGGGTATCTTGGACAATGTTGTTATAAGGTAGTGTGATAGTTTGATGAAGAGGGAGACGTCAGTAGCAACGAGCACCTAGCTATATAGCTACAGCAGTTTCTAGCTTAGAAATTGTGATTTCACCGCCGAGAGAAAGACCCTGATTGCATCATGAGGGTCCGGAGGCGCCGTCCAGGAAAGCCTTGCCGTAACATTGCATATCGGGCAGTTACCGGCAAGGGGCGCAACAATTCGTCCGACTCTAGAAGCCACTCTTCGGTCGAGTGTCTCGACGCGGGGCACGAAACTTGTCGCAAATGCAGAATCTTCGAGACAACGTTGAACGACGCGAAGCCATGACGAGGGTCGCGCCGGGAGTCATACGCATTGGGGAAGGTGCCCGCAGCGCTGGCAAGGCTGAGCCGAGGCAAGTGGGGCGAGATTGGTAATGGAGGGGTTTAACTGAGAGTAACCATGGGTTCAATGCACCCAGCGGTGAACATGGCAAAACAAAGTGTTGAGACGCAAGGCCTGAAGGACCGTCGAGACATGCTCGTGATTTGTCCCTTGCATTTACAACCACTCCAGTAAACAATACCGAGAGGAGAGAGTCGTCTAGAAAGACGTTGTACAAGGAGCTTCATAGGAATCGTGTACAATTTGTCTGACATCCAGACGTGCATGCGGCGATAACTCTAGAGCTTATATCCGGTGAACGTGCAAAGGCATATTCCGAGTATTCGTAAACCATACTAATTCTTCAGGACCGTACCACGACTACCCCTAAGATGTCTGACCGGCGAGCCAGGAGGCAGATATCGGCGCCTCTAATAAGCGCAACCTAGAACAACCCACTTCTCGTGAGACAGTATACCGCACGCTATCTTCAACAGCCTATGCGGAGATGGATGTGTCGGGTATCGACGCTATTATGCGGATGCTGAGCGGCTCTCACTCGTCGTCCTCTTCTTCTCTGCTATCCACAAAGAAGTCCCCCTCTTCCTCCTCAGGCTCCATAACCTTTTCTATCAACTTCAGTGTCTGCCGGAGAGGTAGGCCAACAACGTTGTCGTATGATCCTTCTATACGCTCGATGAGAACAGAACCAGCTGTCTGTATACCGTAGCCGCCCGCTTTATCATTACCGTCGCGTGTTCTGACGTATGCGAGAATAAGCTCATCGGTAACTGTGCATGTTAGCGCTCAAGTCAATCGTAGCCAGATTGGAAGAAGTACCAGTAGAGTCGAACTTGACCGTCGTCTCCTCCACATGTGTTTCCATAGCATATCCCGGGTCTACTGCTGATTCTAATGGCTTCATCACCGCGACAGCCGTCATGACCTTGTGCTCGCCCTCATCCCGCAGCATCTTCAGTGTTGCTATGTGGTCTGCCTCACTCTTTGGCTTCTCTAGGATTTTGCCAGCATGCGACACTACAATGGTGTCGGCGGCAATGACTATGGCTGGTTCGCCGCGCTCGCGATTGTCGATCTCGGTCTTGTATACATCGTGTGCTTTGGCCGACGCGGTTTCGAGGACGTAGTTCAGCGCGCCGAGCGAATGGTCTAGGTTTTCGGCGAACTTGGAAGGGCATACATCAATCTTTGTAAGGCCGATCTAAGCCAAGTCAATCTTTGATGGGTCTAAATTCAGGTGGACATGTCCTTACCTGCGCGAGAAGCTGTCGTCGCCGTGGTGACGCACTCGCAAGCACAACTCTGGACCCTCTCAATTCATTCAGCGCTGGCAGATTGAGTGGTGGAGGAGGTCCCGGTGGAGGCCGTTTGCCTGATGGTGCGCCCGACGCCGATCTGTTGTGTGGCAATGGTGACTTTCGTGCATCTTCGTACGAGGGCGGAGGTTCAGACGGTAGTAGGGGCTCTTTGACGTCCATTGTGGCAGTTGAATTATGTGGAGTGATCGGACAGTGTTTGGAGAAGCAAATTCAAGAGTCAAAACCTAAAGAATTCAAAAGGGGCTGCTGGTGTAGTGATGTTAACGATAATCTCAGAAGGAGACATCGAGTTCGGAATGCTCAAAAGGTCCAAGCTCCTGCGCCACTTGCCTCCCCCGACGCCGCTCAACTGTGCAACTGCAGCGCAGATCTCTACTTCAGCTCTTCCTCGAAAGTGGCACCACGTTTCATGACGATCCATGTACTCCAAGAAACAGCACAACCTCCGAGGAAGATTTCTGATTGTATCAACACCAACGAGAGTACTAGGCAGCGCGTACGCGACGCGTTTTAGGGCCGAGTGTCATGACGATCAACGTACTCTGCCAGAGTATGAGCATTGGTGAATATGTAGTGTCCAGATCTTAGCCTATCAGCTTCTTCTCATCAACATGAAACATCTTGACGATTGAGTCGTATGCTTCCTTAAAGTCGATCTTGTCTATCTCCTTTTGCATCTTCGCCCTGCTCGATACGATCTCTTTGGCAATGATGGCCCAGTCCAGAGTGTCACTGTCCACAGTCGCTTTCGCACTGCTGTCTACTTGTATTGGCAACAGCCTGCCATCCTTCTTCCTCACAATACCATCGACAATGACAGTCTCGATGTCTGCCGGGCTCGAGTGTAGGATAATCGCGGCGACTGGGTCATGTTGTGCCGCGCCGACCATGCTGGGACTGAGAGCATCAAAGATGGTCAGATCTGCCTTAAAGTCTTCTGCGATGCGGCCAATCTCGCCACTCATGTTTACAGCCTCTGCACCCTTGATCGTTGCCAGGTTGAATGCGGCCTCGACATTTAGACTTTCTGGAAGTGGTTCGGGGATCTTGTCTTGCTTCATATGGTATTCATTGTAATGGTTGCGCGCGTTTTGCAGGCCGAGCCTTGCCTCAGAAATGATGGAACCGGCAGTGCACGAATGGCAATCAACGCCAAGCGCGGCGTTGTCCTGCAATCCGATCGAATTGCCGCTTATCCCTCCATCTTGGAAGGATGCATCGAAGCAGTAGGGTCTCGCCATGGCCATCTGGAGTTCGGTGCTTGGAGTGGAACTGACGAACGCCCCAGCGGCCTTCAAGAGCTCGGCATCAGCCTTCAAGACTGTACCACCATGCGAAATGATGATCTTCTCATCTAGTAGATCGAGATTTGATGCTTCTTGTATCACGTTGAGCCCCAGTGATACAGATCCGTGGCAGGTAATTGTCTTGACACCCTTCGCATTCACTCTGGCAAATATACTCTTGACCATGTCCGCTGGTAGAAACCAGAAATCGAAAGCGAAGCCGAGGGCTACTCGTCCATCTCCAAAAGGCCCGCTGTCGGCAAGTTCGTCAAAGGTTTGCATAACCCAGTCTTCGAAAGGATTTAGATTGAAGGTGAGGGGATTAAACTGGGTGATGAGCATCAATGGGGTGTAGCAGAATACAGATCGGATGCCAGAGGATGCAGTAGCCGCGATGGCAGACCTGACATGCTCCGGTGAGCGGGTGATGTGTGCATGATCAACCACCGTGGTTGTGCCAGCAGCTATGCTCTCCAGCATACCTGCGAGTTGGCCGTAGAAGACATCTTGGGGCGAGTATTGAAAATTCTGTGAATTGCCTATCATTCGTTAGAGAGACATTATGATTGAGCCTTGAACTTTACCAGTAACCATGTATTTTATCAGTCCCTCGTTGGCATGTCTGCCCTTGAGCTGCGTTTGCCAACCATGCCGATGGGTATCGACGAAGCCTGGGCTGATGATCTTGTTGGTGCAATCGATGGTTTCGACTCCCTGGGACGACGTAATCTCAGGCGCAATTCTTTTAATCTTGCCATCTTCTACAAGTATATCGGATCTGGTAGGGATTATATGGTTGTTCGTGTCATGAATCAGGGCGATACCACCTTGAAGCAGAAGAACGTTAGGCGCCATTGCAAAGGTTGCAAGATCCAGGAGTAGTTGCTGCGCTCGCAAATCTGTTCAATGCCAGTATTTCCCTTCGATAGGGCTGAACATCTGCTGGCAGTTCCGTGCTCTGTGTAAAGCTGAAGTTCTTCAGCTCTTATATAATGAGGTGAGGTTCTGCCCGATCTCTTGACAAAGTGAGATGCTGCCCGACTTAAGGCTGAGGTCATCATGAACAATTTGCCCATAGCCCCTCATCTCGCTATCATCGGGACGCGAAGAGAGCGAGGACCGGGTTTACATGGCGTTAAGGTAGCCGTTGTACAAACACGAACTGGCTTTAACGAGATAGAGTAAGCATTTTCAACTTGGATTGTTGCCTGGTTAGCTTCTAGAGCGGTTATGGGAACTGTGCTTCGATCTAGTAGTTTCTCACAACCCGAAAGCTGATCTAAGAGTTACACTACGCATCCTTTGTCGACATCAAAGCATGTTGTGGCCGCATGTTGGTGTTGAGATCAGCCGGTGTTAGTTTTCGGACAGGATCGATGACGTAATCGGGTGGTCCAGTAGCGCATCTTCTTTCGCGCGATCGCCCGAGGCTCCTTTTCTTACGATGGATCCACGACGTACGTCTAGTCTACCCTTCGCAACGCCCTGTTTGCGCATTTCGGAGACCATTGTTGGGGACCTATCCGTCGTGTCAACAGCTAGTTATGCCACTGACAGCAAAGGATGCTTCAACCTGCAATTTCACTAACATTTGCCAGATCACGCATAATCGATCGTCGTTTGCGTTATCAAGAACCTACAAGCACGCCATGCTTCACCTCCCTTCTTTCCACAATCATTTATCTTGATTAAGACATACCAAGACACTTGCCGTTTCCAACGCTCGTGTGCACTCCCATTGCTTCACCGGGCAGTGACCGAGATGAAATCCCACGAGAGACTTTAGTCAGGCTGTTGTGGAAAGGCCGGAGCACGATCTAGACAAACTTCAGAATCTCCTCGGCGATGTATAACCAATGGCGCACAGGGCTGGGTTGGCCAGGTGTCTGGGACAAATCGCCACTCGCTTCTCCCAGTCTTATGGGGATTGGGCTTTCTACTGCGTCGCGATAACCGCATACCATGCAGGTTCCTTGTTGTTCCAGGCGTTCGGTGCCTACCTGACCCCTATCGTTTGCCCTTCTCGCGTGCCACGGACTGTGCCGAAGACCAATGGCGTGCAACAGTCTAGGATAACTTTACATTGAACATGTGGGCTGAAAAAGCTAGCACGGGCTAGCCTGTAAGTAATCTGAAGATGTGCTTCTTTTACTGAAGACCATGTCGATTCACCGACCCGCGCGAACCTGACCAATGCTTCGGTTGTCGTACTACTGCGATGTGAATTTACGTAACACAGGGGTTTTCAGCGAGTTCAGTTGGATGCTTCGTCCTAGGATACCATCAAGTTGAGCTCTTGACTGCGCAGCGTTCAAGCTTGAGTCAATCTGGAGCCTGCCTTTTACTGGAAACGAGGCCGGAAACGATACACAGACCATCGACCTCACAATCACACTAGTAACCTCGTCAACACTCAATTCTTGCAGAATATCCCGGAGCTTCGCTGCAAGTCCTCCAAACGCGTATACACTGGCTTCCTGGCTCGCGTTGCCATCAGAACATTGTGGCAACCCCCACATTCTGACGGCACGCCCCGAGCTTCGCGAATGCGCACGGCAGGGCGTGCTTAAAGAGACTTTTAGTCGGTTGCAACACATTAGCTGTTCCAATCTGCCAGCTTGTATGTGACCACCTACATTGCCGCTCTTCGGGCGCTAGTGTGGCTGCAGGCATCTGATGCCAATAACGCCAACCGAGATGTCGCAATCCTTGGCATCTATTGCGAACGTTGAACGAACAGTACGCAGACACCAGCCTCCGCTGAGATACTGCAAGACTGGGCATACTTGTTCCCTTTTTGTCTTGTTGGCAATGCTCTGCTTACAACGGTGGAATGTGTTAGATCGAGAGGAGATCTCATGAATTTGTTGCATGATGATATGTCTGAACACTTACGAAGTAAATGTACTGCAGCCATGGCCAACCAGCGACCCCGGATCTCCCACGCGATCCACCAACGCCTCAAACGCCATATCTCCGCCTTCGGAAGCCCAGACCTTACAAGCTCAACGCTTCGTGCAGCCCAGCCTGCCAGATTCCTCGTCTGCCATCTGCCAATATTTAGGATTTTGCTCAACGCGAGCACGTCATGATCGGGCGCTGTTCTGTGATGGCGTTGCTGCACTGTGATTTGTACGGAATGCTTCATTCACGTATCCTGCCCACGCCAAGCTACATGTGCCGTCTTGTTGCACGTCAAGTCCTTGGAATGGCGTCGGGCCATCGCAGATGCGGCTGTGCCTCCGCCTTGAATCTGGAACGATATGGTACTTCTATTTGACCGAATTTGATGTTCGCCCATTACTTCTCCACGGGCACTCATCCACAAAGCGTAGTATAAGGTCACCCTCTTCTCTCGATCTGTCTCAGCGTCAGGTCTTACGGTTACTCCAATTCAACGTCCGCGACCTTTGGGGGTTATTTCGATTCCATCTGGAAGCTTCCTTGTCACCTTGAATCACCCGCTGTTGACGGAAGCCGGGGAGCCCAGGGTACAGCCTTCACTGACGACGTCCGCCAACATGGCTTCAGCTGGTCGCAACGCGGCCAAGGTCCTTGGAATAAATCTTGACTACCGGAAAGAGCCCGAGGTGTCTGGCGCAGCGTCAATATCATCTGTGGAAACATGTGAATATTGTAGGACTTATCGATCGGCAACAGCTAACGACATTCAGACGTCGAACGTGAACCTACCGCGATAGAATGGCTCTCTCAATTCAAGCCATCAGCGACCGCCACAACGCGTTACCTGAGGAGTTTGTTTCCCTTCTTGGACTGGATATTCCACTATAACTTGACATGGCTATTTGGAGACTTTATTGCTGGTTGTACCGTAGGATTTGTCGTCATCCCTCAAGGCATGGCATACGCTCTGCTTGCGAAACTGCCTCCCGAGTATGGCCTCTACACAAGTTTTGTTGGCTTCATCCTCTATTGGGCCTTCGCTACATCGAAGGATATCACCATTGGTACCGTCGCTGTCATGAGCACCATCGTCGGAAATATCGTTACCAAAATCCAGGAAAAACAACCAGATATTGAAGCTGTGGACATTGCTCGAGCTCTATCCGTCATCGCTGGTTCCGTTCTACTTTTCATCGGTCTTACACGGCTTGGAAGGATCGTCGAGCTCATTCCTCTTGTCGCTATCACCTCATTCATGACGGGCGCTGCCATCTCAATCGGAGCCGGCCAGGTCCCAGCACTAATGGGTATATCTGGCGTCAACACACGCGGTCCTACATATCTGGTCGTCATCGACACTCTCAAAGGCCTTCCACGCACGAAGCTCGATGCTGCTATGGGTCTGACTGCTCTGTTCATGCTATACGCCATCCGTATATTCTGCAATGTCATGTCGAGGAAGCAGCCTTCAAAGCAAAAGGTCTGGTTTTTCGTAAGCACACTGCGAATGGCTTTCGTCATTCTGCTATACATTATGATCAGCTGGCTTGCCAACAAGGACATCAAAGGCCTTCATAATGCTAAGAACGATGTCAAGATGGCGAAGTTCAAGATCCTCGGTCGTGTACCAAGAGGCTTTCAGCATGCTGGTGCTCCGAACATGGACACGAAGCTCCTCTCGGCAATTGCACCCGATATCCCGGTCACGATTATCGTATTGATTCTCGAACATATCGCAATCTCGAAGTCTTTCGGACGAATCAACAACTACGTCATCAACCGTAAGCAACGATAACAACTATCTGATCACATGAGTGTACTAACCACATATTCTAGCCTCGCAAGAACTGGTTGCCGTGGGCTTCACAAATGTGATCGGTCCATTTCTTGGCGCCTACCCTGCTACCGGGTCATTCTCGCGTACTGCTATCAAGTCGAAAGCAGGTGTCCGTACCCCACTTGCTGGTATCTTCACAGCAATCATCGTGCTCCTGGCTTTGTACGCTCTAACCGCAGTCTTCTTCTACATTCCGTCGGCCGCTCTCGCTGCCGTCATCATCCACGCTGTCGGAGATCTCATTACTCCACCTAACGTTGTTTTCCAATTTTGGGAAACGTCGCCTTTGGAGGTTGTCATCTTCTTCGCGGGTGTCTTCGTAACAGTTTTCACGAACATCGAAAATGGTATATATGTTACCATTGCAGCTTCATTCGCACTTTTGCTTTGGCGCCAGCTGTTCACCCACGGTGCCATTCTTGGCAAAGTCCGCATCTATCGCGCCACCCCGGAGACGATGGCCAACAAGCAAGACAGCCATTTTACTCCAGGCTCTGATGCTTCTGTCCGAGAAGCCTTTATCCCAATTGACCGCAAGGATGGCTCAAACCCGCTTGTTGATATTGAGTCCCCGTATCCCGGTATACTGATCTACCGCTTCACTGAAGGCTTCACATATCTCAACCAACAAGGTTACATGGACGAAATTGTGCATCACGCGCAGACAATCTCCCGTCCAACAGAGCTTAACAAATACACAAAGATCGGTGATCGGCCATGGAACGACCCAGGTAGGTCGACGTATGCATTGGGTGCGATTCAACGTACTGACTTTTACAAGGTCCACGTCGCGGAAAGCAGCTGAACCTCGATGATAACCGACCTATCCTCCGTGCGATCATTCTAGACTTTAGCGCTGTCAACAATGTCGATGTTACATCGATTCAAGGTCTCATTGACGTGCGCGCACAACTAGATCGTCACGCAGCACCCGAAACTGTAGAATGGCACTTCGCGTCGATCAACAGCCGCTGGACTAAGCGCGCTTTGACAACTGCTGGCTTTGGTTACATCGACCGCGAACGTTTTGCAGCACGTCAGCATTGGAACCCAGTATTCAGTTATGCACCTCTCGATAATTCGGCCGCGAAGCTACACGACGAAGAGGCGCAGGATGAAATCCATGCCGTCAACAGGAGTAAGGGTCTACCGAGTGGCAAGGTCACCACCGTGCATGGACAGAACAGACCGTTCTTCCACATTGATGTAGCGGCAGCTGTCGAGAGTGCTATTGCCGGCGTCAATGGGAAGCTGGCACAGGTCAGCTCAGGAAGCTCACACGAGCATGAGGTCGGGCCGACGGAGTTGACGACCAAACATGATTAGTTAGGTCAGCGAATGTATCATTATCGTTCTTTGTGTCATAAGTTCATATATATATATATATATATATATATATACAGCGAAAGGCGCGTCTAAGCGTGCTTAGCATCATCATCCATCATCTACTGCCTAACGCAACCGGTCTTATCGGTCAAAGCTTTGGGGCAAGTAACCTCCTTGAAAGAAACGCTTGGGTTATCAGCGTTCTTGAACCAATCGAACCTCCATTCGCAACCTGGCTTGAGCTTCTGAGGGAAGCTTTCACACTCGGAGCGGGAAGAGATACCGCCGTATTGCTGGCCCCATCCGTTGGGTGGCGCACCAAATTGTGCAGTGCAGGCGTTGAAAATGCCTACGCCACCACCAGGTATAGCGAGATCGAAGTGGTTGTCTCCCAAGTCGCCGCCAGTGTTGGTGGTTTGCACGACCATCTTCTTGCCTGAGACAGGGCCGGATGTGAATGTCAGTCTAGAAGAGAGATACATTAGTCTTGATTCTTCGGCATGCTAAAGAGCACTCAGATAGACTCACTCATAGCATGCACAGCACCAGTTGCTCTCCGTCTTGCCAGAAAGCTTTACTGCTGCAAAACCGTACGCAAGGTCGTCGCTGACCGCCCAGGGTGACTGGTCAGTGCACATATATGCTGAGCCGCCGTCACATCCACTCTTTGTGTTCACGTCGGAGAGTGGGTTGTCGTTCTTGTCGCATGTCTTGATCGGTGAGCTCACGGGGGCTTTACCAGACCATGCGCAAGAGCCTTTGCAGCAGTCCCAGTATCGTGTGGTCTTTCCAGTGGACTGAGCGTCCACGGTTGCGAGGCCGGTGGCGAGGGCGAGGAGAGTGAGTTGCCTGATGGAAACCATGATGGGCAGTTGTTTTCGATGATTATCCTTGGTATCGGTAGTTGGTTTGCTGAGCTTGTGGGTGCAAGTAAAATTGATGAAAGGCGAGGCGTCATAGGCTTTTTATATATATGTGTGCCAAGTTCTTCTCCAAAGAAACTACCATGACGAAAGTCTTCTAGACTCCCTTGCACCCCACAAATTGCCTACTATGCCTGACCTTGAGCTCTTCTTGCCACCAGGTACACCGCATATGTGGTATGTACTAACAGCCCGCACATGCCCTTGCAACCGGTGGCTCAAGACGGTAGCCGAGATGATTAATGGATCGTCAAGCAAGCCCACCACGTAACCACCTCATCACTGACGGTGCATATTGTGGAATCAATACCAAACATGCTCGTGTCGTAGTTTTATGTTCAAGCTGAAAAGCGATCAGTCAGGCTTATGGGGGTACTGGACGAGCAGTGGCTGAGTAGTGTACAACACATGTTACACTAGATTGGAACTTTCATATATTGCGGCAGTATTGCGGTAGTCGCTTACTCGCTGGCTAAGTGCCGCTATGCAATTCCTGGATCATCAGTTTTGACGAGACGTCCGGAGATTTTCTAGCTAGAAAGCAGTGTATGGCGGGGTGCATACACGAGCTTCACAACATTCCGCAAAAAGCTTGATTCCACAAGCTGAGGATTGAGGTGCCTGCTCCTGATTGTGGTACGAGAATGTCGTTCCTGGGTGATTAGGGAGTTGAAGGGCAAAGAAAGTCTTAGCGCAGTTTCAGAATCATACCGATATCCTTCCTAGCACGGAAGACGGGAAATGACGAGGGTGTGGCATGCTACTAAATGAGAGATGATCATTGGCTGATTTGTAAATTTAATTTACTGAGGCGTCATTAATCGGCTGGTCGGAATGCAGATGAGGTGCAATGACGGCAGTCTTTACCAGCATGAAATTGTGTCTGGAATGAATGCAGTCATTGAGAGAATTGGTAGATGTCATGCAAGCCATTCAGGTACCTTGCCTCCTTGTTGGTATTCGGAACGCACTTTACCAAACCCATCAGAGGCAGTGTGCAGAGTAATGTAGGGAGGCATTTACCTAGCATAATCGCTGCTCACTCAGTCTGACATTTGACGGTGTGACTACTGTCCAAAACTTCGTGGCGCCCCACTGTCTACTCGGCTACACTCCGCTCGTCCCGCTGACCCCCTGCGCACGGAACGAAGATTCTCTCTGTATTCCGTAATCTTGGTTCCCGTCTTAGGCATTGTTCGGCGAAGTATAAAGTACTCGGTTTTGCTGTTGACACGAAAGGGTTGTCGTTGCGGCGCAACTTGGGCAGCGGTTCGATAAACTACGCTGGATTTGCCCAATCACCCCAGAAAACGAAAGCGTTGTTGGGCGCAGACGTTCGTCAGAGGTTGAGTCTCATATCCGCTGCATGCACGCCTCGAGGTGATCAGCATTGGAATGACTTGATGGCGGTGCTAAGCAGCATACCTCACCTAAATCTGACGTTGCGTCAGTACTGTACTGAAATGGTGTAGCATCATTCGTATTTTGAGCGCATACGAGCCATTGTTTCGTACTCTGCCAGTCACGGTGACCACATAGAACTAACTCAGCTGCTCCAGTCGGCAAAAAAGGAGAATGCCATCTGGACGACGTTACGTATTGAACGAGTCTCTTGCAGAAAATTGTAGACAAGGGAGCTTGAAAAGCTCAATGCGTCTTGAAGATTCCAATCGTGGCATCAAGCGGCCTATCAGTATTCTTACACTTACAACTAACAGCCAGTCTTCTTTGTATGCGCTGCTACTTTCATAGACCTCTCGAGTGCATATGTAGATCCTTCAATTGAATGTTTATAGGAAAGTAGTGGAAGATAGAGAACAATGTAGTCTGTAAGTTGACGCTGGGAGCCACAGGCTCAGCGGAGAGAGAAAAATCATCGCACCTTCTTGCACCAGTCACGGCTCCCCTACCAATGCGCGACAATGTCGCTGTTCCACGTGTCAGTTGTGGTCACTGAGAAAACGCAACACTTGAAGCAAAACATAGTACAAAGCCGCCAGTCATGGCTCACACTTGCCGCTGAGTAATCTCGGCACGTTGAGTAGTGATGCCGGGCTGCTGCCGTTGAGAAGCATGCTGACTCGTTGTAAAAGGTTCCATAGTGTGACATTTCTTTTGTCGATGTTTTGCCGTTGCTTCGCCGTTGCTTTGATGGTATTCAGACGCGGTTCGGTGAGGAGAAGCGTCGTATGAGGAAGTTACTGTGCTTTTTGGAAGACAGGAAAGAAGACTGTGCTCAGGCTAGCTGTTATACACATCTAATGCATGCAAAGTTATCGAACTGAAAAGCAAGACTGGCATGAGATACGGTGAAGCCCGCTCGAAGAAGTTGTGTGAAGGGAGGCATTGAAATGAGAGACCCCTTCGTGGTTTACTGCTGTTCTTTTACAGACCGACACCGGGCCTGCGAGCGCGTTGTTTGAGCCATCGTGTCATCGGCAGAGCCTTCGTATCATGTCCCGAACTCTGTTGCGTATAGTTTCTTTTCCGTGTTGAATAAGCTTGAATGTACGGCCGCAGCAACGGCGGAATGAGTATCGTGAACGAACATGGACGCTTCAAGCATGGATATCCCTTGAAGGCGTCAGGTGAGCGTACTCCTTTCGTCGACGCGCGTTCATTTGGTGATGATGGTGATCAACGCTGGGATACAAACTTCCACAATGAGGCAGCTACAATTGCCGATCGAAATCCGCCATACCCGATGCGGCCACTTGAAACCGGCCATGACGTAGCGCCAAAAGCGGTAGGCGCAACGCCTCATGCCCCAGGTTACCGACCCCCCGGCTCCGAGCGTTAACACACCCATAACTCTGACACCATGCAGCTGCATACTCCAATACCACGAGAGCAGCCAAGAACGCGCATCAACAGACGGTTTGTTTGATGCAGCGCTTCTCAAAGCGCTCCATCAATTATGCCATTAGTACCGAGGTTCGTGACGATCCTACTCGTATGGCAATGACACGCCGTGACAGGTCCGGCGCATTTCACGAACCCACACCGGAGGCATTGATCGCCATGTCGCTTCGGCCACTCGCGCACACGTCCTGACAAAAGGTTATGATCGCCATAAGCTACAAGTCGCTCAAGAGGGCATGCATCCTCCCTGAACCTTCTTCTTCTTTTCTTATTCAAACGAACTACTCCCCGCTTTGCCAGACTCCGCCGCCATCCGATGGCTACGGCACCGCATCTCCACTCTCTATCACACCACTAGCGAACCCATAAACACATTCATTCTCACACTACTGTCCTTACCACCAACAACTACACTCATTCTTTATACCTGCGGTTCAGCCCGGTGCTGTGCCTACCCTTAATAACACCGCCATGCCTTACCGCTCCTTCATATGCCGACTGCTCTTCTGCGCCGTATTCTCCGTATCCGTTCTCAACATCTTCACCAGGGCCACTCAGCCCCGCTTTCACGCCGGAAAAGCCTCCAATCATCATCTTACTGAAGAAACTTTCTGTCCAAAGTCCAAGCTCGCCGATGACGTTTTGGTCGTCTTGCGAACCGGAGCCACCGAATCACAAGAAAAGGTGCCAGTGCACTTCCGTACCACGTTGCGATGCGTTCCCCATTTTGTTGTACACTCGGACCTGGATGAGGACATAGAGGGACACGCTGTTCACGACGTGCTCAAAGGAGTTAGCGAAGAGACGAAGACGACGAATGAGGATTTCAAGTTGTACCGCCAACTCCAAGAGCATGGAAGACGGGGTGTAAAGCAGCAGCAGGTTCTCACATCATTGTCCGGCTCGTCGCAAGGGGATTACCTACGAACTGACAATGCTGGATGGCAACTGGACAAGTGGAAATTCTTGCCTATGATCGACCAGGCGCTAGAGGAGAAGCCGGATGCGAAGTGGTATTTCTTCATGGAAGCGGACACGTACATGAACTGGAACAACCTTTTGGAATTTCTTGGCAACTTTGACGACAGCAAGCCCTACTACATTGGCAAACATCTGTTCATCAATGAGGTCGAGTTTGCGTATGGTGGCGCCGGATTTGCCCTTTCAAATCCAGCCATGCAGAGAGTCGCATCGCGACGATCTGAGCGCATTAGTGAATATGAGGAGTTCACAAAGACACATTGGGTTGGAGACTGCGCACTCGGCAAAGTACTTGAAGACGTACATGTTCCTCTTCATCGCGCATTCCCACACTTCCAAGGCGATTCCCCAGCCACCCTCGACCCCGCAGTCTCCAAGATTGACCGCGATCTATGGTGCTTCCCTGCCGTTACCTACCACCATGTCGCCCCTGCTGAAATCGAAGAGCTTTGGGATTTTGAGCAAGACTGGTATAAGCGACATCAAATTCTCCTACGCCATCGAGACGTGTTCATGGAGCTTGTGCGACCAAAGATCGACGCATCAGTCCCTGGGTGGGATAACATGTCAGCAGACAAGGAGTACAATGCGCACGATCATTCAGCTGTAGAGAACGAACTTGAGCGAAATGCCTGGAAGTCTTTTGAGCACTGCCGTGCATTGTGCGAGGAACAGGATGACTGCATGCAATTCTCCTTTGACGCAGGGAGCTGCGGCATATCCACATCGTTCAGATTGGGTTACGCGAAGCCGCAAGGAATGATGAAGAGTGGATGGATGCTGGATCGTGTAGACGACCTATTCAGGAGTTTAGAAGAGCAGTGTGGCCTGCGAGATTGGTTCGCGCCACAGGAGAGTACCACCAACACGGAGTTGAAGATGAAAATGAGGCGGAAGAGGACGGTCACCTTCCCTACACAACCCTAGGGGACGAACACCGCTTGCATAACAGCATCAGAAAGGCGTTTTAGGATTAGTTTTTTTTTTCTGGAGATGATACCCCCCAACAACACTCGCTTGCATAGATTCATAAGTTTCACTACATAGTCAAAGGCTGCACTGCGCATGACCTAAATGAAGAAGTCAAAAAAAATATCAACTAAGCAACCACATCTCGACTTGTTTCTTGACTACTTCATTGTTTTTAGATACGGAACGTTTTCAACTTCTTCCTAGATCTCGACACTGTCTATCTTGTTGTCAGATACTCAAGGATCGTTTGCCATGTCTTCAATTTAGCATAAGCCCCATGGCCGGAAACAACAGCAACACTAGATGTTTCAGACGTTTCCTGCAACCACCCTGCTGATGATCAGCTAAATGAAGGTGTTTCGAAGCAAATGGCAGGGGTATAGATCGTGAGCCGTGCTTTCCTTACTGGGGCGGGGAAGAAATTGTTGCAATGCCGCGTTGGAGTACTGGTAAAGGTGTTGATGGACTTGCGACTTGTCGTTTGAGACTGTATAAAGGCGCTCTTCCGAAAGGTATGGTACTAATACTGTTAGTGAATAGCAATGCGCATCTTCTGTCAGCAGTCTACAACGTTCGACTTCATCTCTCACAATTACTCAGAGAAACTTGGATCTACCAATCGTACTATTACACAGTTCATCTCCCTGTACCTACTAACTACATGGATCCATTGCTACATCCACATTACGCAAAGAAAGAAGCTCAAGCTGTAAATCTCGCTTTTTCCAGTCAAGTCTCCCAAGATCATAAGGGAGAGATTTCGTCATCAACATGCTGATATGCAGATAATAAGCGGGAATATATCGGTAAAAGAAAAGAGAGGGGTATGTTGTATATAAAGGACGACTGTTCAACCTTGATGACGGTATAAAATGATAAAAAGGAGATATTGTGGGCTTCGCCATGAGAAGAACGCCTCCAGAATCCCACTAGTAACTGCTTCCATGTGCTAGGTAGCAAATGGCTAGTGGGAAAGTATCAATGCATGTACTGAATTTAGAAGATGGTGAATTGGTATCGGAAGAGAAGAGTGGGCATGCACCGCGTTGAGGGCGGTCACATTGCAATTGCCGTAGCGGTACTGTCGGGCCTGTGATCCGGGTGAGAATCCGCGCTATCGGCATATGCGAGCAGAGCTTTGGCATCATCGAGCCCCGAGATTGCGAGGCCTTTTTCGTCTTCTTCGTGGATAGTGCTCTCTTGTATGCTCTCTTTCGAGATCTCGCTCTTCCTCTCAGCATCTTCCGTTCCGTCTTCGTCCATGAGATTTGGCGGACGTTGACGCATGGCGCGCGCCTTCTCGAGGGAAATGGTCTTTTGCTGGTATGTGGTCGTAAAGGGGAGCGCCTCGTCGCGGTCGATGGTGGCTTTCATCAATGCAGCCATCCAGAGTCGTCCGACAGCGAGACTGTCTACGGCAAAGTAGTGCACGATAGGTTTGGTGAACTGGACGCCCTTCTGAAGTCCTGCTCGAGGAGGTACGAGCTTGAAGATGAACATGCCCGAAACGTCTTCCTCTAGCCCTGGAATGCTTTTGGCGCTATCTGCAGAAGCTGTTGTCTGTATTGTGGCATTATGCGGAGACGTAGGTGATGAGGCGGCGCCTGTGAGAGAAGCGTGCAGACCAGTCATTCTCTCGTTATTCGCTGGTAGCACACGATGTGATGATATGTCGATGAGACCCTTCTCTTCTGTGTCATTTTCAGTGTAGTAGTACGCAAGACGACGACCACGTAAGACGAACAGACGCGTTTTCCACGTCGTCATGAGACTGGAAGACTTCTTCTTCATCCAACCGCTGTAGTCGCAGTTCTCCATGGCCTGTTGCGGGGTGATTTGCTGACGGCCCTTGAGATATGCACTGGTGCCATGCTTCTTAGCCTTCTTCTTTCCCTCCTTGGAAGTAGTGGAGCCAGCGGTGAAACGCCTGTTAGCATCTGCTTTCTCCAGTTCGAAACTCTTCGACAATGAGGTACCAGAAGGTGTGCTAGAACCTGTCCGTGAGGGCGACTGCATGGGCGAATCCTTGTGCTGCGAGGCTGCCACATCGGCAGAGCTCAAGTTTGCCTTCTCACCGCCAGTGATGGCATCTGATATCGCTCGGAGACCCCTGGGTTGTGAAGACTTCTTGCTGCTGAAGAATGAGCGTGTATGTGAAGGCGCAGCAGCAGGCGAAGGCGAAGCGCGACCTGTACTTGAGGTCTCGCTGCCTGCGATATTGGGTGAATTCGCGATAGCGTCGATGCTGTGCGAATCGTAGGCGAGCTTGGTCACTGTGGGATGCATGTCGCTTGCTGGCTTAAGAGGCCGAACAAAGTCGAATGCACTGGAGCTGCGCTCACTTTTGATGCTGGTGCCGTAGTACTTTTGCGCGGCAGCCGACATGGGACTTGCTGGCCTGAGAGCTGAATCTGCGCTGCCGATTCTGCTGTGTCGGCGACTGAAAGAAGCACGCTGGCCAGCCTCGGTGTTGTGACTTGCAGTACGCGAATGGCCGCCCGTACTTTCCCTCTTGCGCAGAACGTTCCTGTTTTTGCGATTGTCGACCTCACCACCGGAGAAGTAGCCGCGGTCAAGATCTCCAGAGTTCAGGCCAGCCTCGCGGAAGTCAAACGCAGTTCCACTGGTGCTAGAAGCATGCATGTGATGGGATGAGACGGGCCGCATGAGATCTTGTGCTTGTGCCGACTTGGCCGTTGAACCCATGGTCCAATTGCGATCGAAAGAAGGCGTCTTCTTGTGCGCGTGCATGGCTCCAGATGTGGAGGACTTCATTAAACCGGATGTAGTAGGCGTGGGCGGCCCCTGATTGTAGTCAATGGAAGAGTGCCGCCTGCTGTGATTCATGCTCCGGACGGAAGCAGCGGAGGGTCGGACGGGTGAACCGAGCGTGGGTGAGGCGGGTGTGTGCTGGATGAGTGGAGATGTCGCGTCCATAGTTGACGAGCGGCCTGCAGACGAGGCTGCACGCGGGATGTGCTGGCGGCTGGTGTTGCCGCGAGATCCAATGCTTTCCCTCAGTGTCGGTATTCGAGGAAGCACCGCCCCAGTGGACGCAGCCCTGCTCCTTCCCATGTCCGCTGGGAACTCGTCGGGACTCTCGACAGGCGGCAAGAGCAGCGTACTCCTTGCAGCTTCCGCTTCCTTCGCGTTCTTGACTTCTGACTGCAACGCGTTGATCTTCATCCAGGTGCGCAGTCGTGGGCCCATAGGGCCCAGGTCAAACTCCTGCATGAAGATGAAGTTGCGATCTACGCCCAGCAGCGCCTCGCCGTCAATGTCTTGATCTCGGAACACATCGCAGTGCTTCTTCTCCACGCCCACATCTTCGAGGTACTCGGCGACGCGTGCAGGCGACCAGGTCTTGACCTCCTCTTCCGTGTGCCAGTTCTGCTCCTCCTCGTCCGTTTCCTGCCCGTTGATGTATGACAGTCGGTGGTGGCTGCTGTATTCGCTTCCCGAGTCATTAGACCTCAGCTCTTTCCCCACGGCGCTGTGCCTCGGCGTGCTCATGCCCGTAATGTGCTCGTCGATGACGCTCAGAGTCTCGTGCATGACGGGGCTCCCTATCGTCTCGTCTTCGGTCGGCGCTTCCCCACTCAGCGCCATGCTGATGCTCCTCTGGCCATTCTGTATTGATGTCCTTCGCGCAATCTCTGGCCCCGACGCGATGTTCAGGGGCTCTGTGGGTGCTGATTTTAAAGGTGGAGAGGCGCTCGTGGTAGCCGGTGGCTGTGCGGTCGGCGGCTCAGAGATGGCCATTCCGGGCGTGACTGAAGGTTTCTCTGACCGCACAGACAGCTGTGAGGGATTGCGCGAGAGCATGGTCGGAATCGGTGTTGGTTTTGGTGCTGGCCGTGTGTAGACTGCTAGGGCATTAGCTGTGTTGCTCGCAAAAAAAGAAGCATACCAGCCAGATAAGGGGCGTCTGCACGACTGCGCTGCCTACGATAGGGGAACATACCTTCGGGAAATAGGCCATTCTCTCCCGTCTCGGTGTTCTTGCCTAGGAACCAGCCATCGCCAAAGTCGTCGTCGCGCTCAATAAGCTCGATGCGGTCTCCTCTCCTTAGACTCAGCTCGTCAGGACTCCGGGCTAGAAACTCGTCTGCGAGCGCACGTCAACAGCGGGTCGATGGGATGTGCAGCACAATGGCAGCACAGGTGGGGGGGGAAACATACGCACTACGACGAGGGTGTCGCCAGGCCGGCAGCCCTCGGTGTGGGAGCGTTGCGCCATGATTACAGGTGCTCTGCAAGACTGGTTCGGGTTGGACGTGTATGCGAGCAGTCTCCAGTCAGTATCGGTGGTTCATTCTCGTGGCAGTTCGCGCTATCGGCGGGCGAGGCGGGCGCAACAGCTCGACGTATAGCAATGAGTTTAAATGTTGGGTCCCGAGGCCGCCGCTACTTGAAACAAGCAGACAGGTCCGCAGTGAAACAAAGTGGCGATGTTGTTTGTGGGAAGGGTGGAGGTATATTGCTTGATCCCGTCGTCGTGCGGCTGCCGGGGGTGTCGTGTCTATACTTGGATGGTGGGACAGAAGGGCAGGAGACTAGTGATGTGCATCCTTGGATCAATAGGCGACCTAGCCTTCATGTGATATGAATTACGTCGGTACGCAAAACCATGGCCGTACCAGCGCTACAAAACGAATGCCGCTTAGTAGCCGCCCATGCATGTTGGCAAAGTGGATTTTACCGTCGAGCCCCCAGCGGGCAGCCCTGGAGCGGTTCTGACTTGGCCAAAGATTAATTGCCGTCTAGAAGCGCCCATGTCCTTGACCCAATGCGACCTGGCATGTTCGCGAAACATCGCTGTCATGGCTGGCTGTCCGTGCGCCATGTCTTTCGTAGTGCCAGGACGGCGTGGCAGGTTGGACATTCACCTCATCCACAACGCACCTTCCCTTTTCCACATCTGGCTGCGGCCTGGACAACAAAGACGCACTCCCCATCGAAACGCGGCAGTCACGACCCACCTGCTATGCACTGAAATGCGCCCACGTCTCCGAGCGCGACATGAACACCCCACACCCGGAGTCACCCATGTCAAGCACTCGGAGGCGTCCAGCGCGTGCATACAAAGAAATACCCCAAACATAGCGCACCGTCTGCCCCTGGAGTCGCGCCATGGCACCTGGGAGGCACCCTCTGCCGGAGGATGCGACGACGCAAACACTCAACTATGCACTGGGCAATCTTGGGGGGAGGCAAAAGAGCTGGATGACACTGCCCTACAACGCGCCAGCCCTGCCGCCTGTGCCTGTCGTTCCTCCATCCACCGTGCGCGGTCGTGGAAGACCTCGCAAGCATCCCGCGCCCGCGCCCGCTTCCAACACTAGCCCCCAGAACCCGAATACGACACCACAGATACCTTCGCAACCGCGTCCGACCGTCGAGACAGAACGACAGCCGCCCTCCAATTCCACATCTCCCAGGCTCCCCAACGTCCTTGTCCCTCAGAACACTGCCACTTCTGGGCCTTCGGTTGCCCATGTGTTTCCGTCCCCCACTCCAAGCGAGGAGACATCAGCGTATCCGCCACCACACGAGAGCGCCTCTTCAAAAAGACCAAGCGAAGGACAGGAACAGCAAGCAGAGAAGCGGCGACGCAGTCAAGTCTATGCACAAGGCCGGCCGCTATCCATAGCAAACACGACAAACGCCTGCCCAGACTTACCTCATAGACCGTCTGGGCAACTCGACAGTCGCAGCCCACCGTTCGGGATAATGGCTTCGCTACAAACACATCAAGGCACACAGCTTCACAATCAGCAGCCTAGCAGAACACAGCTCCAACCATACGGGCCTTTGATGCCACCACCGATGACTTGGCAAGCGCCAAACTCCCGGCCTTTATCTTGCACGACGCAGCCAGAATACGGGCCCATAGCACCCTCGGCGCATAATCCATCGAATAATGGTTGGTACACAAAGAACGATTGTCTGCAGCGTCTTAGCGACTTCCAGACCTCAATCCCTCCTCTGCTAGGTCACACCCCTGACGCAAAACGCCTGCTCGTTATGCGGGAAGCCATCATGGACGAGGACTGGTCATATGTTACTATGCATCAATCTTACTGCATGCTCACCCATGCCCGTCATATGATACTGCAGAGTGTGCTGGAGCTACCGGGTTTGCATGAAGCGCAGAACATATTGAAAGAAGTCCTGGACTCGAATCATAATCTTGCACCCAATTGTATTAACTTCTTCATCAACTTCCCGTATCCGATGGAGCAGATTGCATCACAGTGGCCGGCCAAGTTTGTACACCAAGCACAACGTTTCGGACATTTCGTTGTTCAATCACAGAACTACCGCCAAGTGAAGACCATGTGGCTGACACTCCGACGCCCGCCCCTCGCACGAGATCTCGCTGTCCAACTCGGCATTGGTTCTCCCACATTTCAGCGTCTCTTATTCACGTCTGTTCTGCGAAGTTCCTGGCGCGGGGTGCTTTCCAACCCCACTTACACAAGCTTCGAGGCTCAGGCTCTTGCTATTTTTCGTCAGAATCAAGACGACTGCCACCAGCGATCACCTGTCGAGTCGCTTGAGTTCCTGAGAGTCCGCGAGGATCAATGGGTCACTAAACTGAGAACGCTAACCGACGCATTTGAAGCTGCACTTCAACAGCAAGGTCTTTCATTGGCTGAAATCCGCAACCGCGTTTCCCAACAACAGCAACAACTACCTGTAGCTCCCCAATATCACCCACAACAGATACAAAGCAACTATTCTATTGCAGATACCAATGCAATGCCACCACGTCCGAATAGTTCAGTCGATCCACGCTCAGCACAGGCTGCCATCCAGCAGTCTCGTGGGCCCGGTCGTCTTCCCGCACGGCCTACCCGGCTGGCCGCTATATCGCCGGCTGCCGTCCCACCATCCAGCCGGCCAGAGCGGCCAGAGCGGCCTTTACTTCCTGTTCTCAACTTTCAACCGCCACAACAGCGAGAACCTAACCCTACACGCTGTGCTTTACATCAAGCTCATCTGCGAAGCCCAGATCTCCAATCACAATCCAAATCCTCGCCGTTGTACATCTTCTTGTCAAGATTCTTGAAGCCTCCAGCTCGGCTATGCGCACCTGCTGGTACCATCGAAAAATGGACTTTCACGCTCTCACCCTCCGATATGCAAAAGATTGCAACAACTGTTCAAGATACAACCGGTGGGCCCGGTGCTATGAACATCAATGAAGGCAACGAGTTCGTGCATCTGCGTTGTGTTGAGTGGCCGCAATCTAGCCCAATGGTTACCCTAACGGACGACCTTTGGGCAGTGGCTGATACCCATTGGATACCTCACTCTTACTATACTTTCAACGGCACCCCTCTTGATCCGCGGAAAAAGCTTCACTATGGAAAAGACCTCCCTATCGATCTCACGGGCCTTTTGAAAGAAGGTGAGAACGTACTGGAGTTTGTGGTAATGGCTCCATCTGGAGATACATCACATCTCAGTTACTTGATCGCCATCGAGGGGATGGATATCTTATCTCATGAATCTATCAAGCAGCAATGTCTGAATCAGAGTTGCGTTGCGGCAGATCAAGTATTACAAAGCATCAGGAAGAAACTCGCTGGTGTCGACGATGATGAAATCACCGTTGTCCAAAGCACACTCACTATTGGGCTGTTCGACCCTTTCAGCCAAGCCAAAATGTGTGACATTCCAGTCCGTAGCAAAGCATGTCCACATAACGACTGTTTCGATCTAGACACTTTCCTCCAGTCCCGTCCACGCAAGGGCGACGCTTCGGTAGCTGATCACTGGAAATGTCCTATTTGCAGATCCGATGCTCGTCCACAAATGCTTATAGTAGATGGCTTCATTGAGGATGTGAAGAAGCAGCTTGAGCTACAAGGACTTGCCAGCACGCGGTATATTCTCGTTCAACAGGATGGATCTTGGCAACCCAAGGCTGAAGTGCGCCAGGGTGTGTCGGACGATACCCCGGAGCCTGTCACTGAACGTTCAGTACCAGCTGACGCCGACGTAATTGACCTTAGTGACTGAGAAACTATTATCAGAACCCATCTGGAAGTTCTTCAGCTTGCTTCTAGTTACATACGGACCTACTCGGGTCATAAAAGTCTGGCGTTCAAGCCAGGCATGGAGTACGTGGAGATTATACCCTTGGTTTTCGACCCTCCTGGGCGTCCCTGTTATTGCTGTATTATCTAGACATCACAGTACCTTGCATGTGTGCTGGAATCAGCTGGAGATATAGTCTTAGCTTCCGTATATATCTCAAGACTTAAGTTCAAAAATATGTAGGGATCTGAAACAAAACCCAAATCCTTATAGTAAGTCTAGCTGATATAGGGATGTTTTGTTTGGCTTCTTGATCAACTCAATGACGGTGCACAGAGAACCTTTGGCTGTACTGGAGCGTTCCGTGGTTTATTTCAGACACCCCAAACCACAGGCGTTGCTGCACATGCACACCGTTCGTGACGGGTGACACGAATCTCAGTAGCAATGCAAAAAGCCCTCCTTGTACGAGCGGAAATATTTCGCTGTTCGACACAATATCCTCACATCAGCCAGAACGTGAATCTCGTTACAGGTTTAGGAGTCGCTTTCGCATAGCCAGGCGAAGATGAATCAGGAAATGGTGGTGGCAAAGTTCTGGGATGCATCAGGCCTCTCACCTACCGACAGGGCCACCGGATCGACTTTAATCCCATTGCGATCTCTTAGTTGCAACAGTGTACCCCCCCTCCCCCCTAAAGATGACGGTGTACGAACGCGAGGTTGTCTTCCACGTGGATCCATGAGCTCTGCCATGCCTTTCCCTTCCTGGACGACTGTGAAATATGCTGCTGGATCGGCCATGGTGATGCCTGGTAGACGCTGGTTCAGAGGATGGAACAGGTCAACTCTGAAATGATGAGTATGAACATCGACTTGGATCGTTGCTCGTGCCTGTTTGGCGACGAAGAATTTCTCTCGAGAGATTGCAAGGGACACGAGGCTTGAAGAGATGAACCTTGATGACACATTCGTTGGATGTGCAGTGGCCAAGTGGCCTGAATTGTTTGGCATGGAAAATATGAAGGGATATTGCGAGTTGAGATAAGTCCAGTGCATCAGGGATCTACCTTTGCTATCCGGGTGCAATGGCTCTGGAATTCTATCCTTGCAGTTGCAAAAACACCACGAACGAATGCGTCGTCATAACCAGCCAGTCCATTGAGGACGTCCTCTGAAGAAAGCAACAACCGGTAACGCAGCATCGTGACAGCGGCCATGACGACAGAGGATCTCTATGCTAGGAGACGATGCACAAGAAACCGGATACAAGAGCGCCATTCACGCTACATGACTCACTCGAAGAGATGCCGCATGTCCGGGTGCGCGTGCGCGACGTTTCACACGCATGGGTCGGATAAGCGGAACCTTGAAGACCCTGAAAACGTTGCGATGCACACTCCAAACTGCGCCACGTGGCGGCGAGAGATCAACAGCCACACTCTAGCATTCGGACCGTGGCCCTTGTGCAAAACTGTCACAACCAGGCAGGATTCCCGAGATACCCATTTGACTTTGGACGCGCGTGCTCGCGATAATCGGCAAGACTAAACATAGCCTTGCGTGCGTCGACATGCAGGAAAATATGTTCACGATATCCCGGATTCAGGCAGTCTCCAAACCTGCCTGCTTTGTATCGGCATCATCTGGCATGCCCAACCCTCGTCTCGATCCTCAGACCACCTTGACAGTCTGTGCGCGGCATGCCTTGTATCGCGAGATAGCAACCCCTGTGTAAATCGGAATCCTTCAATCTCTTACCGCCTCACTGTTCGGTTAAACATGTCCCCCAAAACGGCTGTCACGTCTCCCAATGGCCCGAATTTCAAATTCTTTCTTCCTTTTCTAGAACATGCCGATTTTATAGCCCAGTTTTAATACTTCAGCCCCATGGGGAATCCTCCTGTTCTTGAAACGCACAATGCCAGTAATAATACTGCTACGAAGAAGGAGAAGAGGAGAAGACGGATCCATCCTATCCGGCGCATCGCAAGGTTGATTCTTGGCAGTGGAAAGCAGCAGAAGAAAGAGGATGTGAGACGACTTGGTGACCAGTTGGAGGAAGGAAGGACATGCCATGGCGCATCCAGATGGCACAATCTATTACCATTTCTCGAGCCGCTGTTTGCCCTGGACCCAAAGTTGTCCTTCATCGAAGACCGCATCCTCGGTCGAACCGCGCCAACGACAACGCCTCACGATGATGCCAACTTCACTCTCCCGAAAGACCTCAACTCGCTAAAGAATGCAGTTGAAGAAGCAGACCTCCCTTGTACCTGCGACGAATGCGCCCCCAAACTCTACAAAATCAGCACTCTAGCTTCCCATGGCACGATAGAAGACCGGCGGAACCGGCCCTCACAGACACAATCCAAGCACAACCGGTCGTTTTCCTACCAGAATGACAAAAAGACGATCGGTCTCGGACCGCAACTCACACTCAGATTCCATGGTACCTACGAAACAATGACATTAGTACGGCATCACATCGCTTGGCTGGACGCAACGTATCTGCATCCATCCGCACGCCCCACGCCATCTGTACACCACCTCCGCAGCCTGATAGCGACCTGGCATCCGCACATCACGTCACCTGATCTCCGAAGCTCCCTCTCGACAAGTCAACTAGGCGACCTTTTTACGCATCTGAACCGAATTTTCTTCTCGGATCAGGTACCGCCGCATAACAAGACGTTAAGCGCGGGGTTCAGCTACCTGGATGCAAGGCAGACAGAGTGTTTTGGCAAGAGTTTCTACAACCCGTTAGTCGGGACACAGGTGCTTTTACATCCGGTGCTGTACCGCGGGTGCTTTCAATACCAGAATCTCGGTCATCATGATAGTCTCGATCCTACCATACAACGACGGCAACAACAGCAAATATCGACACGCCTGCACAACCGCCTTGGGACTCTCCTCCATGAAATGTGTCACGCGTTTCTCAAAGCATACACGTGTCGTTCTTGCTCGATGCACGATTCTTGTATCGGGCCGCTAGGCCATGGACGCGCGTGGCAGATGCTGGCGAAGAAGATTGAGCAGGTTGCTACTGTAGTTTTGGGAGGGACGGTTGACATGGGGAGGTTTCCTAGTCTGCTGAGGGATTGTGAGGGGAGTGGACGGTTGCCTAGTGTGCATGATCTGGAGGTTTTCGGGATGAACGGTGGCGGGTGTGCGAGTGGGGTAGGGTTGGGAATTACAGGGATCAGAGGAGGAGGAGGAAGAGAGAAGATGACGATAAGGACTGTTGAGTAGGGATGACGGGGAAAGATATGTATCGAGTATTGTATGATTGTGCAGCATTAGATTACGACCTTTTTTTAGACCGCCTGTATAGCTTTAGTAATGATACCCTTCGATTTTGATAACAAGTGTTGCCCACAAGCTGCCATGTCACTTTCTTCAGGGAGAGACAACATGATTATCGTCTTCTATGTACCCGATATGAATGAGATTGGAGGTTGTCAATCCTAAGACTTCCATAAAGGCGCACTGTGCTTGGTTGCCTAGGTCATACACACCAAGTGAAGTACTTTGCGCGACGACGCAGTACGTTAAGATGACCTGCGGTAACGACTGCGGTTGAGAGATCTTAGAAGACGATAAGCAAGGGTACGCCGCCAATCTTTGGGTTGGTGTGCGAATTTGCTGGCACGAAGAATAGCTCTAGTGAGAGATGGCGCTATGGTATCGTAGTCCCATAGCACTATGAGAAAATGCCCGTTGTCTATCGGTGATAGCAGACCATGCTACCTAATGATGTATAAGACAGGTAGGAACAGCGTACCGGATGTGCTCTCTTTGTATCATTTCCCACACACGCACACAAACACAGGACCGTATTTTTCAATCGGGATGCCCGACGTATGCAACAGGCGTAGTATAGGATGAGACCTGGCGATCCAGTCAGACCGTATGGTACATCCAGTGTTCAGGAACGTCTTCAGCTTTGTCTGATTGAACGGTCGCTCTCGGGGAGTCCGAGGACGGCACTGCTAGTTTCCTAGTGACATTCACAGCTGGTGCATCCAAAACTGTTTCTAATGGCCTTGTTTCAGTAGGTTAGTACCGCAACCATACTTCACAGCTTGTCCATGCCCTCATACAGTACACGAGTCCCTGTCATAGGCCAGTTGCGATGGGTTCGTTCAGCCCCAATCACGGCAGGCATCGGCGACGCCGGGCTAAGGCAGAAGAATCTGAGGAGGTAGTAGTCGGCAGGAAAGGATTGTATCACACGCCAATACTCTAATTGGATGACTGTATCTCTCGATCCAACTACATCTAAGAAATCTTAAACCGATGGAAGTAAAGTCGGCGAAATGGTATATGGTATATTCCGTTGAAGATCATCTAAGTAGCTGTTTAGCGATAGTAAGACGTGTGACTCTAGGGTCAGTACCTTGATTTGCAATGTTCACCGGATGAGACAGTCTCAAGTTTGAGAAGTGAGATTGTCGAACGTGGTTTTGGTCAGCTTGGATAGAGCGATTCACTGTCACATGCTGTATTGTAGTAGTCTAGAAGAAGATTGTGAGATACATAATCAAGCTATGGCTAGAACACGATGCTCATGATTCGTTGCATTGACCGACGCAGGGACTGTTACTAACGGGGAAGTCGGAGTAGATCCAAGATTCAGGAGGGTGCGAAATTGGGGGTTGCAGCTCAAACAGGAACGCTCATTCCGGTGGAGGCCTAAAATGTCTTCCGCTGTCGGGTTGTCAGCCAAACGGCGGCCAATCACAAGCGTCGCCCCCCAGAGCTTCGGGTACCTCAAACTGTGGCTTCGCTGGGTTAATGCAAGAGTCAGCCACGTCTGACGGGAGAGCACCCTGATCCCCAATCGAACCATCAAGGGTCCCATTCCGCATCTGGGGTGGATCCACACGGTGGCGAATGCCCCCCAAGGACGAAGGGCCGAAATTAGGGAATTATTCGCATGTAACGTCGAGGCGGATACTACCCAAGGCTCTTTTAGCGCCATGGTCCTTACGGCTCGGAATATTGGATATAGGGAATAAGAAAAAGGAGCCTTGCGATAGGAGAGAACAAGACAAAAAGCAGTAGCGAGTTGCTGGAGCGATGATCAGACGTGGCATGTCCCGGCACGTGGTTTCACCAAACGCGTGGATGACCCATTGTTCAAACTTCGAAGCAGTATGCGTGGGGTACTAAGGGTCATGTGTACACTACGTGTTATTACCAGGTGCTCCCTACAGCTGAAGCCATCTAACAATGTCGATCGGTTCGTTGAGTGCGCCCAGCGGCGATAGTGAGCAGCTCTAGCGACGCAAGGCATGGGAATAACGATAGCTCGACACGTAGTTCGACGCTGGGGGTTTCCGGGAAAAGTCGAGATGCACTATCAAGAAGCGGCGTCTTTGCACGTTCTGCCTGTCCTTCTGGATCGAGGACTAGACGCAGCAGACTGCGCAATTGTGGAACTGTGGGAGAAAAGTCGGCAGCCAGTCGATGTTTGCCGATCCCTTGTCGAGATTGTGACATGGAATCAAGTGTCGAATGGGAGGTGCAGCGGGCTTTTGGGCTGTGCAGGTGTGCTCGGAGGCTTCGAGAAGGCCGCCCTTGGTGTTCGCTTGCAGCTGCCCTCACTCAGCCCCGACTTGTGCCGTCATGTAAGCCGGGAGTGAGGATGAGAAGACGGCAGTTTGGGGGCGCCTGACGACTTGGGTCAATTTGCAGCAAATGCCATAGTTTCGTGATGGACTTCTGCCGCGCAATAAGAAAGGAGTATAGCCAGGGAATGGAGATGAGTCGATGAGCTAGGCCGGGATATTAATCCTACTCGAGTGGAGCGGTTGAGGAATGAGGAGTGCAGCGCCAACGGCAAGTGCCTGCTAACCAGAAGCACGGTAAACCTGGCCCCGGCGTCCTAGTCTCGCCTTAGTCGAGCGCCCCCAAGCCGCGGAACGCCATGGGCAGCGCCTTATAGCATCCTTCGCCGCCGTCATTTGGGACTGTTTGGATCACATTTGCGACTCTCGTCTTCACAGCCAGACCAACACAATGGCCATGTTTCGCGACTTCTCCTTCGACCCGGCGTCGTCTCCCGACTACTCCCTCTACGAGGCCGAACGGGCGGCCATGAATGTGTCGCCCACGTCACCAGCCATGGACCCGCATTACTCGCCAAATCGGCCACCCACTCCACCATGCACCATGGGCGACCTCGCCGTGCAACTCAACCAGCAAAGCCTCCGCATCGACACCAACACCAACACCAACACCCGCTGCTATCCCCCTGGCCCCCTTACTCCAGCGAGCGACGATGACGAGTGCGCGCCGTCCACCAAGCAAGAACAGCAGGCGCGACCCACCTATTCGCGCGTCGCAGCTTCCGTCCTGAGGATGCAACGTCAACAAAACTCGCGCATGCAGTGCAGCCCATCGCACGCTCGCGATCTCTCCAAGCTGGTCAAGATGATCGAGGAGGAGCAGCAATGCACCGTCAACGAGCCGTCGTCGCGGACAAGCTCCACATCGTCAACATCTACATGCCCACTGGTCCCTTCAAAAGACGACGAGGGCGTCGACATGGACTACGACGCTCCCGCGCAAGCCGCTGAGGGACTCTTCGGCATGCCAGTATGGAGAGCAGGTGACCGTCGCGACAGCTGCGTTCGCGTCACCAGACCTGTGCGCATGCGAAAGCGGTCCAAGGGCAACGGCGTATGCAAGAGGACGTCATCATAATTTTTGTTTTGGTAGGATTTTGGTTACATGCATAGCGACGGCGTTTTTTGGGGTGTCACTACGGGCGCATTATACCACTTGATCTTGCTGGAAGAGCTCCCTGCGGGTTGAGCCTGGTGTTATAGGGTGCGACAGGCTTAGCGCTGTTGGTACACCCGTATACTTTGTAATAACAAATCTCATCAAGATGCAAACTACTCTCCCGCTCTACCTTGTCACTGTGACTATCGTCCCGACCCAGCACACTGTTTCCCACAAGACGCATGTTCCGTGAACCTGAGCATTGGTAAATTGGTGACCCACTTGATTGTCGCTGATCCCAAGTAAATTCGTGCCGCATCCGTCCCACCTACAAACACAACCCCAACCGCAACCACCATCATGTCTGCCCGCCGAGCGCTGGCACTGCGCTCCATCCACTTGCGCATAGTACCACGTCCTGCCAACTTATCCGAAAGTCGCGAGATATTCCGCGTGCTGCAGGGTTTTGGAGAAATCAGCACCTACCAGAGTCTACGGGTACGTCTTCCTCGCTCACCATGGCTGCTTCTTCCGAGCGATTACTCATGTCAGTCTTAGTATGAGTACCAGAATCCTGCAGACAACGTCGCCTTCGCCATCTACCGCCACGAATCCTCGGCCCAGAGCGCTCTCGATGCCTCACCCATTCGCTTCGCCCTCGAAACATCTACGGCCACCGAAGACAACGCCAGCACCGAATCCCACTACACCGGCCAAGAAGACCAAGAAGATCAAGAAGATCAAGAAGATCAAGAAGATGCGTCAACCGACCACATGCCCCAAAAAGCAGGCATCGACGAAATTCTCCGCCCTTCCCAGCTCCTAAACCGAACCTCTGCTGAAACCCACCGGTCCACTCCATCAGCGCCACCCAAACCAATGCCCTTCGACCCACCACCCGCCTCCCCAAAACAAAAGAAATGGACAAAATGGTTTCAGGTCACTGTTGATCGTACGCGCGCGGTCCATCAAGATTTCATCGAGCGGCAGCCGTATTGGAAACAGTTCAGCCCTATGAGGAGCATGGCACAGGCTGATTTGGAGAAAAAGGTGCCGCATATTGGGTTGAGCGATATCAGCAAGAGGCCGCCGAATGCGTATCGGACACCTACCAGGGTGCTGAAGACTATGAACCAGTATGTCGAGACGGCCATGCCAACTTTGAGGGGGGTTGCTGAGGGGAGCGAGAACGAGAGGGCGTATCTGGAGAGGCAGGAGAGGAGGGTTTGAGATGGAAACAACAGACTACCGAGTCTACCAGAATTGAACCTCGAACCATAGCTATAACCCCGTCTCCCAACCATACGTATCGACGCAGACCACAAAGACTCGAGTCTTCCAGCATACCTTCACCGAGCCGGGACAACAATCGGATGCTATACACGCAGCGCGGCTCCTCGACAACACAACAATGTGGAAAGTACCATGGAATCGCATCGGATAATTGCGAATACTTTCGCCCATGAATGCTTATATCATGAGCCGTAGCAGAGCATCCAGCCGCTCAGCATCTGGATAAGAGCTGCGCAAGTCCAACTCCCTGATCTGGTCCATCTCAAGAGCCTCTCGACCAGCCTGTTCCGCTGCTCATGGAATGGTCTCATGGCCACCTTCTTAAATTAGCCATGTTCTTTACAGGTCGTGTAAAGAAGGCATCCGCTAGCCACACAGCTTCGTAGCTACTATAACTCCGTAGAGGCGGTTAAGAGCTAGCACGGACTAACAGATCCGATATGCAATATTCGTACGTTGTGGACAAGGTGTATACAGTATGTAGGCGTCGAGCTTACATTTGCGCCACATGCGAGAAGGCGGATTCTGTGCTATCCGATCTTGAAGTTCAGCGAGTGCTCGTCGAACATGTTCGGGCTGGGACAACGGTCTGAGATTTGAAGCGCGATGATAGTAGAAGGTACCAAACGCTCAAGATACGAATGCAACACCTGATGGTTGTTTAGCTCAACGATGCCTGCCGCGCATTTTACATCCATTGGACCCAAATAACAACACATCTGACAATGTTAGGCCTCTATGCTATCCGTACCAGAGCCCATCTTTTCTCACAAGGATCACACAAATCCGTAGACCTCCAAATCATGCATGCTCGGGTGATTGAGACCAGTTGCTTGATTCGTCATATCCGCAAAAATGCTATTTATCCTCCCAAGGTCCAGCGTCAATCCCAACAACTGTGGACATCTCTCTTCAATAGCCATCGCCAGCCTCTGAAACGCGCGACCATGATCAGCAAGATTGACGTTCGAAGTCTTGCACATCCGACAACATAGGCTCTTGAGCACAGCATGGATCAGCTCGTGAATTAACGTAGAAAGACGCTGCAGCGCCAGTGACTCGGTTCGATTGAGAGACCGTAAGGCGACTTCTGTTTGTTGCGTGGGATGCATCGTGATGCGTTCAAAAACCAGATCATCGCGAAGTATTGTCTGAGTATACCCTAGCCAACCCATCGCCTCACAGACATCGAAATCCCAGAAAAATTCGATTTTGATTTCCGCTCCGAGAAAGAAGACGGATAACAGTTGCGTGCACAGTGTTCTCATCCTGTCAACAGGAAACGTGACTCTCGCATCAGGGGAGCCGAGCTTCTCAAGGAGATACTCCCTATTCTCGCACATGTACTTCAAAGCTAATTGCTGCTCGGAATTCATTTCGTTGTATGGTCTACCAAAAAACTTGGTCGCGCTGTCGACGAGATGAAGCGCCTCGTATGGCCTATACACGGAATCGGCGATGATTTCGGGCTTTTCATTTGGCAGAATAGGTATCTGGTCCCGACGATGGTCGATGGCAGCGCAAGAGTATGGATAGTTGAAGTAACAGTCTTGTGAGCACTTGTTGCTGTCGCAGATACATGGGCTGCAGAACAAATGGTTCAATGACTTTTTGTAGAAGAGGTCTCTCTTGAGATCCGTCATTAGGCTTCCTATTGAAGGCAACCGGCCTGGAGCTACAGCTGTTGGGTCGGTAGTGCCGGACAAAGTGGGTGTTGAGAAGTCGTTAAGAGAAGTAACGCCATTCTGATCTACGCTCATGGTGGAGGTTTTGGTAGCCGATAAGGTACTAAAGAGTAAGCTTTTTTTCGGTCACTTATCATCAAAGCATTGTTTGTCATTTCCTTTCGCTTCAGTCATTTCACCCTTGCTGCTGAGCGGCGATTGATTGCATATGACTTTGCCCATAAAGCTCACAGGATTGAATTTCCAGAACTGGGGGTTATTTGCTCCACATAGTAGGACTTCTAAGCTTTTATCGGTTACTATGCTTGTTCTTACTAAACTTCCCATGAAGAAGACGTGGCTCGGTTGGGCGAACATGGGAGAGCATACTAAGGGCTCGCAAGGTCTGTGAAGTGGTTCGCCGTTCACCAATTTCATCTTTTGCTTAATGTGTGTCGTTTTGAGGCCATTATCCATGGTTAAGAGAACATGTAGATCTAGCCCAATGGGAAGAGGCAAAGAAGCTGTGAGCCTAGATGGCGATAAGACGCATAAGGAAGTCACGTTGATCTAAGATGCTGCGAGTACTGTTGGCCACGTTCTCACTATTACTGGACGTGATCCAGTTATGTCGAGCTTACTGTATTACCTCCACCAGGTACTGTGAAGTATCATACCATCATCTGTGACATTGTGGGGAACCGAGACTGGCAGGTTTGTGCATTCATGGCTGCGAACAGCTTTCCCAGCCAGAAGTAGAGGAATTCGCAGCCCCAAGTTTACCTAATGAAACAGCGCCCGCACGAAACTCGTTCAGATCAGTGAGTGCAGCATTGTCTCATGGACCTAGGCTGATTTCACATGCCTAAAACGCATTGCAATGTTTCATGTCATACAAGACTTCTCTGGCCGAGCAATATAAAAAGTAGCCATGCAAGACTGTTGCGAGTAGCGAGAAAACCACAACCAGTGGTTCTGGCAGCCTTTGTAAACAGGAACATAGACAACCAAGATGTGCCGAAAATTCCCTCATATGTACAAGCTTGTGGATCCACGGAATCCCGAACCTGTTCCTAGCACACCGGAGGAATTCATTAATATGATTCGAGATCATCACAAGAGAAATCCTGAAGCACGATTTGGCAGTAAGAAACAGGGAATATGCACAAACTCATGCAACAACATCATCAAGCCACAATATCGAGCGCGCATATCCTTACGTACGGCCGGTCACCATGCTTTTAGACTTTGTGACGAAGTCAAGCGTAGGATGGAACTGGGCTTTGATGATTTCAGCTCCGAACAATGGCAAGCCCACAACCTGTTCAAATCACTGGTTGAGGATAAATCGGATAAAGCCCTGTTGAAGAGGCTAGGAAAGACAGATGGAAGACAAGTCTCGCAAGATGAGATGAAGCTGCTGATCAAGACTTTCTCAACGATTTTCTTCCCTACTACGCCGTCGGACGTTCAGATGGAACTGGACTTCCAGTGGGAGGATTGGAGAAACACGCCAGGTGAAATCGGCTCATACTGCACCAATGGTACCGACATGCCTTGGATCAGCATGTGTGCTTTTAACGTTGACAAGGAAGTACCGAGCTACGGTCATCTGAATGGCTTAGCTATGGACCGTCTGTTCACAATCCTTCACGAGATTGTGCATGCATATTTGGATCGTTACGCCTGCCGTTGTATTGGGGTGTTCGGATCGTTTGAAGAGAGTGTTGATCAACTAAGTGGACATGCATGGGCGTGGCAACGGATAACAAGTTCTGTGGAACGCGCTGCCCCTGACCTCACTGGTCTCCCTATAAGTCTAGAACGGTTTAGAATTATCCAGTGCTGTTGGGACGAATTCACATATTGGCCAACTCAACAAGAAGTCAAAGACTGGGAGTTGTAAAGCCATGAGGCCCATGGGTAGGCTGCGTGAAGGTGGAGGTCGGAATAGTTACTGTCGTGATGAAGTCGCAGTTGAAGTTGTTTGCCATGAGTAGGAGAATCAATGAAGTGCTGTATTCGAGGTTTGATCAAATGCATCCGTTTTCTACCGCGATACCGATGGAATAACTCGATGACTCTGGATATCTGTGACGTGAGGATTGGTGTAGTTACCGAGAAGGAAGTAACAATCATGCAAGTCTTACGACAGAACACTACGAGCGCGTTGGTCGGATCAGCAACTATGATAGACCATCCACGTGGCAAGTCGCAAGCAGCTAACAGAGAGCACTATGTCACCGCACATTGAGAACAAGGAGCTATCTCATCTTTCATTCTAGTACCTAACGTTGATGAGTATAACAAGCATGAGTTGCCAGTGTTGGAACGAGATAGATCGCGTAGCCAACCAGATGCCTTCCGACCCAGAAGACGAAGGGTGGGCCCAAGGGTACACGAAGCGAAAATCACTTCAAGGGTGGCCGTCTAGATGCTAGAATGAAGGCGTGCTGCGACGTGCGCATGATCACCAAGTGCAGCTGCCATGGGCCGATTTTGTAATCCGTTCAGTCCTCGCCGATCCACAATCGCAGTTGCAGAGACCACACCTGGACCTACCGCAGAGGGACCACCGCCAGACGACCACACAACGGCGACACGAAGCCATCACGCACCCCACCCCTCAGTGGGTACGATTCCAGACAGGCTTGATGACATACGAGACTATGTGCGTGGTGTGAGCACCTATATCCATTGGTTTCAAAGCCTCACTGAACACGAGCGATCAAATGTAGCGCGAGTTACAGAGGTCAAGCGCGAGTTGAAGCTTGCACACCGAAATCTAGAGAAGCTTGATGCTGACATGTACTGCGAACTTGGGGACGAGACCGAGGCGCTGGTCAAAGATGCTATGAGGCATGCTTGGCAGTCATACAGAAGCGTAGTGAAGCTCGAAGAAAAGTTGAGAGGTTCAAACGGCGGCAGTAATTCCGGTGTGAAGTTGCGTAGGATATCGGGATCGCAGAATGAACGGAACACATCGACGGATCATGGGAAAGTCGAAGCATACACCCGCAGCGATACGATGGAAGTAAAGCAAGCGCTCCACAAGACCCTTGACGTGCGACGGCAAGCTGCTGAAGGCAACCGCGATGGAAATCCATACCTTATGTCTGGTGAGAGATGTCCCTATACGAACTAAATATGAGACATATACTGACTTTGTATACCCACATTCTAGGTGCTCTTCCGGTCGAGGATAGGTCTCCGCAGATCGAAGTTCAGAGAGCAGGGCGAGCTTATGCTCTCGAAGCGCTGAGGCAGTTACCGCATCTCCTTGCCCACGGAGCGCCGTCGCAATGCTCAGAAAGCCTCCACCTACCTGCAACGAATCCCCAAAAGATCCCACAGCCCAGAGACGAAGTCAAGGTTCGAGTGCAAGAGGAAGAGGCCAACACGGACTCTGTCCTGCGCAACCCATACAAAGTGCGACGAGGCAGCTGCAACGGCTTCATGATTACAGAAATGACGATGCATGCGATCGAGGATACTCGCTTCGTGTTGCCTTACCTGCACTACATGAAGGTCCATGAGCTGCGGGCCATCAAGGAATGGCTGGGTAATGCGGGGTTCATTGTGAGCTCTGGTTCAATGAGGTAAGCCATGACTGTACGAGATGTATACAAGACATACGCTGACTTCATATCTCCACCTCAATAGTCGCACGGAAAAGGCCCTACTCTGCATACAGCTCCTACAGACTGGCTGTCGATACGAAACGTTGGCCGTGATCCACTCGCGTTCGCCACACGAGGTCATGGAGTCGTGCAACGAAGTCATGCAAGCTTTGTTGAAATGGCATCGTATGACAGTTGATGATGATGACATAGGGAACCAGGCCGAGTATATTGTTCTCTGGGGCATCTGGCATAAGTACACCGTCTCGGATGGAAAGGCAGGAGAATACTTTGGGTTCGACTGGACGTGTCTTGCCAAAGTTCTGGTGTCACTCAACGTGTACATGGGCCGCTGGCGCATGCAGGGCAAGTTTGCCATGGACGGTCCGGCATTCGCATGGGGCAAGTTCTTCGTGCCGAACGACAGCAGATGCGTCCTGGATACGAGAGACGGGGACCAAGGAGGGCGTAATGACGCCGAGACGAGTTCCTTTTACGCTGTGGCTCGGCGGGGTAGACTGAGAAAAAGCACAGACGGGTGAAAGACTCTTTTTGGCACGGTCAAACGGCCTCTTCCCTCAGGTCGCAACACGGCAGTTCGGCTCGTAAAGAGTGGCGCATAATCCAACGATAGTGGGCCACGATCGTTGCGGAGCCGGTAAAAGGATGCGCGCATCCATTAAGCATTCAAGATTTCATCTCCACATCGTATCGCTATCGCAGCGGTATCTCAATGCTCTGCGGCACCAGTGGCGTACAGAGCGAGCCGTCGCCCCAAAGGGTCGCAGCGCAGAGTGCCTGGTGTTTCACAATCTCCCTTGGCTCCCGGCCTGGCGCAAAGCCACCCGCGGTGTGCAGACACGAACGGGAAGGTCGCAAATGCGGTTGGGCGCATCGTTTGCGACGGTCGAGGTTAATCGAGCGCGATTGACGGCAGTTGAAGCGGGAATAACATTGCATGATCAAATGAAATCGAAGACAATAGTAAACAAGTCATCTATGGCACAAAGCGTTCAGGAGAGTCGCTATTCTTGGCGATCGACAAGCGCCGTTTGTAGTTTAAGGTCCGTCGACCAATAGCGATCCGCAGGGAGCATTCGTGCACTAGACGACTCCTTAAATCTTCTTGCAGGGCTGCACCCAATTGCTCTTCACCACCGAGTCTCTAAAACGCGGTCCTGACGCTCCTTTGAACGACTTTTCCCTCGTTTTCCTTTTCTCGTCGCGAGAATCCACTCTTTACTCAACCCTCACTATCCCAGTCACTCCTTGCTACACCCACCTACAGCGCGTCTGGTCTACGCGCGAATCACACTCTTTCAGTACTCATAGTGCTTACATAGCGACATAATCCGCCGAGATGAAGTCATTCGCCCTTTCCACGGCTGCACTTATCGCAGGCCTTATCTCTACGACTACTGCGCAAACCCATACCAACTGTATGACATGTGGCGCATTGCCTGCAACCGATATACTGATGCATCGATACAGGCTACCCTCTCAACACCACAGGATGTCCAGACATGGAGGCGCTCGGCGGAAACGTCACCTTCAACTGGAACAAGACTGGCATCCCGAACGATGACAAGGTCTGGAAGATGCCTAACCAGGGCAAGATCGACTGGGTCGAGAAGGGTGCAACCTTCACCATTGAGCGATCTGGCGACTCCCCCACAGCCAACTCGGTGTTCTACATGCTCTTTGGTCGCCTCGAGATTGTCATGAAGGTAGCCACGGGCACGGGTATCATCTCCAGTGCTATCCTGCAGTCCGAGGCGCTCGATGAGATCGACTGGGAGTTCCGTGGCGATAACAACATGATTTTGACCAACTACTTCGGCAAGGGTGACACGACGACCTACGATCGCGGAAAAGACTTCGACCAAGGCTTCAACCCACAGGACGACTTCCACAACTACACTATCGACTGGACCAAGGACCGCATCGAGTGGTGGGTCGACGACAAACTGGTCAGGACACTGACCCCTAGTGAGGCTAAAGATGGAACACGGTACCCGCAAACGCCCATGAACGTCCGCCTTGGTTCATGGGCTGCTGGTGACCCCAGCAAGAACGACCCTGGTGTTGTCGAGTGGGCTGGTGGCAAGACAGACTTTACCAAGGGACCATACACCATGACGATTCAGTCTGTCTACGCGCAAGACTACACAAGCGCTGCGAAGTACTCATGGGCTGACATGGATTCGTCTGGTGACTGGCAGAAGGTCAAGGTCATCGAGTATGTTTCTTCGCGCTGCTCTGCCAATAAGATGTGAGACTAACAAAGGCTAGGGGAAAATCCGAGGTGCTCGAAGAGATTCAGTCTCCCCACGGTGTCAGGAACCGATTCGAAACTCTTTCCAAGGGCGCCAAGATCGGCATCATTGCTGGTGTCCTCGGAGCTCTAGCAATTGGCGCGGCCGTCTTCCTATTTTGCTTCATCAAGAAGCGTCGCGAAGGCAAGAGAGAGCACCAGGCTCTCCTCGCTGAGGAGCAAAAGGAGGCTGCGGAGCTCAGCGAGTACAAGGCTCAGATGCAAGCCGGCAGGTTTGCCATGGGGTCCAACAACCGCGTCTAAGGCTCGTTGCGAGAGGAGATGTTGGAGTTGCGGATATACAATCTCTTTAATAGGATGGGGTTTTTTCCTTGCAGCTGGAAGGCAGCCTGTTGAATAGAGGCTGTTGTTCCCTTTTTATGTCAGTGTTACGATCAGTTGTTTTGTTTTGTTTCATGCATGCTTTATATACCCTTGCGCTGCTTTCGTCGACCAAGGCTATACTGTAGTGCCTAGTTTGCAATTTACCACGACTTGATGTCGCGCGGTTAAGAAGATTGCGGCTCTGCGGCGTGCTAGTGACAATGAGCTCTGTGTTGGTGTTGGTTGGCATGTGACGCATGCTTCTCCGCAAACCCCGGACACACGGCATGCATCGGCTAACTTTAAGCTGCCTCGGCATGTGAGCGGTCCGCCGTGTTCTGATGTGAAAGACATGCCTCACTCGTTCTTTCTGCTTTGACACAGTACTGCAAAAATGGCATCCTTCTCACGATCACTAAGACCCCTCACCCGCGTTGCTACTGCCTCATCGCGTTCGCTACGACCGGCAGCCCGCGCCGCCCCGCAGTATGTTTATGCACCCACCATCAAGGCGAATGAATGTATTAATGCTAACACGACGTCTCACCAGACTACGATGCCTCTCCACGACTGCCGTCCGCCGGGAAGCCATTGACATCTCAGATGTACCACCAACGCCCATAACCCACCTCTCCGAGACGGAAATGCTCATGGGCGAATCCGTCTCCAAGTTCGCCAACGATGTCATCCTCCCCAAGGCGCGAGACATGGACGAAGCCGAGTCGATGGACCCCGCAGTAGTCGAGCAACTCTTCGAGCAAGGCCTCATGGGTATTGAGATTCCCGAGGAATACGGTGGCTCAGGCATGAACTTCACATCGGCCATCATCGCCATAGAAGAGCTGGCGCGTGTCGACCCCAGTGTCAGTGTCATGTGCGATGTCCACAACACACTCGTCAACACTGCAATCCTCAAATATGGATCTGAGAAGATCAAGAAGGAGTGGCTGCCCAAGCTAGCCACAAATACAGTCGGCTCCTTCTGTCTCTCAGAACCCGTGTCAGGATCCGACGCCTTTGCGCTCGCCACCAAAGCCACACGAACCGACAATGGATACAAGATCAGCGGTAGCAAGATGTGGATAACCAACAGTGTCGAAGCCAACTTCTTCATTGTCTTCGCCAACCTCGACCCTAGCAAGAAGTACAAGGGCATTACTGCCTTCATTGTAGAAAAGGGCACACCGGGTTTCTCCATTGCAAAGAAGGAGAAGAAGCTTGGCATCAAAGCCAGCAGTACCTGCGTCATTAACTTTGACGACGTTGAAGTTCCCAGGGACAACCTGCTCGGCAAGGAATTCGAGGGCTACAAGTACGCCATTGCGCTGTTGAACGAAGGCCGCATCGGTATCGCAGCGCAAATGACTGGTCTTGCGCTCGGCGCTTGGGAAAATGCCGCAGGGTGAGTACACTCGTTACCTATACACATGTCGGACCAAGTACTAACAGCCCCAGCTACGTGTGGAACGACCGCAAGCAGTTTGGTCAACTCGTCGGCGAGTTCCAGGGTATGCAACATCAGCTCGCCCAGGCCTGGACAGAGATCCAGGCCGCTCGCGCCCTTGTCTACAATGCTGCGCGCAAGAAGGAAGCCGGCGAAGACTTCATCATGGACGCCGCCATGGCTAAGCTCATGTCATCACAGGTTGCAGGACGTGTATCCGGACAGGCAATTGAATGGATGGGTGGCATGGGCTTCGTTAGAGAGGGGCTTGCGGAGAAATATTTTAGGGACAGCAAGATTGGTGCTATCTACGAAGGAACCAGCAACATCCAGTTGACTACTATTGGCAAGCACCTGCAGAAGAAGTATACCAAATAGATGATGAAACAATAAAAAGGATAGCATGATCGATGCACGTCGTCGTCATTTCCAGAAGCACAAGATCGAGTAGTAAGGCGGCGCCCGCGATTTCGACATTCAGAAGCAATATATTTGTTGTCTTGTGCTCACAAATATTGGAGCACTTATAGGCCGACGCGATGAAGCAGATCGTGGACTCGTTTAAAGATCCTGGGACGATCGCAGCGGGGGATGCATCATTACCTCATGCACCGCAAGCAGCCTAGCGCAGACAGCAGACACTCTCAATCTTGACATCGCTGCCATTGGGACACGGCTTGTTCATATGCCCTGCGAGTCAAGCCACGCGTTCAGACGCGACTTGTCACCCGTTCCGTGCCCGCGCGCATCCGCAGTTGGTGAGCAAGAAGCATGGCCATTGCACTGAAGACGATACCGTGGAAGACACCTTCCGGAGGGGCATGTCTCCCCACTATCGACCCACCGTCGGCGCCGCCTGGGAAGATCCATGCTACCCAAGTGCGCCAACGCTCGCGACCGGAAAATATCGCAAGAACCATGGTATGCCCTCCACTGACGGTCGGAGCTGCTCCAGCGTCATAATTCACCCTGGTGCGACGGCTGTCGCCCATCCCGTCCTCCAAGCCTGAGGCGCGTGTCTCGTCGTGTCAGCCCAACCCCAAACTTCACACGTCGTCTATAGAGTCTATAGCCGCATCCGAATCCTACACTCTCTCTCGCATCCTTATCATACCCCTGTTTTTCTTTCTCAGGCCCGCAATCTCGCGTGACAGTGGCCCACCACCCAACTCTCCTTTAGCCCGTTCCGTCACAGTTGCCCAGCGCCAACGCAATCCGGCGGTTGCAGCAGTTCCCCAGCCACATTGCATACAGAGTTTTGATCATCCTCTGGCGCACGTCGCGTTCTGATCACCTCATGGTCGCATAACCCACCGCCCACCATGGCGTCTGGCTCCAAGGCTAAGGACCAGGACCGTCCAAGTGCCAACGGGCGCATACATTCTGGCCTGGAGAACATCCTGCCAGCAAGCTTCCTCGATATGCAAAAGTGCGCTGGCGACTTCCCCAAGGAGAGCAAGTCGATATCGTCTCCACGCTCTCGGCCGTCTTCCACCCCACTCTCCAGCTTGTCGCGTTCTGTATCGTCCATGACCGACAGCTTCATGCTAGAACACTGGGGCCCCTCTTCTTCAAAGTCCACGCGACCTGAACATGATGGCAGAGACAGCACAGAGGCTCCACCCAAGGAGGAGGACGCGCCTACTGTTATATCCAATTGGGCGCATCTATCCTATATAAAATCCCAGCGGAACACGCTTCGCGCCGAACTCAAGGCTCACCAGGTTGCTGGAGCCGAGGCAAAGCGGTCCGTTTCCTCTCTGCGGCGTCTTGCCTTTCGAATGGCCGTAAATATATCTGTCAAGGAGAAGCAGATTGCAACTACAGCGCGGAATCTGGCCAAAAGTAGGACAAGTAACTATCTGGAGGGCAAAGATGCACAGAAGCGAGTGGAAGAACTGAAGAGGGCGTTGAGAGTTGAAGAAGGACGGAACAAAGAGATTCTTGAGGCATTGGAGAGGGCCTCTATGCTGACGCTCCAATGTAAGTATACTATATCCAGGCACTGGCTTTTGCTGATTGATTGTGCAGATTCGTCTCCCAAATCTGAACCTCAACATCAACCTAGAGGTCTGTTCATCTCACCACCTGCATCTCCGCCGACGCAATCAAGTGTCTTTGACAGTCCTACCCTTGCGCCGAGGACTCCGACGCGAGCGTCTCCCTCGCCATGGCACGATCTAGATCTCGAGCTCACCCCTCGCTTGTCGAGTCCTTCCGAGATACGTACTTCTGACAGTCGCTTAATTCGAGCGAAACGCGAATCCGACCAAGCTCTTGCTGCTTGTCGAAGCCGCATTGAGCAGCTACAACGTGAATGTGCAGCAAGCAAGGAAGATGCTGGGCTTCTAGAAGCGACAAGAGAAGGTCTGGAACAGGAGATCCAAAGTCATCAATCCCGCATTGCTGCCTTGGAGCGTTCGAGGTTTGCGGTACAAGAAATACTGGAGTCCACCAAGGCGCAATTGAACGTTGCAGTAGGCTCAGAGGAGAAGCTGAAGCAGGATCTGCAGGCTAAATGTGCTGAACTTGCAGATTGGGAGCAGAAGGGTGGGAATCTGCAGCACACCATCGATGCGCTGCAAAAGGAGAAGGGAGATCTGGATGACCGCCTCAGCACACGGAATGCTCAGATTAAGGAACTTGAGATTCGCACAACAACTCTGGAAGAAACACTACATTCTTTGCAGAATAAGGTGGAGATTGCTGATCGCCACGAATCGTCGTTGCAAGACCGTCTCGTAGAAAAGGAAAGCGCACGCCAAGACCTGAGCAAGCGACTTGACCGAGGACTGGAACATATTGCACGTCTAGAGCAGAAGATTACTGAGTACGAAAAGGACGAGGCTGAGCACCTACGTAAAATCGAGATTGGTGGAGGTGTTATTTCTACGCTGCGCGAGCAGCTCCATGATTCGCAAACCACGAGCAAGGACACTGAAGACGCCTTGACGGCTCTAAAGAAGGAAGTGGAGCAGGTCCAAGCCAATCTGCGGGCTGAGAGCGATGCGAGTAAAGGCTTGACTGCAGAGCTTGAGGCTGTGCGAACCGAGAAGGCCGATATTTATAATGAATTGCGTGCCACGTCAGAGAATCTTAAGCGAGAGACCGAATCGAAGACCAACCTCCAAACCGAGCTAGGAGATCTGCGTGCTTCTTACGACGCTATCACGAAAGAATTGCAACAAGTTTCCAAGCGCGCTCAATCATTGGAGACGTTTGATGCTAGTAACCAGGCCAAGTTAGAGAAACTCCACGACGAAAAAGCATCGCTTGAAGCCGATCTCAAAGATGCCCGACAATTGCTCTTCAGGCTCCGCGAAGACGTACGGATGCGAGATGCCGAGCTTGCTGACCTGCAGTCTGTCAAGTCGAAGTTGCAACAAAAACTTCAGACTTCAGAAGAGCGAGTGTCGCACCTGGAGCAGGAGTTGAACCAAGTACAAGTGTCAAATCAAGTAGCTGATGAGCAACGTGCAGTCGAGATCCAGAAGAACGCCGAACATCTTCGCGAGTTGGAATCATCCATGCTCAATCTCCGGTCAGTTCTCGAATCATCACAGAAGCTGGAGGCCTCTTTACGACAAGAGTTGGATAGTGTGCGTAGCTCCAAAAATGCGGTTGAGAATGAGCTCAGTCAAGCACTCCAATCGAAAACAGACCTTGAAGGTCAAATCAACCATATACAGTCAAGACTCACATGGACGGAGAGCGACCGCGACAGCTTGCAGACTAGGATTACCCAACTCGAGGGCGACCTGGACACAAGCACCCAGGCTAAGAGTCGTCTCGATGCACAACTATCTGCCACGAGTGAGAGTGACTCACTGAAGGCTCGCATTTCGGAGCTGGAGATTGCACTTAAAGACAACCTTGAAGCAAAATCAAAAGCTGAAGATGCGTTAGCAATCGCGCAGCTGGACGGCGAGACTTCTGGTAAGGACTTGATAAACCTTCGTGGACAGCTAGCGGAGGTGAAGGCTACCGGAGACCAAGTGCAGCAGGATTTACACAACGCCCACAGCTCGAAATCAGATCTCGAAGCTCAGCTCCAGTCATTGAAAGACCAACTGGCCAAGAATGAGTCTGAGGGTAATGAAGTACGCTCGCAGATGTCAAAGCTTCACAATGAGGTAGTAGAACTCCAAAGGTCGAAACGCCAGCTCGAGGATCAATTGTTGGCCGACGAAGCGTCGCGTGAAAAGCTTGACGGAGACTTACAATCTGCACGCTCCCAACTACTAGAGGTTCAAGCTCAGATTCCACATCTGGAGGCAAGACTGGCGTCCAGTGAAGAAGAGCTTGAAGCCATGTGCAGAGCGAAGGCAGTTACCGAGAAGCGACTCGAAGAGACGCAGACTGCCAACTTAGATCTGGAGAAAGAACTCGATGCTGCTCGAAAGTCCAACGAAGACATCAAGAGTCAATTTGGTAGTATCGTTACCATCAATGCACAACTGGAGAAGGACATCAGCACAGCTCGTCTTGAGAGGGACGAGGCAGATGCACACAACGCTGAACTCACGTTGAAACTAGGAGATTCGAAGGAAGAGCTGCAAAGCCTTCGAAAGCTTAAGAATGAGGTTGAGAAGAGACTGAACGAAGCACTAGCTGTCTCAACAAGCACAGAAGAGAGCCTTTCATCCGCTCGCTCTCGTCTTCAAGAGCTCGAGTCGCAGAACTCTTCCATCACTACTGAGCTTACAGAGACAAACGAAGAGCTATCCGTTCTTCGACAGCTCAAGGATGACGTCAAAAAGAAGTTGGGCGAAACATTGACTGCTTTCGCAAGTACGAAAGAAGGGCTTTCGTCGACCCGCTCTCGCCTCGAAGAGCTCGAACACCAGAACTCCTCCGTCACCGCTGAGCTCACTAGAACGAATGAAGAGCTAGTCGCCCTTCGTCAGGCTAGAGCCAAGCTCGAAAGCAAGGCAGACGGCGCTGAACAGCATATCGAGTCTCTTGAAGAGGACCTAACAAATATGCGCAGGCGTCTTCACGAGCTCGAAGCACAAGACTCGGCAATTACTACAGAGAAAGATGAACAGTTAGCCGTTCTTCGAGAAGCAAAAGCCGAGTTGGAGGCTAAGGTAGTCGGCGCCGGAAAGCGTGCTGAATCTCTCCAAAACGATCTAACAAATATGCGCTCACGGATAGATGAGCTTGACTCAAACAGCACTAGCTTAGCCTCCAAGCTGTCAGCTACCAGCAAGGAGCTAGAGGATGTCAAATCGGCTTACTCACAACTCGAAGAATCTTCTCAAACAACGTCACATCGAAACGGAGAGCTTGAGGCCGAACTCCAAGCTGCACAGATGCGTCTTGACATTGCTGAGTCGGAAGGTCTCAGCTTGGCTTCCAAGTTGTCAGTTAGCAGCAAAGAACTAGAGAACCTTCGATTGGCTCACGTACAACTTGAGGAGTCGTCCCAAACAGCGTCACTTCGAAACGGGGAGCTTGAGACCGAACTGAAAGCTACCCAGATGCAGCTGGCTGTTGCTGAGTCGGAAAGCCTAGAAGCTGCCAAAAAACTAAACGGAGCCGACAAGGAGCTTGTATCCCTTCGGGAGTCGAACACTAAGTTGGATTCCTCTGAGAAGGAGTTGCTCGCTCGTCTTACTTCAGCAGAAGAAGAATTGGATACCGCGCGTGAGAAGAATGCACAGCTGGAAGCCTTCCTCGAGCGTGTAGAAGCAGACATGGCTGATGCTCACTCTGCCGTTGAGGATACTGAAAGGCGTTACCATGAGCTCGTGGAAGAGTCACAATCAAAGTTGGAAGCTGCAAAGAGTTCGAAGCAGAAATACAAACGTAGACTGGACGAGAGGAACAACGAACTTGAGATCCTAATCAATGAGAACTCAGATCTTCATCACCAGGTCGGCGACCAGACGCGCCAATTGGGTGCGCTCAAGAGGGGCAAGGAGAAGCTGGTCGAGGAGCTTTCAAAGAAGGAGAAGTACATCGGAGAGCTCGGGTCATCTTCAGACAATCGCATAAGATCCCTAAACTCAGCGTACGATGGTTTGAGGAAGAAGTTCGAAGAGCAGCAACAGCAACATCGACAGTTAGACGGTAAACACGACAAGGCTGTTCGCCTCGAGGCCGAACTAGAGAGGAAGATGACTGAGATTGAAGAGATGCGACATCATCAAGACGAGTATGCGGTTTCATACAATGCATTGGAAAAAGAGGTGCAAAGCTTGCGAGATGATAAGAGGGCGTTTGAGAAACTGGTAGCCACGCTACAAGAGAAAATCAGACATTTGGACGTCCTAGAGGAGTGGGAGGAGCCGAACGAGCTCAACAGGACTACCTCGCCACGTCACATCACTATCCAGGAGGGCCCTTACGATACTGCACCCTCTAGTCCCATCTCTTCTCATGCAAGGAGTTCTATTGGCCGCGTTAGCGTGCAGCTTGAAAGGCCACAGACGAGCGCCAGCACCGTCTCCCACGAGGAAGATCTTGACTCGTGGGCGATGCAAGTCGAGAAGATACGCATGCAACGCAATGATGCGGCAGTCCAACTCAAAGGCATGAAGAAGTCGCGACACAACCTCAAGAAAACTCTGAGGGACACCGATGCGCAACTCCACCGGCTAGAGAAGGAAACGAAGACGTGAGTGCCCCATGGAAGTATCATGCGATAGAATGAATGACTAACAAACCTCCAGCAAACGACCCCAGAACCTTCTCCGAAAGAAGAGTCGTCCAATGACCCCTAATCCTCTCATTACTGACCAAGCCCGCACCTCACCCTCCCCGCGCATTGGCTCTTCATCCCCGCAAACACCCACTCGCCAAACCACGAACGTATTCACCTCGCCTCGAACCACCATGAGCACCAACTCACGGCACAGCACATATATTACTCCTACCAATCCCGATAAGGGAGCTACACCTTCAACGCCTGAACGTCCCAAGACTAGTCATAGTCTGCGCAACAGGCTGAGCTATCGCCCTACGACTAGTGTTGGCGATGAACATGCGGGCGTGTCGCCTAAGGGGCATGGACATGTAAGAAGGTGGAGTTCTGGATTGAGGAGTTTGTTTCATAAGGATGCGTGATACCTCTGTTTTCGTCTTTGATGTTTTGTTCCTTTCAGTCAATTGTCTCTTTCTACATCGTACTCTGCCCATGCTCTTTCTCCGTATAGTGTTATTCTTGCCATTGCTGTTTTCGTTGTTCTGCTTCTTGTACACCGGTTATCGTTTCGTCTTTTGGGGTGTTTCTGTGCGTTTGAGATTGGATGGGTCGACTCTCACGGGTCAGGTATTCTGGTTACCAACGGTTCTATGGGAGGTCTCTAGCGTCGCTTTTACATTTGTACAAGAAGTCATGAGGCATTTAGTCATAATCCGGTTCCTTTCTCTCGATCTCATCAACGCCTTCTATCTCGGATGTACTTTAAGCCGACACCAGGGCTAATTCCGATAGCGTATATCTGCCTCGCATAACCACATTCTAGTTCGCCACTTTTGAAAGTCATGGAAAGTCTGATCACTAGTACTCATTGACGTAAATGACTCGGCGAGCCGTGGAAATGATGAGAATGACCTGCCACTGGATTCTTCACCAGCATCTTTGACCCACCAAGCCCAAGCTATGTAAGACACTGTTTATTTCTTCGCCCTCTATTGCTGTCTATATGCATGATGTGGAAACAAAAAGACCACTCTCGCGAAGCACGACAGCTACATGGTTCACCTTTCACCTGAGGAACACATGTCCTTCTTGGGCTTTCGCAAACCTTGGAAACTTCCACCCAAAAAACTACAAACCCACTTCAACGATTGGACCGACATATGTCTTCTTGCCTCTGAAAAAGTACCAAGCGATAGCGAAGATTACTGTCCCCCCAAATGTGACAGAACTAAAGTTCATCGACTGTGCATCGACCTCCACAGAGCCTGGCCAAAAAGAGAAGAACCACAGTACGAATAGGTACACGCATGCAAACATATTATTCGCAACACCGAACGCGCCGGGAACCTTCCAAGGCCCCCACTGCAGTGTATCCGGTCCCACCATGGCAGCCTGTGGATTGTGCGGGCTGATGCCTTTGAGACGGCGCCAAAGAAGCAAGGCGCAGACGATAAAGTATGAGGCGTAAAGCCCGCCGATGCTGAGGTTGACGATGTTGCTGAAAGCAACGAACGAGCCAAGTGCGATGAAGGATAGAAGTACCGAGATCCCGGTCGTGATCATGATTGTATTAACGGGTATGAGTGTGCGGGGGTTGAGCTGTCAGCGTTAATATAGCCATACTGGAATGGTCAGAAGAGAGGCATTCACCTTGGTAACTTGAGCGGAAAATGGCACGGCATTATCTCTTGCGAATGACCACATCTGTCGGGAAGTGGCGGCCATCAGGCCGACTAGACAGCAGACACCCAGAGTCCACATGATCATAGCCATGGTCGCAGCCCCAGCAGCAGATCCTGTGCCCTTCAAGAAAACGTATAGGTAGGGATACCCAAGTGTCGCTGAAGACTCCAGTACATCATCCAAGTCTCCAAGACAGAAAAGATACGCGATCAACATTGCTAGGCCTAGCGTGCCATTCAACAATACACTGATCTGGATGGCTCGCGGTACCACTTTTGACGCATTCTTGACTTCTTCGGCCATCTGTCAAGAGTTAGTACGCTGACAAGCAGTCAGCTGAACGACGACTTACGTGGACACAGGAATCGACACCTGCAATGGTTAGCACTAAAGCCCTAAAAGTCTTACGAAGAACTTCGCTTACCAACAAGTGCGAAGACCGATGATGGTAGTCCAACCATGAAAGAAAGCGCTTGTGTCGACCAACCTCCGGTGTTGACGAATGTGGTGAAGATTGAGGCATCGCTATGAGGAGCAAGATACACAAGTGGAATTAAGATTGCGAAGAAGCCAAGTAAATGTAGTATCAAGATCAGTCCTTCGAAATGTGCGAGGGTTTTGCTTCCAACAGTGTTGATGACGACTGCAAATGCAAGCACGGCCCAACCAAGCAGCATTGCTTGGTACGGCTTTGGCGAGTAGGACGAGTCGCACATCAGAATTGTGCTTTGCAGAATAGTTCCTGCGAGGTAGGCCGAAGAAGCGGTGGTGGCCTGCCAGCCGATGAGTGTTACCCATCCAGTGATGTAGCTTGAAAACTTTCTGTACGACGGTGGGGCCAACATGGCGACCCAACTAAGAACGCATCAGCTATGAAAGTTCATAAGATTGGGTCACTTACTGGTACTGCCCACCTGCGGTGGGTGCCATCGAGGACAACTCGGACAAGACCGTATAGATAGAGATGGAACCAATCCATATAAGAATGTAGCCCCAGAAGACACCCGCAGGACCACCATTCAGCAGACTAGGAGTGGAAACTTGGAGTATACCTTCCCAGGTCACCAACACGGTACATGACTGTAATGGTGAAGATGTATAGTCAGTGTATGCCTCCATCTCATGCACTCAAAACTTACGAAGCCCAATATTTGCATGAACCCGAAGTTACGCTTCAATGCTGGCTTCTTGCCCAGTCGCATAAGGTCCATGTCATCTCGAGTGTAACCATCGTGGCCAGCTTCTTCGACGGCAGAAGCGACTGCTTCAGCCTTCGACTGATTGCCAAGTTCCATGGCTTCAGGTGAAGTATTCAGAGAAACAAACCTAGCACAGGTGATAGTGATGAACACTGCAATGAATGCGAGGAAAACAAAATATGATCACGGCCTCTTAAAGTCGCTGTGATTAGTGACGTCGCGTTCACAAGTCGGTTATGCGAAGATTCATCCAGATTGTTTCGCTAAACAAATCGAGCAGGTTACATGCTGTGCCGCAACTTGTGCCGCATGAGAAGCGGCGGGGTGTCTTGATAACGGAGTTTTCATGATGATTAGATCTTCCGTTCTTGCGCGCAACTCACCTATCGACAAAGTGATGTGAAACCCAGGTTCGTGATTTTGCTTGCAAATCGAAAACACTTCGAAGAGTCGTTCAGACATGTAGTGTACTGCGTGAGCCGTTGTAGACTTCTCTACTCCTTCCGGCTCAACGATATAACCCCCACCTCAATGCGACGATCTTGACTCAATACGCATCCTGCGGGATTCGGGTGGAATTGGCCCAAAATACCGCGGACGCTACCGCCCCGAGCGGTACCTAGTGTTGGCTGCGCCTAGAGTAGCCGCTATGATCGTACAAAGATCCCATCCTCTTCACCAGAAGCCTCGTGCCGCAACCTGCGGTCTTGCTTCGTGACCGCTAGTCGTTAAGGTGTCCGTGTCCTCTGGTTTTCGTCTGATTGGTGCTCCAAGATGACATTCCTGCACGAATGAGGCGTAGGCATCGTAAGCGACCTATGACACCGTGCCAAGCATATAATATGCTTGTCACGAACGCGCAAGCTTGTCCGTATGCTAAGGACAGACAGATAACCCCACGTACGTACTCGACATCCTGCTTGTTGCCCGATTATGCAGGTTTACAAAAGAAGTCGGAATATTCACCTACATCCGTGGGGGTGATGCCAGTTGTGTGGACATAGGAACGCCTCTATGGAAGAGTGACATGAGATGCGAGCAGGATCATGTTATGGCACTGGCATCATCCGTGGGCACCATGTGATTTGGGAATGTTGGAATGAGGCACAGAGATAACGGCAACAGGGCGTTGTCCCCTATGTGCTGAACTATATTCAGAGATCGCGCTGCTCCAACAAGCACACCATCAGTGCCACCGCTGGAATCAGCATCTTCAGCATGTTCTCTAAGCGCAAAGCTATGGACGCTGGAAAGCGTCCTGCATTCCACGAAGGCCATGCGGCGCCGTTGATTCAGATTCTGGCATGGCTCTTTCTCGTCTTCTCGATATTAGCTGTTACAGCGCAGTTTGCCACCAAGAAAGCTATGGCTCGGCGATTTGTACGAGCTGACTTCGTACTGTTAACTGCTTTGGTAAGTGTTTGATAAGTAGGGTCACAAGTGTTCATACTGACAGACGCCATCACAGGTCCTGTCCGTAGGACAGGCAGCTACGCTTCTTAGTCCTGCTGGTCAGCCTATCGGGAATCTACAGGCTGGTCTCTCGCCAGATCAGATTGATGGAGCTTGGAAGGTGGATAACGTGAAATCATTAGATCGCACCACTGACAATTTTAGGCTTTGTTCAGCAGCGAGATATTGAGCGTGCTTACCATTGTTGCCGCCAAAGGCTCACTGCTCGTCTCTCTTGAGTCAGTGACACCGGTCGCTGGACACCAGATGATGATGCGCGCAACGGGCGTTCTGACGCTACTATGGGGACTGAGTGCTATCTTCCTCTTCGCCTTCCAGTGTCCATCGCCACAGCGATGGGATATTACGAACCCAAAGTGTATGGATATCGTGAGTTAGACTGGTAGTTCTGTATAGCTCGTATCCCGAATTAACTCACTCCAGCGCGCCATACGAACGTACAATGCTGTCATGAGTATCGCGACCGACCTTGCGCTCGCGATCGTGCCTACATTGATGGTGTTGCCCTTACAAATCACATCGGAGAAACGCCTGACACTCGTCACTGGCTTTTGGTCACGCATGGTGTAAGCCAAATCGCCGCTGTATCCTTTTACTACCGAGCTTGCGCTGACATGAAAGTCTCGTAGTGTCGTATTCGCCTCCGCTGCTCAGATCGGATACATCCGTAGCCTACCCCAACAAAGCGACCTTCACTCGATCTGGCGCATCGTCGTATGCGGACAAGTAGCTCAAGTTGCTAGCATCATGACCACAACGATCCCCTTCCTGAAACCTTTTATGGTGAGCCTCGACTCGGGCCTCTGGAGCGCCAATCATGCTGGTGTTGCTACGACGTCAAGCTATGCATCTGCAGTTCGTACAGGACATTTGTCGAGCTATGTCGAGATTGCCAGTCAACAAAGTCGAGATCCATCTGTCGTGAAAGGAGACAAGGATATCGATATCTGGGTACACAAGGAAATAGTGATAAAGAGAGAACCCAGTATCGAGCTGCAAGATATTGGGGGGATTGGAAGATAACCACGAAAGAAGGATCTCTTTTGTTACGGTATCTTCAACTCATTCACTGCAAGCAGATTTGGTGTCCCATTATCTCAAAAAGTTCGTCGGACTCCAACTCATCTTGCTGTCTGTTTCTGCCGTGAATCTCTCATTCACCTTCACTCCCATGCAGCACGCTTGGACGTCCCGCGTAATCCACGTGACTCTTTCCTCATGCGAGAGCAGTGACATAGCGTCAACAACGTGCTCTCACCTGGCAAGCCAAAAACTCTTTCCTCGACTATACCTCCCACGTTCCTTCTCTAATCACACCACCTCAACCAACACCCGAGCGTCACCATGAGGCTCAACGCTATCATCGTCGTTACTGGTCTTCTAGCTTTTGCAAACGCTGATCTAGTCGCTCGCAAGGACACTGATTACAACAAAGGCGCTCCCGAATCACACGGCGTTATTGGCAAGGCTGGCGATGACGCATGCGTAGCACTGGGCTGTGACTCCAGCTTGCCAGCTTGCCTCGAGCAGTGCGCGCCAGGATTGCATTGTGAAGATTATTGCGCGTGTTATTTGCACTCTAACCCAGAATCAATCTGTCGTCAACAGGGTATGTGAACAGCAAGAGTCTTTTGACGCGTCCAACTATGCTAACAGTAAGACAGGATGCGTCAAGGCTCCTCAAGACTGCGACAAGTGGGAGCTTACTGAACGTGACACAGCATCTGTTGGTTCCGCGATCGCCGATTCAGATAGCATTGCTGTGGGCGACCAACAGTCTCCTCCGATCGACCATTGTCAAGTCTGTCGGGCCGCTGTCTACACGTGCCAACAGAACTGCCGCGGTGACAAGGCCTGCGAAACAACATGTAGTTGTCCCGTTACCGACCAGGATAGCTGTCACAGATGCTCGACTACCACCTGTTCTACCACTGTTCAAGAAGCAGACACCAATGACTCCGAGTCACCCCCAATTGACCATTGCCAAGTCTGCCGGTCCGCCATCTACGCCTGTCAACAAAACTGCAATGGTGACCAGGCATGCAAGACAGCGTGCCTATGTCCCATCACTGAGCGGGAAAGCTGCGGCAAGTGCCAGTCCTTCAATTGTCCGAGCTCTTAGAGTCAAGCGGCCGTTGATGTTCCTTCGTTATGAGCGGCCATAGGAGTACCTCGTTTAAAGTGGGAAGTTCAACTGAAACAAGGCATGTCGATGTCCAGTAGAAGTGATCCTGTAGGAGGGAGGCGTTCGGCAGTGTGTACATCCTCATAGGCCCAATATTAGATGGTAAATTTCTTCCAGAAGTTGTTTCCATCTTTCACACGTGTATGATCAATGCCCAGCCGGGTATATGTGCATTCGCTCTTGGACGATGTAACCGCATGTGGCGGGATTGCGGTGAGGCTAATTCGTATCGATGCGTGGACAGACTGCAATGCAGACACAGGCAGCATCTTGGGATGTCTGATTAAGCTTTGCCAATGTTGCCTTAGCGCAACATGCGAAGCACTTGTGTTCATAGGGGCTTCCGGGCATAGACAACGGTTCCAGGTAAGTATGCGTGAGCGCGGTAGCTCTTCAGCTCCTTGCGCATCTGCGCTAGATGCACTTGTGCTCGTGCAACGGACCACTAGAGTTGTTCAGTAATGCCCACGATAAGTTCGTCGTTAATACTCACACCTCCGACCTGTGTCAACAATCGCAGCATGAAGCCTTCGACCCCGTCCATCAACCGCAATTGGTTCCATCGTCCAATATTCTTGAGATCCTTATCCTTTGGCCAGCCGTTCATAGGCCATTTATACTCCATGACTGTCACATCCACAAAACCAGCTCGTTTGATCCTCTCGGCGCTCTCTTCCCATATGGTAAAGGTCTTGCCGAAGCGATCGCCCATCTCAACAACAACCTTCCCCCACGTATGGTAGAAGTGATCTGGACCCATTGTGTCATCGTCGGATATCGGGCACACTGAGTGCTCGACGATCTCTATCCAGCCACCAGGTTTGGTGTGTCGGTAGGCTTGCTGGAAGAAGAAGTCCCAGTCTGGTATGCAACCGAAGAGTTCGCGAATGTGTATGAAATCGAAGTGGTTCGGCGGAAATGTCCACTCGAGCGAGACATCGTCGATTTCGAAGTGACAGTTGGGTGGGACCCATTCGGGTTGTATGGGAGAAAGGTCTGTACCGGTCACGATCGCAGAAGGATATTGGTCTGCCATGTCCTGAGACTGTCAGCATGAAGCAATACTGTAAGCGAGATATGTTTTACAATTGCCCATATGCCAGTGCCTGTGCCGCAGTCTAGTATTGTTTGTGGGTTTTGTAGAGGCGCAAGATGCAATTTCTGGTCAAGCGTCAGGAGATACATGTGGTGAGCGAAGTCCAATATCTCCTTGGCGAGCTCATCGTTCGGTCCCCAGTATGCGCCGTCTCGGTACGCGTGGTATTGCCGTCCATTTTCAATACGATGGTTAAGAATGGACGACGCAAGCGAATTTGTCTCGTCGCCAAGGAGACTTCCGCTGTCGAAGGCTGAGTCTGAAGAAAAGCCAGCCTCGTCGTCGTTGTCGGGTGGTGAGGGCTCAGAATCCGTCGACAAATGGTGGTGTTCAGGGGCTGGTTGTTGTGGGTATGGCGACGTCGAGCCGTCGCCGAGATGTATGGCACTATCTTGATGATGCATGCCGATGCCCTCGGATGGCTTTTGCGACGACGAAGATGCCATGGCTGCGCGATTCGCGGGCGAGGTATGGTGGTGTGGAGAGTCAAGGCGTCAAAGCCCGGAAACCAACAGGTTACATATTGGTGACTCTGGTGCCGATGTACTGGGAATTTGCTGGTGCTGACTCTGGTCCCTCTTTGGTGGCTTTGTCAATGGGCGAGGGGTCTCTGAGAAAGTGGAGCTGTGCAGCGATGGCGTCGCCGCCGCGTCCACGCAGCATCCCCGAGTAGATCAAGCGGATCGGTCTGCTCCTCCGGCTGCTGTTATTCGTGCATGCGCTTTCACAACGCGCGCCAAAAGCATCGTTGATGCATAGCATGCACGTCAGTTGAGCGGTTCAGGGTAAGCGAGATCATTGCTTCTCTCTGCCGATGCTGCACGAACAATCTGGTCTCCGGAGGCAGCAAGTCGATATTAAACATAACAACTAATTCCAGAAGATGTATATAGGTACACACGTCCCGTATCAGATGGGCTGAATGTCGTGGTTAACGACAAGATGGGGCGACATTCAGCTCACCGTTCACGTCCTATTCGGCCCGTTCTGGGCCGCAGCGTGCGTTAAAGGTGGTGGGTGGGCCGAGCGGCCTTCCACTGTGGAGACTCGAACTTAGTTGTAGAGAATGCGAAGAACAGGTTGAGAGATGACCCAAACATCGCTGATCTCTGGCTATTTGCTATGGAAAAACCAACTGCCGACGGCGAAGCGCGTGCGGCGCAGTTGCCCATTCTCGTAATTGGCTCTGGTAAGCGACGCGTACGCCGCATACCTGCGCAAGGTCTCACTCATTCGCAGGAACCTCTGGACTCGCACTCGCTCAAGGCCTTCGCAAAGTACGTACTCGCCTGTGTAACGTAACGTAGATAGTAGCCTTATTGGAGAACCAGGTAAATATTCCGTGTATCGTCTTCGAGAAGAACGGCGCAAAGCATGGCGAGCGCGACTGGAACATGGGTCTTCACTGGGGCGCACCAGCATTGAAAAGCCTCATGCCAGACGGCTGGTGGGATCGCATCCAGAGCGTTTCCGTCGACCCAAACGTGCCTACAAAGGAGCAGGATACGCTGAAGTGGCTGCGAGGCGACACCGGAGATCTGGTCGCAGCCATCACCTTCGGGCCTTTCTACCGCCTACGAAGGAGCAAGTTGCGCGACATGTTAATGCAAGGCCTTGACATACAGTTCGACAAGCGCTTACAAGACGTCTCATATGCAAGCGACAATCAGTCAGTCACAGTACATTTTGCCGATGGCACAACGGCGACTGGAAGCATGTTGGTAGGTGCCGATGGAGCTCGCTCTTCGACCAGACAGATCCTATTGGGTCGCGAATTGGGTGCCATCAACCATATACCATATGCTGCCACTTTTGTTCAGTGTAAGTTTACCGTGGAACAAGCTCTCTTCTTGAGGTCTTTTCACCCACTGTACCTAGCATGCGCGCATCCCAATAACAACTTCGCCTTCTTTGGCATGCATGACGCACCGGATGCAGATGATCCATCGTCCTGGACGTTCTTTTACTATATCTCGTGGAAAAGTAGTTTGGAAGAGCAGGAGGCGACCAAGGATTGGACTGGTGCTCAGCGACTGGCACAACAGAAGGAATTCGCCAAAGAGTTCTGCGACCCGTGGAGGAGTGCGCTTGAGTGGACACCAGATGGCACCCCCGTGTGGTATCTGGGGCTCAGTGACTGGGACCCCGGAATGGAAGGCCATCGTTGGGATAACCACCACGGCTTAGTTACCATGATTGGCGACGCTGTCCATCCAATGACCTACCAGAGAGGGCAAGGCCTCAATCACTCGGTCACGGACGCTGGAAAGCTGCATGAAGCCATCACTAAGATTCAAGCTGGAGAGGATAGAAAAGCTGCGATAGATGCATTTGAAGAGGAGATGATCAGGCGTGGGGGTGGAGAGGTTCGAGACGGTACAGCGAATACAATGATGCTTCATGATTGGGAACGCGTGAGGCAGAGTCCTCTTTTCACAAAGGGTATGAAAAAGGTCGATGCTTAGCAGAGGACAGCTTCGGTATGCTCTTTCCTTCAACCCACGGTTTCTCTGTCGGTCATACGAACGAACAATATCATGCATGACCCTTCATTAGCCTCATCGCAAATTCCTGGTATAACGTTGTTGCAATTGATGCAGCTATGTGATCAACAACGCCCTGTCAATACCTGGGTATGCATATGCATTACGGTGCTGTGCTGACTGTTGGTTTCGCATTAGCGGCAATTTGGGCATTCAGTACTCACGATTACCAGCATCACGTAAAACACCAGCACTTCTTTACTAATCTAACATTCTGCGATGATCCCATGTCGCGATGCTGAATTCGCTGCAGTCTTTTGTGATGTTGTTGGTGCTGTCTCTGCTGAATTATGGACCCCTCATCTGGCGTTCAGAGATGCCTCGGATAACATTGTCCAAACAACATGACGTCGGCCATCCTCGGTCCTGGCCGGTACGCGATTTACAGTCAACGCTTGACATATACCATCTTTACAGCCTTTGCATTTGACATTGCGACGCGTTCCTTTATCGATTATAACACAGCTCGACTCACCTTGCCCTTCTTGCGAGTCCCAAGAGCCTCAGCATATCAACGATGACATCCCCTTCCGAGTTCCACGGCTGGCTAGGCCATGATAAGAATGCTGCGCAGGGCAACATGACCTGGTCGTCCTTCAAACCCAAGCCGTTCAACGATATAGACATCGATATCAAAGTCTCCCATTGTGGTATCTGCGGAACCGACATACACACTCTGCGATCTGGCTGGGGCGCGACACACTATCCCGTATGCGTCGGTCATGAAATCGTAGGAAATGTTGTACGAGTGGGAGACAAAGTGAAGAACCTGAACTTGGGCGACAGGGTTGGTGTAGGCGCGCAAGCTTTCAGTTGCTTGAAGGACGACTGCGAGGAATGTAGCGCAGGCATCGAACAGCATTGTACCAAGATGGTTGGCACATACAACGCCAAGTACCCGGATGGAAGCTGGAGCATGGGTGGATATGCAGACTATGTTCGCGTCCCAGCGCATTTCGCCATTAAAATACCAGCTGGGATAAAGAGCGAAGATGCAGCGCCCATGATGTGCGGCGGCATTACAGTCTATGCGCCGCTGAAGAACAACGGCGCAGGCCCTGGGAAAAAGGTAGGAATTGTAGGCCTAGGAGGCTTGGGACATTTTGGCGTCTTGTTTGCGAAAGCTTTAGGCTGCGAAAAGGTCGTAGCGATAAGCCGACGAAGGAACAAAGTCGACGATGCAAAGGCCATGGGCGCAACAGACTATATTGCCACGTCTGAAGACGAGAAGTGGGCGCGCAACCATAGCCGAACCCTAGACCTCATCATTAGTACGGTATCCTCTCCAGACATGCCTCTTGAGTCATACCTTCGCCTTCTTCGCACGGGTGGATCCTTCATACAAGTCGGCGCGCCCGAGGACAAACTCCCTCAAATCGCTGCATTTGGTCTCATTGGTAAAGGGTGCAAGATTGGAGGTAGCCAGATCGGCAGCCCCAAAGAAATAGAGGAGATGTTAAAATTCGCTGCTGACAAGGGGGTTAAGCCATGGGTGCAAAAGCGCAACATGAAGGACGCGAATAAGAGTGTGGTTGACATGGAGGAGGGGCATGCGCGTTATCGTTATGTTCTCGTGAATGCCGATCATGGAGACAGGGCGAAGATGTGAGCGTATTAGAGTTGTCACGTCATCTAGGCGAGCATATGCCATCCACGAATCAAGCCAGCACATCAACTTTACTATCGACTTGCTCAAACACAAATCTTGCCAGACGATCCGAGATTGCTGACGCTGGCGTTTGCTTCACAAACCTACACTGTCTCGGAGATCCTCGTCTTCTTCGCAAGCCCTCTTGTAATGTCTTACACCACACAGGTTGATTCACGATGCGCGTCAAGCCGGTGCTGTGCTACCACCATTGCCTCATTGTGGAGGCAGTGAAAGCGGTTCCGCATTGCTTGGGTCATGCGTGACACGAATCTCCTCTGCTGCCTCAAACCGTTACCCCAATGCCTTCGTTCTCACTGGCTCAGATCTCAGGGCCACCCAAGGTTCCACGTATGCGCGAACCAAATCTGTTGATTCGCACAGTAAAAGCTTGCGCGACACTCTTTACGTCGTTCATTTGGGCTCCAATAATGTCTTGGTTTACGAAGAAAGCACCCAAGGCGCTTATCATTGGCATGCACCTAACGCGCGATGAGGTCCAAATCCTCATACAAGCCTGCCAAGAGCTCGAAGACTCCATGACCTGTCAGAAAGAAGAGATGGAAGCCTTCCCAAAGATCAAAGGAAGCGGTCATACGCGTCGCGCCATGGAGACGATTCTAGAGCGTCACCGCTGTATCTACGACCGACTCGATAACCTCACCCTTCGCCTACGCAATAACCACTCGAAAGGGTCATTTAGGGTAGAACTCGAAGAACTCGCAAGGTTTATGGCGCGACAGCGGTCACTCTGGGCTGAGCACTCAGGACGGTTGGACCTGGGCTGGAAAGTCGTCTCAGAGCGATACTGGCCACTGATAGCGGGTATCTATGCAACCCTCTTCGATATTCTCAGTAGCTTCAAACAAGCCCTCAAGAGAAGTTTGCTAGACGACGCACTCTGGTCTGACGAGGCGATGAAGCAAAACCGTCGCATCTGCCCCAAGTCCCTGAAATCGGCACTCAAGGGCTCTTCCCTTGGCAAGCCAAAACCAAGGGATAAACATGTCGTTTTCGAAGAGACATACCATTCACGCCTTTTTAGCCAAAAAGATGCGCCCAAAGAGGTGAGCGAGGCGCATGCGAATGCTGAGTGGCACGGGTATGGGCGCGGCACTGATTTCGTGGGGAAGCTTGCCAGTGACGGAAAACGTTCGGCGAAGCATTATCAGACCAGGGTGCATCAGAAGAAGAGAGACACGCGAATTGCGTTGCCTCGTCGGGGATCTATAAGGAGTGCCGAGGTTAGCCATAGAGAGAAGCGACAGGAAGCACAGAGGAGAGAAATGCGACCGGTATTTGAGCGACCGAAAGTAGAGATGAGGCGAAGAAAGACAGGAACCAGGATGTTCTTTGATAATCTGCAGGAGACGAGAATGTTCGTCCCACTTTGAAGAGCGAGATACTGTTGGCGAAGATTGAGAGCGGGACCTGAGGATGAGATAGGCGTCAATGGATTTCTTTGACATGGAGGTAGGCATGTAAGCTAGTGATCAACTCCCAACGATGAAGCAATGTACCAATACCGATGTCCCATTCTCACCAGATCACTTACTCCAGATCAGTCCAGTCATCTTTTCTACGGAGCGCCTTCCCGATTTCCTTGATTGCATCACCCAACGGCTTCTTGATTTGCCGTTGATAAACCGCCACGACATCCCGTACACCCTGAACATCTAGCATCCCGTTCTCCCGTCTCCCATCTATTATTACCTTATTCAATTCCGTGAACGCTCCAAGAAGAACCCGCACCAGCCCTTGAGCATCTCCGAACCGCTCTAACACCTTGATACCATTTTGAAGGACGAACTGACCACGCGTAGTGAATTCGTCAATTATCTCTTTACGCTTCTTCTGAGACGCAACACCCATGTCGTGGAAGCTCTCGATCTGAGCATCGATGTCGGATTCGAGTTGCTTTAGCGTTCCCAGAGTCTGTTCAGTGTCTTTGCGTGTTAGGACGGTACTGTAGATACGAGATACCTGACGAGTGCGCCTAAGCTCTTGTTGTAAACGACGCTTCCTGGAGGCTTCAGTTTCAAGCTCGTCGTCAGATTCAGGTGGTGTAGAGTCCTGGACAGCGGCGGAGAAGCGACCGTGACCGAGCAGAAAAGAAGTAAAGCCTGGCATGTTGGACTGTCGCGAGGTTGATTTGGTTTATGTGATGGTTGAAGAAGTTCGGTACTTGTGGTGGTGATGATAAAAGTGAATGGTGAGGACAGAATGTTCTGTGCTGTTGAAAGGTGGTAGAGATATAGGCACCAAGCTTCAAAAGGCCGCAATATCTAGCCTTTGATTTAGTGGTAGAAATCTTGCATGGCGCACAGAACACGCCTGCCCTCAGGTCACAGGGGCTTCTGTATTCACAGGGGAGTTTGCTAGAACCTGCACAATTACATCAATGGAGTTGCAATCACGTTTGTTTCACTAGCAGCACGGAATCTGCGTAGAAAGATGAGAGCGTACAGTGCGTGCAGAAACATTCTTGTCCTTCCGCAACGGATGGAACGCTTGTAATATTATGAATACCCACAAGTAGCAAGACAATGCGTCATGACAAGTGTTGCAAGTGTTCGCCGACCGATTTTGATCAGACCCAACAGTCTAGTGGTAGTGTTCCATACTTGCCTTTTCAAAGCAACTCCAGAGTTTTGCTGCGAAGCCAAGCCGAACAAGGTTTCAGATCAAATGCCGATGTTTCCCGAACCAGCATGTTTGTTGTGCTTCATCAAGGTGGGATCAGAGCAATTTAGACAGAGCTATCCGCGGGCAAAGGAGTATCAATCTGAGTGCGGTCGCAGTTCGCTTTCGCCATATCATCCAAACGGTCCAGGTAGTGGTCCAAAGTCCAATTGGGGTACTATCGAAGGCGATCCTCTGTCCGAGAAGTCAGCTTCAAAGGCCTGTAACCATCTTGTTAATCTTTTCCAACTCACGCATTTTGTTCAGCTCGTCCAGAATCAACTGGAGCTCTTCCTCGTCCATGTTGAGCGAGGGAATGAGCGTAGTGGCTTCCTCGGCGGTATCCGGAGTCAGCGTTCCTAAGACGGTTGTCAGTACAGCGCTTCCTCTCTTCTGGCTCATGTATTACCCAGCAGCGCCTTCTCGACAACGGAGATCTCTGGGTGGGCATCGAAGAGGGCAGCAATCGAGTGCAGACTGTCTTCTTCCTTGTACCGGGCGAAGTTGTCGAGGTAATCGAGAAACTGCGTGATGGTTCTGCTGCAGTCAGCACCGGCCTTTGACCCTGCAGCTCGTGCGCAACGACTCACATGCTGTCGTTGTATATCCGGTCGCGCAGCGGGTTGTTCTCGGGGTCCTTCTTCTTTCGTGCCTCGTGGACGGCTGTGACGACGGCGCGCGCTTCGGAGACGGACAGAGCATGGACATCTTCAAAGTCGCCCAGCTTGATCTCAGAGCCCATCTCCTCCTCTTGTTGCACCGGGGGCTTTGGGCGCGAGACCAGCCTTGGGGCTTTGAACACAGGCGGCTCCTGCCTCTGCGGCGGCGCATTTTCCGACTCTCCTTCCATGGTGGAGGTCGGCAGTGAGTGGTATGACGCGGTTGGGGTGAGTGGTTTAGACGTCTTTGTTCTGGATGCAGCGGGTTATGGCGGCCCGGGTGGTGAGTGAGCTCGGTGCTGCTAGTGAAAGCGACGAAGCTGGGGTATGCGCGAGGGTGAGAGACGGTTCTGGCAGTAGCGACGGGCGTACCTTGCAGTCGCGAGCAACAGGCTGGACTGGGTGCAAGTCGCGACTGTCGAGATCTCCAACGCCAAGGCCCAAGGACGCTAGCATGTCAGCCATGAACCTTGAAACAGGCGGCTTGAACAGCCTTCCCCGCTGACTGCCATCGGGTGCCTAATGCTCAAGGAATAGCCTGCCATGTGCCGAGGATGCTGTGGGAAATAACTCGTGTGTGCGTGTGTGCGTGCAGACGGCGTAGTGCATTTTGTGAAGGCTGCGTGCGTATCGCGTATGGCTAGCTGTATACGCAGCCGAGGACAGAACAGGTGCATAACATGCCATCTAATGCCGGCTTTCTTCAAGGCTAAACTAAGCTCAAGGGGTCGATGCTGCTGCCGGGCATGCTCATGTGCATCGCAATCAGCTTTTCACCAAAGCGGCTTAGCCCGTTCACCGACATGCGTCCACTCCTCGAACATTGACCACAGCCGCAGTGACACAGGAACAACCACCAGCCTCACACCACACGACGCCTCCTGCGAATCTTGTGCCAAGCACGCAGTGGTTGCGCTTCTTCGAGTTGCATGTTCATTGTCCTTCAATCCCTCTACCTGCCCTACCCGCCCTGACCGCGTTTCATCCACCGCTCAGGGTCCTCGTCCTATGCCCCCCATAGCACGCCGGGCCTAATTCACCACCACGCCTCCCTCCTCCGCGGCGGCCGCATGCCGAACGAGTTGCTTTTGCGCCCATTGTACATAGCATCCCTTACACCCACCACACCCGACCGAGCCAGCAGCTGCGCATCCAGACACAGAGCGCGCTCGCCAACGCACCGCCGCCGCCCTTCGACCCTTGGCCACCTGCCCGGATAGATCCACCCGCGACTCGACACCCCTCTCGTCGCCAGCACCGCCCGCACGACACCCTACACCATACCGCGATACCTGCCCTCAGGCCCTCTGTACGCATCCTCGCCTCCCTGTCACGCGCCCCTCGCACCTCGGCTCCCACACGAACCTGTCACGTACCCTGCATCACAGAGCACGACTACCGAAGCTGGCGTAATTGGACATGGGAACACCGGCGGAGGGACCGCCTCCGATGGATCATCAGGGCGCCCAGTCACAGTACACTGCCTACGACCCGCGCAATGGTGGCCTCTCGAGGCGAGCCACCGACGAGGCCGCATCCTCGTCCAACAGTCTTGCGCCCTATGACCGCACCAACTACCCCCCGCGATCGTCGACCGACCCTGGGGAGCAAAACCAGGCCGCCCCGAAACCAAAGCGTAGCGGCAAGATCTGTGGCAAGTGCGGAGAAGGACTGACTGGACAATTTGTACGGGCCTTGGGCGATACGTACCATCTGGAATGCTTTACCTGTCACGTAAGACACCCATGTTGTTTCTTGGATTGGAGGAATTGGGCGCCGGCATGCTTTTGTGCCCTGCAGTGGCTGGACTTGGCGCATTGCTGTTCAGGGTGGACTGCTTCCAATAATCTTGAGCGCTTGATTTCTCCATGTAGCTTCATTGATCATCTTGCTGACCTTCGTCTAGGACTGCGGCAAAATCGTTGCATCCAAGTTTTTCCCCGTCCCTGACAAGCCCCCCGGGCAGTACCCCCTCTGCGAGACAGACTATTTTCGACGGCTCGACCTCCTTTGCTTCGAATGTGGGCAAGCCCTGCGTGGCTCATACATCACAGCGCTCGACCGCAAATATCACATTGAGCACTTTACCTGCTCCGTATGCCCCACAGTGTTCGGCGCATCCGACAGCTACTACGAGCACGAGGGAAGCGTCTACTGTCACTACCACTACTCCACCAAGTTCGCTCAACGGTGCAACGGCTGCCAGACATCGATTTTGAAACAATTCGTCGAAATCTTCCGAAATGGGCAGAATCAGCATTGGCATCCGGAATGCTATATGATTCACAAATACTGGAATGTCAGGCTACATTCCACAGGCCAACCAGTCATCGAGCGATTGCAAGATGCCGATGGCGACGCGACCGACGAGGTGCGCGAGAGTGTGCGCCAACAGGAAGAAGAGATCGAAGCTAAAGTCAATTGGATCTGGAAGACCCTGTCAGCTTTCGAGGAAAAGTCCGCAACGTGCATCTCTGACATGCTGCTCCATGTCAGTAACGGAGCTTATGTTGACGGCGTCATGGCAGCTAAGAAGTTCATCGTGCACGTCGAACTGCTTTTTGCGGCTGCAGATGCGCTCGACGCGCAGTTAATCGTCAGGACGCCCAAAGGACTGACCTACTCCCGCGAATCCAAGTTACTCTGTAAGAAAGTGGTAGCCTTCTTTGCGCTTCTTACCCAGTCCCAAGGTACCGGCGTTCGACGACTGGGCGTGACCCAAGAACTGTTGTCACTGGTCACTGGTCTGGCCCACTACCTAAAGCTCCTCATTCGCATATGTCTGCAGGGTTCTCTAAAATTAGAGCGCGAAACCCGGAGCTCGACCGGTTTGACCAACTTCCTTACCCAAGTCAACTCACTCGATGCACGGTTGGAAGATGAGGCCCAAAGGGACCAGGCCGCTGAGTCCGCCCGGCTTGTCCCAAGATGGGCCGACGCATGTCCCATTTGCGATGCACAGGTCGAAGACAAGTGTTTACATCTAAACAACATGTCGTACAACTACAGCTGTATGGTGTGCCGTGGGTGCAATGCTGACCTGCGCCATAACACTCAAAATGCCTATTGGAGTAAATCCAAGCGAAGTATTTTCTGTCCAGCATGTGCTGCAGCGCAGCCAGACGCTGAGAATGGCTTCGAGCAAGTCACCAAACTGCGTCAATATGTACATCTACTGAACGTTGCGCATGCGCGCCTCATGGCGACTTTGCGATCCAGTGGCGCACTGCCACACACTTCAGGTAAGAAGAACTCTCCTATAGATCACACTGTCGCCACTCATCTTGACACCTCGACTCAGATTTCTGGAGCCGCTTCCGAGATTACATTCGTCCCACTAATGACTTGTAGATGATCCTAACCTGGCAGGCTATGATTCCACACAAGGACATCGCCTTGGAGATGATCCACCTCACTTACGACCCGACAATCGCTCCAAGTCGTATGGAGGGACATCAGCGACAGATAGCCAAAACAGCAACAATGCCGCATATGAGCAATCCATGTCTGATATCAAGCGCCTAAGATCAACCCGACTTGACAAGCATCTTTCCAACACCATGAAACGTGCGCGCCAATCGCGAATCATTGACGGTCCGGAGGGTCTCGGTTCTGGTGGAGACGGACAGCTTCCAGGAGGCATGCAAATCGTCCAGGAACGCGAAATTACGAACGAGGCCGACGCTGTAACACTCGCCGTAAATTCTCTTGCCCTGGACGATATCGCACGTATGGCCGCTTTGGAACAGCAACGAGAGCAGCGTCCTAATGCATTCCGTGCCGGCGGAAGCGCACTCCTAGGACGGGATGACCAGCCGAGGCTACAGAACGGCCATCGTCGTGATTTCTCTGGGGGTCAGGAACTCCAACAGATATCGGAAGGCCGCTCGCGGACCTACTTTTCAGAACTTTCGCCGCTTGAGTACTTCAAGCTGAAGGGTCTTGCGGTGCTTCAGCTTGGACTTTTGCTCGACGACAACCAGTACAACCAAGGCGATCTTCTAGATCTCATCGAATCGAAGAAAAACAACTTCTGGGGCAAAATTGGGTTCGGCAAAGCGTTCAAGGCCGACAAAAGCAAACCGAAGAAGGGCGTTACAGGAGTCGAGAAGCCGGTTTCCGACAAAGCAACCTTCAGACAATCGCTTGAGTACCTCGTCGAAAAATATGGCGATGAGTGCACGGAAGGTGTAGGACCGGGCGCTCTCAAGGTTCCAGCTTTGCTTCAGGATTGTATTACCGCGATGAGAAGTATGGATATGTCCATTGAGGGTGTGTTCAGGAAGAACGGTAACCTCAAGGCTCTACGCGAGCTTGAGGAGGAAATCGATGCCAACGGTGTTCAAAAGGTCGACCTCAACACCAAGAACCCCGTCATTCTCGCCAACCTTTTGAAGCGCTTCCTTCGATTGATGCCTGAGCCGGTATTGACATTGAAGCTTTACAGGCTATTCATGGTAGCTAATGGTAAGTTTCTCTTGATTACGCTCACGATGTTTGACTAATAGAAGCAGACATTGAGGACGAAGCGCAAAGAAAGAAAGTACTGCATCTAGTGCTTTGCCTACTGCCCAAGGCCCATCGCGACACCATGGAGGTTTTGTTCTGCTTCTTAAATTGGGTGTCGTCTTTCCACACCGTAGACGAAGAAACGGGCAACAAGATGGACACCTGGAATATCGCCACTGTGATGGCTCCGAACATCCTACGCGAGAGCAATGACAAAGAAGTAAAGAGCGTGGATCAGGGTGCTGTCAAGGTCGTGTTCGACCTCATCGAGAACAACGATGAGTTCTCAGAGGTATGTTGCATCGTCATTTTGTCCTTGTCCAACTCTAATGCAGCCAGGTACCCCCCGAAATCATGGAACTACTCAGCGACGAAGTGTCCGACATGAGCGCAAAAGAAATCATGCGACAATGGGAGCAGCGGGGAAAGAATCCTCTGTCGGCTCCTACGCCGTCGCCTAGGGACCAAACTGGCACTGCGTCTAGGAAAGACCAGCGTAATGCGCCTCAGATTACGACAGCAGACAACAACCCCTCGGCACAGGCTGGTGAGGCGTCAGTCCGTCAGGTCCCAGGCGCAGGCGCAGGCGCAGGTCAACCAATGCCTTCTGGCAGCAACCAGCACAGCCCTACCCCAGGATATGACCGGAGTGCACCTAACCCTGCATTCGCCCAGAACACTCAAGGTTCGCCTGACGGCCATCGCACTGCATCTCCTCACCGGCACAGCTATCGCTCGCCTGGCTTCCAAAAACACACACAGATTGGCACCGCGGGCGCTGGATGAGACACGACAACTCTCTTTTTGGGACTGTACCGGAGTACATGGCGTTGATTGCATGCACCGTTTTCATGGCTTGAGCGAAAAGCATTCAATGAGCGGTGATTCTATTCTATACCCCTGGCCGGAGTCTACGTTATGACATCTAGACTGGCCAGTCATCTTCACGCATTGGCTTAACATAAGTCTGACGACTGTTTGACTGCATTGTAGCATCATGTGCTGCTTGATGCACACTGGAGGGACATTTTTTGCAGCATTGATATGGGCGTTTCTGGGTAATCACATGTGCCATATATGATTTTGGCATTGTTTACGGTGGCGCGAACACGCGCGCGGGAATGCCTGTAGAGGAAAACGGTGGAAAGCGCCAAGAGTGCCTAGGTTGGGGACGGGTAGGCTTTGACGGCGAAGCTGCATGTGAGGCATATAAACTACTACTGTAGAGGCCGAGTACGCAGGTGTGGATAATGTATGGAAGTCGCCCGATGTAGTCTTCAAAGGCTTCTGTTGCCTGCCTTTGGTAGATGCTTCAAGGCCTCATGTAGGTATCTGATGATTCTATCCCCTCTCTTCACCTCATCCTTCACCTCCCCGTTGTTTTGATTACGAGGGACGCGCCTTCCTCATCTCCATCATGCGTGGCAGACACCACAATCTTAGCCTACCTTTGCAAGACTTATCTCTTATCGCCTGCGACAAACCCTTACTTCGGTCAACAGTTCTTTCTCTGCTCTTTCTGCATACACGTTGTAATTGTTACTGCTCACGTCTAAAGTGCATCGTTTCGCAACAGCACGTGTTGTTAAGTGCCTTAAGGCGACGCCTTCTCTTACCTGCTATAAACATGCTTATCTGTTGCAGCATTATACATCACTCTAAGATAGATTTTGCGACTGCCTAGGTCGTATTAAAGCTCTAGCTTAACAACGTAGACGCTATTCTAAAGACTTTGCCTAAAACTGACAAAAACAGTGCAGTCAACAGCGAACGAGTCGCATTTGCGGCGCTTGGCGATGAGCTTCTAAGGAAGTGGAACAATCTTCGCGGCCAGGCCTTCGCTCGCAACATTGTTCAAGAAGAAAACTCGAGTCGAGAGGCGTACAAGAAGCTCTTGAGCGAGGAGCAGCAGGCTGAACGTAAGTACACACGGCTTAGCCGTGCAACACCAAACCGTGCTAACACGATCGAGGCGACCATGATTTAGCTTGCAGACTTGCCGGCAAGCCCGTACCACAGCGCCTTGCAGTCCAGCACGCGCGCACTGTGTACAAGAACGTGGCTGACCAGAAGTCTGAGCCCGTCAATGATAAGACTCTCACAGACAAAAACCTCCACTCTGATCTCACTAGCATGCAAACGAAACCTTCAAAGAACGGGCTCTTATCTGGCAAAAAGCGTCTTGCCGAGCATGGTTTGAAGCCCGATCATGGGCTAAACAGCTTCAAGCGTGCGCGTGTCGAGGATGCAAAGGACGAAAACGATAACTCCGTCACACCGAACACGCGTACGACTACGTCTAAAAAGCGCACTGCTTCTCTTGATCCGGCAACACTCAGGGAAAACGAAGATGGAAGAACAAACCGAGCAAAGCTTGATAATCCGACAAATGAGTCTTTGCTCAGTGGTCATGATCGGAGTGCGCAGCCAGGGACCCTGTCCGCAACTTGCTGTTCTTGCCTGGACATGCATGCGGCGCGCAATATGCTTCAGCTCCCTTGCAGGGACGATGGCGATGTTGAAGCACATGCATACTGCCGCGAATGTCTCACTCGCCTTTTCGAGTGCTCTATAACAGATACTTCGCACTTCCCACCCCGATGCTGTTCTAAGATCATACCGATCTTCAATTGCATTCCATTCTTACCATCAGCAGTCTTCTCTAGATTCGTGGCTAAGAGAGAAGAGTTAGAGATGGCGGATCGCACATATTGCAGCAACAGGACATGCTCGAACTGGATCCGACCTGCCAGCATTGTAGCAGACATAGCTACGTGCGCAGAGTGTGCTCAGAAAACGTGTGTTACGTGCAAAAACGAGCGACATGATGGTCTCTGTTCAGAGGATAAGGATGTCAAAAAGCTCATGCGCATTGCCAAAGCCAAGCGTTGGAAGACATGCCCAAAGTGCAAAGAGATGGTTGAGCTTGAGCGAGGCTGCTTCCACATCAAGTAGGTGCTACATTATTGAAAGAGGGATCAAGCTGACAGTTCAAGGTGCCGCTGCCAATACGAGTTCTGCTATACATGTCTAGCCAAGTGGCGAACATGCAAATGTCCACTCTGGGATGAGCGTAGAATCGTTGATCGTCATATTCCCGCAAACAACGCCCCTCAAAATGTTGTCAACCTTGCCAATGCTGTTCCACCCATCCCTGTGGCCCGCCCGAATCCTCTTCCTGCTCAGCCAACCGTACGCGCTGCTCAGCCTCAGCCTCAAGTTCCGGCTCAACCTGCAGTTCACGTCCATAAGTTCGAGCGGTATTATCTTAGTGAAGGGCACGATACAATATGTGATCGCTGTGGCTTCATGGACAAATGGGCCGACAGCTGCCAGGGTTGTGACCTGACAATCTGTCGACTCTGCACAAAACATCGCCTCGGAAGGGGGACTGAGTCATGATTGTCTCGGACTCGGAACTTATCACACCCGCCATCGAAACAAGACTTGATACAACGTGGAATTTGCGGCAAAGATCAAGAGACTATGTGGGGATATTTCCATAACAATGTTTATCGTGTATGTATATTGAGCTAGCATGGCGTACGATACAAACCGCTTTGTGCTCTTCGATCATCCACTACCCTATAGAAACCTATTTCTTTACAGCAACAACAAACAACCTCGGATAACCCAATAGCACATTCCCATCCTCCAACGCAGGATACTCACTCTTCAATTTTCTCTCATACTCCTCCAAAAATTCCTTTTTCCCATCTTGGGTCTTAATTAGATTCAGATAGGGTTGCAAACCTGTTCCCTTGACCCATTCCACAATCGCCCCCGCATCCTTCAACACATGCATATAATTCGTCCTCCAAATGTTCACGTGACTTGCATATGGAATGAGCGCATTATAGAATGCTGACGGTGGCTCTATAGGATCGAGATCAGGGCGCGTGGTATCTGCCAGATCGCCGATGACGGTCGAGGAGAAAGAAGAAGACCAAGGCTTCTGAGTTTGGGATGCGACTTCGCGCATAGAGCGATGGGAGGGTTCGTGATAGTTGTCTGGTACTTGTATTGCTATGACGCTTCCTCTTTCCAAAGACTCGAATAACCGCACGAGAGTGGGTATGCGTTCTGGGGAGCGGAGCCAGTGGAAGACTGCGTTGCTGAAGAGTAGATCTGGCTTTTCATCCGCTTGGAACGTTGCTAGATCTCCGGATACGAAGTTCACGGCTTCTTTGTCGGAGAACTCGGCGTTGGCTTTTTCAAGCATGTCGGGTGAACTATCCATGCCTGTGATGCGTGCAGAAGGGAAGGCGTCGAGAAGAACTTTTGTGCTGTTTCCTGGACCACAGCCTAGGTCGTAGATACGTGGCTTTGGCCCGGCGATATGGGGTTGGATCTGGGCGACCAGGTCGTAGACGGCGCGGGTGCGTTCATTATTGAACTTGAGATATTGGGTTGCTGACCAGTCTTTCTTTGTGGATTCGGGGCTGGACATCTTGGGAGAGACGTGATATTGATTTGTGTGGGAAGGATTTCGATGGTAAGGTTTGCGTACTGTGTGCCGTGGGTTAAATGGATAAGTCAAAGTTGATACACTACGGAAATGTATCCGGCTGTGAGTCGTAATGAGGCGGGGCGATCGCAATGAGATGCAAAGTCCTTGGGAGGTGCGGAAAGCTGGTACATTCATCTTGTTCGACGAATTCAATCACTCTAAGAAAAGAAAATGATGTTGTCTGAGGGATTGAGCATGTACGAGATGTAAGACAAGCTCATGTAGAGTTCATGGTTGTGAGGCCTAGCAGCTAAGCTCAGCGAATCAGACGTCATGTGTGGGGTACATATCCAACAAGTGGGGCTAAGCTCCTGGCCACACATATGTCCGGGGCGTGCTACTGCCGAAGAGCTTTGTACCTTCCGTATGTTCATGCAACGTAATATGGTGCAACACGAAAACAAGGTGAGATTTGATTGATAAGCTGAAGAGAAAGCTGCTGCAAGGTGAACAACTAACGTTTTTCGCCAGACAAGGTGAGAAGATTTGAATTAGGTACTTGTACGTTAGACAAAATTTACTACGTAGCACTTACTTGAAGACACCATTTTCGACCGATATTCAAGGAGGCATCATACCTGGCGGGTTCTTACTCACACGACCCGTTCTGCCTGCCGTGATTTCTGGGTAAGGTATGGCGCCACCTTCGCTGTACTCAATCGGTGCATTGGGGTCGTCTGGTAGGCGCGCAGGTGTGCCGAAAACTTCCACTTTCAGTGTCTCGGCGTCGAGAAACGGAATGCGATCACCACGTTCCTTAAAAAGGTCAGTGTCGCTCGCTCATAATCTCTGAGGTCTACAAACTTACATCGTAGACGTTCCATGTGAGGTAGGAGCTTAAGTACGGTACCACGTCATTCGGATCCAGGCTGGACAACTCATTGGCATTAACTCGATCAACGAGATACGTCGTTATACTCGTTGTTCCGTTCATCTTGTTCTCTGGCTTTGATTGAACGTCCATGGTGCGCACATCGTCACGCTCGGGCATCAGCATCATCCAACTTCCCAAGTCGATTATAGGATTGGACTGGAAAATACCGATCAACGAAAAGCTTACCATGAACGTCGGGGGCACCCTGGATGCAATAGCTTGTGTTTCGATAGTCCATTCCGTGTACGTGTTGTTGTTGTCCAATAGTGCTTGTCCGAAAGCCGTCACATGTTGGGCGGTAACTTGGACTTGAGCTTGTGCGCGTGTACGTCCGCCATAAAGGTTCGTGATGGTCGCTGCGACGCTTCTCTGATATGCTTCGTCCGATGCAAAGTTCCAACGCTGTGTTTCCGGATACGCATAACCAAAAGTCGTAGTGTTGCGACAGTCGTTGAAAGTGAGGAACTGACCGGGTGATTTCCTGAACGGCACAAGTTCCGTGTCTGCACTCACAGTCTGGTAATCCTCGAGATACACATTGCCGTGTGGACCTATATTGGACGGTTGCATCCATCTATCAGGGTATGCTCCTTGGTATAACGCAAGCAATCGGTCGACGTTGCTAATAGATAACGTTAGCCGGACACCATTTTCGAAATGGAGCAAACTTACGCATGATGCAACATGAAGAGAGGTTCGTAAGATGAGTATTCTAGTGGCCACATGTGACCAGCCCAAGGTTCTTTGGCAGTATAGCCGCCACCAATCACACCGTGCATCCAACCATGTGGGTCTTCTAGTATACTTGAGAACCGTGAGAAAGTGCTGGATCGGAAGGCGACTCCCACTTGAACTATCAAGTTGGTGGACTGGGCTCTAAAGGCATCTACAAACTTGAGTTGCTGTGATGTCGCATTAGGGCCGTCGTTTTCAGGCCATCGTATCGTTGTGCTTATTTGGCGCCACTGCAGATATAGTCAGATAGTGTAAAATTGCTATCTCTTGCCTTAGGGTTAGCTCACCTTCATATCGAATCCTTCGGGTACAGGATCGAACGTGTATGAATATAGCGGGTTTGAAACCACAACTGGTGTGCGGTCTGTATCGATGATTGTCAAGTAGGGAGCTGTAAAGATATCTGGAACAGGGCCAGCGGTAGTACCCTGAGCCCAATCCCAATATGGTATGCGAAACTCGTTGGCTGCAGTGAGATATCGTTCCATCTGATCAGCGGGTGCTTGTCGGGCGATATCGAGAACATGTTCAGATAGTACTTGCTACGCTTGTTTAGTCTTTATCTTATCCAACTCTTGCAGAAAACGTGACGGTTGTGGGGATAGAATACTCACTTCGAAAAGCGCAAGGTATGGGCGGTGCCAGCCCAGGAACAACTCATTACCATGTGGACAGTAGCCTGCTTTGCCAATCTTGGATGGGATTCCTTTCGCATCTCCCCAAACCTCGTAAGGTCTGCCGTGTATCGCTAAGGAAAGAACTCAGCAAGCTGTAAATTACGCTTCTTAGAAACCATACTTACATGCGAGACCGTAGAACGAGTTGGGATTATTTTGCGGAGTTTTATGGAGCTTTTGAAGCGCCAATACGTAGAGACTCCATTGGTCTGGAAAGTTGTTCATCAGATCCCTGATCTCACGGCGAACATGAGCGTTTCCTATCAATGATCAGCGGTGATTCCTGGTCACGCAGCTTCGATGCCTCTCACCGCTTGCATCTCGCGTCTTCACTCCAGTGACCACCCCCACTTCAGATTGTTGGATCGCATGGCTAATCTTCTGCGTCGGAAAAGGCGTACACGTGACATATGCGATTACGAGCCAGAATAGAAAGCATCTAAATGGCCGTGGGACAAGCATGGTGAGTGGCTGTGTAATTTATTGAATGTGTTATCTGCGGAGAGCCGGTCAGAGGGAAACGATATGATATTTGAACATCATGGCTTGCAGTCCCTGCGTGATAAGGTACAGACTAGCCACGAATAAGGGTCATGTGGGTGAAGACTGAATGATGATCATAACGATGACTCCTAGTCTTGACGCAGGCGACGTGGAGGTCAGGAGTTAAAGAACAAAAGACAGCGTAGCAGAGAAACGCATCGGAGATTCGATGCGACATCTAGAAGGACGGCTAATAATAAGGTGTTGGTATTGGCCCTTGGTGTTGTCGCTTTGATGACGACAGGTGTGATAGCGATATTGTGCCCTGAACCAAAAACTCTGCTGGACAACACGCGATACACTTACCTTGTGACGGAGACTTGCGAAGAGTACACCGAATATCAATTATGAGCTGGTGTTGAAAGGAATGTTTTGGAAACCGCAACTTAGCAACAGGCTGACGGTACGAGGTGTGAGTTGTGGTTCTAGCCTCTTTATTAGCATATATGAGGAAGTGGTTACGGAAACCGCGTTGATGACTACGAGGGGACTGAAATGATTGTTAATGTTCTGGGAAATAGATTGGGAACGAGCGAATGTAAGCTCAAAGACGAAGAGACGTCGATGCGGAAAGTACTAGTTAGGGGCAGTGCTGAAGTGGTGAGATCGTGTGCTTCTGTCCGGCCATGGCTTTGTAGCTCCCGTATTCGGTTTTATTGAATTAGATACCAGGAGTACGGAGCTGTACAAGTTCGATATTCCCGTAGATAGCCATTGTGTGTTACAATCGGATGCATTACCATAAGCGAACTGACAGACTTTCGACTGCAGTGATAGTATACCGTGTTGGCTGTCAACGCCACACGGGGACCACATGAATACAGCCTGTTATGTTTGCTACTAGCCAGACGTTAATATCTTAGGCTTAAGGATTGGTGGTCAGTTACATCCGCGGATTGCTGCAATCAATGTTGCACGACGCGTGGGGAGATACGCAGCGTGTTGCGTGTATCGCGCGCAGCTACGTGTCCAGGTAACGGAGGCTGTTTAACACGAATCCCATTAGAACAATTCGATCAATGACAGTTTCTGAACCTTCTAGGTTTGCTGTTCATATTTCGTGCTGGTCAAGGTTAAACGAGCTGTCGACCTGCCCAACACTTGCTCTAAGACATCTGCTCATTGGAACCACCATAGAGTGGTTCGCACATATGACAGTGAAACGTTGCAACAAGCCAGAATTAGTTGATTGCTGATTTTAGAGGCTCTCAAAAAGACGCTAGTAAAGGTCATTCCTGCAGCTAGCCGTAGCTGACTGCGTTGCGTATTCCTATGCCGGTATCTCGAATCGGGCCGCCTGCGCGGAACGCCACAATAGCTCTTCAGTCGTCTCGCTCATGACATCGTGTGTATCATCAAAGTGCCATTCAATTCACTGGCGCTAGTCTTTCAAACCTTCAGATATCGTTGTAACCAAGAAGTCTCTTGTCCAGATCCTTGTCTGCGACCGCCCACGCCCAGGCACGACCTGCCTCGCCACACCATAGTGCAGATGGATCGTCCGACTTCTCCAACATACCATCTTTTGCCATTGACTTGATTTCGTGGCCTGTGGTATAAGTCAGGAAGTGCTCAAATTGCTTGCCGTCCAAAGCAAGAGCATTTCCAGTGATTCCGTGACAAATACAGGGCTCCTTGGTCAAGAGGCCTCTCTCCCAGATGCACTCCCTGGCCTTGGCGATAACTCTGTCAATACGTTCGTGGAGGCCTGGGAAATATTTTCGAATCGAGAAAAGAGAAGTGACTACACCAGGCGCTCCATGGCAGACTTGTACGAGCTTGTCACGGCCTGGCGGCAGAGATGATGGGAAGTTGCCGCTCTCATACTGATAGCTGAGTAAGGCACCCAGTTCCGCTTCCAGCTTAGATGCCCATGAAGGGTCAGTAAGCACGATCTGTGTAATGATACCGATCGCGCCATGCACGGCACCAACGTATGCCTTCCCATGCCATTTCCAGGGTCGCGGGCTTTGCATGATGTTCTCGATGACCTCATCGGCGGTGTCCTCAATGAGTTCGATAACGTCCTTGTTATGGGCAAAAGCTCCACGTACGAGGCGAAGGAGATACAGATATCCAGCACGACCAAACAGCCATTCGTTGGAGGTGTCATCCTCAAGCATGACGGCAGCATGATCGCAGAGCTCTTTCACCGTGTCTGGGTCTTGCGCAGTCACGGCGTACAGCGCAAGCAGGGACATGATGTCGTTGGAAATGCCGCATTTCTTGGGAGATGGCGCTGGAAATTCCTTGATATGGGCCTGTGCTTGTTCAATGTAAGCCGCAGACCATGTGTTCAAGGGATATTCATCCAGTGTAAGGTCAGGATATATGTTGTGCAAGGCATAAAAGAGGTAGGCTACTGATATTGGTCCATAATATAGGCCACCACCTGGAGGAATATGATGCGGAGGATAGTCCGTGATCAGTCGGTCCAATGACGCTAACAGTTGCTTGTGAGGATCTCGTCGTGCCAGAGGCGCATCATTTCGAAAATAGCGGGGTATCGAGGCAGGTGCTGCTTGTGTTGCCGGTGCTGCAGGCGGCGCAGCGTCTTCGGACATGGCGATGGGAATATATCGAGGCGAGCTTTGTTGAATCTCTTGATGGAAAAGGAACGGTAAAGTTGGCGCAGACTTAGGTATGCGCGAGTGACGAAAAGGTATGAGATCGTAGGTGCCCAACTGTGACGTCAGCGGGGCTCGTCTTCTATGATTGGTTGGCTGCGGTATACGCAACTGGGAAGGATTACTAGTAAACATAACACCATGGTGCTTACGACTCGTGATGTGAGTATTGGAAAAGTCAACACGAGAGTTTTCTTGTCATCGCTCAGCACATGTTGTGCTGAAGCGGCATTTGCATTATCTTTCCTCAAACTATGTACTCCAACAACCAGTATATGGCTTCTTCGCTATCCGAACGATGCGACCTTGGATGAACCGGAGGGGCTATCATGTGGTCTCTTCTCTGGAAGACAACGCTGGGTCAGCCATTCAAACTCCGGCCATGACCTCTGGTGTCTGGCTTGACCACCCACGTCTTCGTTGATTGTTGATACGCAGCGTTTTTACATACAGAACCGGGAACCTACATCTCACTATTGCCATAGTGCACATATGGTCTAACCGTGCGAAGAGTTACCTGGCCACGGCAATGGCTCAGCAGGAAGCTCAGCGAGATTTCCGACAGAGCCGTTGTAGCGATGTTTGTCCCGACCTATCTCTCGACTGTCTAGTTGTGCGAGATCATCTTGTTCTGTTATTGATTCTGCTCTGTAAAGTGCGGCTATCTTTTGCTGAAGCTGTGAAGATGCTTTGCCTGAATGATGTTAATATCGTGCATAGTGATTGGAACCCAATGTATTGACTCACTCGTTAACTGCGGTGTCATGTCGCTGCCAACCAATGGGGACGGATAATCTGGCGCTTTGTATATCTTGGTATGCCTTCTTTTCCTTACATATAGCAATACAGCGATCAACAATAGACAAAAGACCGTAGCACCCAGCACCGCACCGACGATAACCGCTACAGGCGAATGTACGTGGCTTGTCATTTCTGGTGCGTCACCAGATGGTGTTGCTGTGGTCAAGGTACTCTGTGTGACAGTCTTGTAAGATGGCTCCGCTAAGCTGAATGTAATATCTGAATCGAGAGATGGTGGTGATGCTATTGTAGACCTCGACGGAGACCCTGTCATGGTGGGCGTGGCCTTCGAAATTGATGTGATTGGAACGAGAGATGGTTCTGAGGCTGTATATCGTCAGCTTGAATTACCATGTAACATGCTGTGTCAACCAACATCGTCCTGGAGTTCGGTCCTTGTCGGCAGGACAAGTACTACCTGGCATGCATGGATCTATAGTGCAGCAACCACGGAAACCATTGCACATGTAGAACACGCCCCCCACTGGACAGTCATCAACTCTTCGCCGAAGTTCTGGTATCATGGTGTAAAGTTTGGTGTCTTGGTCGATAGACGGCGATGATAGGATCAGAATGAACAGATATGTGAGAACGACTAGAAGCACAATGAAGCCTCATAGACATGTTTGCAGCAAATCATCATCTAAACACAGAGGCAGTGCTGTGGGCCACCGCCCAATCTACGCAAACAAAGCAGCGCATGGCAAGGGTGCTCCTTCGATGCGCCCCCACGTGAAACGTGCTGCCCGATGCAGCCATGTGGTCAAAGGATTTGTGAAGCTGCGCCCCGTAGATCTAAAGTCGTTGAACGGGAGCTAAATGTATCTCGAGATGCCGCGCCGTGCGATGTGTCGATGGACCGAAGAAGCAGAAGAAGGGGCCATGGGGTGCTGTGCCCAGCCTCTCGCGTAAGAGACCAATGACGCCATCACCGCCTCACAAACTCCCACTGTGGACAGCTCAGCTACTCTCCCAGTCTTCGTTGATCTACATCACTCGTCGAGACTAACCGGATGGCCACCCGCGGTGTTAGAGATTCAGATCGACTTTGTAGACGCGTTGTCGCTCCTTGTTGACAGCATGGCTGTGTTCTCCGTGACAAAGCTTATCATCTTTGAGAGATGGAGCACTACGCGACCTCGCTTCAGATCTGAGGGAGGTCATAGAAATGCTAATTCACGAAAACAAAGTTCTTTTGATATTGCAGCTACTAACTATAGGAGTCTGGCAGGTTGACGCGATTTCAGATATTATAAACAATCTTCTCGGCACTGACAGGCCGCATCCACGGTTCAGCGCGAACTTTTCGTCTTTCTTCCATACCGCCTGCACCGAGCAACTGAAAGCCATCACGAACTACGCTTCCTAAGCCGCCTGGCATCAATCTGATCGGATTTGGGCTCAGCTTGGAAGCTATGGATTCGCCGAGCCACGCGTAGAACGCTACTGCGAACCCACGAGCAGCCGGTGATCGTCGTACAGTAAAGCCTTGGTACTGAACCTCTTCGCCCAATGCCTCCCACACCGCACCATAAATGGGTTCGACAGAGGTATTGTGCGGCTTCCAAGCTCCACCTTCACGAGATCGGACGATGGCTATCTTCCCACCACGTGCGAGGGTCGAACAGGTACGCTCGACGGACCTAGCTTCAGAAATACAGTCGAATGCATAGTGTATTCCAATGCCGCCAGTAAACCCTCTGATTTGCTCTGGCCAGTCAGGGTCTTGGTAATCAACGAGAGCGTCATACCCGTATGGCTCTGCTTTGAGAAGCTCCCATCGAGCCTCGCTAGCTGCGCCGTACAGCTTGATAGCTTTGCCACTCGATTTCGCACTGAGCCGTATCATCTGCGCCGCAAACAATGCGACTGATGTAGATGCACCATAGACGAAAACGTTGGTTACATCCGCTTCGTCCCATCGGTTCTGTGCGGCGTATTTCCACTCTGGGTGCTCTTGGAAAATTTGCTCGCGATCATACGCAAACGGCGCTTCCATCCCTAGCCGGTACCATATTGCTTGCGCAGACGTAAGGGCTACAAGGCTTACACCCGCAGCTTGCTCCAGAGTCACCGACTTGGGTACCTTCCATACTAGATCCCACGGGACCACAACAAATTCTGCAAAGGCACCCGGTCGTTCGTTGACGCTGCAAGCACCTTGCAGAAAACCAGCGACCTCGTTTCCAACATCGAGATCGGCTTCTGAGGGTACATCACCGCCAATCTGGATTATGGTACCCGCAAAATCGCTCCCAATCGTCCGTCCAGAATTACCCAGCGGATGCGCGACATATAGTGGGTCAATGGGATTGAGCGCAATCGCCCTTACACGAACCAGTAGTTCGTTCACAGCAGGCTCTGGCCAAGGTACGTCACCGATATACGCTGTTCGGTCCTCTGCGGCGAGTATGAGGGCTTTCATAGTGGTTCGCGTTGATTGGTTGGCCGGTTGGTTGGTGTTGTCTTGAGTGCGGTTACGCTAGTTTATAGCAGTCTGGAGCGGTGGATACAACCATCAGTTTTCAGTTTGCTGCAGTTTTCTCTGGCTTTGAACGGAAGCATCTTATTTATGGAAGTGGTGCATGTCAGTTGCAAGGGCGTGGATGACTAACATATGCATGGTAAGCGATAGTCCCCGCCCTGAATTACGTCTTCCAAGGAAGGTTACCCTTACCAGAAACCCAAAAGCGCTTAGAATCGCAAAATCGTTAAAGATCAAGCCTGAAGATCACGGGACGCTGCTACCTTGGTTCGAGATCTTGATAGGGTCTCGGGCGACCTATCAAAGGCAATATGATACAATCCCACGTTCTGAGTTAAGGAAAAGCCCTAGGACTCATTTGTGAGCCATGGTAATGTGATCAAAACTGTGTATCGCCATTGATGACTTCCGTGGTAGGTCTGCCAACAGATTCATGGACGGTCGCAGGCTGCGCAACACGGAGTATATAAATGGAATCTCTTCCAGATGGATTTTTTCTCTTCAACTACAAACCTTTTCCATTCCAGTCGCATAGTCTTTACGCAAAATCACTTCTACTAAGCACGCCATTATCAGCATGGAGTCTAACAACATCTGCGGCAAGGTCCTTTCCAAGGCCACAGCACAGCACTACCTCGAACTCACGCTAAGCCTTCACAACCTCATCATTTTCACACTCGACAGTGACAACAAGTACTGTCTAGCAAGCCAAAAGCAAGATACTTGGTCCCTCCGCTCTGCTCGTCACCCAGACCCCCTGGACGAAAACATTTCAAATATCAAGAGCAGAATACATTCACGCCATGTGGGGTTCTACGAAGACTGGAAAGAGATCAAGTATGAAGCCGCATTCAAGTGGCCTGTTTCCGAACACGCAGGCTCACTGTGGACGATATTCGCAAGAGCCATGGATCAAGATAGACCAATCTACGAAATGAGAAACTGGTTCTCGCACGACTTTGGTAAGCGTGGTGGCACTCTTGAGGTGGAGAACGAAAAGTTCAACGAATTGAAAGAGGCATATGAAAGTCTTCTTCCAGGTCTTACTGAACTACTAGCGAAGCTTGAACTAGCACTCCAGGATGAGGCGGCTTGGGTGTCGGAGTCCAAGGTCAAGGCTAGGAAGTATGAAGAGAACCAGCCTGAGTATACCAAGGATACGATGGTGGTTCAGTTGGAGCTTGTGGCACGTCAAGAGAAGTTTATCGCGATGACGAAGCGCATTGAGATCGATGACGCCGCTGAACCGGAGTGGGTTGTGAAGGAGGTTGAAGTAGAAGAAGAATGGGTTAGTAACACAGAGGAGGGTGTGATACCATGGGCCAATATTGGTGAAGTCAACGGGAGTCTTTGGGACTATGCATCGAACACGGACGAGGACTCGTCAGAGTGCACCGAGGATTTTCCGGCTTCATCATCGCAAGACCCTGACGACTGGGCATACGACTCTGGATACGAAGATGACGAGGGGCTCCCAGATCGTTTGTGCAAGGCTTCCGTGAAGGGGGAACCATCTCATGTTGTTATTGATGCCTTCCACATCCACTAGCGTACTACCTATATAGCTAGCATCATCCGTAGAATCAATCCATCACTCATATATTCCAACATTCCGCATCCGACGCCGGATACATCAGCGCGACAATATCGCACCACGGGGACGAAACTACATTTATGACAACAAGGCTCGGCCCGTTAGCGGCACACAACTTCCGACCTCCTCACTCTACCTGAGAGCGGTTTGTGGCCTTTGCGCAACTGTCATCCCTGTCTAGTCTGTTTCAAGATCGGCCAGACCGCAAATTTCCGAGAACTGCGTAACTTGTGGTACGTGGATGTGGATCTGGTAGTCCTTCTTCATGTTATGGGAAAATTGATTACCGTGAGGGATGCGGCAAGGGATGGACTTCGTGTTGAGCTTGTATAAGAAGCTTGGTCGCTGTGGCCAAGAGATATTGCCTCATTCACCACATCACATCTTGCATCTTGACAACCTGCACGTTGATCGAAGTTACCTTCACGATGATGTTCTCTCAGTACTCCGTCGCGACCGTCTTCATGCTGGTAACAGGCATCACTGCAACACTAGACCCTGCGACTTCGAACACAAACGGCAGCTACCCTTCAGCTCCCAGCTGTTCACGTATGCTTCACATCTGTTCACCACATGCCAGCATAGAGGCTAACAATGAATACAGCCATCAAGACCAGCAAAGCTATCCAAGCCGCCGAGTGCAGCCACAACACACGCACATCCAAGCAGACCTTCGCCGTATTCACTCAGGACCACCAGTACGATGGCAACCACGGCTGGCCTTATGGAACATGCGAAGCATACAACTGCGCGCCAGGATCGGCGATGAAGGCCAAAGCCGGTACCTGGACATTCTTCTGGGATGCAGCAGGTGTGAAGGGTGAGGAGAGCGGTGACGGTGCGGGATGCATCAAGAGCCCTAAGGATAGCACTTGCGGATGTGAGAACTCCGATGGTACCTTCATCTACAAGGGAACCAATTGCAAGTAGTCGAACTGAGAGTCGCTATTTGAGGTTGTTAGCAGACAACACATTTTTATCTCATTTGACTGTATATAGTTCCGCAGCGTCGCAAAGATGATTCTTATCCAGCCTAGAGCTTCTTGTCCATGGATTCTCCAGTGACACCATGTGTTCAATTTATGTTCATGGTTTGATGTCTCTTCTCAAAAATCAATGTACATGAAGACACGACGGTTCCGTTTTGGCTGCCTTCGTACACTTCGAATAAGACGAGACAAGCTTACAAAAATTCCGAACCGTTTTCTTTGGGCGCAAGAAAATTACATGAAGAATCTTCAATGTTTCAAGTGCTTGAGGACTGGAACTTCTGGGTAAACCAAAGAGTAAGAGGCCACATGCAGTACGGTTCTATAGTGACTTGATAATTTAGCTCTCAATCTTCACATGAACTTTTGGAATTCACTAGCTAGGCATAAACAAGCCAAGATAGAACTTATGAATTTGACATGCTCACTCGGGTAGCCCAGCATACGTCGATGATTTCGTAGCTCGAATCGACCACCTTCCGAAATAGATAGTCGTTCCACTTCATGAACGATGCATAGTCATGTTTTGATAATAGTGGGCGTCTCTACAGCATGGTGTTTCTCATAGAACTTTGGCACTCGGTCCACAGAACCATGGGCTTCTGATTCTTGTTATTTGATACCGTCATCTGTGAAGAAATAGCGTAATCCGATTCGGCGAGTCGAAAGTCGTTTTGCGGGAAAAGGTGGGCAGCGAGCATGATGGGTTGGTTTTTTGCTTTTTGGTGGATCGAAACACGTATGGTGAGTGATAGATTCTTCGTCCTGTGAATCAGTGGTTTTATATACGACAGCGTAGTAAAGCAACTCAGACGCTGAACGGAAGAACATGAACCTCCAGCCCGATGGTTTTGAAAGCAGAAGATGTAGTGCAGGATTCCCATGTCCCATCAAATTGCTCAAAGAGTTCGTTTCCGCATAATACTCATGTTGAATTTTGATACGCCGGCCACAATAAATCTCATGAAACTAATCGCATATCTATTTTGGAGATTTTGACTGAAGAAAGGCAAGACAGTCATGACTTGGTGCTGATCATATCTCGCGAGGCACCGAACAGGCGGCAGACATGATAACAGCTTGTGAAGTTTTTGATGAACAAGATGTAGCAAGTGGTTTGTAGTCAGAAAGAAGAGAATAGGGGCTTGAGGCCTTTTATGTAGACCCGCCCGAGGAGGCTAGCAGGCGCAACCATGCATCATGGTGTGTCCGAGAAGAATTTCGAGCGCGAAGGCCGAACGAAGTGTGGGTAAAACTAACCAAAGCTAGCAGCTCTTTACTCTAGACGCAGTTACAAGTTTGAATCCAGATGTCGTATCGTTCACGCAAATCCCATCTATCATTACCAGTATTTCCAGCACGTGGTCATACAAAATCTATCCCTTCCTGCATCCTATGTACGATAATACGCACCATACACAGCAGCTCGTCCTTAAGCCTCGGGTATCTTTCCCCTCATGCCCGGGGGCAGCAACGCATCTGCCTTCCTCGCAGCTTCGACCTCCTCAGCCGTAGGCTCTTTCGGTACATCAACTATGACGCTTGGATCTTTCGAGCGCGAGGCTAGCATGGCTGCGCGTTTCTGGTGATATGTCAGCTCAATGATGTCTAACTCTCTGTCATGCCCTGAGGTAGTCACAACGTAAATTACGCCAGTTGGACGACTTATGCGCATGGGTATAAACATACCTCCCTAGCATCTCTACCGAGATTCTCGCCCTCGCCGAGAAACTCGGCATCGATACCTTCTTCATCCGGCGACCGCATAGAGCCCCGAACTCCATTTTCCTCTGTCGTACGTCTCCTCAGTTCCTCTGGGGTCACTTCGCCCCCGTCCAACTCGACAGGCGCGTCATTTATCGCAGGTGTGTTCGTGTCGATGAGCGGCGTTTGGGTGACGACTGCTGGACTAGTCTTGTGAGGGAAGGTGCCGCTTCGTGAGACGGGTGAGATAGGGTCGGTGCCCGGCGGAGGAGGTGAGAAGCCGGTCGCGGTGAGGACGGGTGGAGACATGGTAGGTGAATTTGACATGGTGAGTACGGAGTGATCGGGTGCTAGACCGTTGTTCGTGGTGTAAGAGGTGTTGTTACGGGTTCTGCAGGGACATGCGCAGCTCTCAGCCTTCAGCCTGGAAGATGGCGGGGGTGAATGACGCGTGAGAGGAAGATGGTAGAGACGCAGGAGGCACAGCTGCTACGGGTACAACCCAAGGCTGAGGCGGGTAGCCGTCGCAGCCTCACGGCCAAACAAAGGCCCGCGAGCGCGTAAGCTGTCGTGACTGCGATGACGTTTGCCAGGCCGTGATCCAGGGTCCAGCGGTTCAAGTGGGGCAGGAACGCGGCAGCTGGCCGGGGTCGAAGCTTGGTATGGCCTTATCGTATCGCGCTATATCTGGATACGAGTTGAGGCAAGACAACTAAAAGAGACAAGTTGGTCAGGTACAAGTAACGGACACGCCAAAGTGGATTTTTCGTTACAAGCGCAAAGGCTGAGCTGAGTTCATTTATCTTCTCGTCGCGGGGCACATGGCTTGCTGCGCCTCCTTCCGTCCGCCTATACTTCCCTTTCTTAGATCAACCAACATATGGGGATATCTGGTAACTCCGCCGTCTTCGGCTTTGGAAATCCACAGACCATGCAAACAATATAGTACGCTCAAAATACATTTTCATGTCCTCATGACCCATACCACGAATAACGTGAGTGCGTGAACTACGAGTTCGATCGTTTAGGTAGCATGAAACCCAGAGCATACCCTTCACCAGAGCTCGTCTTCGGATCAGCCTTGTTGCTGTCAGCCATCAGAATAAAGCAGTAAATGTGTGAGACAGTACTTACGCCCATATAGACATCGTGTCCAAACACATTTGTCCGAGGTCCTTGCGCAGGCTGCTGGTTCGGTGCTGGCCCCGTGGTCGGCATTCCTGCTTGCTCAGTTTGCATAGGCATATTGCCCAGGTCCATAGGGAAGAAGTTGTTCGTCGACTCGATTCCTGGACCCTGGATGTAAGAATCCCATGCGTCCTGATCTATTAGCAGACTGTCTTTATCCAAGATCACTCTGAATACGTACCCAATTGATATTGTCTGTCGGCGGAAGATCCAAGTTTTGAAAGAGGTTCGCTCCAAAGAGATTTGAAAAAGGACTTGCTGCGTTTTCTGGCCCCGCTGTTCCGCTTGTCGGCTGGTTGTATTGGGGTGTCAGGCCCGTTGATGCTTGAGGAATAGGGTCGTTTAGTAGATTGGCCATTCCTGCCGGATATCGCTGATCAAACATGTTAGCATTAGGCGTCATACCGCCCGTGCTAAGCAAGCCCAGGGTCATTGCTGCCGAATGTTCAGGTGCGACATTGGCATCTTCCATTGGTGCCATTGCGGGGTACGCCGAAGAAGCTGCTTGGAAGCCGTTCGGTGCTTGCCTTGCTGATCGACTCTTCTTCAACTGGTCCAACATGACGCCGAGTGTGGTGTGCGCTTTGTATGCTTCCATAGAGTGATCCTTGAGCCCGTCCCAAATGCCCACTGCTACCTCTATCGCTTCGAGCATCTCCTCGCGCCGATCTGAACTCCACACAAGCGTGTCTGCTGATGGCGGAGAACGAGCCGACCCTTCGCGCGCAGTGTGGTAGAGGTCGGACGATATGATCATTGCAGCGAGAAGGAAGTCGACGGTGGTCAACGACGAGATAAACCATTTGACATTGCGTAACCGACCGCCAGCCTGACACTCCCTGTGCAGAGTCGCTTGGTGCTTGAGTAGCATCATCGAGGCTTCAATGACAGCTTTTCTGGAGTAAGCAAAACGCGATTGCACTCTCGCATAAGACAAGTACTTCCGATGGAGGACGCATATTATCTTGAGGAAGAGGAGGTCCAATGTGAAGCGTTGCATGATCAAAGTAGAAGGGTCGCGTGCCGCTTCATCCATTCCTCGCATCTTGAGATGCGGCGAAATGTTGTCGTGCAACTCTCTGGCCTCCGCGTCGAGCTTCATAACCTCCTCGTACGACGCGCACGTCAAGGTATCTGTGCACTCGACTGCTTCCCCAAGCTTGTAGACTAGCCTCGTTCGATTGATCAGGAAAAGGGTCGGTGTAGCTTCCGTTTCTGGCCTCGAAGGAGGCAGTATCTTCATGTCTTTGTGCAGTTCATCATCGTAGATGTTACGGGGTATCTCGGTGTTTGTATCTCGCGGTCGGACGATTGGTGGTAATCCAGCCTGGGCTGAAAACAACAGATCGCATGAGCGTACCGCAGCCCAGATACGTCTCCGCATCTCCCCTTGGAACACAGGTATGCCGGGATATGGTCCTGGATCTCGATGCAAACCCATTCGCATTGCAAGTCGCACGACGATGCCTGTGCTAATCAGAATACCCACTTCTGCATCCCTACTACGGGCATACTCAGCATGGACGTGCAAAAGCAGGGTCTCCATCATACCCGTGATGGGCTGTGTGATGTCCGCCATGATCAAACATTGCGCTGTCAAGTCGCCATATTCCCTTGACATGTCCCAAGACTTATTATGGTACTCGGGCGGCTCATCACCAGCTCGCGTGTACGACTGCAGCGCGATGCACATCATGGCGAACACGGTTCCAAGCCAGATGACGGGCGTCTCTTCCGGTTGTGCCCAATGTCTATCGTACTCCTCTTGGAACGTCGGGCCATGTATGATGTGAATGCCAGGATCGTATGTGTTGAAAAAGCGCGAAACGAGGAGATCGGCTGTGGGCTTTGGCGGGAAGCGCGATAGAATTTCGGCCTTGGAACTAGGTTTCTGCCCACCCATCAAGAAGGAAGTACCCGGTGGTCGATCTTCGACATGCGTCGCCTTGTATCGCTTGAGCTGATCTTCATACTGTTTCTTGTGCTCGGCGAAGTAATTTTTGACTTCTGACAATTCACCCAATATTGCATACCAATGTGCTTCTGAGGCAAATATGGTATGGTTGTTGTGCACTTTCATGACTCCAATCGACTTTGTGACAGTCTCCATATCACTCTCTTCGTTCACGTCTTCTTCGGGTATCGATTCAGGCGCGCCGGTGCTCATAGCGGTGATCATCGGGCTGGCATCGAACTGCTGATCAGGGCCAGCATTGCCCAGACTATGTGCGATAGCGGCTTGAGCAGCAGCAGGTCCAGCGCTCTGAGCGCCATTGGTCATCAGGGAAAGAACCAGTCCTTCAAGACGATCAATGCGATTTTGCATGTCATCGGGCGTAGTTGCAGAGCCGGTGCTCGCTGAACTCTTCTTGCGGTTGCCTGGGGCAGCGTACGTACATGATGCCGTATCTCCGCGCTTGGTGCAGTTGTCGCAGGGATGGCCTCGATTGCATTTCAGCCTACAATTGTCAGCATACGACGATCGTCTCTTTTCGTTTGAGATGTATGCCTACTTTCGATGCCTGCATGCTCCACAGGACAAAGGAACGCGATTCCGTTTGCGCACAACTCTGAATTGTGGATCTGGCGGCGAGTGTCCTGCGCTGGAGGAAGTTGTTGAAGGTGGTGTTGGCGGCATGGTTGCGATGGTGTCGCTCGCTGGTGTGATATGAATTCCACGGAGAATACGGACTTAAGGGTTAAGTCCGTTTGAGATGAATGATGAAATCTCACGCGTTGGTGGCCGCCTGAGACGCAAAGCCAGGGTATTCTGTGGTCCAGAGTCGTCTCGTGCAGATCCGGTCCGTCGCTAGTGGGCGCGTTGCAGAAGAGAGTGTGTCGAAGGTCGCAAGGTGCGCGATTGTGCAATCGCGGCCTTGTGCGGTCTTAAATCTTCGGGAACTGAGCTATCTCCAGGCGCCAAGTGGTATGACTCTGAGGCCTGGGGATTGAAATGGCTGCACTGCCCTGGTGTTGGCTTGTATGCGCTCTGCTTGCGCTCTCCAGCCCGTGTTTGACGTCAAGTACAACACACCTTGTGGCTCCCTTTCTGTGGGTATGTCGCCTGTGGTGCACGAGCGTATGCTCAGAGGTGTTTGGGTGTTCGCGGTAGGCTAGCCCTCTCTGTGGTGGCTGCCCACGGAGTGCTTCCTCCTGCTGAGGGGAAGATGCAGCTTACGCAATGGGCGATCGAGCGCGCAGTGGACGATATGTGGTATAGTGCTGTACCGAAGACTTGTTGACGCCTACTAATCTTTGTCAGCAGCTGCCCAATGCCAAAACCATGCGCTGATTCGCACTTTCTCACATAGGCTTGTACGCACCACCAGCTCTCTCGTCGAACGCGCCCACCTCACGATAGCACGCTCGCACAGCGCAAAGTAGTCAATTGTCGCGCAGTTGATATGCGCTAGCTTCGGCGACAGCTTCGGCGACTCGGATACCGCCACGCTGAAGAGTTTGGAAGGGGTTGTTGCGGTGTTGTAGTCGAAGACTGGTACAGACGTGGAGAGAATTAGGCGGCCTTTAACTCCGACCACACTCAACCATCATCGCCAAGATGTCCTGCGACATGCCATCCTTCACCAAGTCACTGTCGCGTAGGCCCACCGCAGCTTTACTGATACGCGCGATGTCTTTCACAGTGGCGACAAAATCTTCGCAGTTCCCACCATCTCCAAAGCTGAAGCCTCCTCATGCTTTCTTCCCCATGTCAGGATTCCTCGTGATTGCGCTTCCCCCAGGCGGGGTCGGGCTAGCCCACGCTCAAGCCACCTGCTCACCAGCGCCGCCTTAATCATCCGCCGCCTCTCCGGGTCGCGCTCGATGGAGCACGAGATGGCCACCAAAGTCTATCTACGATGGTGATGAGACAGGCGTTTGTAGACAGGACCTGTCGTCGGCAAGCTAAGCATGCATCCTGCAGAGCCTTTTGAGGTCAAGCTCATAGTCAAGCTTTCCGTTGTACTTAGGCGATCGTCTCTACTCTTGTGACAAAATCTTGTCAAAGTTATCACCGGAAAGAGATAACTTCGATTGCATACGTGGGCTAGATCATGATGCTAACGTTTGTTCGTTTTAGTCGTCAAAATTACCTGAACCAATCCTTATAGTCCATTAAACTCTATTACTTGCTCCAGCGCCATCAACAGGAGCACTTTCAGCCTCTATGGTTTCCGTCGCCGTCGACCAGGGCACCATCTTCTCAAGCTTCGCGTCCCACTTGTGCACTCCCCCAGTGCCGACATTGTACTGGTAGTAGTTTTCCGTACCACCTTTGATCATCGCCTTCCTGAAGGTAATGTTGATCCTCCCCTTGCCCGCCTCGGGGCCTGCGCGCTTCGGTATACTGTGAAGCCAATTCGCTTGCGTTTTGCCACGCATTAATACCATATCTCCGGATCCCAATGGCAGCTTGATTCCCTTTGGCTCTTCTACCACAACACCCTCTTTGGGAGGGATAGGCTTGTGCTTCATCAGAAAGTCGCGCTTTGCGCCAAGACTGAAAGATGCGATTGCTGGGTTGGGGCCGAGAAATCTCTCATCATCCGAGTGGTACGATATACTGTCTTTCCCATCCGCGTAGTAATTGACAAGGCAGAAGTTGAACGTCTCGTCAGTGGTGCCCTCCGTCACCTTTCTCAGTTCCTCCAAACACTGTGGAATCGGACGAGGCGCGCACTTGTATCGGTTCTTCTCAACTGGCATCCCCGTCTTTGCATCTACGATACTACCGTCGAGGGCAAAGCGGGACGTATCATCAACACCGAAGACGGTAGTGAATCGTGGAGTATTGATCTGAGTTTGCACTCCTCCGCGGGTGATTTTGTACTGGACACGGTAGAACGGGAGTTCCTGTCGAAAAAACTCAAAAAGTCCCAGTGCGATGCCCGAAGGGACATAAGGCTGATAGTACACGAGGTCCAGATCCAGCTGATCATTCATGATCTTCCCCTCCTCGGCAGGAGCGAACCCCAACTGCTCCACGAATGAAGTGGGCAGGTACGGAATGGCCAAGGGGTAGGATGCATGGCTAGACTTTTGCGAAGTTGCTTCATATTTGGGTTTCTTGGGCTCAGGACGTTTGAAGAAAGAATCGAGAGCACCTCGCTTCATGATCAGGGGTCTTACGTGCACGGTGTGCCACACCCGAGCAGGTCTTCCTCCAAGCACAGCTCGACTGAACAACTTTGATACTCCCCTTGCGATACACAACACTTGGTTTTGCCCCCCAAGGCACCTCGGCTTCGACGAGTGAAATCTGCCGCAATGGATGCGGAATCTCCCCAATATCTCCAGTTGAGATACGCTGAGTTGAGGATAAGCGTGTTAAAGCGCTTTGAAAGATGAGATTGACGAGCTGCTCCAGCGTGGCGAGACAGTTAAACAGGGACGAGTACTTTAGCGTATCGTAAGTTTCGTGCACGACGACTGTGAATTTGCCAAGCTCTCTCAAGAACGCGATCGCAAGGTATCGAACGGCGAGCCTTAATCTGATCCAAGTCAAATGATGAAGAACGTGCTGTGACAATTGTCGCGACGCGTTCATTAGCTGATACTACGTTAGTACGTCGATGACGTATGTGACTGGTCTGCACAGACTTCAATCTGATTGGCTCATCCTCTACAATGATGCGCTAGGGGTTGGAGGCCCGCATAGCGATGGTGAATAGTCATCTTATTCAAAAGCCTCGTGTCGAGCACAACCTCTGTTTGTACTACTAATCAGCCCTCCATCTTTACGCCGTTGCTGTAGTTACTGATATCACGGACAGAGATAGTAGTGATCAGCTATCGGGCAGCAGCTGTCACTATGGCATTGGAAGATTGCTCGAACGCTCATCCCAAGCTTCCTGTGTCGAACGAAGAAACGCCGTTGATGAACGACCAGTATCAGCAGCTCTGATTCGGCGACTCGACGTTCAGAATCTTCTACAAGGGCATGTATTGAAGTAACAGAGATTTGAATCTCTACTCTATCAATGCCGTGGGACGGTAGATAGCGGAGCCTTGCTATCGCTAGGAAAACACCACTTTGCCTTGGAAGTGCGAAAGCGAAGCCCAGCGGGGATACTCAGAGTCTAGAGCGGCCCGTTGGGAATTACCCACTGGTCAATAAGAGACTACTACGGAATGCAGATCTCGGCAAGGTATAGCTGGAGTGATCTTCTAGCTAAACCTTTTTGGACTGGGTCCAATCTTTTTGTCGGTCCATCAACTCATCCCTTTAGCACTGTCGTCTCGATATCTCACTGCACAATAGGTCAATCCATTACAATACATCAGTAACAATGCCTCGGCGTTGTGTGCCTCACCTGTCACACTTAGAGCTGTAACGCTACACGCGTTCTCACTCTATTCATGGTCTCCCTACGCTCAGTTACGATACAGGGGTCCAGGAACTCGCCGCGAAATTGCGCGTCGTCTTGCTTGGGACCCCTTCGATTGATCGATCTTCCTCTGTTTGAGCTGCACGACCTACTTGGCAAACACCATGGCCCGAATGCATTCGTGTTACGGTCAGCTAGTTACTCAACCTCAGCAGATAGTTGACCGTGCAGATATGCTAGATAACATTTTGTTTTACTCGAACTTGACCACAATATGGCTGCTACTTGAGTAGACCCACAGATCTTATCGACGGAGAGAGGTTTATGAAGATTTTGAAGCTCATCTCTAGTCTTACGACCGTAAACCGACCTGTACAGAGCTCCTCTAGATGTTACCTCGACTAACACAGCAGACATGAATGTGGCAGCGCGCGAGCACGGTTCTTTGTGAAGATAACTAGTGACAATCTTCCCGAATTTCGGACTAATAGACATGGCTCAATTGTGGATTAGTATCAGTTGCTGGCGCTAGTCATGCTGAAGATACAGGATACATGCTGTTCCTCTAGGATGGTAGGATTCTGTGTCTATCACGTTGAGGAATTCGGTTTGTTTTCATGCTTTGTCTTCACACACACGTAATGCAAAACTTCCACCAATGTTGAACTTGAGGATATAATGCTTACTGATGTGAATTTACAGGGTCGCCAAGTCACTTCTCGGTTGTGCCTAAATACCCTGTAACGGCAGTCCCGTGTTAGTGCTGGCGTCTGGCAGGATCGCCTCACGGAAGGTGCAGCGAAGTCACTAAGCTGCAATCTTAGAATACACCGCAACGTACTCCGTGTGCTTACGATCACCGACTACCTAGATAGAAGGCCACTTGGCTGTATAGTAATACGAAAGTCTAGAGAACGCACTGGACCTAATTATCTCAGAAGCATCTTGGCTCTTTCATCCTCATCTCGACGACGACAAAGCTACACCAAGGCTTTATCTTGTATTTAAGGACAGCATTTCCCCATACAGATACCTCTTCACAACATAATCATTTCCAACTGCCACTCCTTTACCTCTCTTGCAACTTTCCGACAAACGATCATCAAATCTCAATTCTACTTCACCAACCTCGTCAACATGCATTCCACCACAATCCTTTCCACGGTCATTGCCGCCATTGACATGTTCGCCACCATTCCGCCGAATGCACAGCCAAGTGGACAGACACAAATTGCTGCTTCCACGATAAGAAGGCACGCACAATTCAGGATGGATGGACTTTCGTTATTCCCGGCACGAAGACTGGCGGAGAAATCCGTTTTGCAGACGGCAATCTGTGCCCAGACTCAGTCAAAGCCACCTGCAAGGCGAACTGCTGCGACCCAACAACTGGATGGGGGAAGGGTTGCCCTGAGCAAAGGCTTTTCAACATCGTTACTCGAATTTTACTATAATTTGAGTTCTCCATACGAGCTTGGTCCTGATGATCTCCAACGGAATTCAGGTCTTTCCAATCAGTGTAAATGAATGGTAGACGCGGTAATTCTGTATGGTCGATACTGGAACGATATAGATATTAGTTAAGAGTATCTCGAGCTTAATTTGTAACTTTTGGGGTGAAGGCTTTTGTACTTTGGGAAGCAGAGTTCGATTTGAACGCTCGTCCATCCGTTCATTAGATACAATAAAGAGTTTGGTCTCATCAATGTGTTTCCATATGTGAAAATATTGCTGACTTGAGACACAAGTGCATGATTTCACAACTATACACGAATTTAGGGAGAAAGGGCAGCTTGCGATTCGCATAATGGTGAACATTCATAACGAGGACAGCTTTTCTAGGTCTAATCGCACACAGTAGGCTATTACAGAACATCAGATAGTGTACAGCCTAAAAACGCTTCTTGCAAGGTACAGTCTAGCAAAAATAGCTCTTTTATAACACGAGATTTGTCCAGAATACTCAGAAGCGTGAAACACAATCTATCCATCATTCTCAATCCCATTATTACGTGCTTGATTGGCCTCAGCCTATTTCTTAGACTTCTTATTGTCTTTCCCTGGATGCCAAAATGCCTCATTTTCTTTACTCTTCTCTGTCTCTTTATCGCTTTGCTTAGCTTGCTCACCGTTCCTAGCCGCAGCTTCCCACGCTCCCTCGCATGACTTACAACCGTCTCGATTTTTGAGATGCTTCTTGTTTTCGCAGCCGTTGCGGCATGGCATCTCGTGCTTCTTGCAGTAGTTGATCTTCAGGGAACCGAATTTGGCTTTGCTGCAACCACCAGGACTCTGGTCACCAACCCAGCCTGAAGCGCCAGGGCAGTGATGTACGGTGGTTCTTTTACCCATAGCTTTAGTATCTGTATCGATGTGAGCGTATTGCGTTTAGTGGAATTCAGTGCTGATTCTCCACGGTTTCAAGGGATTCTATGGATATTATATACGCATGCTTCACGAGATGCATTGTAGTGTTACGAGAGTGAATCATAGGGTTTGTATTGACTTGAGTCTTCACACCGTTCGCGCAGTGACTGTCTTGAGGAAAACAGCCCTGTGCACCGATAGAACCTAGCGCTAGCAAACAAAGACCTTTCAGTATAACAATGCGCCATGTCTCAACGCCACAAGATAAAACTCAGAGTTCTTCTCTCCCACGCTACAAGGTCTGATCATCTTCCACATTCATATCATGCCGCCTCATATCACTATACCTGCGGCTTCGCCAACATCTGCTCTAGATGCACCATCTTGTGTTGATACCTCTGTCATAGAGACAAGTATGCAATACGTGGATAATACGGAGAATAGTGTCGATAGACAGAGTCAAGATCGGGATGACGACGTAGCTTCAGTGGCATCAACGACTCGTTACGAACACGAGCCGTTCGAGACCTTCCAGCACAAAGTCGCCGAATTCGCCACCGAACATTTTCACCGAAACCCTAGGGACATCTCGATCCATCAGATGAAGGGTGGGGCCAACAATCGAGTCGTCGGGATTAAGATAGCATCAAAGTCAAAGAAATTTAGTTTGCACTGGTTCCTATGCTGCTGCTTTGGCGCACGCAAGAAGACATCTGCCACAAGGTTCGACTCATACATTATACGAATCCCACGTGTGGAGTTTTCAGGTGACAGCCGTGTCGAAGATATGGCCGAGAGCATGAAACGCGAGCTAGCGATCCTAAAGACGGTCAGTTCACGGGTACCTTTACCGGTTCCCAAAGTTTTCAGTTACGATCTTTCCACTGAGAATATTTGCGAACGACCGTATATGATTCAGACGCGCCTTCCAGGCCGGAACCTTCGATTAGAGCTATGGCATCAACTCAACATGCAGCAAAAGCAGTGTGTTGCGAAATGTGTCACTAGTCTCGCTGCTGCCATCGCTTCAGTCGAAGGACCGGCAGGCGATATCTCGCCTGAAAACTTATCACGCCCGTCCAGTTCCCCAATCTGCGTCGATACATTCTCTACACCGGCTTACGATAACCAACCGACATGCAAGCCGGCATTGGCACGCAACCCTATTGATCATCTGTTAGAGCAATGTGAGCGGTGGCGCGCATGCGAGAAAGCTACTGCATGGTGCTTCGAAGAGATCTGGGACGGCTTTGCAGCGATTTCAAGAGCTCTGGAAAAGCGCGGCTTTCTACATGGGCCGTGCGTACTTGTCCACGGCGATCTCATGCCGTATAATCTCCTGGCAGAGGTTTGCAATGAGACCGATGTAAATATCACAGGTGTTCTCGACTGGGACTTAGCTGTCATCGCGCCAGAGTTCATGGCATACAGAGCGCCATTCTGGCTTTGGTCACCGGAAGACATGGATAGTGATAACGAAGACGACGAGAATATGGCGAACTTTGAGCCTGTTGAAGAGGAGGGAAAGATATTGAAGCAGGTTTTTCTTGAGAACGCGTCGGAGAAGTACAAATTCTACGCCTTCGCACCAGAGGCGATGCTCGCTAGACGCATGTTCTATATATTGAAGATCGGTCACCCTGGTGATTGGGAGTTTGAGGAGGCGAAAAGCGTGATACGGGAGTGGAATGAACTCCATCCTGAGGACGGAGTTCAATCTGTTCTTTCTGGTACGGATTCTGAATCTGACGAAGACCAAGATGAGAACGAGTGATCAGGGGACGTTGGATGTCGAGGAAATACTTGCTTGTTTCGCATCAGAATTTGTGGCCATCCATACTCTATATTTGGCCTGGAAGGAGAGCTATGTGGACGAAACAGACAAAGGCTTAGCTACATATGAGCCGCCTGCGAAGGATCGCAAGACACCCACATACACTTTCCGGCCTGAAGTTTCAAGTAAGTTCATCAGGCTCGTTATATCGTAAGAAGATGGCATTGCAAGGAATCTGTTCAGTGTGCTATCCACCTATATACTAAGCCATGATCAGCGTTGCCTGGCTCTTGAGTTGGTGGAACGGTAGGATGTTCCTTCACAGAGGACAATCTTGGGAACTATCAAGCAATAAAGACTTGAATGTCTCTAGTAATTCCGCTTGCTTTCTGATATATGTTGAATGAGTTCCATTTAATAGTGTTGACAATTCAATATCTTTTATCCAACTACGTGCGACTTCGTTCGCCGCACGACCGCCAGAGAATGCAGGTGGCCTTCCAATCCCGATAATGGAATATAGATACTGTCGCTAATTATTTCAAGGTGATATAGCAGTGGTGTCCTATAGGAGAGATCAAAAACCTATTGTCCATCTCCATCATCTCATCTTTCATGCATTCGGAAATTTTGGCCCTACGACATTGTCGGAAGAAGAGAGCAGCTGCTAGGCGAAGCTCTATGTATGCGAGATGAATGCCAATACACACCCTCGAACCTCCTCCGAACGGCATGTATGACGCTTTTTGGTGGGCTGACAGGGTGGGTTTGTTCAGGAATCGCAGACCATCGAATCGAAGTGGGTCGGCGAAGGCTGATGGGTCTCGGTGATTCGTGTAAGCCTGGGTGCTGACCACAGCCCCGCCGGGAATATGATATCCGTTTATGGTTGTGCCTTGTTTGGGGACAGTTCGAGGTAGCGCTCCAGGCGCAGCACCATAGAGCCTCAACGTCTCTTCAATTACGCTGTTCAAAACAGGCGCATTCTCAAGTTCTACTTTGGTCAGTTCACCGCTTAATTGTGCGATTTCGTCCTCGAGGCGAGTCTGCAGGTCCGGCTGTTTTAGAACTGCCCAGACGAGATAGGTCAGGGTGACTGCGGTGGTGTCTGATCCCGCAACAATGAGGTTTCCCGCTTCCTCCCGAATATCCTTGTCTGTTAGTGAGACCTTCTCGTTATTTTCGCAAGCAGCCAGCATCTGACCAAAGAGATTCATAGCGTTCCCGTTGCGGTTGCGCATATTCTCGATCGCACGCCGGCCGTATCCATATACGACGTCATCAGTGGTTACCATGGTCTGTATTCGCTTCAAGGGTATGAGTCGAAGGATATTGTATACGATCGGTAGTTCGGATCGCAACACCGATCCAAGCAGTGCGGCCTGGATAGCGTCAATGTAGGGTGTTTGCTGTTCTGTTTGTCAGACTATTTAGCTATATTTACATGAGGCCGAAGTAGATCATATACCTTTCCCAGTTCAAGCATATTGAAGCTTTCTCCGAAACAAAGATGTGCAATCACATCGGTCGTCATAAGCGTCCACCATTTGAAGATATCGGCCCCTTGCGACGAACCGGAAGCATCCTGGCGGATCTTTTGGACAGCTAAACCCACTTTTTGTCTAACTTCTACATCCCAGTTGCTGCTCAAGCTGCTATTACTGAAGGCTCGCGCGAAGAGCCTCCTTCGAGCGGCGTGGGCATGTGGGTCGCGCATAGCGAAGATTCCAGGTGTATCAGTTGGCACAAGGACCGAGTAGAAGTCTGACTTCAAAAACTCGCCACCAATCTTATGTATCTGAGTCACGCCTCCTGTATCCGAAACGGCGGCCTCGTTTGGTGCAATCCGTACGACACCGCCATATTGCTGGTGAAGCTTGTCTACGTAGAAGATCCGCCTGCCTGAGAGGACCTGGTAACGAAGGACGAGGTTGGTGTATCTTGAATACCAAGGCCCTGGTAGCTTTGCAAGTGGGGATGTATACCCTGCCCACACGACCTGTACTCTGTCAGCCTTCAGTGAAAGGAAGTCAGGTTGGGTTATCATACCTTGGCGATGTAGGCCAGTACAACCAGGACCGCGATTACAATGCCTCGCTGAAGCGACATGTTGTCTTGATTCCACTGAACTTGCACTTTTGACTGGCACTAATCTCGCTCAAACAGGATACTTGGCTCGCGGTGGATATGCACAACGGCAGATCATAGACTGAACTCGAAGGTCGCGCGCTATATACATGCTCGGAATGTGGAGATCGGCCTATAAAAGGCGCTTCGTTCGTCGATGGCTCGGTCCGGAATCATGGCGACGCATCGTGCCGCAGTATCGCTCTCGAGCAGCCCTGCACGCAGACAGAAGAAGGACTGTGTGGGCCAGAAACCCTGTCTCACAAGAGATCAAGAGATTAAGACGTAGCTGCTAGTTGGAGCGGAGTGGTGATAAGAGCGGAATCATGAAGAGAGTGGAGTGATGGCATGCCAAGTTCCGCCTCTCCCCACATGAATCCTCGGACGTGCTTTCGCCCGTTTCGAACGGCCCGCGCTCTAACGATCTACACTGCGGAAGCCACGGTCTCCGAGGCTCTAACGCTGCTTTCGTTTGCGCAGTATGCTGTTGCTGGCATGGTGCAATCTTTCTTGATGAGGCAGGACATGACGTAAGCGTATTCGTGTAAGCAATACCCAGGTGCTTGCAAGCTAGTGGCCGTTCGTAACAAATAACAAATAACAGATAATGACATAAGCGTCTATGTGCTCGATCCAAGGATTATTTCATCAATTCCTATTCCTCTTCCCCGCCTCGCATCCATCAGTTCCCACATTACTAGCAAGATGACGAATCAGAGTGGACCTCACACAGTTCTGCAGCAAGGATTTGCGAAATTACCTTTGGAGTTGTTTCTCACTGTCCTCGATCAACTTGTGGGCACCCGCAACGGACAGCAGCAGCCCATAGCATACGAGCCATCAGGCATCATCACCAAGACATTACGCGCGCTCACACTAGTATCGCGCAGCAATTACCTCACAGCGACAAGGTATCTTTACTCACACTGTCTATACTTGGATAGCTGCACGACCTACGCTCGTTTCCGTAGAACACTGGGATTGCATCTCGGGCATCATCCACAAGCTCTTGATTATGGAGAAGCTAGGCGTAACGACGAATTATTTGCGGAGGCTCAGGTCTTACAAAATATCACATCTCTCTTCGTCTCACCATCGAAGGTGCAAAGATCGATAGAAGGGAACTACACGCCTTTGGTGCGACTGCCACAGATCATCGACCTTTGCGATTTGATTGGACCTACGCTCAGGAGGCTGGCTTTAGACCTGTCTCCGATCTATGCGACACCAACCGAAATCGAGCAGATCAGACCGCATGTCACTGAAAATAATGTCTTCATACACATGCCGCATCTGGAAGAACTGATCATCAGCTACGACGTGCTCAATTACTTCCGACATCCACCACCCAACTTGAAACGGCTAGCTATCACTGCTCAGGAGCTCACGGATCTGGAGGTAGCTTTCTGCCTCAAGATACCGTCACTACGAATGCTGGTCATGATGCGACCTGTCAATCTGCAAGCCAAGGACATCGATATTATATTCACAGCATACAATGGCAAAAGCTTGGACACTGTTCTAGTTGATGTTAACTCAAATCATCGGACACCTCAGGGGACGCGGAGCTGGAAAGAAAACGATACAGTACGTATTTGGGAACTTGATGTACCAGTAAGCTTCTACGGCGACGAAGACGATGTCATACTGTGCGATGATTGGATATGGACACATGGTGTTAAGGGAACCTTGTGGAGTCAAGACAAGCGACGTATGGCTTCCTGGGAGGAGGTTGAGAGACGTTTGGCTGGGCCAGTACATACAATCATGGAAGTGTAGCCCTTGAACTACTGCGAACCTAGACCATACTCATCGAGTAAGCTTGACATGGCATGAGTGCCGGTTTTACATCCAAGTCCGCACGTTGCTCTTGCTTCACAAAACCTCGCCGTGCAGCGCTCCGCTGACTGACCATCAAGCCTTCTACGTCTGCTGCCACTGAGTTCTGAAAGACGCCGCTATTCCATCATTACAGCCCCCGCTAGACCTCTCTTTCAGCGCAACAATGAGTCTTTTCTCGAGAGATCTTCTGATTCCTTCTCCAACTCCTCCACATTCCATGTAACATATACACAGGTTCCCTTGAGCTTGTCCGCTCTCCCTCCACCCAACCACACCGAAAACATCCCAATGAGCTCCAGATTATCGAATCCGAATGGCTCGAACATGTCGAACATTCTCTCCGTTCTTATGCTTCCAATGTCAAGCGAGAATGCTTTCATCTCTGGGTATTCGGTGTCGAGGAACTCTACGAGGCGGCGATCGGCATCTTTCGCGATCTGATGAGAGGAGGGGCCAGAGCTTACGACGGTATCCGTTCCAGATGTGATAGATATGAACGTCCCAGTGGGTGCTGGACCAAACGTACGGATGTATTGGTGGGCCGGGAGATGTGTGCTGCGGAAGTTCGTCGTCATATCGGCCCACCACTCGTCGTTGTCGTCCGTGTCCCCTATCGTGCTGGAATGTGCGGTACCGACGTTCGCTATAACTATATCCAGCTTCCCAAACTGCTCTCTAATAGCAAGGAATAGTTTGGTGACATCTGCTGATCTTGTGGTGTCGCAGGCTGTAGCAAAAACCTTTCCCGCCGAGTTCAGCCTTTTGAGCTCAGTGACCACCTGCTCTAGGTCTTCTGCATTTTGACTGCAGATCGCGATGCCTGCAGCCCCTGCTTTTGCCCATGATAGAGCAATTGTCCTGCCGATATCTCTCGCCGCGCCAGTGACGAGTACGTACTTTCCTGCTCCAGTACGTTGCACTGCTTCGAGAGCAGCACATGGGTGGCGATGGTATAGACTAGGGGTCTCGGCCATCTCCATGGAATAAGCTGGGCTGATATCTCAGGCGGCCGTGTGGAAATGTAGATGTTGACTGGCAGATGTTGTGGAGCATGTCTCAAATATCACTGGCACTCTTTTCACCCTGGAACTTCTAATGCTACTGTGACACTGTCAGCGCTCGCCCGACGCTATGCCGCTTCCAAGACATTCTACTCTTTCTCTGGTAACGAGTTCGGAATGGTCAGGTCATTATTCCGTCGCTATCATCCTTCGTGCACCCAAATTCACGGCCAAACATACTCAAAAGACGATGTCAATGATCCCTATATGCGTCTCCATTGTGAATCACACTCTTGGGCTGTCTGCATGCATGTGTTTCTTGATGGTAGTGTAATTCTATACGATCAGACCAGTCAAACCTTGCCTTCATGCTACTCGAACCTGGCTCGGCAGGCCTCGTGCACCCTGACAGGTGGCAGGTCGGTACCAGATACTAACTCTTAAGCGTCTGGTAAAGCGAATGTCTAAGTATAGAGTCCTCCTAAGGTCAATATGTACAAGATGCGCTCGCTACTACCCGCGAGCTATTAATAGGCCACCAACGTGCAGATTGGAAGGTTCACAGCATGACCGAAGGGCCGATAACCTACCGATTGGACATAGATTCCACGCAGAAATGTCTGTTCTTCGCTTGAAGTCGAGTCGAGCCAATGCGAAGCTTTCGAGCACGTTGACAATCTTACATACACGCAGTTGGGGGCGAAAACTGCGGCCAGTATTTGCCGACCCACATCGATGAACGGCTAGATTCTGCCGGCTACTTACGTATGATAGCGAGATAGAAGAGCAACGTGAAGATTGTCATATCATGTGTAACCATAGGACACAAACTCAGATCCATGATATCATTAACGACATTCTCAGAAAATGACGCGATCGTAACTATCGGCTACTCATGGCCTGGCTCTCCAGCGCTAAGCAACGGCTACCTCCTGCACCCCGACAACGGTCTCGCTTTTCTTTCTCGCCTCTTCATCTCTCTTCCACTTCTCTGCCCGTCCATAAGAATCCTTGTACCCACCCAAAATCGCCTGTTCAACTGTAATCGGAGGCCACTTTGGTTGTTCCCCGTCCGCCTTACAATTTGGCAGACAACTAACCACATAATCCGGGTTTCCAGAGAAGAAGACCGGAATGCTGTACCTCTCCTCTCCACTTACATTGATGACACGATGGAGATTGGATATGTAACGATCGTTGCTCCATCGCATCATCAAGTTACCTAAGTTCACGACGAAAGCGCCAGGAGTGGGGGTTACGTCGAGCCACTCTTTGGTCGTGTAGTCGTAAACTTGGAGACCAGAAACAGTATCTTGGAGTAAGATTGTTATGCAGCCGAAATCTGTATGTGCGCCAATTCCACGAGTGAGTTTTGCTGGGCTGTCGGGTGGCTGCGAGGGATAGTGGAGGAGCCGCATTGTTGCTACTGCGTCCCTGGCGTATTCGTCGAAGTAGTCTTCAGATAGATCTAGGGTCAGAGCGAGTACTTTTAGGATATCTTTTGCGAGCTGTACGACTTGGCCGTAGTACTCTAGTGATGTGCTCTTGAAGTCTTGCACGTCTGGCAAGGATGACTCCGAGGGCCACATGTTTGGGCCAGAATTGAGTTTCTTGTTGAGGAAGTAGGGATGCGTTTTGGGGATTTCATCGCCGATATAGTATCCTTCTTTGAGCTCTGGCGATGTTCCTTCTTCCAACATTTGGGATTTGAGCAGCTCGTAACCGCGGTTCCATGTGTTTGATGTATCTATATAACGGTATCAATAACACGTCATGTGCGAAAGTCGCTCTACTTACCCTTGTTTACTTTGTTCTTCTCTTCTAATGGCAGATTGAAGAACTTCTTATTCCAGTCCATCATCTTCTGCTGCAAATCGATGGGTACGTTATGTCCGGTAATCTGGAAGAAGCCATTGTGCAGACAGCAGTTTCGCACTTCTTCTACGAGCTGTTTCTTGGAAGTCGCATCACTCTGGTAGAATTCTGGTAGTTGTTAACGGAGACTGCGACAGAACAATATCGACACAGTTCGGGCCTACGAACTGGAGAAGTCCAAAATGGGAGGAGCATCGCCGGCGCTAGGCATGTTGAGCCTTTTGGTAGGTCGCGGAGGTAGGGAAACAGTACAGGTAGTGTTGTTGATGGATGCTGGGTGTTTTTGAGGTATGAAGGTAGGAATGAAAGATGTTTGCGATGGTTTGCAATGAAGCATCACATTGCATTGGATATTATTATATCCCAGTTCCTCGCCAGATCCGCTTTCCCTATCCCCATCTCTCACCTACCCCTCACATGCGCGGCGCTATCGATAGCGGCTTTGCGCTGGAAAGATGGCGCGAGTGGGGTTTCGAAGTCCTCCAACGTTCACCCCCACCCTTGCTGTCAAGTCACGACTGGCCAAGTGTAAGATACGTCAAGTGAATGGATCCTACATACCTTGATGCAGACCCAGAGAGCGATGATTCTCCATTATCCGCAGGTCACCGCGGAGCCCAAGGCTTACCTAGGTGAATTCCAATCATGGTCAGAGCAAGCTGAAGTACTCTACAGGATTCTCATCTTGCCGTCAACCCACTCTAGCATAGTGATCTTGCAAGTTGACCAATTTTGGTCTTCAGCTGGACTGAGTTGGAAGGTCATCTATGATCACACTGTCCATACTTGAAATATACCGTGCACCATCGTCATCCGGGATTGTTGTCGCGAGCGTCTGATCGTAGTGGAGCTTTTGCTAACCATCTACCGCGGACTCAGTATCAGTCTGGTCGCCGATGCGACACATGCCGTCCCATAACATCGTGTACAAGCTCATTACGATCATATACTCGGGTGAACAAGCATGTCATTCTCGTGCATTACCGGCCACCGTTTTCCAAGATCTCTTTGGCTGTCGAAGTTCTATGTCTGCCGGCTCGTGCGCAGCGGCCATCTCATCGCATTCTTTCTGATTGTCTAAAGCGTACGAAGGAGATGTGCTACCTTGTCTACGGGCGATGGGAGCAAAAGAGACAAGGCTGAGGGTCGACCCAGGACGGAAGGCATTCCGTCATCGCGTCGTGACTGATTGGCCAGGGAAAACTCGACCATGGGCGGCTGGCCCCACCTTCCCATTAGTAGTGCTTGGTCATGCTCGACATAAGCAGCCCTTCCCTGCCAAGCCTCACCTAAACACCCACCGGATTGTTAAACCTTTACCAACCAGGCAAGCCCACGATGGCACACACGCCCAACTGCCCTGGACCGATCTTGGAACATTCTCGTCACCCTAGTCGCGTTTTGCATAAAGCGCCCCCTCCCGACCCATGAAGACGCTTTCCTCCATCTTCATCGCCCTCGTCGCAATTGCACTTGCCGTCTACAACAACGAGTACATGCTTTCGAGACTCACACAGTCACTCAAACACGTCACATCCCTCGCAAAGACCACCAAGCCCTCGTACAACACCACCCAAGACATGACGACCATGTTCCGCGGACTGCCCGTCATCCCCGACGAGGCCTTTACAACCGATGCGCCCCGCAACATCGCAAAGTCGTTCCTTGCGATTGAGCAGTCCGAAGGCGCAGGAGCCAAAGTGAGGAGGAGTGTCGGCACCCCAAAGCTCCGCAACTTCTCCCCGTTCCTCATGCTCGACCACTTTGCCATTCCACCAGGCGCAGGTTTCCCAGACCACCCACACAGAGGTATGCAACTTCCCCTTCCCTCATGCCTAGTACATCTGTGAGCACTATACTGACTTGTTGATTTGTACAGGCCAGGAAACCATCACATATCTTCTCTCGGGCGCCGTCGACCACGAAGACTTTGCAGGCAACAAGGGAACCATCGAGCAGGGCGATCTGCAGTTCATGACAGCCGGCCGCGGCATCGTCCACGCTGAGATGCCACGCCAGAACGAAGACGGTGCGCCCAATGTCGGAATGCAACTCTGGGTCGATCTGCCTAAGGAGCTGAAGTCGTGCGAACCGCGTTACCGAGATCTACGTGCCAAGGAGATCCCTGAGACGACTGCCGACCATGGCAAGGTGCACGTCAAGGTCATCAGCGGACAAGCCTACGGCACCGAAAGTCTGAAGGAGTTGGCATACACCCCTGTCTGGCTGCTCGACTTCACAGTCCAGCCCGGTGGCAAAGTCAAGCAGCCCCTACCAAAGGGCTGGAACGCTTTTGCCTACCTCCTCAACGGCACCACCATCTTCTCGTCCGACGGCGTATCGCGACCTGTCGAACAATACCACAACGTCGTCTTCGACAGCAACGGCGACAGCATCGAAGCCTCAGTCGAAGAGGGCGCCGAGAAGGAGTCGAGATTCATTCTCGTCGCTGGACTTCCCCTCGATCAGCCCATTGTACAATACGGGCCATTTGTCGTAACGTCAAGAGACGAGGTCATGCAGGCTATGATGGACTACCAGAGCTATTCAAATGGGTTTGAAAGAGCAAACAACTGGGAAAGTGAGATTGGAAAGAGTATGGTTCACTAAGATGCCTACTTCCGCCTACCTCTTCTTTCGTGATGACTTCTTATGTATATACCAAATTATGATTCTATTTTTCTTTGCCTTACAACCCCTGGTCTCATCACATTTCTCCAGGATTTATCAATCGGTAACACACCTTCACCAATATGCGACCACGCATCTGGCACTGTTCTGCGCAGCTCACATACTCACGCACCCAGCCGAACTATCTTCTACAAAAATGCCTCCATAAATCTGTCCTTCACCGCGCAGTGGTATGTGCTCTTGATACCCATCGAATACCACCGTCTCTGTCTCTGTAGGTTTCTTTGCAATACCGATCTGCAGCTGACCTCCCCCAGCATTGTCATTGGCTAAAGCCTTGGTGACCGCTTTCAACGGCTTGTCGCCTGTGGAGTAATAAACCTTGATCGTGCTATACATCTCGTCAGCTTTCCAACATTCAATCGAGCCTCATGGTATGGGCGAATGCAAGATACTTACTTCCGCACATAATCCAACTGTACTCCAAAATTTTGCCATTCCCTCTTCGAAATCTTCGTCGTAAAGATGAATTCGTTCTTCGCATTTTGAATCTTCCAAGTCTCCCTCTCTCTCTTCGTGTCCACACCCGTCCCACCATCACCAACAAGCACAACACCCCCAACGAACATGAACTGGTTGCCCGAGTAATCACCCTTCTCATGCCACACATTCATATACTCGTGACTCAGATTCAGCGGCCTCCGTTCATCTTGTTTAATGCTCCAATGAAAAGTCACAATACCCTTGTCTGAAGCATCAGCACCAGCGTCATTCTGGTCGTCTTTCAGCAAAAGACCTGCACGGCGGAAGCCAGTCTGCAGGTTTTCACCCGCACGAAACAACGAGCCGTCATCGATGGTGACTTCGAGGGGCTTGTGTTGACGCGGATCATCGAAGCGGCATGGCGGGGCGGTTTTGGGTGAAGGGAAGACAAGGATGGAGGACCAGGTACGGTTCTCACCTTTGACGAAGTCGGGATTGTAAGGGGTGGATCCTTGGGCTGTGTCAAAAGATTGGAGAGTCAGGTTGGAAGCGATGCGACCGTCGAAGATGATGGGGCATTTGATGTTGGATTTGGGTTGGTGTGAGTGTGGCAGTAGCGGAGTGGCTGCTGTTAGAGCCAAGAATGGAAGGAAAACAGAGAGATGCATGGTTAAGAAAGGTTGACCCTATAGAATCGCCAAAACTCACACATCCACAAGTCTAGGCAAAGGAACACATTTATATGGTTCTACTGTTTAGGACGCTAGCCAGCCTTACGGATATTGGCTAATTAGGTAGAGCGGCAGAGCACTATGGGCCAAGATCTAGTGCAGCCACATTCCCGGAACACCATTGGCTCTAGTCCGACGGACCTGGAAGCCGATCACCTTCAGTCATGTCTCAATGCGCTAATTCGAGACTTCGTTTTGCAACTCATACACCCGTGACTCGAATCAAGTAGAGGGAGAGGACAACTTCCTTCGTCTATCGTCATAGAACGTCTTTTATCCCTTCCAGATCTTTGCGAACTGATCTCTGCATAGTCTTCCGAACGAGAGGCTATTGCGGTTCTCGGACGCCGCATTGCAACGATACAGATCAACATTACATGGCCTACCGAAACCGCAGGCAGTATGGACAGTACGATTTTCGCGATCGAATGAACCAGCTAGAATCGGTAGAGGTTGGTCGTTTTCCTCTTCACTTTCCCCGGCACGGGTTGTCCATTGTCCCAGAACTTGAGAGAGCGGATCGGCTTCCATGTCCACTGTGCTTCGTCATTCAGAGCGCTATCCAAGACCCAGGTGATGGCAGCAGTAAAGGCGACGACTCCTATGGCGCTGACCCAGTAGACCCAGAAGTCGCTTTGGTTCTGAGGATAGACATGATACATCAGCGTATGTTTCACGGGCCTTTGATGCATACATGACTCACCGGTGCATAGTTGTCTTGCATACTGAACAAACTGCTTGTGTATGCCAGTGGAATGAAGAGTAGGGCAAGGAGGTTGAGTCGTTTGACTCGTTTGGCCTCTTCCAGGTTTTGACGATTGCCAGCAATTGATGCCAGTCCGGTCATGGCTTGCATGAGATTATCAGCACGCTCTTTTAGAATCTTGAGCCGGAAGTAGACATATTGGAAGTCTTTTTCGCAATCTTTCCATGTTGACGCCTGCGACCTGGCAGAGCTATTCACCTGACCATCTAGAGGATAGCCAAGACTGAGCATTGCGTCCTCGATATCGTCGCGGTAATTGCCGCACCGGCGTGAGATGGTTTGCAGACTCTTCCATTGGCCTTGCTCTTCGACCCATGCCGTAGTAAGCCGAAGTTCTAACGAGGGTAGCATCGCTTTGATATAGTCAACAAGCTGAAGATAATGCGCAGCAACGATCTTCTTCAGATAGATTGCTGATGTCTCGGGCGTAGCCCACTCCTCTTGTGAAAACAAGTCAGAGTGCTGTTGGTAGTAGTGAAGCATGTCGCGCAGCATTGACTTATGCTGGTGTTGCTCCTTGTCCCCAATCTTATCATGAGGTACAGGTGGGATGAAGTCGACATAGCCGTCCTGGAAAGGTGTGTTTCGAAGTTCTTCGCGGACGTTGCTGATCGGACGCAGTGTGCCGTCGCCAGGAACAACCTCTTTGGGCGCAGGAGAGAGATGTAATAGCTGAGGGTCACACAGGATTACAACTAAGCGGGTCAGCCAAGAGACATTAGAGCCACAGCTTAGTTTGATCGTCCTCAGAACGAACAGCCGGTTTTCTAAGCGGAGGGGCACCCAGAGAGCCTTCTTACGATCGACAGTATGGAATCACGTACCATCCCAGCCCCCATTCTTCGTCTCGCGAGACCACCACCCCACTTTGCGTCGCAATATACCTACCGTGCTCTCCTCTTTCTGGCGCGACGCTGTCATGCCAACATGCCGTCTCATTCGCTCACAGAAGAAATAACGGTTTTCAAGTGCCTTGTTGAATTGTCTCAATTCGCAGTATTGGAGATGGAAAGCCTGCTTTGGGTCTAGTAAACTAGGTTGAGGCAATGCATCGCTCACTGGTGTAAACTCGTTGCTCCAGACGCACGTCCTCTCCTGCCGCTGGAAAAACGTAGGATCCATGAAGAAGTGGCCGCCGACGGCTGCGATGTAATCGGGAGCCAGTCCTTCCATGATGTAGATCCGTCGGCGGTTGTGATCATGTGATGTGGTCTGAAAGTGCCTGCAAAGGTCTTTCTGGCTCTTGAATTCCGTCGTCTGAAAACCAGGGACTCCAGTGTTGGGTGCATCCAGGAGTGCGACAAGCGCTTTACCTTTCATCAGTGGCCCATCCTCATTGTTTGGATCAGCTTTCTTCAGGCCAGGATTGGAGCCGCTCAGCGCTTCAATATACTCGCGATATGGGCCTATCCAAGATTAATGACACCACGAAAAGACAGCCAGACAAGAAATATTCTACCATCGGTGCATAGCCACGATCCAATCAACGGCCCTTCGTCCTTCGAAATGGCTGGGCTCGGAGTGATAGTCCTTGAGGTTGCGGCAACCGAGGTTTTGTTGGCCGTGGAAGCCTCGGCGAGGGTCGCCATCTGGACTGTATCGTCGCCTTCGCTGGCCATTGCAATAGCTGTGGGTAACAATTTGATATGAAAGCACGAAAAACTATCCGTTCATTTTCATTCGACAAGCTGGCAAACGGTGCAGTAGCCCCAGAGTCTCAGGGTGTATGGTCATAACTGAGATGGGACGGAGGAAGCGGCCTTTCGACATTTTCAAAAGGCCGCGGCTCTACATCGAGGCGGAGCTTTGTCTGCGTCAATTGGGGGCCAGAATTGCGCCACGTCATCCGTGCATTCGAAGAGTTCCGCTTGTGGAGGCGTGCTCAGATGCTGTGTCTGGATCGTAGGCACGTTGAGGCTGTGAAATGCAGCCGGTGAGTTTTGGAAGGCGGGGAAAGCAAGCCTAAGCATTCTAGTTCGCGCGATGGTCGCAGCCAATTAGTCTTGGCCATCCACGGTCCACAATCTTATCGTGCTAGCGGCAGTGCGACGTACGACATGAGGAGACTCATAAGGCACCAGCCATGAAGATGGTAGTCATTCAATGTCAGTGAGCTCAAGTCTAGTCCTATTGGCATACATTCAGACAGCCCTCACGACAATTTTTTGGAATTGACCCGTCTGCTTTCGTCACACTTGATGGGTAACTGCGGTTTACTCTAACGCAGTGTGGGGTAGAACCATCACGATATGGTATGGGAAAGGTGTAGAGTAGATTGGTGTGTGATTTCACAAGTCCCTAGTCTTGACCGTCGGCACCCGAAAGTAATTCCTTCCACCTCTGTAAATGCTTAATACGCCTGGAATGCCCAAATAGATACGCGCCTAACCCAGATATCGTGACATGAATCATACGCTCAGCGCAGCAGGAGCCGTCATCTCCTGTGGAGGAAGGGCCTTAGCTGCTTCAGGCTCCACCTCAGGCACCTTGATGCGTTTAGCTTCGGGCTCTTCTTCGTCCCGGTCCTTGCGCTTCTCTGTCTTCTGAGTATTCCCGTCGGACTTCTGGGCTTCCTTGACTCTCGCCCGCTTGGAAGCGCGCGATTCGTTCATGGGTATACCCAGATGCTCGTCAACAGTGTTTGCCTGTTGCAACAAGTCATCCACGTTCTCCAAGCCCAGCGCCTTGATGACGTCTGTGTAGCACTTTGACTTGTTCATAGCCGCATATGCCTTTTCCTTGCCAGGTATCATCTGACTGAGCAGATACTTTGTGTTGCCCCAGCGGTTCTCCACTTGTAGTGCAAAACGCATGTATTCGGTGACAACGGTCTTCCACTGCGACCGCCACTCGTGAGGGCCGCCCTCTGCGTCAGGTCGGAAGCAGCTGGGGTTCTTTTCGGCTTCGGTTGCAATCATTGCGCCGTCGACGTTGAACTCTTCTGCGAGCTTGAAGGCTTCGGTGCGCGATGTGACGTCGCCGTTCATGAGGCATGCGACGCCTGCTTCGTGGCATATTTCTCCAATCATCTTGAGCTGGTGTCTGATGGCGCGCTCCCTCGGTCGCATGGGTGTCGTTCGGCAGTGTACGGTGAGACCCGTGATGCCGGTGCGCACAAGTCTCTTCACCAGTGCCGCGGTTTCTTCAGGCGTGTCTAGGATTCGGATCTTGACGCTAATGCCAATCTCGAATGGCTTTCCTACTTCTTCAACCAAACTTGTCAAGATGTTACAAAGCAGATCTGGCGTCCTCAGCAGCGCTGCGCCCATACCACCAGACGTGGAGAAGGGCTTGGGGCAGCCGGAGTTGACGTCAATGCCCGCGACATCCGCTGCCACCATCTTGGCTGCCTGCACTGCCAGCTCTGGGCTCGCCGTGCCAATCTGGTATATGAGCTTTCCCTTCTCCAGCTCTGGATGTATGCGGTATATGACGCTCTCGCGGTTCTCGGGATCGAGTGTGGGGTTTTTGATCTTTGAAGTAGGCAGGCGCGAGAATTCCAGCGTCTGCGTGTGTGGATTGAGTCTCTTGGTGGTGCCAATCATGGCGCGGTCGATGGTCTCGGGTCCCCAGACCAGGTCGGCGCCGTACTTGAGCGCGAGGAGGCGTGAGGGCAGCTCACCGGAGCGCACCATGGGCGCAAGCACCACTTTGCCACGGTAGTCGACGCCATTCTTGGGGATGGGGACGCGGGCGGGCTCGTTGGAGGCCATAATTCGTGTTATCGATCGTGAGAGGGCTCGAAGCATAACATGCCTTGACAAGGCGAGGGCCGAAGTTTGATCAGACTGAGTGGGGAAGGGAATGGCAGCGGCCTTTGAAAGTTTAGCGCACGTGCCATGGCTCGTGGGGCTAGCGCGGGGGCGTCTCTGCAGGTACAGCTTGATAAATCTATCTCTTATATCCTCTTACTCTTGTTCAGATCTTGGCAGCAACTTCAAACCCTGGTATCACGTATCAACCCACCATATCATATGCTCTTGTGGACTAAGTGATACACCTCATCAAGTTCCTGCGCTTCTTTCTCTCACCCCCATTTTCATCGAAACTCTGCCACCTTGGCAGTTTCCCGTCCAGAACCCTTGATGCCATTACATAAATATCAAATCTTCTTCGTCTACATCTATATCATCCGATTCTCCGTTCATCAGGCCGTGTACGTATGCGCTTCCTACGAACTCGAAAGTCATCGACTCTGTATCGTCTTCAGTAGGTACGCGTCTTTGAACGTGGAGTACCGGTGATCCGTTCAATGCAGAGAGCATATCACCTGGCCGCACTCCTGTCGTCGTGAATCCAAGTCGTCCTTCTCTTGTTAAGAATAATTGCTTATATTCAAGGATTCTCATGAGAGTTAAATAGTCGCAGGCGTTCTTGTATCGCTTATTTTCGCCAGAGGCTTCTTGCCAGTGCGGTTCCGCCGTGTCCGTCTCTGGATGCGGTAGAATCGTGTACGATCTAAGCTGCGTAAGTTATATCTATCCGTAATTGTGATCTGGATCATATGGAATCTTCTTACCTCGCAAATTCGCGAGCAGTGTCAGTTTCTCTCAAGCTTCGGCCTATGGCTTGGAAGTCATCATACCAATCCCGCGTGACCACTTCATCTTGCACAAATGCTTTGTTGCCGATCAACGTACGCCAGTATGTATCGAGAGCAATGTCACGATGCAGGCCTACACAACCTTCTTGTCTCGTCTCGAAAGTCGTACTATGCATCACAGCATGAGCAAGTTTCTCTTCCCATTCTGCCACAGCCATCAGTATCTCGTTCTGCGTAGCTGGAGACCCATTCGAATACCATCCAACGTCCATGGGTACCGATTCAAATACCATAACAACCTCATCCAAGATTCTACCTCGGAGCATCAGCTGCCCAATCTTCAAGTCGCCTCGCGGTTCATTCTTTTGTCCGATCGCAGCCTGATAAGAAGGAACTCTGTATTCCAAGCTGCCTACCGAATAAGTCGTGTTACTGACACTGTGAAAATCCGGCACCCAGGATGGAAGACCATCGCATTTACCGGGTCCGAAGGCCATACTAAGCCATGCCCACCATCTGACGCTGTTTGGGTCTGGGTACTGCGTGAGTATGCAAGCGCTGAACCGCGTGAACAGATCGTGATAGGAAGTATAAGCTATGTCGGTATTAAGAGGACTGCCTCGCAGGTCGTCCTGATTCACCATGCCTAATAGCCCAAGAACGCGATCCTCGGGTCGAAGACATTCTTGTGTCGAGGCGGTAAGAACTGCAACATTCATCAGAAGGATTGTCGGGCTAACGCCAAGAATTTCCCCATCATTCCAGTACCATTGCGCCAACTGGCGAGTGTGAAATATCACATCATTATCTGTCCGAGCCATAGCCCTCTCCATGTCTAACCATTGCAACTCGACATCTCCACTAAGAAAGCTGATCTCTTTAGCCAGCGCCGCTTCTTGCACTACCCAAAGTCTTCGAAACCAACCATTTAGTTCGAGATGACAGATTGCTGATCTCAGAGGAAGATTGAAGCGGCTAAGATCGATTATTTGAGTTTCCCCAAGAGACTCAAGTGTATCCATGGCCTCCGAGACGCGCTCTGGATACTCGGGAATGCCAAGCCATACCCATACCTTTGCTGCATACCGATAAATGCGGTTCATTTTCCGGATTTGGATCATCTTTTCTTCGTGGTGCGCTTGGTTGATGCAGATGGCATCGATCCAGATTGGCAGTACGGGGCGAGTCTTTCCTCGCCTAGTCAGGTAAGGAAGTGCAGAATGTAGATTGCCGTGCACATACGAAACACACCCGTTCAAAGTAATGGGAAACAAATCGGCTTGTGATCCCCAAGTATAAGATAGTGCCTCATATACGAGGTCTGGTTGATCAAGGCTGACGGTCTGTAGGCTCCAGCTTTGGCCGTCTTCGGGCGACGAAGATGTGGGCATAAGGAGGCGGATATAGCCAGTGAGTAGTTGATCGTAAACGAAACATGGTAGCTCGGCCATGGCGAATACAAAGCGGACAGATTGTCGTATTGTTTACTGTATTTGTGAGGTGCGGGGGCAGTGGTCTAATTGTAGAAAGAGTGGCACAGTCAAGAGTATGCTAGTCTTGATCAAGATTAGGCTATGTATCACCGGTATACACTTAGCGAATTCGACTTCACTTCGAACTGATCATCAGGTAGATAGAAAGAAAGTACACAATACATATGCTCGTAATTCACTCAGACTCTACGACTAGCTTTCATAAAGGATCGCATATCAGAAAGGAGGGCGCGCTGAACCCTATCGACTTTCTGCTGGGGAGCATGGAAAGTCAAAGACAATTCAAAGGCTTCGGCTGATCGCACATTCACTTTAAGTAGAACTGCATGTCGTAGAGTAAAACTTGTTTCATTTGGTGTTTTTCTCGTCCCTACAGTTTTGCTCTGACAGCTTCTGGGTCCGCCACCTGCACCATGATTTTGCCTGTAGTCGTTAGTGACCTCACTACCCAAGTGTGACCAGACATGCTTACCAGTGTTCTTTCCCTCGAATAATCCAACTAGTGCATCCTCCGCTTTAGTGATACCTCCCTTGATGACTGTCTCCTTCCGCTTGAGCTTGCCTTCTGAGAGCCATTGAGCAAGTTGTTTCCTTGCTTCGGCGTACTTGTCTGCGAAGTCGAAAACGATGAATCCTTGCATACGAATGCGCATGGAGATGATCATCATGTAGTTCTGCGTGTGATGTCAGTAAGATTTTCGGCATGTCAAGCATTGACAGGTCAAGTACCTTTGGGCCCTGAGGCTTCTTCTTGTTATACTCTGAAATGGCACCGCACATGACGAACCGCGCGAAAGGCTTGGCTCGTGAGAGAGCGAGGTCGAGAATCTCTCCACCTACGTTGTCGAAGTAGACGTCGATCAAGTCTTTGGTGGCATCTCTGAACTTCTTCGCAAATTGGGGGTCTTTATAGTTCAGTGCCTCGTCGAAGCCAAGCTCCTCTTTCAGCCACGACACCTTGCTGTCCTCGCCAGCAAGACCCAAAACCTTTGCGCCCTTCAACTTTGCGATTTGGCCAACGACGGTTCCAGTAGCGCCAGCTGCGCCGCTGACAACCACAAAGTCTCCCTTTTTGATCTGACCAATCTCAAGGATACCGAAGTAGGCAGTGAGACCAGTCATGCCCAACACGCCTAGCGCGTCAGTTGGCACAGCACCTTCTGGCAGATCCAGTGATTCGACGTGTTTCTCATTGAGTACGGAGTACTCAGACCACCCGCACATACCAGTCGCATAAGTGCCAACCGGAAACTTCTTGCTCTTGCTTGCGACGATGAGGCCAATTCCGCTACCGCGCATCACTGCGCCAATCTCGACGGGAGGGATATAAGAACGTGTAGGGTTCAGCCAGCCACGCATCGCTGGGTCAAGTGATAGGTAAAGTGTCTGGAAGAGGACCTCACCATCTTTAAGGGACGACGCCGATGGGATTTCCTGCTGCTTTGATGTAAAGGTCTTGCCGGCGACAACAGCGTCTTGTGGCCGTTCGGCAAGGTGAATCGATGTGTAAGAAGGCATGATGGTGACTCCTCTGGTTTTGACAATGAAGTGGGAATAGATCTAGAAGGAGAATCGAGTAGGTTTTGGTAGTAGTGACCTTGAGGAAGGCACTGAGAGTGATCGTTCTTTTGGTGGAAGATTGACAGCTGAAGAGATTGGGAGTGAAGCCATGGCTCGCTCGTGTTATTGTAGTTCGTGTCCGCACAGATCCCCCATAGGTGTTCTGCGGAGAAGATACCGAGGTTCGGACGGTCGTTTCCCGATTAGGATGTTCACGTGATACAAGGGCTGAGCATAGCGCTGTCAATGGCACAGGAAGGCAAATGGTTACTGATCATTAGTATGCGCTTGTCGCTTTACATTCCAAGGTCGCTGTCTCGGACTTTGTATCGTCTTCCACCATATCTGGTGTTCCAGATTAGGATATCGCTACAATGCTAACGCCCTGACTCGTAGCTTATGCAGTGCTCTTGATGTCACAGAGACGGTAGTTCGGGTGGAATAACAGTTTATCTGCAAACATTACTGCTATACATCCTGCAATATCTCAAGCTTCCAAGTTTGCGAGCAACACCATCGACAGAGAGGGGTTGTCCACTAATCGTGTCATTGCCTGCAAACCTTCATACGTGCTATTCGCACACATGATTCCATGTAACAGATGTCCGCATCATCTTGAGATGATGCAACGAGGCGGCATCGAAAGATTACCTTCAAAAATAGCTGATTGCAACCTACCATGAGTGATCAAGGCCAAAACTGGTAAGTCGGCGCACAGAATTGACTTGACGTGACAGCCCATAAGGAGTTCTTTGTTTGAGAGATTCCGAAGGGCTATGAATTAGAACATAATTTCATGGTTCGACTATGCAGAATGCTGCCCATACGAGACCGAGATGCAGCTGTGAAAATGGTCCATAGAGAAGCGAGCCGTAACGCCAAGCCACTAAGGATGCATGACTAAGCGGATCTCGAGCTCAGCATCATCGCGAACCCTAGCGACAGCAACGACCGCCAGCAACCTCACAATGCAGTCACTCCGCAGAACAGCAGTGGCTGCTGCCAGGACGAGCCGAACCTCGCTCCCGCGCCAATCGCGCCGCTTCGCCCACGATGAACACGCCCACGGGCACCCGAGCCCAGCCGTCGACGAGCCCATGGGTGTATGTCAACCGCCCTCTACCCCTCCCGAATGGTCCCAGACCTTCCCCACGATATCGCAATACTTCGGAAAGCATATGGCTAACCTAATTGGCATGTAGTACGGCTTCTATATGACAATTGGTGTCATCCCCGCTGGAATGGCTGTCTATTTTATGTCGCGAACGGACGGCGAAAACAACGAGCCGTACTTCACCCGCATGATCGCCAATGCTACGGCCGGCCTACACGAGAAGTGGACTTCGCAGAACGACCACCACGTGCGTATGATCGAGCAGGCGGGTGAGGACAGGGTGCTGTTCTTGAACACACGGCCGCAGGAATATGTCGATATGAAGTTCCCTGAGTACGTAATTTTCAGAATGTGGCATACTAGGCTATAAGAGAAGAAGGTTCAAGCCGAGATGAAGGCGAAGCAATGCACACGGAGGAGGCATTAATACGAACGTCCGAGGCTAACAAGCACAGGATCATGAACGTTGGATCGCCCTACAACGTCCCCGCCGGAAGCCAAGTTCAGATGGACAAGGTTATTGAGAAGTACAAGAAGCTTGCAAACGAGGACAACGAGCGTAAGCTGGAGAAGTTAAGGAACAACCAGATCTCTTCTGAGCAGCCATTCGAGGGCAAGACCCGTGTCAAGAAGGCGCCCGACATGTTCTAAATAGGACGAGACCTGGCTTGTTAGATGTGGATACATAAGGAATGATATCCGTTTCATTTGTAGCATTCGCCGCTTTGTCATGGTACCTACGCGATGATGTTCGAATTTGCTATCGACGTGACTCCAGGTGCTTCCCCAGGCTATTTTGCTGAAGCAATGCACTTAACGTAGGTTGCCAGAGAACATGTGAACCTTCTGCGTGTGTGTATACAGACAAACCATGAAGGACTGGCAGAAGTCCAAAGACTTTGCTTTCATATACACACCGAAATCATTCCTGCTATAGCCTACTGGGAACTCAGCACAGCAGTACATTGACTAAGTGACTGAGATTGCAATTGCCAAGTCCGTATTGTTCATCCAGTACCTGCCTTTTACGCCAGCTGCACTCTTTGAGATTCCAGAAGAGTGCTCGTCTAGGCATTGTTCTAGTCCGGTACACTCACTTTCGCTGTAACGCCGTAGGTCCCGATATGACCTTGGAGCTACGTGGGCTACCATGGCAAAGGGCCTCCGTAGTACAGCTGCGGCGTCTACTGCATATAGCATTCGTGTTATTGCTATCATGGAACTGGGAAGCTGCAAAGAACAAATACTTAGCCGCGACTCACGATGCAGCAATGTTTTGAAAGCGGTGAGTTCAGCCACGTCGGTGATGTCGTGTGGGGTATATTATCCCCGATATCACCATGACGGCATAGAGAGACACTCAGAGTACGGTCAGTGTTAAGACTGTGAGTGAGTGATTAGCAGTGGCAAGAGGCGTTCACGACTAGATCAAAGATCAAAGCGTCGAGTCATGGGGCATCGAGGGGCCCCCTAGGATACTCACAAACTCAGCAGAGGTTCCCGCATAAACGCGTAAAGTCGACGAGCCTAGGCGTATTGCGGTGTTTCGTGGTAGTGGAAACGCACACGTCACGTCCCATAAGGCTGTTGCCAGGGTTTCAGCCCCACTTGACAGCGGGTACCTGAGCGGGGATCATCGTTGATTGGCGAACGGCTACACCAGCATAACCAGTTCGCGATGAATCTTCCTGGGGTGAAGTGAAGGGGATGTTTGCAGGCACTTCAAATGGTTAGGCTAGTTTTCACTCTGAAATGGACTTCTTTTGAGCGGGCTGCTCCTGTTGCTGGTTGAACCATCATCGCCAGCCATCTCTCGCCTGTTGACTTGGTCGCCTGTCTGACACTAACCAGCGAAGAACAAGAAAACAGCTGCTAGGCCCATGAAGATCCTTTACTTGCAAGAAGAGCCGATCTGTAAGGTATGAGTCCTTCCAGCTACGTTGTTAGTCATACGCTCCCGTCGACCAGCTTGCCGTTCTGTCGTTGCTTTTGGTGGGCGTTTGCTATACACTGCAGCATTGGTCCTCGACTGTCGACTTGCAGAAAACAAAGCCTGACTCATTTACAGATGTCGTCTCCCATCGAAGTGCGCACTCGAAGCATGCCACTGCTTCCCTTTCGCAGAAGGAAGGTAGTCCCGGTTACTGCGGTTCTAGGTAAGGTTTAGCGCCCGGGTGGACCCCTGGTGCTCCCAAACACGGCGCATCACCCATCATCCTGATTGACGGCGCTGCATAAACATCTTTCTCACCTGCGCCGCACATTGCCATTGTTTGCACTCCCGCATGCATTTTTCTGAAACGTTGTTGCTCAACGTTCGATGCTAACCCCAAACACAAAGACACGGCACCATTGCTCCCCGAACTCTACTTCACCGCCCGCAAGAGGAATGACATGAACGGGTCAGCTTGGACCACCGACGACGCTTCTCGCACTGCGAACGCCGCACCAGCACGCACGACCTCGACCACCACTACCATGCCCTCGTACACAACGCCCCGCAACGTCTCAGGCCCGCTAGCCGTCGACAAGGCGCCCATGAGCCCGGATGAGAACAGCTCGTGGAACCGCCCCAACCACTACAGCACCCCCAACTCCAAGACGTCGCAATACATTGATAAGATCACACAAGAGAATGACCGCCTGCGACGAGAACTCAGGGCAGAGAAGCTCGCCCGGGAAGATGAAGCCAAGCGTGTGTCGGCTGCACAAACCAAGGCCGAAGACTCCCGCGCCGAGTACCAGCATCTCCAAGTGCTCGCCGACACCAATGCAAGGGCGATAGAACGGAAAGACCGGAAGCTGGAAGAGCTAAAGGCCACATTGGACGCTGAGATACAAAGACGGAAGTCAGCAGAGCAGCGAGCCGAGGAAGCGCTCAGGATGCTGGGCGACACACGATCAGAGACCCAACGACAACTCTCACAAGCATACGAGATGAGGGGCATGGCAGACACGAACCTCGAGACTGCACGAGACGGCTTCAAGCGCATCACCGATGGCTACGAGAAGAAGGTGCGCCAGATCAACGACGAGCTCAACGAGCTCCGGAGGAAACGCATCGAAGACGCCGATAAGATCAAGCGACAAGCCATCATCAGCGATCAGCTGCAACACGAATCGTCACGGTCGACGCGAACGGAAGCCAAACTGACTAACATGATGGAGACATACAAGAAGGAGCACCGGAAAGAGATGGAAGGCCTCATACAGGAAGCCGAGAGGCTGCGACGCGCACTGCCAGAGAAGGAGCGAGAAGCGCAAAAGCTCGTCGACTCGTTGAAGGAGACCCGCGACAAGATGCGATGGGTCATGACTCAACATGAACGACAGAATGGGGGGAAATAAACGCGTCGCCGACATACTCCACACACTATCCAACAGCCCGGTAAATGGGGCAACGAGCGAGACGCAGTATAGAGACGGGCCAGCCGCTGCACTAAGCACGACCTGGCCTCTGCGCTCCCGCACCACACGACTATAATGACCAAGCTTTGTTTCCTGGGTTAATTGGCAATCTGTAACATATCTGGATATGGCGTTGGAGTTAGGCATGCATCACCACCTAGGATGGGATGAACAGGCGCTTACTGGATATCATGGTCAGGCCCGACATTGCACGCGCAGGTCATCGTTTAGCTGTTCTCTGAGCAAAGGGCGTCTCACCGCTGGATATCTACCTCCCTAAATCCATTCGTGTATTTGTTCGTCGCACGATCCTATTCAACTCGATTGCTCTTCATCGTTTTTCAATATACAGCCCATAAAATTGTTATTCAGACAGACGGCAACGCATCTCATTAGCTCCCACCATTGCCCTGAGCGCTGTTAGCACTCGGACGCTCTTTCCCGGACCCTGAGACGCCAAGCAAGACCTCGCCCTCCCACTTCTAGCTTTGTGTACTCCCACCAGCATCGTCATGACCTGGACGGTTTTCTGAACGTCCACTTTCATTGTGTAGAACAGTAGATTGTATACATTGCTTTCTCAACAGTCGACAATCTATGCTTCACATATTGAACTCTCACCTCAGACAGCTTCATGGCATTCGGTAAGACCAATCACGATCGCTTCACATTCTTGCTGATTATCAGGCTGGCACATAACTATTAAGCTCGAATCTAGTGCCCATAACAGCACCAACTTGCAAGCCACCATCGGATATGGATACAAACTCGCCAACCCAAGTACAAGTACAACGTTGCCAGACCAATACTCGAAAATGCAGACTAACAACCCCCAAGCACAACATGCGGAAGTCACTCTATGCGGGCCATACCGATCGCTGGAAGCAAGCGAAATCTCAAGTCTGGAAGCGACGTTCGTCCTAGCAAGCAATCAGTAACAGTGTGGACTTAAGCGACATACATCCTCACCGTGGGGGGTCCTCATCAGTTGACGGGGGTACCGCACTGCGCGCAGCACTTTCCTGGAACCACCCAGACAGTGTCCCCACGTTCGAGACAGGCAGGGCAGCGACGACCAGGTACCTGTAACAATCAGCCGATGCTCCAACTCAGATGCTACTCGGAACTTACCGGCATGGTAGTGATACCTTCGGCGTCGCTCATACAAGGAATGGCGAATCTATCAATGGGCGTGTGCAGCCACATAACGCTTCGTGGCAGGTGGCGGTGTTGCAATTGAGTCTTGGATGACATGGTTGGAGCGAACAAGGACGAAGCGTTGAAAGAAGAAAGCAAACAGGAATAGGCTGAGAGATCCAACGAGTGTAGTGAATAGCACTAAAGAAACGGGCTGGAAAGCGTGATGCATTTCCACGTAGGCTATACACGCGTCTTTATAGCTCTAATGCTTCCCGGGCGGTTTCGGTACACCAAGTTCCATATCACTAGCGCAGCTCTTGTGTCTTGCGGCACGCTTGTAACGCCCGCATCAGTCTGCAATCTTCCGAAACTGAGGAGACGACTCGCTCTCGCGCCTTCTCTCTGCACAATGTGCATGGGTCGTTGTGCATCGTCACCGATAGCTGATCAGGAATGCTTGCGCCGTGTAGTCCCATCTTACTGGGAGCATACGGGCAAATACATGTCGACCACTGTCTTGGAGACGCTAGCCTTCCAGATCACCTGCCGAAACCTAAACGGCATTAGAGCAGGGAGGCCGTTGTATACACTGGAACCACAAAAGACACAAGCGTAGAATGACCCCAGTATACAATTACCTCAACACCAGGCTCTGCTGCATCTTCTTGACGACATTGACAAACAGGCAGCTTCTACACCAAGCAACACCGAATAGGACAAAGGAGCAGAGCTTCCGTCTAAGTCAGTCTAATCTGAACATGGTACTTTTTCGTTATTGCGCAGAAACACGATTGTACAACTTGACCCTTGGCGTGCATCAGTATTGAACTCGACCTTTCACGTCTGAAATGCGGTACTGGTAATCTAGATGAGCCTCGTCGTTTTTTCATTTTGTCACATTCGGCGCTAAAGGAGCCACGACTCTTCGAGCCCTGCAACATGCAGCCGCAAGCAAACAGACGCGCTTTCCCCACCTTCCTACACGATCCGGGCTTCCGTTGCTTTTGCGGCCTTGCGTGATCCAAATTATCCTGCGACGCATTCGATGAGCCACCATCCGTCTGCATTGCGATCGCTGCCTCGCTTGTCAGACCAGAGGTATCGATAGCCGTCCTTCCGTGATACGGTTGTTTTTAACCGTCGTACATGATCGGTATAAACCTCATTAACTCAGTCTGTGACAAGCTGCAACATCGCTTCTGTGATGACTACTGATTATATTTATTGCCTCAGAGTCTCAAACCCCGGTCTCCTGTTCGCCGCATAAGGATGCACCTCGCGTCCTGCATAGGTCTGACTGTCCACAGGTACGAATCATGCTTGCCGATAATTCGGTCATCATCTCACACCTCTTAATGCCAAATTTATCCCCTCAGACATCACCGCGTCATTTCTCCGGTTAGCAGACGAAATGAACTAGTGCTGGAGCGTTGCAACCCTTGGTATCCAGGTCTCGGTGAAATACCGGTTGTATGGCCTCCATCAGGATCAACTTAACAGACCTATCACATGTTTGTTTCGCATTTGTTGTGAATGAGAATCTTCCGACTCTCGGCAACGATAGGTCGGAAAGACTGCACCCTCCGACAGCATGGTTCTCGACCTAACAGCCGGCGGGATGCTTTCGTTCATGAGATCAGGCGGTTCAAGAGACACAACGAGTGGTCGTAGCCATATGGAAGTGGAAATCGTCTTCCTCAATTTTTTTCACTTGCGCAGCAGTTGGTGCCGGTCATGTTTGCTGAAGAGCTCTGTGTCTATCTCAGACGCGATGTCTTGTCGCACGTGGAATCGTAAGCACAGTCAACTAAGCCACTACTACGAGATACAAGCCTTGCAATTCCGAAGCTACGATGACTCTCTCTTAGCACAAGCACTGGAGATTCGGGCCGCTACATTGTAACCGGTGAAACGAAGCCGTCAACACAACCAGCCTAGTGTTATCATTTACTAGGCTGGGCTAGGGGGCCGTTCCGTTCACCAACCCAGTCGAATACCGCAAAGTGACTATACCACTGTCACCCTTCTCTTGGTGAGCAAGCCGACAAGCGATTCCCTATGCTTGCCGTCATGACGGCCGTGTTCGTTGAGACTACCCCAGATTGACCAAAGCACAGATACCGATAACGTTTTCCTGCTTGGTAAGCGTCGTTACCTCATAGATGAGCGATCTAGTCCTGGGGATGCGCTACGATCATCGAAATATGCTCATAATGTCAAGGGGTCACCGTCCAAATCTCAAAGTCAGTGGACCAACCACATCGCTTGCTGTGAGCTGTCAGTCGCCTCACGAAGGCGCTAGCTATGCACATCATATTTCGTGCTTTGGTCCCCACTCTCGACCTGACGCACGCACGGCACACGCTACACCAATGGACTCCGGAGCCTTTTTAGCAATTCTCAAGCCTTCGCATCACCCGTTCGGAGTGGCGTACTTCTATCTAGCCCGCCATTTTATATGAATGAACGCCCAGAGAGGTCAGTCGATAAACTACAGATGACGGAGACAAACTACCGTCCTCGGAGCCTCTGATCGCATGTTTTCTCGCCGTCGATTATATCATAAGGCGATACACGTTTCAGGAAGAGCGCCGTACGATGAGAACAATGACCCTGCGGAGGAAAATAGCAACTTTGTTCAGGCGCCTCATGCAAGACAAGAAAGAGATCTCATTTCGACGCCACGCGACGATCGCTGCAAGATCTCTGTTACACGACATTGCGCAAGCCACGTACAACGAACGCATTGAATTGCTTTCTCCATTCCACCAAAACAACGTATCCGCGTCTACCCGTGCTGCAGGTCCGCAACACTCCATTCAGATCTGATTACATAGTAACACGCGGCCGCTTTACAACAATGCCTTTGCATTACAATCGTGAGAAATGACATCGCACCAGTACCACGGTAGCCTCTTGAATGGCTTTCACCTCACCGTTTCCGGTCCGACAAAAGTCTACAAGAGGCAACCCGTAGTATCATGAGATACCGAGCTTGCGGATGAAGCGGCGCACTACATTCCTTTTGGCTGATAGTCGGAAGACAACCCCCGACCAGGCAACTTGCACAGTAACCATCAGGAGCCGCATGCGGTTGGAAAGGCGGTCGGCGCTGATCATCAGCCTTGCCCGCCTTGCAGAGTCGCACAACATATCTTCGCCTGTTTTGCCCGAGTAGACGTGTACGAGGCGCCTCGGCTGCCGTCTCAACGGACGTCCCGTCGTACAGGTAACGGCTGTCTCTCAGACAATGCTGCCGAGTAAGACGATGTGATGTCAGCATTCATTGTGTTTAGTGTTGTGCCTGCCACCGCAGAACAGTCCTAGTCTTGTCTCCAGCTGGTAATTCTCGCCGTCTTCACCACTTGGTTCATAGATGGACGTCTGATCGACCACTACAGATGTGTGAACCGACGATCTGGCACGACGATGCGAATCTTTGTAAAAGTTTTGAGCTGCAGCGCTATATGATTCGTAGTAAAAAAGCAACAGCACATACAATACGAGCAATCTCTGTAGTATCCATGTTCACATGTCCGGAAACTGGCGTCATGATTGATCTAACCATCACTGTTACAACGAAGCAAGTCTCCCGCGTAGACCACCACGCTGCCGATGTCTCTCATCTCTCAATTGGTGGTAAAGACGCTGATGACGATGTAGACTCTCATGATCAAATTGTTTCCCACGCTGAACCCTCGCACCTCTCGGAAACAACTAGCAGTGCATTAGCATGGAGTCGCACCAAGAAGTGCACCGGCTCCAAGGAAAGAGACAACAACAGTAGCGGTCAGGAATAACGAATAGTTTTTCAAGCCGTACTGACCGTCTTCTTGATGCGGACCAACAGCACACCCTTGGTGATGACACCATTCGAGTCGTATAAATGCAGCATGCGTAAACCCGTCTGCAGGCGGTCGAGACGGAAGCATGCCCAAGCCGCTAGATCGTCGCTAATCCTTTCGTCATCCATAACTTTGAACCTGGGAGAAGCATGTCAGCATGGCTCAACACCAAATAGCTAACAAATGGAGTCTATAAAAATACAAGTAGTGTTGGCAACAAAACAACAAAGCAATGACGCTACAATGATGCGAACGGGAATATCGGCGATCCACAGGCCTGGTGGTCCCGGTCGTGGCCCTGATCGGAGTTGCGTGCCACGACCGCTCACTCGAAATCTCCGTTTCGAAAGCTGTGGAACTAGCGAACCGCGCGTATGCAGAGAAATGATGCAGACTCATCCAGATAGGGTTGAGATACCAGCATTCGACCACCTTTCTCGGTAGACCAGTAAGAGCATCCATGCATGCGAGAATGGTACTTGCGGCTCCCACGGCGACCTGCATGTACTTGACACGTAGCGGAAAAAGAGATGGGACTTACCTGACAAATGTCAACTCTTCTGTAACGCCGGGTACACTAGCGAACTTGACGACTTCACCGCCAAAGTCGGGATCCGTGGTCCTGGTTGTCTTCGTCTTTTGCTTGTACTCGCCCTTCTGGCTTCTTCCATTTCCGGGCACTGGTTCAGCGTTGCGCTCCTCGTGCGACTCAACATGCAATTCAACCTTGACGTAAGGCTTGAGGTCCTTCGGATCGTCTTCCTCAGGGGGTAGAGGGATATCCTGTCCTGCGAGGAACTCAATAGTCAAATCGAGGTCGTGATGGGGTATCGCAGTCTTCTGTGTCGCTTCTTGGCTCGTGCTACGATAGCCTTCAGGCTTGAGAACCCAGCCACCTGTACCCGCGAACATGGCCTCGTTTTGCATCATTCCGCCGTCCCAGCGCTGCCAGTTTAGTGCTACTATCTGAACTCCAGCACGCCAGAAGACGGAAGGATTCAAGTTGGACGAAGTCAGTCGCAAGCCCTTGGGGTAAGCGCGCATAAAGAAGTGCTTATTGTGTTCAAAGAGTCGTACAGGGTCGGACTCGTGAACTTCCATCAAGGTTCCTTCAGACAAAGAGAAGACATGAGTAGGTATCTTGGCCTCTGGAGCATCGAGAGTCTTGTATGAATAACCCCCCAAGTAAACACCCAGTCGCGATAGCGCTTCAATGATTTTGGGTTTCGGCGCGGGGGGTTTCTTTTCTCCATCTGGGCCGACCTCGGA